AGATTCGTCTATGGAAGCCCTGCGGTCAGTCGTTCTTCAGACATGGAGACCCGACTTTCTCTATCTAAACTCCTTTCTCTCTCTATATATATATATTTATATATTTAAAATGTGTGTATATACATTCGTACTTTTCTAGGGTATATTTCGTTTGGGGAAAGTTGAGTCTGGGTTTGGTTTTTATTTGAATTTTGGGATGAGTTTGAATTTTGTTGTTTTTTTGTATTTGAGTTTGGTTGGGGTTTGGAGAGTTTTGATGTGTATTGATTCGATGGATAACTAATAAAATAATATAAATGTGTATTAAATTTAATTGATAAAATTTATATTGTATGATTTGACTATAAATTTATATTATACCCAACATATATATTTAAATTTTTATTTATTTGTATATATACTCTACAAAATAACATATATATATATTGTATATTTTTTTCATTTAATTATAATAAATATTAAATAAAATTTTAATTTAAAAAAAAAAAAAACAAAAACAAAAACAAGGGGTTTGCCATCCATTTTACTGTGCACAGGAATTGCACAGTAAAATAAGGCCAAATCCCCTTGGAGAAACATACCCCTGTACACTAGTATACGTGAAAATCCGGAAGTCTTGGGGAGGATTGATCCTAGCTGTTCATATTATGGGTCCGAGAGTGTTATTATGTATCTGTAATATAATTTCATATGTTTTATTAAGGTGTCTTTCATATGTTTTATTAAGGTGTCTATGGTTATATGTGGTTCAAAAATGGATCATTCTCCATTCAAAATTTTTAGTTGATATTTGTAGCAGAGATAGAATTAATCACTATTACAAGACACCCTAAAGTATATGGAACGATAAACAACACATGTTTACTATAAATTGTTAAACAAGTCATGAGTAAATTGGTAAGTTACGTTAATTGTTACTGATATACCACTCTTCTCATGGATTGATTGGTTATTTAAACTTATTGCCTCCAGTAATACACACCGTAGCACACAAAATAACATTCGGTCTACCGAGGCTGAGATATGAAGCGCTCCCATCAAGTTCCCGCATTGGACTCTCTGTTTGGAATTGACTGAAATAAACTACATTCGAGGATACCTAGAACTACACATCTAATGCCTACGAAAATCATTTGCTATACCTCCTATATCGAGGTTTGTACTCATATCACATGTTTACATACTAGAATCATAAATGTAGATACCCTAAATAAGCTGTTACGTACCTACAATAATAATAGTATATACTTCAGTTACGATTATATATGCTCTAATAACCTATGGTTGGGGAGTCGACATTTCGTCTTGCAAGGATCATTACAATAACAATATTCGAGGTGACAAATTCTAATGACAAATACGCAGTCGATCTGGAGGTGCAAAAATGCTCGTGTCGGGAATGACAAATGTTCAGATTGCCTTGCAAGCATGCTTGTACTTACATTGAAAAAAATATGTCGATTTATAATTTATGTGACCCTTACTTTCGAATATTATTCTAGAGGATGAACTACACTATAGCCGTCGTAAGACCATATACGACAATGCCAACTTGCTCTCTTGTTTCGGACAATTTCCTATGCATTACCTCGGACTTTTCTCTGCGTTTATTCTTCTTTATAATCACTTGCCTTCTAATGGAATCTACCATCCTAACAAATGACATTGACCTCATATATCTCATCCAACTATTACATAACTTATTTATTATTCTGCAACGAGTACCTCTCAATAGTGAATTCGCCCAACATTCTGGTCATCAACGGAGCATAGGGGGCATTGTTGAAGACGGCAGTCCATCGTTTTTTATTATGCATTAGGTATACCCGCATAACCTAAAAAGAGAATTTCATTTCCTGCCCAATCATAACTATTGATGTTCATTACAAATAAATATTGACGTACACATACCTGAGTACGAAAATTGTTTACTAGGTGTCAAAGACAATGCGCATAATGTGCTCCAAGAAAAACGCAAGGGATTAACTTTAGTAAACCCAAGTGTTTATCCGAAAAGAATGTGTATTCTTTTCAGTTCATATGACCCTTACATTTTAAAATAGATCGCAGATTTCAGCTAAACTACTGTCAATTTTCATTATTTTCCGTAGACACAACTGCAAGTCTAACAAATAAGAACACAAATAACTACGACATTTCCAGCATATGAGTTCATCTGTACCTAAAGAGAGCACACCAAAATACTCTAAGGGTGTGTTTGTTTGATTCCCTAAAATACACTATTCATCCAATTTTTTCCCCTAAAAAATATAAAATCAAATATTTATTTTTTATTTTTTATATTATACTAAAAAATTAATTTTACATTCAAAATATCACATCAATACTTATTTATATCACATCTAAAATCAATTTTACATTCAAAATATCACATTAACATTTATTTATATCACATCATACAACTATTTCAATTCAAAAATTTTACTATTCAAATCCTAACTCAAAATTCAAACCCCAAACAAACACACTCCAAGGGTATTTGCAACCACATTGGAGGTATCTATTTAACAAAATAAAGATCACATAAAAAAAAAAACACACAAATAGCTGAAATACTACATCCAAACATTTGTACGGATAAATGTTAACCTAATATACAAAATGTAGCTCATAAGAACAACTACACCCAACACTAATAAATTGACAACCGTAACTAATATCAAATTATGTACCAGAAAATGATAAAATAAACATCCTATCATCCCAGTTCAATGCTATAGCACTTAACAGGCATCCTTTGTGTTTATTATTTTTTTATATATATATGTCTCATCAAAAAAAATAGGACCTGCAACCCCTCAAAAAACTCAGTCGGCAGACACCTAACCAAACAAAAAAACGTTGGAAACGCTTGGTTGCCTAGTCCATTTCGCAATCCATAATACTTCCCGAATTTGACTCATGAAGTGCATGACATGTGCGAAGCTGTCTCTACCTCCCCCATTAATTATTTAACGTCAATCTCATAATCGGTTTGGATATACTTCCGGATGTCAGATTCCTTATACGTGGGAATAGAACATATCATATCTTTGTAAACTTGAAAAATCCAGTTTGCATCGGCTGATGGATGATTTCTTGATTGCAATAAACTCAAACTGCATCTCTGTTGCAAATTGCAATTGCAAATGCCAAAGGAAGAATCACGAGCATGAAAGGATGCATAAATACGCCAACAACAGTCTTTGTCAATGCACACCGCAATAATTTTGGTTGAATTTTTTTTTATACTTGAAATGTTTCTGAGTGGTAATAGAATAATTCTTCAATAATTTCCAAAACTCCTACGGTCCCTTAAATGTCTAACATTCCCCAACAATTCATCTCTCCATTGAAATAAGACTAGTACTTTCATCGGAATAAAGATGTCACATGTTCCATCTTCGTTCAAGAATGAACATTCAACCTTGTCCCTGCATTGCAAATAAAAAATTACAAATGAAAATTCTTTCAGGTATATAAATTTCAGTTCTATATAGTAATAATACTTTTCTTGATTAGAAAAATAAAAAAAATGCACAGGTACCAATTTTACGCAAGCGAGCATATACATGATGTACATGGCCATCCAGGATATTTAAGAGAGCAACTACATATATTCACCAAGGCAAGCTAGATGATCCAGTAAGATGCCACAGGCTACAGAAATTTAGCACATCTATCATAGAACACCTACCCAAGCCAAATTGATAGAAAATGGTGACAGTGGTGCGTAAAGGAGTGAACATCTTTAAACACTTTCAAGATATTACAATCCCACTACACATATTTACAGTCTTTTCGATGGTTTGTACTACACTACGCTACTACAAAATCGCGGAGGCAATTACTTACTATCTACAAACAACATCAAAATAAAACACCAGGGTGTTGTTATATGTCAATATCATAAAAGAATGATTGCTAGCATAATCGGTAAATACAAAAGTAGATAACTTCTTACCAACCTTACATTTCAAGTATACCTGATGAAGCAAACACCGGACACACTGTTACAAAAGTCATCAATCAAAATGCCACTGCATCGTAAAAGTTCTTGACATTCGGGGAACACCGTCACGAAATGCATCACTGCCACTGCACATATTCACCTTCACAACATCTAAGCTTGAAGTCACATTGTCAAGTGCGCAGCATATGAATACTTTTTCTATCCCAACAAATAAAAAAAATCCAATCTTCCCAACGTAATTAATTGTTGATGAGATCATATCGAGGACCATAAAAAGCAACGCTCATAGAATCAAGTATTTTATGTAGAATTGAGTTACTCTAACACCTAATAAAATATGTGTAGCTTTAGTTCAACATATACCATGCCGGTCCACTAAAACTTGGATAGCCAACACTTCGGACAAACCAATGTATATTCATTCAGTTGATATAACTACTTTAATTTCAAAGCTCTTTAAATGAAGATCGTAAAAGATTATACCATACACAACATACAAAATATAGAAATTAGAGCAACGGAATACACACCACAGATCAAATCTAAACATTGAAATGTTAGGCATAAATTGAAGAGGGCTCTTCTTTGGATCAACCCAATAGTATAGACAGATGGATACTATTCATCATCGTCATTATAAAAAGTATATAACAAGTGAGAGAAGAGTTTTAGAAACTAAGCATAAGAATTTATTATTTCAACGAAAACAATCCACCCATGTGCACTGGAGGCTAGGTACAAGAATCAGGCAAACAATAACACGACGTACCTTGAAAAGCACGTCTGTAATTCCCGAATGACTGATGACATACACAAGGATCTCGTGCAACAAGTAAAGAGAAATGAGTTAGCAATTACTACAACGGGTAACACAATGCAAGCATAAATGACTTTTTAACACTTGCAGAGATTAGTATTACTCAGATATATCAATCGAATGTGTCTGGACTATAATTTCTAACTATACAAAACAGTATTGCTAAGTGCACATCTCAACAACAGAGATGAATCTACTAAACAAAACACATGCAAAACAACCCCGTAACTCCAAGATTGAAATTCATAGTGGAACAAGGTCAACACACGGTCCATTTGAAGTATGTGCAAAGATGCCAAATGGCTTATATTATACAAATTTCTCACACAATAAGGACACCTAAAAGAACCACTACAGAAACTACTGTGATCATGAGAGACTTCAAGCAGTGTACAAAAAATGTACAAGACATTTCCAACAGTGAGTCAAGATGAATGGCATCGGAAAAAAGAAAAAAATCAGAATTAAGTTAGTGTGGGTTCACCGGGATGAATGATTTCTACACAATCCCCCCATGTTGGAATCCACCATCACTACAGTCGGGTCCAGGGTCGAGTCCACAGGGAGAATCAAACCATTTTGGATTTTCCGGATAAAAGCCATCTACATTTATTCCGGCAAGGCCTACATCCTGATCTATCGAATCGTCAGGCCTTAGAGGTTTGGTCAGCTTCGGGTTACTGCAGTCAAAAATCCCTTTCTGATCAAAGTCACCACATTTCAACCATTTCACTTCTTTACAACTTTCACCAAGAAAATTCTTCTCGGTCCGGCATCCTGAACTCAACTGATCCCAAGATGCAACCTCCCCAAGAGTTCTTCCAAAACTGTCCTCGTCGTCTTCAATAACATCTGCATCCTTACCATCCCCATAGATCCTCGTGTGATGATCATCGCCCCAGTCAGGCAAATCATGTTCCACCACCAACATGTCATCCAGACGCTGCTTTTCAGATACCAACCCAACTGATCTTGGTCCGTAATCTGGAATATTTCTAAGCTTAATCAACATATCAAAGAGCTCACGTGACACAGAACCCAAATGATGGGGTGGCATTTTCCCAATCCTACCCTCAAGAAACCCCACCTCATTTTTCAACTCCTGTAATTGCTGCAAAACCGAATGCCGCATATCTCCCGAATCCTTTACCAAGATCCCAAAACCCTCATTCTCCCCATCCTCAGCCATCCCATACACAATATCTTGATCCATCAGTAAACCCCCCTTATGCCCAACCATTCGATGCATAATCCTTGCATTGCCATCCAATGGCCCCGGTTCATGTCCCGAATGCACAGCATAAAGCTTAAACACAGCCGTCCCTTCTTCCTCGTACACAAAAGTTTTATCCTTCTCATTATAATTCGTTATTGGAACAATCGCCCGTATACGAAACCCACATCCACACCTTTTCGAGGTATACGGCTCCCTCTTAAGTATCCTTGATTTCTTCGAGGATGCCGGCTCTCCTGCCCTATGACAAGCATAATCCTTAACCTCTGCCATAAACGGCTTGTACCTAATATACTTCTGCCGAATACACAACACGACCTTATGTTTCATAGCCAATTGCTGCAATCTTACAGGAACTTCCTTCGCCGGCACGTCTAAGGACTCAGTGTACTCAAACCTACGCCTCTTCGACCTCGGAGCGCACCCGGACGATGAGTCGGAGCAAACAGGGCAAGCCGAAACACAAGTTCTGATATAGCTCTCAGGTATGCCATACAACTTGGCTCCTACAGTCCACACCTGCTTAATTCTTTCTATGGTTTCTTTCAACCCTAGGTGCTTAAAATCAGCATCTCCATGGAAGGACATGACTATATCTTGCCACTGATCAACATGCGAAACGAACTGATTGGTATTGTTCTTGAAACAAAGGAAATGGCTGCTGTTACTGTTACCAATTATGCCGCAGGCAGTGGACTCCGATAAGTGGACGGTGAGCTTGTCCTGGATGCGTTTCCACGCCGTCAAGTAGGCAGTGTCCTCATTCCGATCCTTCCACACCGAGCGCCAACTGGAGAGCACCGACGCCGGCGTGGCGGTTCGAATTTCGTCCGGCGTCGCTAATCTGCCCTCGATTAAGCATTGAGTCATCAGCGCGTGCGTCTCCTTGTTGAAGGTGTAGAATTGGGAGGAAATATGCGGCTCGGGGCTAATGCGGAACGGTGGGTGATGAATTCGCCTCTTGCTGTGGCTGACCGCCGCTGGATTCGGTAAATTAGGGTTCGGGAAAGGAACGACGTCGTCTGCGGGGGCGAGGTGGATTTCAGCATCGGAGGAGGTATGGCTTGCGTCGTCGTCGTCTTCATCGTCTCGGAAGAGGTCGATTTCTGCGAGCGAGAACGCGTCGTCGTCGATCGAGGGTTGGGACTGAGAGTGGTGGGGGTCGATGAAGTCCTCCAAGTGAGGCGGCGGCGGCGGCGGTGGAGGAGGAGGACGGAGATTGTGGAAGAGATCGTCCTCGATTTTGCTAGGATTCATTTACAGCCGGCGGCGAAATCTCCGAGCTGAAGCGACGGTGGAGTTGGAATTCCTAATTCGTCTATGGAAGCCCTGCGGTCAGTCGTTCTTCAGACATGGAGACCTGACTTTCTCGATCTAAGCGCTCTCTCTCTCTCTTTATATATATATATATATATTATATAATATTTAATGTGTGTATATACATGCGTACATTTTTTTATACACCTGTATACGCGAAAAAATCTGTGTGTTACCAGGAGGATTGATCCTAACCGTTCATGTTGACAATATTAATGGTGTGGATGGAGCTGATGTTGCGCTTCCTGGACATGGTACTAATTAGTTATCACCATAATTATAAATTCATTCGGGACCATGTGGAATTGTGATTTTGCACGAGTATTAGACTTTAGGTTTGAGACTTTTAACAGTAAATTTTTATTTATTTTTTTAAATAGTGGTTAAATGTAATATATATATATATAAAAGTATTGATATAATATTTGAAATATAAAAATAATTTTTAATACAGTATAATAAATGTATTTAATTCATATTTTTTGAGTCTTCTTCCCTCAAAGAAGAATTCCAAACCATGTTGACGAAAATTTCTGTAAATGGAGACGAACAAAATGTTGCTGAAATTGAAAAATGGATAAGATGAAGGCTGAAAATGAATTAGAATAAAATTTAAATCATAAACATACAGCTGAAATTAAAAATTGAATTGGAAATATGCTAGAATTTATGAAAGAAAATCACAATAAGAATGAAAGAAACATTAAAGAAGGAAAAACGCGGGATGAGCCAGGATGTTATCGGAATATGGATATCTCCACGAATTAATATGGCACTCCTTTTTATTATGCCAAAACTCTAGGGTTACCAAACTGTCCATAATTTCCTTAACTGCACAACTCTTTAGATCAGATTAGGAACTTATCTATTTATTTGAGGTCCAAACCAATTATTTAAGTAAGCGGATTCTGATCAAATTCAAAGTCTAAGGGTAGATCTTAGGGACGCTTAATTCCAGAGAAATGAAAGTAGATAATAGAATTAAAGAGAAATATAATTGAGCAGAGATTGAAAATTAATTCTTTGATAAAACAAAAAATTCGTTTGAATAATCTAAAATAAAAATGCAGATATATGAATGATCAAACAAAAATAAATGATTAAATCGATAAAAAGAGTTTTAATGAATAAAAATTCATGAAAAATATTTTTGGTAATTTTTTTTTAAAAAAAATTATAAATTATATACGATATTTTTTAAGATTATATTTTAGTACAATTTATTAAAATATCGTAAAAATTAAATACTTTAAAAATAAATTAAGTTTGTTTTTTTGTAAAATTAAAATAATATAATTTTTAAAAAATTATAAAAATTAAATAGTATACACAAATTTTAAAAATTAAAAAAAAAACATATACTGCAACATGATTTATTTTTCAATATCATTTCCATTTATCTGGCCTCATTTGTCCGTACCAAACACAACCTTAGATTCAAACCAGAATAGTATATTAATAATATATACATGATATTTATGAAAAAAATAATTATAACTTTAACAATATAATTATATTAAATATATATTTTTTAATTTATATATTTATTGTAATTTTATTATAATATTTTTTAATAATATACATTGGATCTGAATGCTAACTTAGATTTAATTTTGAGTTAAATTTTTTAAAATCACAGGATATTTCGAATTTGTCATCCAAGCATAATCTGATCCAATTCGGATCTCAAGTTTAAAATTGTGTTTGAATCAGGTCTTGGGTCCACTAACACAAAATTGACCCATTTACTCATGTCAAGTTCAAATTGAAGATCTTAATCTCAACACAACCCATTTATTATGGTATCAGGATCGTATTAATACATATATATATATATATATAATCGGGTCAAATTTTTATACAAATATCATTTTGTGTCAAATTCATGTAGTATTAGCTCTTGTTAGCTCTAGCTATCATTCACTAGGCTTCTACCTAAAGACGGATTGGATCAAGGAGGCTGTTCCCTTGCTGATATAAAAACAATTAATAAGTACTAACACACATAAACAATAATCCGACAACACAAAGTATCTATAGACAGCAAAAGGTATATCTTAATATAATACAAAAACAAAATATAAATTTGCAACACATATAATAAGCTTCTATAACAAATACTATTATTGAACCTAACCTATAAGATATATAAAAACAACACCCCCATAAATTGTAGTAGTAACTTACAGCACATAGCTAAAATTAACACAACATTGGATGAGTTAACTACAGCATGTGTTAGTCTGGTTATTGTACATGTACAATAACATATATATATATATGTATATATAAAAACACATTCAAATCGTTGGGAAAATAATAATAATAATAATATAATCATAATTAATAAGTTATTTACAGCATACTAAATCACTTACTAGTTCTATGATAACTACAAATAGAAGATGACGTCATCCACTGTGCTTACATCACCAACTTCACTGAACTCAACCCCCATTTCACAAAATCCAACACAATGCACACCTCAAAATTGCAAAATTAAAATTCAAAATAGTAAAGATGGAGACTAAAAGTAGACAGTAACAAAAAAGCAACACAGATGATAAAGTAGCAAACATTACCCATAGCTTCAGCAATTACCACAAATTATGTCAGAAAGGACAAAACAAAGGCACTACGATCCCCTTAAGCTTTAGTAAAGGAAACCATCCTCCTATCCATCCAGCGTTTTCTCCCATCCCACAACCTTTTTATATGTTCTCTACTTACTTCAAAACCATAATCCACCATGTATTTGCTTTTGCAACAAATCCCCATTTTCAGTGCAACCTTCTTGATCTCTATTACTACATTGTCCCTTTTCTTCATTTACCTTATTGTGAGAAGGGAGTTTGGGTTTGGATTTGGATTTTGGCTGGGGAAGAAAAGGTATCATCCTGTGGGGGGTACTATACTCAACCAGCTTCTCAACTTCAACAGGCTACATGATTATATTACAGATCTTGCAAGAAAGCACAGGACCTACAGATTGATCACTCACAACCCCTTCAAGGATGAGGTTTACACCTCGGATCCCAGGAATGTCGAGCACATGCTCAAGACCAAGTTCGACAACTATGGCAAGGTGATTATTGCTCTAAGTTTTTGTGTGGTTTTGGTTGAAGAATCATTTCGACTCACCTATAGCATAATCACAAATGTGCATCTTAATTACAATGTAAATACTTAAGAAGGAACGATCAAATCAATTTTAGTGACTAACATCATAAAAATGCAGAATCTTAATTACCCTTTTAGAGCATAAACTAAGGCACGGAAGAGTTATAAGCACAGATTGAAATGAGATCAATGGGGGATTGTAATGGTCCTTTGTTCTTTCCTAAACGACAAAAAGTTTTTGTTTAAAGCAGTTGTTTTAATCCCTCCTTTTGCTAATTCTACAATTCATAAATTGCAATTTAATCAGCATAAAAGTTGAAAAGCTTCTTTGTAAACTTAATGAGCTTTGCAGGGATGGTACAATCACAGCATGCTGAAGGACTTACTTGGCGACGGAATTTTCACAGTTGATGGCGAAAAGTGGCTGGAGCAAAGGAAAGCATCAAGCCATGAATTTTCAGGGAAGGCTCTGAGGGACACAAGCGGAACTGTCTTCAAAAGGAATGCTGTCAAGCTGGCTAATATAGTGTTGGAAGCCTCAAGCTCTGATCAGCCACTGGATATTCAAGTGAACAAATATGATTTTAACTCCAACATTTCATCAATTTTTGAATATGATAAAGAGATCAGATAGTAAAATTATCATTTCTGCAGGACCTTTTCATGAAGTCGACTCTAGACTCAATATTCAAAGTAGCGTTTGGGGTGGAGCTGGACAGTATGTGCAGCTCAACTGAGGAAGGAGCCCAATTCAGTCATGCTTTTGATGATGCAAGTGCACTCATTGCATGGAGATACGTCGATGTCCTGTGGAAGACAAAGAAGTTTCTCAACATTGGTTTGGAGGCCAAATTGAAGGAACATATAAAGGTGGTAGATGATTTTGTGTATAAAGTAATACACAGGAAGATTCAACAAATGCAGGATCATGTAAGTGAAACAAATTTTAATGTTAGGCATATAATTTATGAATCATTCTCACTTGTGGCTTGTTGTGTGTGGCAGAGAATGGAGTCGAAGAAAGAGGACATCCTGTCAAGATTCCTGCAGCTATCAAAGACTGATCCCAAGTACTTGAGAGATATAATATTGAACTTTGTAATGGCTGGTAAAGACACAACAGCAACAACACTATCCTGGTTCTTCTACATGCTGTGCAAGCATCCTCATGTGCAGGAAACGGTGGCCGAAGAGATCAGCGACATAATCAGCTTGAAACCAGATGAAACTATTCAAGAATTTGGAGCTAGATTATGTGAAGAAGCTCTGGATAAGATGCATAATCTTCACTCAGCGTTGACAGAAACTCTTCGACTATATCCTCCAGTCCCTGTGGTAAATATAACACTTAATCAAATAACCAATTTCATAAAATTAATAGTTATATTCAACTTTTCCAGTGATTTAAGTTCATATCGAGTTTCATGGAAATAATAATCAAATACCAAATTTGATTAAACTCTATTCAACCAAGCTTTCTCACACCGATAACCTAAATGCTACAGATTTGTAGTCTTTTCACACTCATAATAATACTTATTCTTCTACCAAATGCCTATACAAATAAATGGATTCTTGATATTTGAACAATGAGACCTCTCAGTACCACATGTAGGATCCAAAATTGTGCTTAGCAGATGATACGTTCCCTGATGGTTACCAAGTGAAGAAAGGGGATGTAGTGGCTTACCTGCCTTATGCAATGGGAAGGATGAAAGGCATCTGGGGTGATGATGCAGAGGAGTTCAAACCAGAACGATGGCTAGATGAAAATGGCCGTTTCCAGCAGCAGAGTCCCTTCAAATTCACAGCTTTTCAGGTTAGCAGAAAATATAGACTTAAAGATTTGGCTATATAGAACTGTTTGCATACCTCTTGTGATGATGAACAGGCTGGACCACGCATCTGCTTGGGGAAGGAGTTTGCATATAGACAAATGAAGATATTGTCAGCTGTTCTTCTAAGATTCTTTATATTCAAACTGAGTGATGAGAAGAAGCCAGTGAAGTACAGGACAATGATCAATCTTCATATAAATGGCGGGCTACACATTCACGCTTTCCGAAGATACAACAAGAAATCTACATGATCTGAGGCGCCATGTACTTCCTCTGTAATAATCATGACCACCTGAGGATTTTGAAATGTAATCTCGAACATATTCAAGTATGTAATGTAATATTTAGTTTAAGCATTTTTTATGATGTTGTAATAATCAATATGCAAGACATGAGTCGATTGAAAGAGACACTATCCTGGATGGCTAGTGGAAGAATGAAAATGTTTCAATAACATTCCTAGCAATGTAATATTTCAGAATAGAAGACAGAAAACTCAACCATAAGAGTATTTTGAAAGCAAAAAGGCAATATCGAATTACCAATTATACTTGCTAAATGAAAATGAGACCCAAAGATGTGATCAAAATTCTATAAGGTAAAGAGTTATATTCCACCCTTCAAACCAACAGTGCTGGTACACAGCACACTAGTAAATGAGAAACAACTATTTAACAATCTACTCTACTCCCATGTTTAGGTATTAACCATTATATTCTTGCTCAAAGTTTCAAGTAATTGAACAATCTACAATAATGGTTCCATGGTTACAGGTGGAGGAAGCTGAACCCCAGGTCTTGAAACCCATCCTTTACGTTTCCGGTAGGCTTCAACAGCCTGTAAACGGAGCCTTTCTTGTGAAGCATCATGGGTCATCTTAAATACCTGCCAAAAAAATTTTAAAATATATAAAAATACTAAACTTGTCGCAAAATCAGTAAGAATAAATCATATAAGAAATCATTAAGGATGAAAAACCTTTGGAACAGCAGTTAACTTAGGTGGAGCTTGAACAACTTCCCCAAACTTGATATGTTCGTGATCATGAAAATCCTCATCATCCTCTATTCTAGGCCTTTTTCGCTTCTTCTTTCTTTCCTCCAAGCGCCTACAAAAATTTCAAATAAAATCACAAACTGGCCACAATCCACAATCAACTTTTTTCTTTGAAGAGGTAAAAGGTCACCAAGTAGTTCTTAGATTTCAAAAGGCAGTCATGGTCATAGCATGATCAGAAATATTACAAAGTCGATCTACTTCCTAAATGAACAGCTGGGCTGGGAGAGGACTTGTTCTCCATACAGAGCAGATTAGCAAGTCTCGAAGATATGATAATAGGATGCTTAGGCTAAGTTTTTTACATTAGGATAATAAAGAACACAAGTGTTACAAGTCTTCAAAATACATTACTAAAATAAGAAGAAAACTCACTGCTTTTTACGCTCTTTTCTTTGGGTACCAGCACCACCAGGCTCACCAACTGTCTCAAATCGAAGATCTTCTGCCTTATTCTTTCTCTTCTTTTTCTTCTTCTTTTCAAGATTGCTATTCTTAGAAACTCCATCACCGTGTTTCATGTTTGATGTCAAACCCTGAATGTTATTCCTAGAAAACCCATCGCTGTGTTTTGTGTTTGATGTCAAACCCTGATCACCTTTTTTCCCTTTGGCCTCCCCAACAGAATAAGATGCCTCCCCAGAAATAGTTCCCTAAAAAAAATACCATCTAAGTTTGCAACATAAAATGCGCTAAACCCTTAATAAACCAACTTCCTGAATCAGCATAACTGTTCTTGTTTTTACTTTATTTTAACAAATATGAAGCAAACTGTGGTGCAAAACACATAAAAATACAAAACTACCCATATTTTCGAACATTTTTAAAGACTTCCGAAGGCATGTTATTAATCAGATATCATCAAACAAATTATTATCTCTCAATTCATGCACTTGAAACAACCAAACTCAAAATCAGGTCGCACAACAAATACATACCATCCCAATATCTCATCTTAATAAGGATGTAGAAATTTTTTTGGTTGTAAGGTGATGGGCTCATCAGAAAACTAACTGCAGTACATCAAAACTCACACATTCTACCATACAAACTATAATCATCAAAATCCTCTCAATAGGTCAGGGTATAGGAATCTTTTGCATCAAATGTATACTTCAAAGTGGAGTAATAATACTTCAGTCAAATGGATAAGAAACATCATAATCACTTAGCATCAAAACAACCATACCCAACAAAATAAAGCTTTAAGACCTGCATACAACTTCACAGGAGACTAACTTAGGACTTCAAATGTGTCTCCATAACAAACAAGACAAATTCAATCTCATGCAGGACAAGTGACAAAACGTATGCCATAATACCTTATCATCGCCATGCGTTGCATCTCTCTTTAAACGGTTATCTCCTTGCTTCGTAGCTCCTGAAAACAATATTAACTAACTCCAAACTTCGCGAAAGAAAAAAACTCAAACGAGTCGTAATAACCTAGCAAATAATAATACAAAGAATGCTTCCAATTTCAAGTTGGAAAACAAAGATTAAATTCATAATGTCAAATGAAAACAAAATTACTCGCAGCGATGAATTGGCATACGGTATTGTGCAATATAGGAAAACAGGAGGCGAGTATGCGTCAAAATCACCTGCAAACGACATAAGCTTGCGAAGCTTAGACGGAACGGCGTCAACGGAAGAAGGATTAGGCGGGGGCGGCAGCCTGTCGTCTCCTCCATGCGCCGCCTTGTAGTTCTTTTCTCTCCTTTTTCTCCCCTTTCCTCCCATGTTTGAACTCTGCAACCTTTTCTAATTCTCCTCGGCTTAAACCCTAACTGAAAAAATAAATAGCAATTTAGTCCTCAACTTATAAAGATACGCAATCCTACGCTGTATTTTCCGGTTTATTCAATTGAACTCCGTTACTATCCTCAATTAACCCTAAAAATACTATCGGCAATTCTTCGGTCATTTATTATAGTTTAAATATAAAATTAATTTTTAATACTACATAATATATAAAATAAAAATAAGTTTGATATTTTCAAAAAAATAAATTAATTAATTATAAAATTCTAATAAAAAATTTTAACAAACAAACACTTGAATTTTAAAAAAAATAAAAAAAATAAAAAACTGATTTGTTTGCGTGCAATTTAATTTTAAATTTTAAAAAAGAGTATATATTATTTATATTGTGTACATGTATATATATTATACTTATATTTTATAATATCAATTGAAAATTGTTAACTAATCAAGTATGTTTATTAAAAAATTTAGGATTTGTTTTATTGTAATTTGAAATTAATTTGAATTTATTTAAATGGTATTTTAATATTATATTTTGTAAGATAAAATAATATATATTTTAACGAGTATTAGTCCGATTTCGACTTTTCTGAACAGCAACGGCCATAAAATCTTTGGAAGTTTGAACAGCTGCAACCGATTCTCCTCCATAAACCTCAAACAAATCAACGACTTTGAACCGACAATGGGAAGCGTGACTTCCAACTTTCCAACAGCATACTCCAACAAGCTCAAAAAATATTTGATTGACTTCGAGTTAGTCCAAATAGCGCTCCGAACAAAACTAATGAAACTCTTAAACAACTTTGATCATTTTTTTTTTTTTTTCCGGCTTGAACCTAATATACAAATATGTCATGGTAACTATTTTTCAAAGTGAAACTTAACTAACACTCTGAGCATCGACACTCACCACAAACTACACGCCATAAAACTTTTTCGGTTTCTCCCTCCGGTTGGATTTTCATGTTGGAAAAATGATATTAAAATGTAACATATCTAAAATGTCCCCACCACATATATACAAACCAACAAATAAATTTTAGTTACAAACTAATAAACCATTTAACAAATCCTAACAAACTAATTAATAGGTTAAGAATGGATTTAAGTTTTCATACTATAAAACTGGCCCTGGGCCCGAGCGAGAGAGACGCCCGTCCGAAGCCCACAGTAAACAGGGGTTCATTATATATTTATGTTATATATGTATAATTTATATATATATATAAATAAAAAATATTTTAATTTGGTGGTATAGATGTTAAATTTAAATTTTATATTTTCCAAACATTTAGAGATATATTTTATACTATTTTTCATCTAAAAATCATAAAATATTATTTTATTTAATTATTTATATCTTATTATAAAAAAAAATATTATTTATATATATTTAAATGTCCATATTTATTTTTCTCGAGGACCTTTCCCCTCCCCCTAATCATACATCCTCCATAACAAGCCGAAACGAAACGCTCCGGACCCTTCGAAAATCAGAACCAGCCCTGACTATAAAGTAAGCTAATTTTTAATATTATTGAAAGATAAATTGAATTAAATCAAAATAATTAAAATATCCAACAATTTTGAAAAAAATAATAATAATAATAATAAAAAAATAATAATAATAAATAATTTTGTAAGCTTTTACATAGATCGTAGGTTAAACTATTTATAGACATAAGCCTTACAAATATATGCTCATGCCGTCACTTTTCAAAATAGGTTGGCTTATTTAACTAAAATCTAGTCCGTTCGATCTATTCCCAACACTAATCATAGACTCTATATATATATATATAATGAAAATTTATTAATTAATTAATAAAATATTATATATTTGCATTTATTTTTTTTCTTTTACATCTCACAAAAAATATCTATTTCTATATTCGGTAAGTTTCTCAATTTTAAACATACTTAACAAATATAAATCAATTTAATTAAATTTCTAACTTCTTACGTATAGAACTCACTCAAAACCCCTTTATTTTTATTTATCCCCTCAATTAACAAATATTTTTATTTACCTTTAAAACTTCTTATTTTTCATAAAACTAATTTATGGTAATTATAAATAAATAAATATATATTTTTTATTCATTTGTATTATATAAAATTTTATTACCTACAAAATGAAATTGATATTGTATATATTTTATTGAAATATAATTCTAAAAATATTTAAAATACCAACAACACTACACATATAAAAAGTAATAAAATAATAATTAACGACTTAATAACCTACACTACCTAAAATACCGTGTCTCTGACAAAAGGCTCAATTTTTCGCAAGACGGAGGGTGTATTATTTTTTTTAAAAAAAATCATATTTATTCAAAACAAACTTATTCGAGCCGAACAGGTATATACGTTCGAAAATAAAAATTCTTAATGACCGAGCTCGAATACTATGAGCTGAAGTGCTAAACAAACGAATATAAATACTTAAACTTCTATTAGACTATGCTCATTAACAACTATAGCCCCCACTAAATAACCCAAGTTGCTCGAACCCATCAGAGTTTGGGTGTGCATGTGATGTTTTGACTGTAAAATTGATTTTGAGTTGAGATTTAAATAGTAAAAATTTTGAATTTGAATAGTAGTATGATGTGATGTAAATAGGTATTAATGTGATGTTTTGAATGTAAAATTGATTTTTAGTATAATATATATAAAAAAATAAGTATTTGATTTAATGTCTTTTAGGAAAAAAAATAGAATGAATAGTATATTTAAAATCCAATCCCACAAATAAATACACGTAGAAAACTATCTTGTTTTGTACAATATGTGTATATATAGATTTATATATATATAAGTCATATATATTACTTTATTTGTCTCAACTACTTTGTCTATTTTAATTGAGCTACAAAGTTTTAGGTATAATTTAATTACTAACTAATTAAGAAGTCTATTACTAAAAATACTAATGATATAATAAAAATTATTATAAATTAAGATAAAAATGACTTTCAGCTACAAAGTATAAATATCTCTATTTTGGGAAATCCAATTTTACTTTATATTACATTGTTACTTTTTATTACAAAAAAAAAAAAAAGTAAAAGACAAAAATATCATTACACTATTTTTATTTACTCGCTATAATTAAAATACTATTATTTTTTAAACTTTGGTAATCATTTTTTAAAAAAAGAAAGTCACGTAGCATGTGGAATATGAGACGGATATAAACGACAATATGGACATGATAAATGAGACGAAAAAGTAATAGTTAAAGGGCAGCACCCAATGAAATAAGGACACGTATGATGCTAAATAAAATACGAAGTGAACATTAGCTGTCACGCTCACACTTGACTTTTATGGCGCAGGGATCCTTCGGCTTTCGCCATTTCAAAAACCAAACTGCTCTATCGAGATTCCCCAAATCACACTATAACTCACTCGCCTTCTTCAATTCCTTCCCTTCCATTTCGTCTTACAGTTCCGCCGCGGATCTCTCACACATTCATGGTGGCGACCGTCGTCTTGGCGCTCTGCATAACCGTGGTTACCTTGCACAATGTCGCCGACGCCTACACCAACCACACGGTCGGCGGCGTCGCCGGTTGGTTTTTCAACTCCACCACCAATAAGACCTCCGCCGATTACGTCGCTTGGGCGTCCAATCGCACCTTCAGCCTCGGCGACTATCTCAGTAAGTTTTGCTGCTATTTTGCGTTTCGCGAAGCTTCTGTTCGTTAATTTTTTATGTGGTTTCTGGATTAGGTCTTAGTTTCGCATAAGTTTACGAATCATTTGAGTTCGGATTACATTTCAGGCTCAGAATTTTAGGGTACTTTTGTTTAGCGTTTAAATTATTTAGTTGAGAGTTGTTTGATTTATTTAAGGTGTGTTTGTTTCACATATTATTCAAATTCAAATTTTTTTATATTCAAATTTCAATTTAAAAATCCAAACAGCCAAACAAACACACTTTAAAAAATCAAAACTTAAAAGGCATCAAATCACAATTAACACACCTATGAATTTTGAGGCAATGAATTTATTGAATCGTCTGATGAATAGTAGGTAGTAGTTATGGAGAGATCCATGGGTCCTAGAACCATATGGATCTACACCATACTTTTGGATCACAATTGGTGTGGATTCATCTGGCTGCAGTCCCAGCCTCGGCTGAGACTCAAAAGTCCTTTTCATCGCACGAGAGAAAAACAATAAAAATAAAAAGGAAAAATATTATTTTTTATCCCAATATAACCAAAATATATCAATTTTGGTCCCAATATAAAAATTTATCAATTTTGGACTCAATATAACCAAAATTTATTATTTTTGTCCCAATATAACCAAAACTCATCATTTTTTATCACAATATAAATTTTTTTATTAATTTTAGTCATAATATAACAAAAATTCATCATTTTTTTTTTTGTCTAATATAATCAATTTTATTTTTTGGTCTACCACCGACAAACTAATATAAAATACGATAACAATTTGACTATAAATATCCATTTTTTTAATTTTTTTTTCTACAGTTAGTTTGGTAGTGATTATTGTGGCTGAAAGTTTAACTGAAATAGAATAGTGTTTGTTTAATTATATAATATACTATTTAGAATAGTGCTTAAATATTTCAAAATTTCTTAGTTGGTGATTTTATCATTGTTATTATTATTATTATTATTAGTATGGATTTCATAATGAATAAAGTAATATATAATTTAATACACCAATATACATAATTAAATATAAATTAATTTTATAAAAATCAGGGTGTGTTTGTTTTTTATTACAAATAAAAAAAATATTAGTACTATTATTTTTTTTTTTCACAAAATATAATACTCTCTTCATTTCAAAATAATAAAGATATTTGAGATTGATACAGACATGAATAATATTATATTGATAGTAGATAAAAAAATAATTCTAAAATATCAAAATATCATTTATGTAATTATTGTGAACAAATGATAGTTTTATAAAAAGATGGTGAGTTAGTTACTAAAAAAAATTAGACTATTGTTTTGGAACAGATGAAAATGACAAAATAAGACTATTGTTTTGTGACGAAATAAGTATTAAAATAATGTTCGAATAAAATTCTAATAAAAAAAATTGAAACCCAAGTAAAAATCAACCAATTTTTTTTTTGAATGTAAGTAAATATATTTGTTTATTTACAAGATATTTTTTTAAAAAATATTTGATATAAAAAAAAATTGAAATAAACAAAGTATTTGGTTTGATTTTGATTTTTGAGTGTAAAATAGTAGTATAAAATTTTAAAGTCTTGTATTTTATATAAATAAATATGGAAGAATATTTTAAATGTAAAATTAAATTTTAATATATATTAAAAATAATAATTAAATATATAATTAAATTTTCTAAGGAAGTTTTTATAAATAAAAAATAGATTAAAATCATACATGCAAACAAGTGTTAATGATTTTTTATTTTTAATTGATTATTGCCTGATTTTCATATTAAATTAAACTTGTTTCGAAATTTTTTATTTTTTTATTTTTATTCAGTTTTCAACACCAGCACAAATCAAACCGTAATTCAGACCTACAACAAAACAACATATGTCAATTGTACAATGGATGAATCTTCGGACAACGACACTTTTCTATACAACGGAGGCAACAATCAGTTTGGAGTTGCAACAATCATACAAGTCCCGCTAACTTTAGAAGGTCTACAATACTATTTTTCGGGGGCTCAAGATGGCGAACAATGTAAGAACGGGATGGCATTTGAGATTAAGGTGAATCACGGAATTGGACTTCCCCCGAGCCTTAACCAACCTCCTCCGCCACTGTATGTTTCACCGCCGTCTCCTGGAAATGGTGACGAAGAACAACCCCCAATAGTTGGAATTACGCCGTTGCCCAACGGGGGACTAAGGAGCCTCGGCGACTTGTCGTGGTTGCGGCTTATGATTTATCTGATGGTTTATTTGGGAGTTTAAGAGGAAATTTATAGGGTTCGATGGTTGTATTTTGGAATAATAAAGAATTTTGAATTATAATGATAATTTGATATGATATAAATAGTTATTTGATGTGATATACTTTATTTTTTATTTTTTTTTGTATATTATATATTGGATGAAAATCAAATGCATGGTAAAGAAAAAAATGAATACATTGTTGCATATGAATAATAAAAATATGGCTGAAAAAACACAGTTAATCATACTCGTAATTTGTCATTTTTAGAATTTTATTATTATTATTATTATTTAAAAAGAATTATATTATTTGTGGTTTTGATCTTATGGTTAAATTGGATTATAATGATAAATGGTGAATCTCATGTAGTAAATAAATCAACTAATTACTTAAAAATAATTGTTACTTTTTAAGTGGATACATCAAATTATTTATTTTTATCTGCAAATACAAGTTTGCTTGTTAGTGTTTAGATTGAAATGTTTTTTTTTCTTTGAATATGAAAAATTGTAAGTTGAATTTTAAATTTTTATAATTTTTTTAATTATATTCTATATTAAAAATTATATTAGGAAATAATTTGGTTCGATTAACAAATTCATAATAAAAATAAATTTATTATTTTAAATATTAAATCACTGTCAAAAGTATTTAATAGAGTATTACTCACTCCGTTCCCCATATCATATCCACATTATCATTTCACGTTTCATATCTCATTTTTTTTTTCTTTTTTAAAAAAATTCTGATTTATATTAATTATTTTTATCAATATATTCATAATTATTTATTAATTATATCATTTTTAAATTTCCTTGTCTAACAATACTTCATACGAAAGAAATATTATATAAATGATGCAATATTATTACTTTTGTTATATATAACTTTTATATTCTTTTCTTTTTAGGAGCACCGATATAGCTAAAATATTTATTTCGTAAAGCTAATAGCTTGTCCGGTTGGGGTTAGCTTACTCTCTTGGGATCACAACGAACGAATCCGTAGGCATATAAACTCGAATATTTAGAAGATAATAAAATATTTGATGGAAAGACGAAAAATTCTTAATTGAATTGTTAAATAAAAAATATCGAGTGCTATCATATAGCTTGAAGGAAAGCTGCTTTTTTTTTTTTTTTTTTTTTTTTTTTTTTTTTCAAATTAAAATTTTCGCTATTAATTTATATAACTTTTAATAAAAAGATATACTATATATATTACAAAATTAGGTGTGCCTGGTAAAATTTGAATCATCGATTTACTCTTAAAATTTGAATCATTGATTTACTCTAAGCGTGTGTTTGTTCGGGGGTTTGGATTTTGAGTTGGGATTTGAATAGTAAAAATTTTGAATTTGAATAGTTGTATGATGTGATATAAATAGGTGTTGACGTGATATTTTGAATGTAAATTTGATTTTTAATATAATATAAAAAATTAAAAATAGGTGTTTGATTTGATATTTTTTGGAGAAAAAAATGAGATGAATAGTAAAAATTAAATCCTATCCCCAAACAAACACACCCCTCTGTCCCATGTAATATGAGTGTATTACTGTAGAAACGGGAATTTAGATAAAGTATAATTAGTAAGTAATTAAAAAATATATTAGTAAAAATAATTATTATTTAGTAAAAATAATTATAGATTAAGATTAAGATAACTAAATAGTTTAATTAAGATAAAAAAAAAAATTAAAATTTAAAGTTTAAAATATGATTAAAGTGTATAATTAATTTTCCAAAAAAGAAAAAGACAAATTATGTGGGATGGACGAAAATAGAAAATAGGACAAATTATGTGGGAGAGAGAATATTATTTTTAATATGTAATACATATAAATAAAAAAATACTTTAAATAGGGACGAAGAAAATATTGTATTAAATTATTATTTTTTTAAATGAATAAAACACACATATATATTATACTTAATTAAAAATATGTGTTTGATTTGATGTTTTTGGAAAAAAAAAAATTGGATGAATAGTATAAATCCAATCCAATCCCCGAACAAACACACCATTTAAATCAATTTTTTTTTAGTAATGTATTTTTAATATTAAATATGAAAAATTATGTAAGTAAATAAATAGGGAGAGAGGACTTAGTGTGAAAATCATTTAATTTAATTAACTGCATGTAATATTTATAGATACATGAAAATGAAATGAATTGTGCGGTTAACAATAAAGCATCCATTTAAATACACATCTCTATCATCTGTATGTTTCGTATACACTTCGCATACACCGTTACTATGATCTTGCCGTCCTTACGGAATAAACGATTTCAAGTTAATCTTTTTTAATTATAATTATTTTTTAAATTTATTATTTATTACTTCTTCTGCCTCACATATCATTACGTCCTAACTCCCAAATCTTATTTCGCTCTCTTTTTCTAAAAATAATTATTTATGTTAATTTTATTTTAAATTTTAATTAAATTAATTAATTTTTTTAATCATGTGGCCACATGGGACATGGAGAAGACGTGTTCTCGAATGCAGAGTAATATGTGTATATATATAGAAAGTTATTTGTATATATACACACTCATACTAGTATTTTTTTAGGAGCAGTATCAGAGTGGCTGTGCAAACAGCTTTTACGTCGTCCAATCCATGGCGGAAGATCTGCCTCATCACTTGCCGGAACTTTTAGTCCTCGGTCCGCCCTTGTGCTTCCAGATATGCGATAAGGACTTCTCTTCCAGGTTCCGGATTCTACGCTCCTGGGAATCTCCGCTGCCGCTCCATCAATTTCTCCGCGCCGAGGCGCAGGCGACGCAGGTGGCTCTCTGCTCCGGTTTATTTTCATTCTCCGCAGACGTGCTGCGCGATCTCCCCTCCTTGCGCTTGCTGCTTACCTCAAGCGCAGGCGTCAACAACGTAGACCTCGTCGAGTGCAGCCGTCGAGGCGTGGAAGTCGCCAACGCTGCCGGAATATATTCCGCCGATGTCGCTGACTTTGCCGTTGGGCTCCTCCTCGACGTCCTGCGGAAAATCAGCGCCGGAAATCGATTCGTGAAAAATGGACTCTGGTCTAAACAAGGAGCCTATCCTCTTGGCTCGAAGGTATATATACACACATATATATATATTCATATATAATCGAAATTGGACAATTAAGATCCGTCTTCAACTGGTTATAATCCTACATCTGGAAAGAATAAGGGTGCATAATTATGATCCAGTAGAAATCGAAATGTAATAAACATTGAGGTTTTCTAGGGTAGCCTAAGATTCTTGATTTATTTGATGATTTGTATAACTCTTTTTCACACAATTAACGTAGTTCGAAACTCATCAGTATTTAATGCAGAGTCCAGATGGGTCTACTTTACTCTTGGGTCAATACAGGAGCTTTAGCTTCATGTTAGAAGATAAACAGAATTATTTAGTAAAAGACATGTTTAATATTGTACCTGGGAGGTTGTTATTTAGATTATAACTGACTTCTGCTTCAACATAAATGATCAGGTTTACTAGGTGTGTTTGTGTGTGGGGTTTGGATTTTGGGTTGGGATTTGAACAGTAAAACATTTGAATTGGAATAGCAGGATGATGCTATGCGATGTTTTGTATATAAAATTGATTTTTAGTATAATATAAAAAATGAAAAATAAGTATTTGATTTGATGTTTTTGGGAAAAAAATGGTATGAATAGTGTAAAATTGTCAAAATCCATAAAACAAACACACAATGCTGTAGAAAGCATAAATTTCACTGTGGGATTGTTGCTTTGTCAAGCTATTGATGTGATTACAACATGTAACTGTAGTTAGGAGGCAAACGGGTTGGAATTGTGGGATTGGGAAGCATTGGCAATGAGATAGCAAAGAGGCTCAAACCATTTGGATGTTCGATTTCGTACTCCTCAAGAAACAAGAAATTGTCCGTGCCGTATGTATTCTATTCAGATGTGTGTAAACTAGCTGCTGCATCTGACATACTTATAATCTGCTGCGCATTAACTGAGGAAACTCATCATTTGATCAACCGGGAGGTTATGTTATCACTGGGAAAGGGAGGTATAATTATCAACATTGCACGTGGTGCTGTGGTAGATGAAAAGGAATTAGTGAATTGTTTGAAGAGAGGAGACATTTCTGGTGCTGGTTTGGATGTGTTTGAAAACGAACCTCTTGTTCCGGAAGAGCTTTGTGAACTTGACAATGTTGTGTTGACGCCACACTGTGCTGTCTTCACAAAGGAATCTCCCAGAGAAGTTTTTGAACTTGTATGTAAGAATATAGAGGCTTTCTACTCGCATAGACCTCTGCTGTCTTCTGTTTTTGCAGACTAGACTAGAGCAATTGGCTCTGTTTATGGTGTGTATTGATGCATTTTCCACTTTGCTCTTGAATAAATATTTATTTTGCTTGCTTCAGATAACTTCATTTGCTTGGTCAAATTGAATAGGAGCTGCGGCTAAAATTGAACTTTAAGGTATTTCATAATTTCTGGGAAACCATGATTAGAATATGTAGGCAAATTACACAATCTTCATTCAAATAAAGACATGTTTTCACATTTGCTGTCTCTTGTGAATACAGTTTGTCTATCGTGATTCAGCCTAGGTTTATGTAACCACTGAAATGTGTAATTAATCTAATTTAGAATCAATAATAAGACCATATATAGGTTCTTGTAAATGTTCCTTAAATAAAGCATCATTTCCTTTCCTTAGTGAACAAAGATATAATCTAATTGCTACTTGACTTTCTAAGTTCTGCTGTTTTTTCTTACAAGAAATTTGAAGTTTGAATGTGTATGTATGTGTGTGGAAGAGGACAAAAGATTGTTCTGAAAAATCATGTGTTGGAAAAGAAATGGTTTGAAGGGTTGAAAATAGATCAAAATTTCAAGCAGCACATCTGAGAATCTTTGTTAATAAAACAATTACAAATCTTTGTTGGTGCCTTCTAGACATGTATTGTACAATATTTGAAAGAGCAATACAATAGAAGCATGTTGCTATTGCAATGTTCTACTTGTAACTATAGTATGTTTTGCTTTAACATATAGATAGTGAATGACTCGATTTGACTTTGAAAGGCACATGTTGAAGAATCAAGAAAAATGCTACATAGTTATTTCACATAGAGAAAAAAGTACTACTAGGAATCCTTCTAACAATAATAGATCCTGGCGTTGAGTGGGGGTTTTTTTGTGATATATTTTTAATGGGTTTCAATCATATGCTGACATGTATATTAATTCAACGTATACTGAATTATATCCTAACCTTTACTCTTAATCTAATCTTTTTAATTAAACTAATTATTTAGTCAATTAAAGGTTCTGATTAAATTATGCTGAATTAGGAATTTCAGCATGCTATCCATTCTGATATTTAATGTGAATTCCTAGAGGTTATCTAGTGTAAGTAACATCACTATTAACTGATTTCCTACTGTGGAGAATAAAATTATGGTGATATTCACCATCAATTAGAAGTCTAAATACAAGGCGTGAATTCAGATATGGCCGAGGTTTCAATTCATTACATCCAAATGAGATTTCAGATTGTGGTGTAGGGGTATTTGTCCTAACTAATGTATATCTATGCAAACAGTTGTTGATTTCTTAACTGTGGTATGATAACTGATAAAAATTGTTTACTAATCTCTGGATCAAAATCTTTTGAGATTTGCAGCTGTCTTGACACTCCAAGAACCCAAGGTTAATTGAGTTTTTAAGTATCTTTTTCATTGTATAATAACAGCACTAGGTGCATACCATTGGCAAATTGCTCTTTCATGATCTTTTGAGGCACCAAAAGGCTTGAAAATTTAGTGGTGGTGTTACATGTTTAAGAAATGTGATCAAGACACATGAGTACATCTATCTGCATTTGGTTGTCTGCTTATTGGAACAGCTACAGAAGCTTCACATGAATCAAATATGTAACCCTTCTAATTTTGTTTTTCACTGTATCACAGAATAGAAAGAATATTGCAGGACAAAGGTAGTTATAGTGGGATCATTTCATGTCTCCCTTTCTTGGTTCTTATCTATTGGTAAGTCTATATGTGTAATAATTGGCAGTAGGTGAATTTCGTATTGAGTTAATATTTATATACTTGAGGTCCACCGAACTGTTTTTGTTTTCCCAACTTCGAGATTCTGCTTAGAAACTATATTTTTGGATTATTCTTTTTGTGCAAATCAAACAAATACTAATCGAATGTTAACTTAGTATTGAGCTCATAATTCATATAGGCATACATATTTGTATATGAGATAAATAACATACATGTTAGACATAAACTGAGACTTCTAGATGTATAACCTGGCCTTAACCTAATGCTTAGAAACTAGAATAAAGTGTCCAATGAAGAACTTATGTTAAATGGCTGCCAAAACTAGCAAACATAGATCCTCAAATGGCTTACTTATGGAAATGTATTGCCTCACATTTCTATACAAGTCTTTTGCTTTCAGTTAGTTAGATAACGTCTTCTATTTGTAGGCAAAAAGTGAAAAGGAAAGTAGGTTGACTCTACTGCTGTTTATCCATAAAAATGTTCATCCAACTGTGAACCAAACTTTAGAAGTTGCTTTATTACACACAGGCTTGCATCTCTCTCACATGTGCACATACACAATATCCTTCTTTCTCAGGTTGAATTAAAGCTTATGATACAAACAGTAATATGCTTCAACATTTTTTTTCCTTATACAGTACTGATACGCGAACTCTTAGCTTATGCGACATTCTTGGATCTCCTTTTATAGATTGTTAATTTCTATTCTATAGAGATGGACTGCAATCTTTTTATGTCTGTGAAGATCGTGGGTTGCATTGTTTTTATACTTCATTCTTCAACAGTTCAAGGACGCTCTGTAGCCGTAGGGGTATGGCACATAATGTATTATTGCAGTAGGATAATGTTACTCATCAACTTTGATACCATTTGAGCTGTTGTTCTGTTGAAGCCAGTTAACAAATGCTTCAAGCGTTTGCATGTCAGAGCGGTAATGCTTCTGTGTGAATTCAAGAAAAGCTTTCCAAGTAAAGTCGGGATATATCCTCGGATTCCCTTTGCATGCCAATTCTTTTGGTGGACTTACTATTTGGTCCATTCTTGGACAAAGGAAGAATGCTAGAGACTTCCTTGGAATTGCTCTGTTTACCACGGCCCTGTGTAAGCTGCCTTTGTATATCCCATTTGTCAGAGCCTACAAAAAGTCATGTAAGAATAATTCAAGCATAGCAGACAGACAGTGTGATGAATCCATCCACAGGGCTTGATTTCCTCTGTTCATGGTAATGTTTTAATGTTTATGTCTTAGAGAGATTCTTTTTTTAAACTCACCGTGAAAGTGTTGCCTATGTTGATGACAAAAGCTTGCAGATTTGGAGCAATGGAGTACCATTTTTCATCAACGAATACTTGAAGGCCGTCAACATTGTCCTGATGAAGAATGGTTAAGGAAGTAGGGTCGCAGTGAGGCCCCGTCCCAAGAACAAGTTCAGGTTTTTGACAGGGAGGGTAGTAATTCAGCCTCATTATCGAATCATTCCCTTCAAAGTAGTCCCTATAGTAACTTTTTCCGACACCAAGGCTTAGCCCGAGAAGCTCCATTATGGTAAGAGACAGACTGTTCATGGCTTCACAATACTTGTGGTATACTCTCCTGTGAAACCAGGTAAAAACAGACATGTTAAGGTATCAGAAGTTTTATATATCTTTTGTTGCTATTGTTATTATTTAATTTCCTACCCGAATGCTGTGTAATGTTCCCCCAGTACGTCATGAAAATATTTTTCGACAGTATTGGAGTGGTGGTGGCGATCAGCACTGCACTGGAAAGAAAGGGTCTCCTTCCATGGAAGCTTGGATGAGAATCTATTTGTGAAGCCACTAGCATAGCCGCGATAATCGCCAGGTTTCCTTAAAGCCCGCTCCTTCTCATCAATTGGCATCTCAAAGAAGAAGCTTGCACAGTGGTGAGCAGCTTCTATCAGCTTCATATCAATTCCATGGTTCACAACAAGAAAGAAGCCATGCTTGCGGCACGCCTTGTCGACGAGGCGTATGGCATCTGATACAGCTTCAGGTTCCCCTGAGAGGAACCCTCCTACATCTATGGGGGGCACATCGAGCCTTGGGGGAACTTCGGCGCATGGTTTTTCATCATCCGGCCATATGAACTGCGGTAGTATGTGTGATTGGTGTTGCAAGATTGACGAATCGAGAGTGAAGGATTTATGTTCGGATGGCATTGTGTTGGATAGAGGAAAGGGTTGATAGTTTATGTTGAAGTGGTGCAGGAGGAAGAGTTAAATAGATAAACGAATATCTCACCTAAAAGTTTAAGTTTGCAGGCGATATATCATTTAACATGGTATCAGAGCAACGGGTCCCGTGTTCGAAAATCCACCTTGTACGTGAGGGGGTCTACATTGGAGGTAATTAATTAATTAAAGTGTTTGTATGAAAAATTAAATAGTATGATTGATATCTCATGGTACAATGATTGGATGTTGAACGAATGAATGGTGTTTGGCTGGCACCTGTTCATGATATCTTTGTAAGATTTCATTTTCACTTGATTCCATATATAAGTTTTTAACTCTTGTGAGTGAGGCCCCCTAGACAAAATACTATGCATATGAATTATGATGTTTCTATTTGCTTCTGATTGAGTCCCAAAGCTTCTTGCATTCATGTAACTCTTGATTAACATAGACATTACTGTGTTGAGCTTGATCATCCAGGGGAATGCATAATTGGCGCTGAATCGAGATCATCGACATGTACGGCGTTACTTCCATGTAAAGTTAAGTAGAATTGTTCATCTGGGCTTTGATTGTCTTCTCCATGATGACACTTTTTTTTTTTTTTTGACTGAAATGATAATGCAGTGAAAATGGGGCAGCAGCTTGCAAGAAGGACTTTTCATGGACAAAAATGGCTAGCTTTTCATTATTCATTCCGAGGCATAAGGTTGGTTTTCTTCTCTTCTCTTCTCTTATCTTCTTGAATCGAACCCATTCCATGCATATCCTATCCCTCTACTTATACTACTACACATGCATAAAGTTTTTAATTAAGCACGAGAATCATATGGTAGAACAGAGAGAAGGGATCTATCTTATCTATCTATGGTCATGAATCATATGAATACCCTAAAAATGGTAGATGGGAAAAAAGAAATACAAGGGAATGTCATATGGTGAATGCATAGCCAAATCAAAGAAACCAAAATGACTCTGCTGACTGACCTTTACCTAAATAGATACTAATAGATATATGCATGTAGTTAAGTGAGTAATTAAAGCTGGCTACTGCTTCACATGTGAGAATTTCTTTTTCTTTTGCTTTTTTCTTTTTTCTTTTTCCTTGGGTTTAGTTTATAGTAAGCGCAAGAACCGAATAGGAAATGGTGATAGTATCTGTAATTAGTAATAACATCACTACTATTTAATTAGTGATACTGTGTATAAAGAAATAATGTTTAGGTAGTTTATTTTTGTTATTTTTTTTTATGTTACTAATAATATTACTGATAGTTTTAAAATAAATTTAATATACATATATAATTTAGAAAAAGTAGAATATGTATTTAAATATTTTAAAAAAATTATATCATAATAAAAAATATATGTAAAATGATATCGAGAATAAAATTTTATATAATAATAGTAAATAAAAATTGCTTATTTAGTTATAAATAAAATAAAATAATTTTATAAAAAAAAATAGAGTTTTAAATATTGATAAAAATATTTGTTTTTTAGGACAGATAGAGAAATAGAGGATCTATTTTGATTTAGTAAATTTTACTCAAAATAAAAAAATATTAATTGATGTGAGACAAATGAAAATAAAAAATATGTTATTGTTGTGGGATGAAAAGAGTATATTTTTAATAAAAATTATAAATATCTTTTTATTATTATTGAAAATACATATCCAAAGAAATTTACCCTCCTCCGCCCAAAAATGAAAATAATACTTCATCCGTCGCATGCTTTAGTAAAAATAATTATGATATAATAAAAATAATTGTGAATTAAGATTAAGATAACTAAATTTTTTAATTAAAATTAAAAAAATTATAAAATTTAAAATTTAAAATGAGATTAAAACGTATAATTATATTTTCAAAGAAAAAAATAGATAAATTATGTGGAAGGAAGAAAAATAAAAAATAAAAAAAAAAAAATTATGTGGAAACGGAGGGAATAACAATGATAATAATAATAACTGGGGACACCCCACACATTGCAAATGGTCTTGACTGTTGTTATTTTTCTTCTTCCATGTAATAATAATGGAACAATTTCGTGCAGTGCTATTGTTCACTTTGTATATTATTTATTTATTTTTTTAAGAATGTATCTTTTTTTATATATGAATAATGATATCTATAGTATAAAAATAAAATTTTATGTTGAGTTGTTAATTTTTTATGAATAGATAAAGTATATATGAATTTTGTAAATTTGTATATATATTATGTATTTGTTGTAATATTTATGAAGAATGATGTTATTGAGAAAATTGTTGTGCAAATAAATCTATTATTTACTTTATTTATTTACTCATGTAAAAGAAAAAAAAAAAAATTAGTGCTTTAAGTTTGTAAAAATGCTGCAGCAGCTTTATTATTAATTATTATCATCTTTCCTTAAAAATATTAAATTTAAAATTTTATTTAAATTATTATACTATATATTTATAATATTAATTATTTCCGATAACAAAAGAAAAAAATAAAAAACAAAGAACGAACTCAATTTCACATTTGGTAGTGTTTTCGTGGGATACCACGTGCATGTACATGTAGAACTGTTAACGATCCGAGTCGAGCCAAACTTTTAGTGTTCGCGAACAAGGCTCGTGTTTGTTCGTTCAGCTTTCGAACTCGTTCGTAGTGTTCGAGTTCGACTCGTTAAGAATTTTTGTTATTTGAGCTCATGCTCGTATTCGGCTCGTTCGAGCTCATTTGTTTTATTTTGTTTAAATTTATATATAAATTATTTAAGAAATTTAAAATTATTTTATTTATATATTTTAAATTAATATTTTATTAATTTATAAATTATAATTTTATATGTATATATAATATTTATAATAAATATATTATTCAAATGCAAAGCTCCGACTCATTCGTTAACAAAACGAGTCTGTTTATATTGTTCGACTCGGCTTGTTAACGTTCGCAAATAAGCTTTAACTGAGTCGAGTTCACGAATGGCTCGATTCGTCTAACAACTCTATGTGGATGTGCATATGCATGTGTATGTTACACATACATCAATAGCAGACCATAGCATACCTAACCTACGGAAATGGATCGGGCTGGGTTAAGGAGGCCCAATTTGTCGGGCTTTATTATGGTTAGGCTATCGGATTTATATTTTTTTAAGTCCAGCCCAGTCCAATTCTGGGCGGCCCAACGAATATATTAAAATTTTGTTTGAAAAATAAAATTACAATTTTCTTCTTCCCATAACAAATTATTTATTTTTCAGTAAACATTACAAATACCCTTACCACTTACAATATTTTAAAACTACGTAAAAAAATAAATGGATACCTAAGTAGGGAGTACAATTTATTATTATGTTGTTTTATTTTTTTTCCCTCTCTATGCGAACGAATGTAAAGCAATGTAATTGAAATTCTATAATCACAATTAATTAAATAAAAATAAATATCTAAAATTTTATTATTAGAGGCAATAGTCGGAACTCCTGTTGCTCTAACTCAATCTACAAATTAAATCATAGTGATATCTATTTAAATTGTTACCACAAGTTTGGTTGGATATGAAAATTAAGAAATAATAATATTGTAATATTAAACATAAGATAGGTAAAAACTAAAATTAGAATATTATAGAAAATTTATAAAATAATTAGTAAGAAAGTAGTGAGATAAATAAATAAAATGGTAATAAAATTGATTATTATTTGTTAAAATAAAAATATGTATAAGTGTAGCTGACTGTAAAAAATAATATATACTATCACATCAAAATTCTATTTAAATAAAAACTCAAATCAATACTCTCATTTCAAATTAATTTCTAACAAGAAGCAAACAAATATATATATATATAATACTTCATTTTTCAAAATAATATAATTGTTAACTAAATATGTTTTGTAAGATCTTTTTACTAAGATATGCTTACGTTTTAATTTTGTGAAATAGTTTATATATATTTTAATAAAAAGAAATTATATAGATAATATAAAAATAAATAAATATGTATAATATATTAATTTTTATTTAAAAATATTTTGATTTGAAAAACTAAAAGAACACACTCTTATATTTTGACATACTTTTTATTAAGGGTTTTCTTGAATTAGATAATTTAACTTAAAAGGAAAATACATAATTGATGTAACATTTTATATAAAATTAAAAATGTTGAAAATTATGAAATTTTGGTGTGTTTATTTTTTTTTATATATATTTTTCGTTATATAATTTTTCAATTTTTCTTAGACACTATATATCTCATTTAATCATTTTTATAAAACAAATACATTAACAATTATTTTATATAAAAAAAACCCCACACACAGTAAGATTTTTACAGTCTAACCATCTATCACAAATGTTTCTACAACACATGCAAAAATCCAACTCACATAAACTTTAATAAATAAAATTTAGAACTAAAAATAAAATAATAAAATCACCAAAATGAGCATTTGGGCACATAAACGTGCTATACGTGTGTGTATATATATTATTAAGAATGAATGAATAAATGATGGCCCCAAAATTTGAACAAGCACACACAAGTAATAATAATAATAATAATAATATCCCTTATAAGCAGCAAACACGAAAATGTATTGAGATTCATACCTTTTGTTTCCCTTTTCCTCCTAGTCTTTCCAATTCAGCTTCACTCTCCTTTAGTTTTTCTTTCAGTATCGACACTTTCTGCTCCACTTCTTCCACTGTTCCTCGAACTATCGATGGCTGATAAGCTGTTAAGAAATGCCGCGAAAACGATTGCAATGCTTCAACCCCGCAAACCTGAAAATTCATACAACTATCTATCAACCACAATTTTAGATCGATACATGCTTGCACTATCAAGGGAATTCCCACCTTTAGTGTAGTCAATCTATAGGATTGAATGTGATTAGCTTATTCTAAACATGAAGTTTCAATAAAGAAAGAAAAATATTAAAATAAATCGGCGTAACAATGTGAGATATTAGCCAACATCTATTTAGCATTTATATGTAACTATTTTTCACTAGCTAATGTTGGCATATGACTACTATACGTAATGTGTCATTATTTATTCGTGAAAAATGTAAAAAGTACTATTCATATCTATATTTATTTTCAACTCCACAAAACATTTCGTCAATTAGGCATAATTGACGGGCAATAGATAGATATTCCTATACTATATATATTTTATATTTTCAAAAGATTCGGAAAAACAAGTGGCAAATTACTATTATTTGATTGCGATATTAAATATATATTATTAATATGCAAATATATATATATATACAAAAATTTAGTTAAGTTTAAACTCAATTCCTACAAATGTTGCATAAAGGGATCCAAGAAGTGATTCTTCTATAGTTCTTTTTTTTTTTTTTTTTTTTTTTTTTTTTACACTCAACAATAAGTTCATCAAGTTTAGTTTTAAAAAAGTTATTAGCCAATCCCATGAATAAAACTAACACAATACTCAGTGAGGAATACGCATGTACCTCTTCGGGGAGCAACGGAAGCTTGGTTATGTAAAAATCATCGTACAACACGTAGAACTGATCCAGATACTTTTGCTGCATGTTCATTCTAGCTTTGAGCAATTTCGATTCAACAACTAACAAGATGGAAAAAGATTTCCCAGTTAAATGGCATTCATTCCTTAAAAAAAGAGAAAGCAATCCATCATCAACAGGAAATTGAAAACTTACTTTCTTCATCAAAAATAACTTGGTTGATTATAATGTTGTGCGTATCTATCTCAAATTTAGTGAGCTCCTGAACTAGTCGTTCTGTTTCATACAGAGACAGGAATTCCGGAATGCATACACAGACAAAAGTTGTCATATCCTGACAGACAAAAGATCATGAAAAGATAGATATATTTAGATTTTCCGAAAGAACGTCAGTTTAATAATACTCAATTGAAATTTGTACACTATATACGCTTTTTTTTTTTTTTTTTTTTTAATCTTTGGCACATATTGAGAATATCTGGTACTTATATTTTTCTATCATTGATATAAACTCTAATGGCATTTGAATGTCATAAGCATTACAAGTAACAAGAAGTATGTATTTAGACAAGGAGATAGAGGAGCTTACAGGATCCTTGAACTGATTGTTCACTTGTTCAATCACATCTTTCATGCCTTCAAGCTTTCCAAGAAGGTCATCTTCACCAAATTCGTCGTTAACCCCAAAGAGCCGTGTTATCTGCCATCAAAGATCAATGTTTGTTACTTCCCAAGAAAATGCGCATCGAAGAAAACTAACATGCTTATAACTAAACCACTACAATTCTTAGAGTTTGGTAACACTATCCACAAAAAGTGTTTCAATCTGCAGTTGCAACAGAAATACAAATGGAAAAACAGAAACACAGATTGCTATTTCAGGTCTTACATTAGGAAATATTAATATACTCATCCATCAAAGTATGAGTTATAATATAATAAAAACATATATTCACACTCAGCCCATAAGCAATCTCAGACTCAGACAGTAATAAATTGCGACGAAAGGTATATATCTTCTTGACATCAGACCATTGTATTTGGCTACTGCCAAACCAGAAGATATAACAAAACAGCAAAACACCATTGTTTTAAGTGTTTACCTGGCTGAATAAACCACCAAACTTGTTTCTTAAACTCATCATCTTGGATAATCCCTTTTCTAATGTAGCAGGAAATTGTAAAAGACGAAGAGTATGTCCAGTTGGAGCTGTGTCAAACACTATGACAGAATAATCCATAGTCTGCACTAACCTGAAAACATTGGCATACACATTTGAACATGAGAATTATTGCATAACAGAGTACTTTTTAACCTATTCTTCAACATCGACAATCAAGTTTTTCAACTCATTATCGGAAGTGTAAGCATTGTAATCACTCTTTTTTAACTTTTCCATGGGAACTAAAATAATTCCAATAGATATGTATGGCCTGAATTTTGAATCACATTTCATAGATCTAACATAGTACTTTTGCACATATTCTTCAACATTGACAATCAAGTTTTCACTTCCGACAAAATCTAGGGCTTGAAATTTAAATCACATTTTGTAGTCCACAACAAAACATAAAGCTCCTAAAATACCAGAATGTCATCAGTCTAAATAAACTTCAAGTCTCAAATTTATTACAAAAGGATCAATAATGCCTATATTGTGACCAAAATTGCCTGAGTTTCTTCAAGAACAAATATAAAGCATACCAGAATCATCTATAATTTGGAAAATGTGCAAGAGGCACCAGAATTTGCCTAAATCAACACATTAAGAAATACTTAGAACACAATAAATTCAAAAGCTCCAGTGAAAAATCACCATTCAAACTCACTTGAGCATCTCTGCAAAACTCATGGCCTCGTCAATTCCAGGGATGGAATTAGTCAAATCGGACATGAATCCATCAGCCATATCTGCACCATGAGTCTCTTCATATTCCACATTAGGATCAACTTCCTACAATTTGCAGATGCATACTCAGAAACTGCCAGCCAATCCACATATAAACATATCGATTAAGATTCCAAAATTCCTCACCATGGCGTACAAATTGGAGAATCCTGTGACAAGCGTAGGCGTCTTCGTGAATCTCTGCTGAAAGGCGTCGCTCAAATTGTGCGCAGGGTCGGTGGATATTATGAGCACCGACGATCTCACCTCGGAGAGCAGAATCGACAGGATTGAGCTGCAGGTAGTCTTCCCCACGCCTCCTTTCCCCCCGACGAACACCCACTTCAGCGTGTCCTGGTCGAGGATATTCCTCAGTGATCCCTCCGGCACTTCCTCATTGGAACCCATGGAAACTACGATTCGATGCCCCCAATTTCGATCCTGATTATTGGATTGAAGGACGCCTCCTTGTTTATTGATCCTCTGGAAATTAAGATTACGATTACAGAAACAGTTGCGGCAAATTTTTAACTTCCATATGATATCCTCAGAAGAATTGCAAGCGGTGGAAGCAGGAGATCTAACCGCAAAAACGTTCCTGATTCTCGCGACATTGGTAGGATTTCTTCTTCATTGAAATTCGAGGAACAACTATGCAGAATTGAATTGGGATTGATAATTGATTTCTGGATTCGGAATTCGTAGAGCAATACGTTACGTGGCCTTCATGCTGAATTGCTGATTTATGTTATTTTATTTGCTGTTACATAATAATAATAATAATAATAATAATAATAATAATAATACTTATTTTAATTTTTTAAAAAATTATTAAAATAAATGATTATTTATTTATTTTATTTAAAATATTTTATGCAAACATTACATTAATATTATAAATAAAAACATATATTTTTATTAAAACATTTAAGCTTGGCTACGATGAGTGCGGTAATGATTCAGCCCAATTTCTTAAATTTTATTTAAAAGTTAAAAATATATATTTAATAAAATATCATATTATTTGTAGATAATATAATTATTTATATATATATATATATTCAACGTTGGCGGGCACGCCTTTTGCATATATTTATATATCTTCCGCCGGCGCAGTCGGAATTTAACTTAATCTGGTGAGAAGGATATATATATATATATATGTATAGTCATTTGTTTATACGAGATTCCGTCGATGGTATTTGTAAACTTGAGGAGGAAGAGAAATCCAGGTACGAATGCAATCAGCGTTTTGGGTGTTAATTGAAATGATTCTGGTAAAAAGCTGAAGAGTTTTTTTTTGTATTTCTGCTTATCGTTACTGCTGCTGATCTTTCGATCTAGTTGCGAAGTTGTGACATTCGTGGATTTATCGCCATCGCTATTGTATGCTATTTCTGTTTTTTGATTCTTCATCGGTTTAAAAAAATCCTTGATTGCGTTCTGAATTTGTGTATTTCGTGTTGTGTGTGTGTGTTTTCACAGGAAGCTTAGATGTATGTTCCTGTTTCTTCCAGAATTACAGCTTCGAGATAAATTTTAGAGCGGAGTGCATGCATCCTTGCTGTTTTTTTTTTTTTTAATCAATACTGGTGTATATATGTTAACCTTTCAGGTTCATCAATATAAAGCATGAGTTCATTGGATGCCACCAGAGCAGAGCTTGCTCTTGCAGTTCTATATCTAAACAAAGCTGAAACAAGGGACAAGATATGCAGAGCTATACAATACGGCTCGAAATACCTTAGCAATGGAGAGCCTGGCACAGCCCAGGATGTCGACAAATCAACTAGCTTAGCACGAAAAGTTTTCCGCTTGTTCAAGGTCCATATTTTCGAATACTTTACAGTAAAGGATTCAATCCCTTTAATTGTATAAGCAAGTTTGGTTTGTGAGGTACAAAAGAATTCACATAACAAAAACAACTGTTTTATTCTTTTATCTTTTGGTTTTTCTTTGTCCTAGTTTATAAATTGTCTCCATGCACTCATTAGCCCGAATGCTCCTGGAACTCCTCTTCCTTTGGTGCTGTTGGGAAAGGTACTGACTCCTTGTCTGCAAGTTCCTATATAATTGTAGTCAACTGAATGTATAAATGTTTAAGCTTTTGAAAAAAAAAATTCTTTTCAGTCGAAAAATGCACTCTTGACTGGTTTTTTCCTCCTGGATCATGTTGTGTGGCTCGGTCGGACAGGCATATATAAGGTACATACATATTAAACTTCTCTACTTCAGCAGAATTTGCAAAATGGATTGTCATTTAGAGGTTTCCTTATGCAGAACAAAGAACAAACAGACTTACTCGGAAAGATATCTATCTACTGCTGGTTAGGTGCTTCAACCTGCACCTCCCTCGTCGAGGTGCACACACACACACACACACATATATATATATATATAGTATTGTTTCTTATGAATAGGATTTGAATTAACCTTTGATCCATGAGAGAATATACTGGTTCTTCTGATTTGAACGGCCTTTAAGGTTACAGCGATGGAAGTAGAACTAGTTTCTCATGAATGGTAGCTGCTGAGTGTTGAATCAATGTCCTTTGCGTTAACACTGCTTTCATGTCGAATTAGTCGAGTGAAAATGGATACTACTTTTATTAATTTGTGACATTATCAGTAGCTTCGCTACTCAATATTTATGTACAGATTGGTGAGCTTGGAAGGCTTTCGGCATCAATGAAGAAGCTAGAGAAGGAACTCAAGGATAAGGACAAATACAAGGTCTGTATATATATTAGGGGCACTTGATAATATGATCTGGCTTTGAATTCTTGTCATTGATGCAACCATATGCCATTACCTTAATTTCAGGACCAAGAATACTGCAGTAAGCTTAAAAAGTCTAAGGAGAGATCATTGGCTCTGATTAAAGCCGCCATGGACATAGTTGTAGCAGTCGGATTCCTTCAATTAGCGCCGAGGAAAGTCACCCCTCGTGTAATTGGAGGTTTCGGCTTTGCGAGCTCCATCATCTCTTGCTACCAGGTAATAAAATACACATCTTGATCCCCCTCAATTGATGTTAACGAAGCACTTGCTTTCTATTCACTATATCTCTGATTGGGAAACAATCATGTTTAACAATCATGGGGTTGCCAATGATTGAAAAATCGAATATATTTGAATTAGTCCTGATCAAATTAGAATTTTGGTCTTTCATTCGGCACTTGAATTACTTTTTATCACACTATGACCATTGCCTTCTGGGCTTAACTACATGACAATGGCTGCAAAGAACACCAATGGACATTTAAGTTCATCTGATGAAATTTTGTAGCTGAAAAAATATTTCCATTGTGTTTGGCAGTTGTTTCCATCACAAGGAAAGGCGAAAGCGACGTGACCGAATTCCTTTCGACAGGTAAGCTATCACCCTTGTCCTTTAATACTACTATAAGGTTTGATGCTTTGAAGCTGTAGGAGCAACTTGTGATAAACTAGATGTGATCGAATTTCGGCCTCGTTACTATGATATTTAGATTCTGTATCGGTATATTATTTGATGGAACAAACATCACCTATAAACAAGTAACTTTATAGGGAGAGATCGGGTTGGTATGGTGACTGGATTTGTGACTCTTAAGGATATAAATTGAAAATATGCTGATACTTTCTTCATCTTTTTATTTAGTGTGTCTTGTTGGCCTAGCTGCATACTTGAAGAATAGCAAATGTGAGTTTCTTGGTCATAAAAAAAATAAAACACAATTTAGTAGAAAAAACAGAAAAACTTCAATCTATGTATATCTCTATGAATCTTTCATATATTTAGCTATGTCTGCCTATACATTAGAAAGTTATATTGCCAGTCTTACCATCCCTACTTTAAAAGTTAAAAAACAAAAATACTCAACTATTTTTTTTATATTTACTATTTTTTAATAAAATATTTATTTATTTTTTAATTTTTATATCAGACCCAAATAGACTATTTATACGGGAAGTAAGAAGTAATAGCTTTAATGGTTCTATATATATTTTTACTGTCTTTGTTTGTTTTTCAATAATAAAATTTTTTATTGACAGTATTGAATGTTATTAAAAATCAATAAATCAAAAACATTTAAGGATATATCATGGTGTATATTTATGTTTCCTGTTTCGTCCCATAACAAAGTATTTATTTTTTTTAGTAATTGTATTGTCTACTTAACATTACAATTATTTTTCCAATATACAATATATTACACAAATGTCATTACTTTTATATCATACAATACTAATAGGGTTAATTTAGTTTTTTTTTTACCTTTATTTCTACTTTATCCTAATATAATACTAATATTTCTAAAACTCCGTAAAAAAAACAAATAAATATATAGATATAAGACGGAGGGAGTATAACTATTTATCAATCTCTCATAAGGGTAGAAATAATATACCCTATACGCATCAATCTTTACTAAATAGGCTTTAACATCATCATATAGGCACAATCTAACCTTCATTAGACTATAACTCAAGATTGGTTAGGGCACCGGGAGTTTACCCGGTATGCACTTTCCCAATACTAAACACGCTCTAAAGATAGGTAGTGCAATCCAAATTATTCTCTAGAAATCAATAAATTGTGTAAACGGAATTTGAAACAAGTCATTTTTACACCGATTATTTTTTTTACTTAGACTTGAATTATTGATATTTTATAGTAAAATATAATATATATATTATTTATATTATATGAATATATATTGTTATTTTTTAAATTCGTCAATGACGGACAATAAAATTAGTCCAGTCAAAATCGATAAAAATTGAGTTCTCGGCCTACTCAAGAAAGTATCTGGACTTGAAATTGATGACGGATGTGGATGAAATTGTTTGCGTAATTTGATTTGGAGCTGGTTTAGTATAACGGGAGCGATTGAGATTCGATCATACGGGTGTAAAAATGAGACACGAATTAGGGCTGAAAATGAAATAATATAAATTTGAAACGGATAAAATAATAAGATGCAAGAATAACACAGAGTAGAGCAATAATAAGAAAGAAATGAATTTGATACTGCAAAAACTAAAATAAAACAAAACAATAATGTACTAAAAATAGAGTAAGAAAAAAGAAACAAGAAAATGGGTTTGAAAAATGAGTTGATTATGATATTTCCTATTTTGGCTCCCTTTAAATATTCATAAATTTGTCTTGACAAGAGTTTGACAATTTTTTCAATTCTTCACTAATCTAAGGAAAATTTTAGTTCACAGGCTATTAGGTATTTATACTCAATGGATAATTTTTTTAGCGGTTGTGGGTATCCGTATCATAAAAAAAAATTAAAAAAATTAAAAATTGACAAGGATTCTCATCTCGTACATAATCTTGATTTGCCACGTTGATTTTCTTTGTCGACCTAAGTCTGCAGGATATTAAGTTTGATTGGGGTTTATCCAAGGCACACTTTCGGATAACGGCCGCAAATTTTCATATTTTTAAAAAAAAATAATCAGTAAAAGATTATCGGGTGATGTGAAGTGAATTCATAGCTGTGAAATTGTAAATTCAATTCCCTGGCAATTTTAAAAGTAATAACTAACATCATAATTTAAAAAAAAAAAATAGTGATAAAAAAATATACTCTCTCATTTCCAATACAATTACTATTTTTGTCCGTTTAAAAACAATAGTCTCATTTCCACAAATAAGCGCTGTCAGTACAGAATTATACTTATTTTTTCATTAATGTTATACAATTGCATTATCTATACTTTTTATCCACTGTAAATATAATATTAATATTCTTTAAATTTCGTATCAAACACAGCTCAGACTATAGATTCAAAAAAACAACAGCGAGAGACACGTGAACGCTGAACAGTGATGAAACCATTTGCGGCCAACAGAGGGTTTTGCTGAGTCAGATCCACCTCAACACCCAATGCAACTATGACACTCAATCATTTAATTATTTATTTATTTAATTATCCTTTATTAGTGGTGATGTTCACCCCTCAAACAGTTACACTTTTTTATACTATTTTTTTTTTTAAATAAAAGACATTATATAGGAGTATTAATTTGTGGCCCCTCACCCACAAATAAATAAATGGATTGATATATCATTTTTAAATTTCTAATTGTGTCCAATTTGCCTTATTTTATTCTAATTAAATATGATTAATGTCACAATCATAATCATAGCCTTTAATTAAGTACTCCCAGACCCAACACCACAAAATTATTGAACCCAAATTTAACGGCTGACTTTACCATATTAGACCATCTCTAATCCTACACTGTATTTTTCAGATGATGTACAATCATTTTATTTTAATCATAAATTTTAATTTTTTACTCAAAAGTATATTTTTTATATATATATTTTTTTTATATTATTTTATATAACTTTTTATAGTTATAAATTACACCTCAATTTTAATTTATTTTTACATTAGATTCATATACATATAATTTATATTTTATCTAAAAATTACATATATACAAATTAATATTTATAATTAATAACTATTACAAATAAAATAATCAAATGCTATCAAGAAAAATATGATATAATAATTAAACATAAAATAATGTAATATTATTATTTCATAACAATTTATTACAAAAACATACATTACAATTAATTTTTAAAAAATAAAAATTATATCACTTTTCAAAAACTAAAATTATATATCAATTTAAAAAATAAAATTATACATTATTTTTTTAATAATTTTATATATTATATAAAAAACCCAAAATTATATATATTACTTTCCAAAAACTAAAATTATATTGCTTTAAGAAAATAAAATTATACATTATTTTTCAAAAAAATTAAAATTAAATACAATTTTTTAAAATATAAAAATTATATATCATCTACTAAAAAATTAAAATTATACAATACACTCCAAAAATACCAAAATTATAAAAAACACCACAAAAATTCTGGAATAGAGGTATGGAGTAACACTGTACATATCTGAAAAGGGGAGAATTTGGGATGAGGTTGGAGAAGCTCTTAGTATGTGATCATGTATTTCGGTATGGTTACATTATTTGAATAAAAAATATATATACTCCTTTCATTACTTATAATTTTTTTTAAATTTTATTTATATTATTAAATTATTTTAATGTTAATTTATAATTATTTATATTATATAATAATTATATTTATTAATATACTTTTGTTTATAATTTTCAATAATCATCAACAAATATTATAAGTTTTATTTATTTTTAGTTTGATTTTGTATTTGAATTTTTTTTTTTATAAATAATATTTTAATTTAATACTTGTTTTATACTCTTTCCATCCCGCATACCATGTTGACGTTGCCGTTTCTGTCCGTCTCACATTCCATATCACTTTTTTTTTTGGAAAATGATTACACACTTTAATCTTATTTTAAACTTTTTAATTTATTTTTTTCTAATTTTAATTAAACTAATTAGTTATCTTAATCTTAATTTATAATTATTTATATTATAGGATAATTATTTTTACTAATAGATTATTAATTATCTACTAATTACACTCCTCTTACCATGTCTACAGTGTAGTAGATACGGTATGTAGGACGGACGGAGTATAAAATAATATTTTTTTATTACTTTTTCCATTCTACGTAAATTGTCTATTTTTCTATTTTCGTCAAGCTATAATTTGTCTTTTTAAAAATATATATATTTAATTATATATTTTAATTACAGTTTAAATTTTATAATTTATACTCTCTCCGTCTCATATACCGTGTCTGCTATATCGTATCTGCTACACTGTAGACACCGTATTTTAGGAAGGGTGTAATTAGTAGATAATTAAGAATGTATCAGTGAAATAATTATCTTATAATATAAATAATTATAAATTAAAATTAAGATAACTTATTAGTTTAATTAAAATTAAAAAAATAAAAAGTTTAAAATAAGATTAAAGTGTGTAATCATTTTCCAAAATAAGAAAATGACATAGAATATGAGACGAACAGAAACGATAACATGGACATGGTATGTGGGACGGAGGAAGTAAATTTTTTTTTTTTTTTAATTAAACTATTTGATTATCATAATATATAATTATTTTTATTAATAAACTTTTAAATTACTTATTAATGAGAGTAATAAATTTAAAAGTCAGTAATGTTTGGAACATTTCAGAGAATGGTGAGTCAAAGAAGCATAATTGTTGGTTAGATGTTTAACTGCAAAATATTAAATGGAGCTTTTTGCAATAATTAAATAAAAAGTGAGTTGTAATCATAGATTATTAATTTAATTAATTAGTACAAGTCACTAACATTTGTGGATAAGGCTACTTGAATTTGTGGTGGTTGATGGTGAATCTAATAATATTGTCCAATTCTATTTCCTTTATTATACTCCTTTTCGTCCCATAAATATAGTCTTAATTTGGTTGAGTACGAGATTTAAAAAATAATAATAGCACACAAATGAGACTAGGGATGTCAAATGGGGCGGGTTAGCCCTGGACCCGCCCCGGATCCGCTTTTAATGGGGCAGGTTCGGGTTTAAATAATATGTTTCGGGGCGGGTTGTGAATTTGAAATTTTAAACTCGGTCGGATTCGGGGCGGGTTACGAATTTTACTAAAAATCTGCCCCAACTCGGACCCGGACCCGAATCCGGATATTTTTTAAAATTATTATAATTAATATATATGTACATTTATATAATAAAGATATATTATTTATTTACTTAAATAATTTTAAATATAAAATTCAATTAGTCGTCTATTCCAAATAATTTTTTAAAATTATTATACATTATATTTATATAATAAAAATATATTATTTATTTATTTATCTTATTTTTATGGATCAATATTTGATTGTTTTTAGATTTTTTTTTTTTGTTTTGAATACTATTTGTTTTAGTATTCGATTGTTAAAAAAATATTTATTATTATATATTCTTTAAAAAAATGAATTTGCCGGATTGGGGGATCCTGAGGCAGAATGAAAGTGGAGCAGGGCAGGTCTCGGAGCCTAATATTTTCTAACGGAACGAATCTCGGAGCTTGCAAAACCCTTCCCAAGTCCCAAACCTGCCCTGTTGACATCCTTAATGGAGAAAGAAATAGTACGGTTATGACACATGTAATTGTACAATTATTGCTTTTTTGTGGACAAAAGGGACCGAATAGATTGTTTTGTTTTGTAATAACGTTCCAGCCAAGTGGCAATAACTTGGTATCCCATTTGGGTATAAAAAATAATACTATGTAAAAATAAATTTATTTGTTGTTAATTTTAATGTCGTTTTTTTTAAGTAAAAAATGAAGGAAAAAAATTAAAAAATAGAAAAGAGTATGGTGTAAAATGAAGAAAAAAAAATTAAAAAATAGAAAAGAGTATGGTGTTTTTATTTTTTAAAAAGACCTGTTTTTTATATATAAAAAAATTGTTTATCTATGACAAAGAGAGTACATTTGTCTTATTTGTATTGTCTCATTTATTTTTTAGAATGGTCTTAACTAAATATCAATTTTCATTTATAGTCTCTTTTGGGTTTGTTCATGTTGTGTTTCTAAGTTACACAATTTTTTATATTATTAATAAAGTTCTTTATACCTAATATAAAATAAAATCTATCCAAAAACACATTGACATGTTCAATCATGAATTTGTAGGATCAGGCACTCGTCATCTATTTTCATTGTTCAAATCTTTGACAACACGAAAATTCATTGTTCAACTCTTTGACAACATGAAAAAATATTGAAATTTAAAAATTTTCAATTTTTTTTATAAAAAAAATCTGAGATATTCAATTCTAACTTTTTTAAAAATTCTGAGATAATAAAAAAAAAAAAGTTATGGACTTTAAAATTGTATGAATTTACTAAATTCTTGTTAAAAATCATGAATAAATGATATAATGTAAAAAAATTTATTATCAAAAGAAATTTATATGAATCTTAAAAATATATTATTATGAATTTTTTGAATTTTTGTTGAAATCTATGAACAGAGTTTTACCGTTCTCAGGTTCTAAAGAAAAACCCCAAACAAACACCTTATTCATGGGCGTGTGTTTTTTTTAGAGTGGGTTTGTTTGGAAATTTGAATTTTGAACTGATATTTAAAAAATAAAAATTTTAAATTTGATAATTATAGGATATGAGATAAATAAATAGCAATACTATGTTTTAAATTTAAAAATAAAAAATAAATATTTAATTTAATATTTTTTATAAAAAAAAAATTGGTGTAAATAGTACAATTCCTCCGAAATCTTTTAAAACAAACATACCTTAATTAGTTTTTTTAAATTTGGTGTGATAAGTGGAGTCTGTCTGCAGTTAAGCTTATCCAAGGCGCGTGTGATCGACGTAGGAGAAGTGGGCCCCACTACCAGCACTGTTTTACCGGATAAGAACTTTCTCATTCCATCTCACCTTGGCGTCAGATTCCCGCGAGACGCGTCGTCTTTCCTCTACGGTGCAGTCCCTGCGGTGCTCTCCGATTTCTTCTAAACTCGTGTCAGCTGCTTCCGTACATTTGATGAACAACAGGAAGAGATTGTAAGCACTGTAGAGATCCGAACCGGAGGGGATGGGGATCCGACGGCCCACTGGAACGGATACAGACGATCACTCCCCATTTTCCCCCACCGTATAAATAACTCCAACTCGCTTACAGAATTGACTTTCAAACTTTGTTCTCTGATTAAGATATATCTCCTCACCTCGAATCCACCGATCTCCGGTCGCCGGAAAATGGGGGCGAATGTTTCTGCTTTGCCGGAGGATCCGAGTGGTCGAAATTCGTCAACGCGGCGGAAATTGGAAGACATACCGGAGTCCTGTATAGCGATGGTTCTATCCTACTTGGATCCTGTGGAGATCGCGAAGCTCGCACGGCTCAATCGCGCCTTTCGCGGGGCTTCCGAGGCCGATTTTATCTGGATTCCGAAATTGCCGTCGACCTATTCGTATATTGTCTCCAAATTGCCCGATCAAGGCATCGGTGGAGACAAGAGTAAGAAGGATATCTACGCTGCACTGAGCAGGCCTAGCACCTTTGATGGCGGAACAAAGGTTCGTTCCTGAGAAGTTGATTTGTCGATTTCGGTGTTCGAGCAGTTGGATTTTGAGTTGTTTTGATTTATTTTATTTTTGTGATTTTGGAGTAGGAAGTTTGGATTGATAAGAGAACTGGTGGAGTTTGTTTGGCAATTTCTTCGAAGGCGATGGCTATTACTGGTATTGATGATCGGAGGTATTGGAATCACATTCCAACTGATGAATCTAGGTAGGTTTCCAGAAGGTTGCTTCTGTGCCTTAACACACATAGTTTTCACCACTCTCACGCGCATATACAAATTGGTGTACCTATATCATTGCGATGTGTGGTTGTGAATTGATCTGTTTGGAGCTTTTTAGAGAACATGTATTTGTGTGTGATTCTGGTTCTAACTAAGAGAATGAAACTGACGCTACAATCTGAAGTAGATTACAATAACATATTTGTCAAATCTAAGTTCTGCAATTTCAAGTTTGAAGCTGAGGATTGAAGTGTGAATCCCTTTTTTAAGTATGAAACAGTTTGTTGCCCCTTCATTGTAGCAATTGAGCCATGAGAGAACTTTCTGTAAGCCCACCCAACAAGTTCAGTAAAAGGGTGAAGAAGTTGTCATCTAGAACATAAAACATAACCGAGTTGTGGGCTTACTGTTAGCTGCTTGTTGGCTTTTGACACCTGTTGAATTCAAGATGCACAATAAGGTTGGAGCACAATAATGTTCCTAGATGCTTTGATCTAGTCACAATTTAGTGATAGGCATAGATGATTGTGTGTTTCAGATTTTGCTATCTTTGTGCTGAGCAGTTGTTCATGTAATGTTTTGTATGAAAAATTAGCATTCTAAGTGACGTATTTAGGGGAAAATTGAGATCTATTAGATAAATCTTTGTATGTTTTGAATAATCAATTTTGTGCTCTGTCTTGATGCTTATAGTTTATAAATGTTGTTCTTCCTATAGAAAGGTTTAGGGATGTGATCAAATTTGTCACATTTTATACAGATTCCAAACAGTCGCATACCTCCAGCAGATCTGGTGGCTCGAAGTGAGCGGCGACCTCGAATTCCAGTTCCCTTCTGGAACATACAGCCTCTTCTTCAGACTACAGCTCGGGAGGGCCACAAAACGATTGGGACGACGCGCATGCAACTCCGAAAACGTACACGGATGGGACCTAAAACCCGTAAAACTCCAGCTCACAATGCCGGATGGGCAACACCAAGTGTCCCATTTCCATTTGGACAATATTGGAACATGGGCGCACTACCACGTGGGAGACTTGGTAGTAAATGACGGCAGCGCCTTAACGAACATCAAGTTTGCGCTGACTCAGATCGACTGTACTCACACCAAAGGGGGCCTCTGCGTGGACTCGGTCCTGATAGTCCCGAGCTTTTTAGGACAAGAGATGTTCTCTTCTGATACTGAAGTTTGCAAGAAGGTGTAGATTGGCTTTGGGACCTGACCGGCATTGTTTTTTCTTCAGCGCCGCGCCTGTCGGTTTATCGGTACGTTTTTGGCTGGCTTGTTATGGATGTGTTCTTGCAGGGAGCAACACATTGCTTGTTATGTATATGCATGTGATGTGTGTGTGTATATATGTAGTTTTCGTGGATGAGTTGCAATAGTGTTGAGGTCTAAGTTGAAGTAATTTGTTGTCAAATTGAAATTTTGTGCAAAAGATTTTGATGGGAAAAAATGTAAAAAATTTTATGATCCATTGAAGTGTTTGTTGAAATTCTTTTTGTAGATATGAGGTTTGTAAGTTTGAGGCTTTTATTTATTTAAATAATATTTGATGTAATAGTATAATTTTTTTTTTAGAAAATATATAAAGTTCAAATAGAAACTATAAAGAAACACATATTGCTTTGGCCTTAGTTTGGAGTTTGAGTTTGGACATCACATATTGATAATTCAATGTGTTTGGTTCGCGGTTGAGTTTTTAAATTGGAATTTGGATGGAAATGGATTTATTTAATTAATATTTAATTTATGAGATAATATATATAAAATTTAAAAAATGTATTTCATTATTTTAATGATTATATTTAATAAAATATATAGATATGAATATTATTTTGTAGAGAATATTATAATAAAAAAATTAAAAATATATATTTATTTATAATTAAAATAAATTAATTTTATAAATAAATAGAAAATTTGTTTATTAAGAAAAAAAAGGATAGAAATAAAAAATTTTGAATAGATTATACATAATCTAATATTTTAGAAAAGAATAATTAAAGCATAATGTCAACGGACTGCAAAATATCAACCTGTTTAGAAAAAGAAAAACTAAATTTAATTTGAAATTCAAATTAAAAATTTTTAATTTCAAAAAAATTAACATTCTATATGCGATCTACTTCTTCCTTATCTACGCAAGATAATATTTTCCTTTTACACACACTAAATCTGCAAAAAGGAAAATAAATAAATATTTGGTAAGTTTTTTAAACAATGTTGGATGGATAAACGATAATAATATATTATTTATTTAACTTATTATTATTATTATTATTTTTAAAAATATTAACAAATAAAAACAGTACCCACGCCTGTAAATTACATGTTACGGAGGCCCATGAAACATTGGGCCGGGCCATAAATATGAGGCCCAATAAAATTCATCAGTACACTGTATGGTCATTTCCACACGTGCGGAACAGTAGCACGCATATAGGCATAGCAAGAAGAGCCGACGAAGCCCTATCAGTACGGCGGAGAGCCAGAGGGATTATTTGCGGAAATATGGAAGCGGAAGACGACGGCCGTGGGATCATGATCGAGGATGACGACGAGATCTGCGCTAATGGCACCACCGACGCCAATCACCGCCCCCGCCCGATTATAAGCGGCGACCAACTCGACGTCGAAGCCTACGCCACTCTCTACGCCGGCCGCACCAAGATCACCCGCCTCCTCTTCATCGCCGATAAATGCGGCGTCGAGTCGATGCAGCGGGAGGCTCTCAGGATAGCGTACGACGAAATTAAGAAGGGAGAGAACACGCAGCTTTTCCGAGAGGTTGTGGCGAAGATCGATGGCCGTTTAGGCCCAAAGTACGGGCCTGACGATGCTTGGTCCAGAGCTGTGGACCGAAGGGCTGAATTGAGGAAGGAGAAGCTTGAGAACGAACTCAATGCTTACAGGGTAGGGTTTACTGTTTTCCTTATTCCTGGATACTGTTTACTTCAGTTCTACTTCTCAATCTTAATTACAGTTGCTTGCTCTATGATATATTTGTTCAACATTTCATTCTAGTGAAATCATGAAAGTAAGTGTCATGTATTTTGAATTGATGCAATTGTTCTTTCTGAACAGACTCAATTTAGTATCTATTGAATTTTGTGAAGTTCTTCATGCAACGAATATATTCGTGTTTGATATTTCTTGTGTTTCGTGAATTTGCCAGTTCATCTTTGTCACTGATTTAGCATACATAATTGATGCCAAAATTTGGATTATCTAGTGGTGGTTGTTTTACTCAATGTCATTATGTATGATAACAGTTTATATGCTTTGGTTACCTTTTATGGCTTTATCTTTGTGTTTTTGCAGACGAATCTAATAAAAGAAAGCATTCGGATGGGGTACAATGATTTTGGAGATTTTCACTATGCACATGGTCAGCTTGGAGATGCATTTAAGAATTATGTCCGCACCCGGGATTATTGTACAACGTCAAAACATATCATTCACATGTGTTTGAACGCGATATTAGTTAGCATCGAGATGGGTCAGTTTGCACATGTTACAAGCTATGTTAGCAAGGCCGAGCAGTGTCTGGACTTGGATCCTGTTACGATTGCCAAACTACGTTGTGCTGCTGGTTTGGCTCATTTGGAAACCAAAGCTTACAAGCTTGCAGCTCGAAAGGTTTGTCGCTTCAACTTTCCTTATATACTCAAAAGTCATGCCACGTGTCTGATTGAAGTGGTTTTCGGAAAAGAACAAACAAACTAATTTATTATATCGACAATTGGAGTGTTGCTTTAATGTCTTTGATGTTATCATTACTTGTAGTTCTTGGAAACTGCATGTTGGTTGTGTTGCTTTTAAGTATCTGATGTTATCAAGATTACTTGCAGTTCTTGGAAACTGGCATAGAACTTGGAAACAACTACACAGAAGTTATTGCGCCCCAAGATATCGCAACCTACGGTGGCTTATGTGCACTTGCTAGTTTCGACCGTGCAGAATTGAAGGCAAACTGCTTTGATTATCTGTCCTATGATATTACAATGAATCTTCGGTGACTTAATTTTTTCTTGTCTGTTTCTGATTGGCAGAGCAAAGTCATTGATAATGTTAACTTTAGGAATTTCCTCGAACTTGTTCCTGAAGTAAGGGAGCTAATAAATGATTTCTACACCAGGTAAAATTTACTAATTGAGAATTTCTATTACATTTGTACCTTGTGATTGGCTGAGGATCAGGAAACCACACAGCGTCATATTTAATATTATCCAACTTCTGTCCTTGTTTTGTTGAACTTTCGTTAAGTCGCTATATAAATCTTCCCATGTAACATATCTAATTCCATTATGGATTCCTGAAAAGTATAAAAAATAGTTACCTAAACAAATGTCATACTATTGAAATTTTGCATTATCATGGTCTGCCTTCGTAATTGAGCCAATTTTGGGCTTTCTAATTGAACATTATGTTAGAATCATGCCAAGTTCAATTTAGCTTGACTAAGAGAGAAAGTTGAAAAACATGCTCGAATTTATTTAATGATTGGATTTTTGGCTCAATTTCTCATATGCAACTTTCTTTTAGATCTCACCACCTTCTTATTGTGTTGCGATTGTAGAATATGCTGTTTGAAACAATCCAATGCAGTGCGTTTTGTGGATTGAGTTTAGTTTACTCAGCTTGATTAATGATAAAGTATTTTACCTTCTAAAGTTCTATTCAGTTCATATAATTGATTAGTCAGAGTTTGAGTTTTCAAATAATTAACTTATTTCAAATCATCTTTTCATTGAACTTGTATTGGGTTGTCAAACATCTTTCCATGTTTTGTTGAACTTCCATTATGTTGCTTTATAAACCTTCCCATGTAATATATCTAACTCCAATATGGATTCCTGAAAAATATATAAAATAGTTACCTAAACAAATGTCAAATTGTGGAAGATTCACATTATCATGGTTTGCCTTCTAAATTGAGCCTGAGTTTTGGGCTTTGTAATTGACATACTATGTTTGGATCGCACCAAGTTCAATTTAGCTTGACTAAGAGAGAAAGTTGAAAAAATGCTCCACTTTGATTCAATGATAGGAATTTTGGCCCAATCTCTCAGATGCAATATTCTTTTAGATCACAGCACCGTCTTATTTTGTTGTGATTGTAGAATACGCTCTTTGAAACAATCCGGTGCTGTGTGTTTTGTAGATCGAGTTTAGTTTACTCAGCTCGATTAATGATAAAGTATTTTACCTTCTCAAATTCTATTCAATTCATACAATTGATTAGTTAGAGTTTGAGTTTTCACGTGTTAAGCCTTATTGAACTAATAATTAACTTATTTCAACTCATGTTTTCATTGAACTTGTTGGGTTGTCTAACATACTTCCATGCTTTATTGAACTTTCATTAATTGATTTATAATTCTTTTGTTGTAATATAACTAACTGAAATATGGGTTGAGGACATGTATATAAGGTAGTTACGTACACAATTGTCGCACTATTGAAAGTTACATTTATCATCTTTTTTTTGTTAATTGAGCAAAGTTTTGTGTTTTCAAATTTGACTTATTTTGCTTGAATCAAGCAAAGCTTTAGTTAGCTTGGCTAAGTGGGAATGTTGACAAAATGTGCTAACTTGATTTGATTAATGAATTTTTGGCTCAAGCTCAAACACCATATCCTTTCAGATATCTTTTTACTATTTTATTTTGTGGTTAATTGACGAAGATGCTCTTTTTTTAAAAAAAGAAAAATGCCGTTCAAGCTGTTTGTTTTGTAAATCAAATTTAGTTTACTTGGCTTGATTCATAATCTAGTATTTTACCAGTTCAAGCTCTATTCATTTCATATAATCAACAAGTTGAGTTTGAGTTTTGACAAGTCAAGCGTTATTGTTCTAATGAGTAGCTCAATTTGACTCGTGGTGCCATTGGAACACTGAGTAATAAAATTGTTAATCATCTCTCAACCAGCTTCTTTATTTATTGTGCCACCTTACTCACCCGATGTTTTTGTGTTGCAGCCGATATGCTACCTGTCTGGAATATCTCAAAAACCTTAAACCAAACTTGTTGCTTGACATCCATTTACATGACCATGTGGAGACACTATACGAGCAGATCCGCAGCAAAGCTCTCATCCAATACACCCTGCCATTCCTCTCTGTAGATCTCCAAATGATGGCTGATGCCTTCAAGACCAGCGTTTCTGGCCTTGAGAAAGAACTTGAATCACTTATTACCGACAATCAAATCCAGGTAATCTTAGTCATATTACATAGCACGGGGTTGTGCATATATGGTAATTACCCCGGTATCAACCAAATTCAGTAATTATGGTCCATAATTCAGTAACTTTTTACTATATGAATTTGTTATTACCAAATTTGTACTCCATTTGGTACTTACAATTTCATTATAGTGCCCAGGCAAGTAAGAAATCTTATAATGTGCTAGACTAGGTGAATTTCATATCAAAATTGAAATTCAGAAGCGCGAAAAATATTCCATAATCGATTAGGTAAAATGGTGAATCACTAAATACAGTTCAGTTTGGATTTTCAATCGAGTCGCTGGCCCTACTTGGATGTTCTTGTTTTGTTGGACAATGTGTAATAATGGTTGTTCATGCAGGCCCGGATCGACTCCCATAACAAAATCCTCTATGCCCGCCATGCTGACCAGAGGAACAGCACTTTCCAGCGCGTGTTGCAGACTGGAAGCCAATTCGATCAGGAAGTGAGGACCATGCTCTTGAGGGCCAATCTCATCAAACATGACTACAATCTCAAGGTATCCCGGAAACAGCATTGAATGAGTACCCTCCTACCCATTAAAGAAAAACAACAACAAAACAGAAACATACATCCACAGGTATCGTATGCAATATAGAGTTTTGCAATGCAGAATTATGGCGCCTGAAATTTGGGGAAGTTGGATTCTTATATTGTGTCAAATTATGTTTGGTAAGCATTGTGATTACTATGAGGATTAGCAGCAGGCAGTAAGCATATATATATATATAGTAAGGTTTTGGGGAGGGTGGTGTTGGTTTGTTGTCCCATTCTTTAGATATGTTGTGTACTTTATTGGGTATTGCCTGTGAAATTTACTAGTAAATTCTCTTGTGGTTTATTGCTTGGATCTCATGTAGTATTGTTACTTGTTACAATTCAATTTAATTGAATTTATTGACTAAATTAATTGGGGAATTTGTGTGATTATTCAAGACCATTTGTTTGCTATGAACAACCTTGATCCCAATTTAACGTGTACTTTACTTTTGAACTAGGAGTTTGACTTGTGTGTTTTTGTTTTTGACCTGTTTTGAATTTTATTTTTTGAAAGTAAAAATAGCCACTAGGATTTTAGACATTGAAAAATAGGTATTTATTTTAATTTACTTTTTTTTTTTTGTTTTATAAAAATAAAACTAATATGTATACAACATGTGAGAGTAATGTTTGGGCCAAGTCTGGATTGGTCCACTGCACAATTTGATGTAAGAGTAATGTTTATTTTGTTTGACTAAATATAAGAGTTTTAATGTGGATGTATTTTAAGTTCATTTAATTTTATCCATGTAGGTGAGATTAATTATGATTGATTATGGTATTAGTATTGCACAGAGAGATCAAAATAGTGTGCGAGCTAAAAAATAAAATATAAGAAAATGATAGTTCAGTTCGATCACAAAATATTATTTCTTTGCCTACTTCATTCAATAAGATTGTCTAACCTATCTCATTCAACAAGATTGTTTAACAAACTATATACATTCAAGAATTTATCATACAAAATTTAATCTAACAAACGACTATATGGGGGGGGGGGGGGGGGGGGGGGGGATTAGTCATATCTAATATAGGCCTGCAGAAATAGTAAAGAATTGCATTTGGGTCATCTTTGATTTTGATCTTGAATACATAAATTCAATCAATTTGATAGGTTTGAATTACCTGCAAACATTAACCAAAATATTACTCCTTCCGTCCCTATACTATGTCCACGTTGCCGTTTCTGTCCGTCCCACGTACCATGTCACTTTCCTTTTTTTGAAAAAACACACTTTAATCTTATTTTAAATTTTTAAATTTTTTTTTTAAATTTTAATTAAACTAATTAGTTATCTTAATCTTAATTTATAATTATTTATATTATAGGATAATTATTTTCACATTCTTGATTATCTACTAACTACATCTCTACGGTTATATGGGACAGAGGGAGTAATTGATAGGCCTGAATTACCTGCAAACATCAGTCAAAATATTAATGTTAAAATCCAAAGCTAACATATGTCACGTTGTATTATTGAATAAATGTAAAATGATAACAATAATAAAAATACTCACCCTTACATGTTATTATGATTTATAAATAATTAATTTATCAAATTTACATCACATTCCATATTTAACTATGCATTCCTCAATAATTGAAAAGGAAAAAACAAAATCTATGCATTCTTAAAAAATATCTCTCCAGGACCATTTAAATGCTCACTTTCGTTTTTGAATTTTATAAAAATATGTTCTCATTTCATTTTTAAGTAAAAAATATTATATTTTTGTATTTTGTTTTTACTATAAAATGCAAAATAATAATAATAATTATTCTTCACTTTTATTAAAATTTGTATCCGAACAAATGAGGACACATTGCACGACAGAACGAGTATTTTATACAAAAATAACCATTACCTTAAAAAATACACATTCATTTTGAAAATGGTTATTGTGATCATTAATGATAATTGCTACAATACTGATTAATTCCTAACAATTAGAATGATGTTTGAAAAATAACTTATGCATCAGTTTTAGCTTATTGAATAATAAGTTCTAGCTCTTTAAATAGTTAATTTTGCTTATTGACACTAAAAGCCAGATACCGTGTCTGCTATAGACACGGTATTTTAGGAGAGGTGTAATTAGTAGATAATTAAGAATGTATTAGTGAAAATAATTATTCTATAATATAAATAATTATAAATTAATATTAAGATAACTAATTAGTTTAATTAAAATTAAAAAATCTAAAATGAGATTAAAGTGTGTAATCATTTTTAAAAAAGGAAAGTGACATGGTACGTGGGATGGACAGAAACGGCAACGTAGACATGGTATATGGGACGGACAGAAACGGCAACGTGGACATGGTATCTGGGACGGATGGAGTAGTATATATAATCCAATGTTTCAAATAGTTTTTTACTTTAATTTTTTTTAAAAAATTTCTTATTTATTTTTAAAAATTAATTATTTCACACACATAGTAATATATATATTTTTTTTATTGAAGTATTTAGTATTTATTTTTAATATATTTTTACTTTCGCTAAATTATGATTTTATTTTTTCAAATTTATAAGAATTGAATTTATTAATTTTTGTTATATAAATTATTTTATTTGAAAAATATATAAAAGTCGACCTTTTGGAAAAAAAACAAATTCTTCAATATACATAATTATACAATATAGGTATGTTTAATTTTCATTGCGATATTTTTTATATTATTATTTTTTTTTTCTTTGTCATGATAATAATGATAATCAATCATAAAAAGTCAGTATGTCAATCAACTTGGATGGAGCAATATAAATGCTAGTTTACTACCCTTGTTTGTTTAGAACCTCTAAAGTACCAAATCAATGACATGAATAAGTAATTTTGTTTTCTATTTGTACAAAATCTTTCAGCTTTTTAAGTATCTTTTTCAAGTAGTCGAACTTTGTAGATCAAGTAGCGAGATATTTTTCGATTAAAGTTAGGTTCTGAATTCGATTATTTTGGTAAAAAAAAAAATAAAATGAAGTATTGCCCGTAATGTGACACTCGGCTCGCATGCAATTCGAGTCATCACATAGCGCGGCACGTGGCTCGCATGCAATTCGACACATCACATAGTGCGACACTTGAATTCGACACATCACACTCGACGTGTTGTATTTGCAACGTGACATTTGTTCCACGTGATATATCGATGTGTCTTGTTTGGATTGCACCGTCTCGTGATTTTAAAGAAAAAAAATTGTGCTTACAAACCAAGTTTGACGGAAAAGTCGAGTTACGGGACCACATCGTCCTTTTATTAGCAATTTGTTGCATCGTGCTTGGACATATTGTATTTGCAAATAATATTTGTGTATATGGTCATGTAATTTTAACAATAACTGTTCGATATAATATAAAAGAATATTTAATACGAGAATTTGAGTAACAATTTTTATGGAATATAATAAATAAAAATAAATATATAATATAATGTTTTGAAGAAAAAATAAATTGATTTATTGTAAATTAATAGTAAAAGCAATTTGAAGAAAATTAGAAAAACAAAAAATATCACACAAACCTTTATTATTATTATTATTATTATTATTATTATTAAATAAATCTGCATATAATATTTATTACACTCTTATCAAACCTAGCAGTTATAAAAATCTGCATATATTATTATTGTTCAGACATTAATTTTAAATTTTTCAAGACTCTATAATATAATACGATGTCTCTCTCTCTATATATCTCTGTATAATATTACATATGAAGATGCTGTTTTATAAACATTTTATGCAAATTATATAAATATATATATATTTAAATAATAATTTTCAAGTCTTTAATAACACAATTATATGGTTTATTTTTTAAGATTAATTTATTTTTACTATTTTGTTTTTATATTTTTTTTATATAAAATAGTTTATTAATATTATTAATGTACATTAGCACCAAAGTATCTATCAATACAAATATTTTAAAGTTAAAATGAGATATATTATAATGAACCATGAAGCAATAATAGTAAAAAAACATAAAAGTAAAATAATAATAATAATAATAAAATCCTATTTGCCGGAAGAGTCCGAATTCAAAATTCAAAAGCCGTTATTTAAATCGAGGGGTCTCGACCGTCGGATCACATGGGCGACAAATCGACGGTCCAGATCAGGAGCAAAGGACACCGCCGCAAGTACGGACATCACGCAGAAATTAAAACGGTCAATAAAGACTCGCTCTGTAGCTTTGACTGGACGAAATTAAACAGCCGATTTAATAAATATTATATTATTAAAATAACAAACAAACTTCTCTCTCTCTCTCTCTCTCTCTCTCTCTCTCTCTCATTTCCTTTCTCTGAGAATTTCTCCTCTTTCTCTCTCATCGTCTGTTTTCTCTCTCTTGTTTGATCCTGTTGTTTCGATTGCAGGGAAGGAGGGGGGAGAGAACGGAGGCTGTTTGTTCTAGGAGAGATTCTCTTCTCTTGCCTTCTTTGTTTTTCTGTATTGGATGAGATTGTGGTTTGAATTTGTTTGGTAATTTGTGTTTTGGGAGGGATTTTTTTTTGTTGTTGTTTATTTTGGGTGGATTGGGGTTGAAGGGTGAGGAGATTGGTTCTGGAATTTGGATTCGGATTGTTCAAGGGATTGAGGAGTGAAAATTATGCATCGAGCTTAAGAGCATTGGTGCGGGCCGATCCTCCGTTTCAGATCCTGTAACCTTGTTTATGCTTTCTATGCATGCGTTAATTGTGTTTTGGAGCTGAATAATTGGTCGATAATTTTTCTGGATGAATAACAAAAATCTACAAATAAAACGGTGCAAGTTTCGATCGTTGCGTAAGAACTCTCTGAGCGGGGAGGTATTGAATTCTAAAATTTGACGTGTTTGCTTTAGCTCGGGAATTCTGATACCGAAATGGTTAATCCGGAGCGAGAAATAGAACGGCGAGCCGCCGGAGAAGTGGAATCGAGTTTGGAGCGACCGATGGATTCCGATTCAGTTGCCGGAGTCGGAAGCAAACCTGAAAAGCCTGGTAATCCTGGGAAGAATTCTCAGGTTCGGTTCAGATTCATTTTCTATGCACCTTTGGAACATGTAATCTGATGATTTTTTGATACCCAGATGTGTACGCTCTTCTGCAGCAAAGCTTGAATGATTTTTAGGTTATATCTGTATTTTGTATCTACATTGCAGGATATGGAGCCTGCCATTGTTAAAGGCAATGGAACAGAAGCAGGTCAGATTATTGTGACATCAGTCGGCGGCAAGAACGGACAACCGAAACAGGTTACTGGCTTTGCTGCCTATTGTTTCATGGCTTATGTTTATTTACATAAGATTTTAATCTAATGGAGCAAGAATTTAGCACAATGTGATTGAATTTAGTTTTCTTACATTGTTTCACAGACATTGTCATACATGGCCGAGCGAATCGTAGGCACTGGTTCTTTCGGAGTTGTATATCAGGTGCTTTTCAATATAGAATCACTCTTTATATTGGTGTAAGGAGTTTTCTTTCTTGATGAGAGGGCTTTAAAGCTGATTGGTTTTTCATTTCCTATCGATTCTTTTCTGTTGTAGGCTAAATGCATTGAAACCGGCGAATCCGTTGCTATAAAGAAGGTGCTGCAGGACAAGAGATATAAGAACAGAGAACTACAGATATTGCAAATGTTGAATCACATTAATGTGGTTCAGATGAAGCATTCTTTCTTCTCCACTACAGAGAAGAACGAGCTATATCTCAATCTTGTTCAGGAGTTTGTGTCGGAAAATGTTTATCAGGCTTTAAGGCACTACACCAAAGCAAACCAAAACATGCCTATTATATACGTGCAGTTGTATACATACCAGGTACATAATTAGCAATTCGGTTATGTGAGGAGCTCATTGTTCAGTGTCTCCATGTTGTTCCTCCATACTATTGAGCTTGAAAGTTGAAATCATAACCTGTGGCGTTTGTATCTATAATTGCAGATGTGCCGAGGACTGAATTATGCACACAGGGTGTTTGGTGTATGTCACCGTGACGTTAAACCACAAAACCTGCTGGTATGTTGTTCTTCCATCGTTTTCTTCTATCAACATTGGATTCATTTTAGTTTTAGGAACTTAAGATAAAGTGCTTGTTCCAGGTTAATCGTGACACGCATCAGCTCAAGCTTTGTGATTTTGGAAGTGCCAAGATTTTGGTATAGTCATTCTTCTGTTAATTTCTGATTCTGAATCTTACCAATAGCCCACCATCTTTAACATTTCAGTTCCATCCCAGGTGCCTGGCGAACCGAACATATCATACATTTGCTCTCGATACTACCGGGCTCCTGAACTGATCTTTGGAGCTACAGAATACACTACTGCAACGGATATTTGGTCAGCTGGTTGTGTAATGGCTGAGCTCCTTCTCGGACGGGTAGACATACAATCTCATGAGTTTTTATTAGTCCGCAGATATATATATATATTTGTCGGCCATTCATTAGCTGCGCATTGAGCTTGATAAAGCTACGAATTCTACATAAATCTGATGTTATGATCCCTACTTGATTAAGGCTGCAGAGTTTCTGAATAGCCATTTTTATGAATAGCCTAGTCTGCTGTTTGCTCATGATCACTTCCTCTGTTTGTTTTCGTAAATTTCTTCTACAATCCTGTCCTGATTTTTTGTTACATCTCTTGCAGCCTCTCTTTCCCGGGGAGAGTAGCGTTGATCAGCTAGTTGAAATAATTAAGGTACCCTACACAATTCCCTCGCCAAATCTAACGTGTGAACTCATATCTATATTAAATCCATACGTTGCTTTCGCCACCTGCAACAGGTCTTGGGTACGCCGACAAGGACGGAAATGAAATGCATGAATCCGAATTACAGCGAATTCAAATTCCCTCAAATTAAAGCTCATCCATGGCACAAGGTTCACCGTCTTTACATGTAAATAATTTGCCAAAGATGAAAGAACTCAACTCAAGATCTTTTTTTTGCAGGTATTTAGAAAGAGGGCAACGCCGCAATTACTGGACTTAGCGTCGAGGCTTCTTCACTACTCGCCAACTGTACGCATCACTGCTGTAAGATCCGCCACCCAAAAACATATTTTGACGAGGACCATCTATAATTCGCTATCGAAAAATCATGCTCCCTTATAAAAACATTTCTTTTTATCTTGAATTCAGTTGGAGGCTTGCGCGCATCCCTTTTTCGATGACTTGAGAGACCCTAAAGCTTGTTTGCCCAACGGGCGACCCCTACCCCCACTCTTCGACTTTTCACCTGAAGGTTAGTTAATCTTTTAAGTCCATCTCATCTTTCAGTTTAGTGTCGATAATTGGTTTTTGTTCGTCTTAGTTTAGTAGTTACATGAATGAGTTTGTTTGATCCGATAACCCTCTGGCTTCGTTGGTCTTCCAGAAATCGCCGGAGCACCACCTGAGTTGGTACAGCGGCTCGTCCCGGAGCACGCCAGGAAGTAAGCAATGAATACATACATATACATACATACATAGTGTATTAGAGGATAGAGGAGGAGGAGTTTCTTTCTTCTTCTCTATTATATCTTATTGTTTTATGTTATGTATAATGTATGTATGTATGCATGTATCTTCTTCTACAAATGAAAAGCTTTCAAAACAGACAGACAGACACAAGTGTAAGAGCGAGTAGTAAATATTATTACTATAATTATAATTTGTCTCATGACTTTGTTTGTTTGTTTGTTTGTTGTTTTAGTAGTAGATTTTGTACATCCAAATCTGCTCCTCAAGTTTTAATACATACACATACATACATACAGATGTATAATTTACTCCAATCAGCTGTTGTGTTTTGTGTTGATCTCTGAGGTTATGTTTTGTTTTTTTTTAAAATTATTATTAAAGTATGATTTTAATATAAACTATTACATTTAATAAATATTTATTTAAAGATATATGTATATATACATTTAAATTGACCAAATTCTAAGAATGTAACTTTAAAGTTTGAACTTGTGTTTGCTCTTTGCCAATAACAAAAATTTGAATTGAAATAATATTTTGATATGCTGTTTATGAATAAAAAAAATTTAAAGATAATGGAGATTTTTGAAGTTTGAAAAAAAGAGTATGGTGCTATATTTTGGAAATTTGAATATATATATATATTTATAATATTAAAAATATGAGTATGATAGTGATATTTTAGAGGTGATTTTTAATTGATAGTGCAAACTTAGAAAAACAGAACCTAGTAAAAGACTTAATCCCTAGTATTACGGTACAATACAAGCAATATAATCATTTTATTGCAAAATACTACAATGGATGCATTTTAATTTTGCTATTTTTATTATTATTATTATTTAATATACAATGGCTAAATACATAATTCATATTTGTATTTTATTAAGAATGGACATAGAACTAAGAAAAATTTTAGTTGGTACAAATTTGCTAAAATTTCTAGACCCAACCTCACACACCGGCAGACCTATGGACTTCATCAAACTTTACTTGACTATATGAAGATATTCTTTTAACCTATTTGTATGGTTTTGATATTTTATTTCGATTTATTTGCTATACAACATTCATTTTTTTTATTTTTTTAATGTATAAACATAAATAATTTTATTTCATAAAAACTTATATTTAAATTATTATTAAAATAAAAAAATCAAATAAAATCAAGAAATAAAACTAAACAAAAAAACAAACACAATATGGATTCTCAACATCCCACTAGCTGTACTATATAATAAATAAATAAATTTAGAATATGTTTGCATAATATAAAAATGAAATAATTAATCAAAATATTTCTAAAAATATTATTAAAAAATAATAGTACTAAGTAATAGAATATACTTATTCCGTCCAAGAAGAATAGACAAGTTTTATAATTTTTTTTGTATGTCCTAAAAAAATAGTTTCAACTAACAAATTCACAAGAACAATATTTTTAAAAAAATTATTAATTTTATTCATTATTAATATAATATTATTATTATTATTTTTAAAAAAAAACACTATTTCGTTTGAAACAAAGTTAGTATAATTTAAAAGAGAGTTTTTTAAATCCTTAAACTACATATTCACATCTAATTACAAATTCTCACATTATAAAAAAAAAATTAAAATAAAATAAAATTAAAAAATTAAAATAACAGGATAAAAAATCAAAAAAAAAAAAAAGTGAAAGTGAAAATAAACGAGATATAAATATAACAAAACATTATTATTATATGTATATAAAAAAAAAAAACATTATTATTATAATAAAAGTAGTATTAATGCTGACCGTTCGATCTGTCCGTCTCCCGCCAAATGGAGATGAGTAACAGAATACAGTAATCACAGTAAAATAGTAAAACGACGCCGTTGAGAGGCTTCTTCAACCTTACTGTAGAGTGCTGATAGTTGGTTTATCCAAATCACAATTGCAGAAATGTCCTCGCTGTTGCCCCCGCGCCTCCTGCCTCTCCGCGCCAAGCCTCCGCCGTCCTCGGTTGCCGCCCTTCTACACTTTACTTGTGACCGGCTATGTCCGGATACGAGGAGAAGAGTTCGCAGGTTCAAGTGCTCCGCAGGGCAGACCGACTTCTTTACAAAATTAGGTCGATTGATCAAAGAAAAAGCTAAGAGTGATGTGGAAAAGCTCTTCTCTGGATTCTCCAAAACGAGAGACAATTTAGCTGTTATCGACGAGCTTCTGCTCTACTGGAACCTCTCCGACACAGATAAGGTTTTAGATGAGCTAGAAGAGGTTCGAGACTTGCAATTTTAATCTCATGTATAAATATATATATATTGTTCGAAGACTATGCGCCGTCATTTCTTTGTGTAAATGGAATTTCTGATTTATTGATTAATTCTTAAGGTGATGAATATATTTTGTTTATTACTTTCCCCCTTTTCAATGAAATTGCAGTTTTGATATGTCGATCGCACTAAGTTGACCTAATTGATGCCGATTGAAAACTTGAATTGTTAGTTCCATAGTATGTGGTTTTACGAACTATACCGATTGACTGCAGTTTCCCCCTTTTCTTGATTCTAGGCATTATTAGTGGCTGATTTTGGGCCCAAGATTACTATGAAGATTGTGGAAACCTTAAGGGATGATATATACTCTGGGAAGCTCAAATCAGGAAATGAAATCAAAGTATAAAGTATTCTGATGTTTTATACTGAATTGTTGTACAGTTAGTTTTAAATGAGAGTACACTTATGTCATTGTGTTGTCCACTAATCCGACATTCGAGTTAAGCAAAATGGCATTGGTGATTTCTTAGGATGCTTTAAAGAAGAGTATATTGGAATTGTTGACGGCGAAGGGGCTTAAAACTGAGTTGAAGCTTGGTTTCAGGTCAGAATGGGTCAAGAAATCTGTGTGTGTGTATCCTAATGATGGTCTCTTATAGGTTGTTATTTTGTTGTTTTCATTAGGAAACCAGCTGTTATAATCATTGTTGGTGTTAATGGCGGTGGTAAGACTACATCTCTGGGTAAGTCAGATCACATTGCATTGGTAACGGTGTGTCGTTCTTTCTTCATCTCTTTCTTGTCCATTATTTGGGGTGATTAATCATGTTGATTAAAGTTGCAGAAAGTTTCTGACTTTAGTTTATCGAGTGAAAATTTTATTGAGGGATTAAGTTTGACAGCATATTATCCTCTTTGTTGCATGTCTGTGGGTCCTATTATTAGTGTGCTGCATGATGATCATGTAAATTTTATGTCATTATTTGAATTGGGTTTTTAGTGTTTTTAAATGCTCTTTGGGGTTGAAATCTATAAAAAAAGTTAACTTGATTTTACGATCTTTTTGCTCAGGTAAGCTGGCTTATAGATTGAAAAATGAAGGGACCAAGGTTAGTTGTACTACAATAACTGTTCGACTTTTTTACTTGTCTGGGTTTGTGTAAAGGCTTATTCCTTGCAATCAACTTCTGCACCTACATGTCTCTTTGGACTGTTAATTGTTAGTAGTTTCTAAAGTTAGTCTGTGTTGGATGTGGAACACATTTTATCAATTCGAAGCTGTGGAACAATAAGAAAGAGATCATAGAAGATGCCACTTAAAAGTAATTTCCAACAACAGAAGAGAGCTTTTATCAATGTCTGCACTTTTGAAATTGTACAAGGTATTATTGGCAGCTGGAGACACATTTAGAGCAGCTGCTAGAGATCAATTAGAGATATGGGCTGAAAGGACGGGCTGTGAAATAGTTGTAGCTGAAAAGGAAAATGCAAAAGCATCATCAGGTAGATAGTATCCCATCCAAAAAGTGAATATTTGGACATAAAGTAGTTGATTCTAACCCACGATCTTCAAGTGTTTCCTGATAGTTCTTTCACAGGCTGTGAAAAGGGGAAAGGAACAAGGTTTTGATGTCATTCTGTGCGACACCTCAGGGCGTAAGTTCAAAGGACCGATGAAATTAGTTTCCTATCTTTGATACTTCATGTTAGCTAATTTCATAACTTCCTTCTTTTCTTTGTTATCTTGCTATTTTTCGTTAATGACAGGATTGCACACAAATTATAGCCTTATGGAAGAATTAGTTTCTTGCAAGAAAGCTGTCGGTAAAGTTGTTCCTGGTGCCCCAAATGTCAGCACTCTCTACTAATTTCTGATATTTGATCAAACTAGATTCTATCATGTGCATTTCTGTATTCTGCTTAGTCATATAGGCATGGAATTAAGTTGTCATTTACTTGCCATAGTTGCTGAGAACTGCTACCATGAAAACTGATGCTAATGAGCATGGTGTAGAATCATTTCACCATAAAAAGCAGAGAGAATTTTGAACTACTAATTGTTGCTGGGTTCTCTTCATTTCCATTTTCACCATGGCACCTTGTCGATAGCTGTAAAGTAATTGCTGCTGCAGTAGTTTTTTTTTTGTAAACTAACGGAATATTTATGCATTTTTTAAACCAAAATTCATCCTAGTTACACTTTGATTGGCAGGAAATACTGCTAGTATTGGATGGAACAACTGGCTTGAACATGCTTCCCCAAGCAAGAGAATTCAATGATGTAATGCAGCTTCTTGCTACTCATTTACATTTTACATTCAAATTTCCTATTAGTATCATAGTTGTTGATAGGTGAATAAGCACACATTACATTATAGTGTCTTTGGTTGTTATGTGAGTATGAGAAGCACTACGTATTTTGATGCTAACAGTTGTAGATAGTGAATAAAATAAAAATAAAAATGGTAGGTATGTTGATCTAATGGTTTTTTATTCTATATTGTACACATCAGGCTGTACGGAAGTTGGATGTTGTGATAGTTTAAAAGAGTAATGATTTTTCATGGAATGCATCTATGGATTTGGGTATGTATGCTTGTATAAATGGAAATAATGATCACGGAAGGATTGAAATCTAACAATTTTGCCTGTCTATATAAAGATATAGAAAAAGTTTGTTCTTAAGAATTTTATGTTTTGTGTGAAAGTGTTTTGGTGGGATGAAATTGCTTACATAGCAACTAAGCATTGCTTATTCACTCTTTCGTGTGTAAAAAGTCTTCTTCTATGTTGTTTGTATTACAATTTTGGACAATGCAAGGTTGTCGGAGTCACTGGTCTGATCTTGACAAAACTCGATGGCTCTGCTAGAGGTGGTTGTGTGGTATGTTTAACAGATTTTTTTCGAATCTTTTTATGTTTCTTTTGTGCCCGACTCCCTAATCTGAAAATGCAAGACCCTATTTTCTCATATTTGAGACTTAACAGGTGAGCGTGGTGGATGAGCTTGGAATTCCCGTGAAGTTTGTTGGAGTTGGAGAAGGTGTCGAAGACCTCCAACCATTTGATGCAGAGGAATTTGTGAATGCAATTTTCTCCTGAAGGACAGCCTGAATGCCATCCCCAATTTCTACGTCAATTGTGACAAGTAATGATCCTGTACTATTTGATCCATTCAACCTTGGGGGGAGTAGGAAACTTGACTCGACTTCAAATAATTGTTATATAAGAATGAAAAATGAGTTTGTCTCAATGTTGAATCTATAGAACTGATCATTGATCACTGTGACTTGATGAAATTCAACTATTTTAGTGTAGTGGCTAAGGTGAAACTCATCAAGGCTTGAAGACACCCTTCTTTGATTCTCATGATTGAGTTGTTTGTTGAGTCGATTTCGTTCGAGACTCGATTTGATCCTTGTTTGTGATCCTACGCATTTTTAAGTCTAGTGTTTTTTTCTAGTGCAGGTGTTGATCACAGCAGGAATTTTCAAGTGGATTTGTCAATGCCATGGAGAGACAGATCAGACCTTCCACTCCAAATACACATTTGATTATGTAAGTTTCTTGAAAATAATCTTTTCTATTACTATAGATTTGAAATTTTGGAGTTTATCCTATCTTTTTCAACTCAATTAAGAGATTGCATGGTTTATTATTATTATTATTATTATTATTATTATTATTATTATTTGTTTCCTTAATTAGGAAAACATATCTTGGTTGTAAATACTCCCACAATCACACTATGTAAGCTTAAATGGTTATAACAGCTAAATACCATATTTGTGCCTAATAAATTTGCAACATAAAAAGATGAGTTCATCATCCCATGAAATAAAATAGGTATAAAGACAAAAGAGTTTTAGTCACAAGAACACAAATCAACCATTTATTGGCACAGATTTTACATCATTCCAAATATATGGTCTTGTTTTTGTCTGGTTGGCAATGTTTTGGGAATTCAATAACTTAAACAATTCCTCTATAGAGAGCTATCTAAATCCATCCACACATACCCTTTTTTCCAAATTTATAGAGAATAATTACACACACATAGTTTGTGAACTCACAATTTTGACACCGGCATATTGTAGAAAGTAGCGCGAGTCATGTACACCACCTTCCCCGACTCCTTGAGCCGAAAATCAACTGAAACTACAGTAATGTTCCTCCCACTCCTTATGATAGAACCGTCTACAATTACTTCAGCCTGTAAAAAATTGCCCCAAGTCAAAAGAATGTGTATAAAGAACGAAAACATTGCACTACTTACCAATATGCACCTTTATCTACCTACAATCAACTCTAGAACATGTTCTAGCAAAAATACTTAATCAACGAACACATATAGTGCAACGGAGGGACAACACATATATCATAAGTCAGCAGCACATGATTTATAATAATATAATACAAATGCGACAAATAAACTAATAACACATGACAATAAGTCATACAATAAATACTACCATCAGTCTCTGGACATGAGATATATTCATAGAACACACCTATAAAGTATAAATGTGTTAGATGAAAGCATGTGTTGTGTGTCGATTTCTATGTGTTGATTAGGAACAATTAGGATGATACTAATTAGCCATAATCAACATTGTAACCCTACGGTTAAAATATTTAATCTACCCTAGTTAAATAATTAAGGGTCTGTTTAGCATTAGAATATTCAAATGATCACTTTTATCTTGAAGCATAAAACCTTAACTAGTAGCAAGAAATGTATCACTTACACATTTAGGTGTTCTAACAAATGTAATTTCCACCAAAGGTATGCAAGAAACCATCAAATAATCATGAAGGAATAATTCTTGGAAGACATTTCAATGAGTAACTCTCATAGGTTAGTAAAAGGACAAAGACACAATACCGAGGAGGCATTTCATAGGAAGGAACAAAAAGACCATAACAATGTTCGAATTTAGAAAAAACAAAAAGATCCCAAATCAAGTTTTGGGAATGAGAGTCATTCCAATACCTAAATGCTCACCAAATACTGTATATATATAAAGGTGCATTGGATCCCTCAGCAGTATTTTGCATGAAAAAGAGCAAAATCGGAATAGGGGAGAGAGTATAAACTTACATTAACTGGAGCAGCAGCTAAATAAGCAATGCTTAGTTCTCCAAGAAACATATCCTTGTCTTCAGGAACAACTGTTCTAGCACAGCCAATTGCAACCCTCTCGGCAGCAGATGCAACAGCGCCGCCGTGCATTCCATTATAAGCATTCTAGACATCCAACAGCAGGAGTATGTTGAATAAGCAACATGACATAAGATATATGTCATTCCATTCACTAGGAATGCACAAAAATCCAATCCAGATCAAGCAATTGGTAAGCTTTCTAAGAACATCCATTATTTCCTATCATCATCTGAATCAGGTCCTGCTTGGTCCTCAGTCCTTACAGTTAGAGCCTTCAATTTCTAAGCACGATAATCCATTCCAAAATATGAATCTGTATGCACTGATTTGAAGATTTACAGTGTGCTTCGATAACTTAGTAAGGTTTAGATCATAAACAAACAATTGAAATCTTAGTCAGGTGTAGAACATGCTTGACGAATTTCTTCCCTAAATTGCGTATCACTTCCCAATCTTCTTCGAGAATTTCTCGATTTAAAAAACAGAAACCTCTTAACGCAACAGTTGGAATATATTCAAGCAGAATAGAGATAAGAAATGAATGGAAGAAAGGAAGGCATACCTTGATTGCAGGCTTGACAGTAAGCAAGCAGGAGATTTTTCCCCTTTCGATGGACACAACTTTGAGAACACCTCCAATCAGGTCGGAGAACGAGTCCTTGACGTCGAATTGTGGTTCCATCGTTTTGTTAGTTCCCAAGTGATTAAAAAATCCGACGGTTGCTTCCAAGTCCTCTGCACGAATGTCTTCGGAGGCAGCAGCCGTCACCGGAATTCTATCGCCGGCCGCCATCGTTCTTCCCCTGCTCCCGGAATCAAAATTAGCTGATCTTTCCTTCAATCAAAATCGTCAACCATGCGATCGTTTGCGATGGATGCGCCTCCGTAAGAAATGTATGATTCTCCTCTCTCTCTCTCTCTCTCTCTCTATATATATATATATATTACCGCCTAGTCCTAATTCCTAACCCTTAACCTGCTTTGCTCGAAGGCCAATAGAGTTTTTTTTGTTAAGAAAAAGTTTAGAAATATGTTTTTAGTATTTTTATATATATATAGAAAAAAGGTTAAGATATTAATTTTATAAACAAAGAGATAGTCCGATATATTGGAGATGTAAAAGATATGACAATTAAATAATTAAAATTATTAGTAATTTAAGATGAATAATAAGCACATGGAACATAGTGCTACTATACTCTATTATATAACGCACTCGTGCGAGTATATATAAGAATGTTGTTGTTATGGATAATTAATTATATATAGAATATATAGTATTTTATAATCATATTATATAGCCAATAAAATATTAATAACTAATTCGAAACCTAACTCCAATATAAATAAATACTTCCTCCTCCGTACACTAAGCTTCTTAGATCCCGAGTTTAAAAAAATGAATATATATATTTATTTTTATTTTTATTTTTTTACGTGGAAACTCACAGCCGCTATCGAAAGTGTGCAGTAAACTAAAAATAATAAAATAAAAATAAATATTTTATTGAAAAAATGATAGGTGGTTGAGAGTATTTTTAAAATTTATGTAGAAATGAAAGTAAATGAAGAGATAATATAATAAAATTAGTTGTTTTTGTTGTAAAAAGATGTTGAATAAAGAGTAATAATTAAATATTGATTTGTTTATAAATTAAAAAAAAAATGAGACACTCAAGCTTGTGTGTGACACACCAGACATTTGTGTTTCTATATATATATACATATACTCCCTCCGTCCAAACAAGAAGTATCCATTTATTTTTTTCATGTAGTTTTAGAAGTATTAGTATTATATTGAGATACAGTATTATATTGGGATATAATATGAATAAAATAGAAATGACTAAAATAATCTTGTTAGTATGTGTGATATAAAGGTAATGACATTTGTGTAATATATTGTAAGTTGTAAGGGGATTTGTAATGTTAGTTAGACAGTGCAGTTACTAAAAAAGAAATGAATACCATAACAAACGGAGTAAAACGAAAAAATGAATACTTTTGTTATGGGAGGGAGGGAATATATTATTTATACTATGTGTTATAAAATACTCTTTCTGTTTCAGTGTAGACACGAGAATTTAGGAGAGGTATAATTAATAAATAATTAAAAATATATTAATAAAAATAATTTTATATTAAAAATTAAAATAATCTATTAGTCTAATTAAAATTACAAAAATAATAAATTAAAAATATAATTTGCGATTAAAATATATAATTCTTTTGAAAGTAAAATGACACAATAAGTGAGACTATGAAAATAAAAAAAATGAATACAATATGTGGGACGAGAAAAATATTAATTAAATATTTTCAATTCAAACTCAAAATCGTCGACTATGCTATTGCTATAGATGCACCTCCGTAAGCAATGAACAATGTTTCTTTTCTAATTTTTTTTTGTCGCACATTTTCAGAAAAATATTAATATCTTAATCATATTTATTATTTTTATATTTTTTAAATAATTTTTTATACTTCACAAAAAAAATAAAATAAAATATATCTCTTCAAATTATTTCCACGAAACAAACACCCCCTACTAAGTGGACAAACCTTCCACTAGCACAAATATAAGAATTGTTTGCATTATTAGTTATACAATAAATTTTATAATCCATACTAAAATATATTTTTTCCTTTCCAACTCCAAAATACATTATTATTTTTTCTAATATGTTAAAACATAATAGTATTTTTATTAATAAAAATATAAAATAATTTTAATATTTTTATCTTTGTAAATATAAAGAAAATAAATATTTTTAGACCGTATTCTTTCGATATAATCACACTATAGATAATATTTATTATTATTTTCACTTTCACTTCTTTGTTAACAGGGTCATGTTCAATGTTGGATAATCAACACGGCCTTGTTTTTTGTCTGAGATGTCCAGTTACTCCTTCAGAGTCATTCAACACAGCCAGTGTTCAATCCAGACTAAAATTGATAAATTTAGAAACAAAATTGATAAAAAAAAAAAAAAAAAAGTTAATTTGACCAAAATTGATAATTATAATATTAAATACGACAAAAAAAAATGATTTTTACTCCTTATATAACTATATAACCTCCACAGTTTTCTACAAAAAGTACATGCATATATTTTAACAAAAAACATTTATTTAACTATTATTTAAACAAGAACACAAATCAAACACACCCCTAAAGGTTATTGTTGTGCCAAGATTTCAACAAAGAAATGAGGCTTATAACATTTCGATATTAGGTCAAAATTTAATCTAGATAACTTACATGAGGCCTTAAAACAACATCCGACAAGATCGATGATCGACTATGCCGTCGAGGCCGGACATTCTTAGCTAAGATAAGAATAGCCTCAACAATATTAACACAAGAAGACATAAAAGTTAGATGCAATAGAAGACATAAAAGTTAGATGCAATAGAAGACATAAAAGTTAGATGCAAGTAACAATGCTAACAGCATTTCCTTACAAAATAGATGTCCGAGGCCAATCTGTTGTAGCGCCGAGACTTCATGAGATAAATAAATGCTGGGGCAGGGCAATGTCCGAATCTGCAGCCAGCCAGGCAAGTCCCTAAACATGGCAATGCAGAATCAAAATTTTTGGATTAATAAATTATTCTTGCTTGGGCTTGTGCATTGTTTCTGTACATTTCTATCAATGTGGGTTCGTAATATCCAAAATAATCTCTCCCCTTGCCTTAAATGTGGGGAGGAATTAGATATAGAGCCAGAGAGAGAGAGAAAGGGAGGAGAGAGAGAGAAAATCTATGCTGGCACAGTTCCTTCAGTAAGGCTGTCGTCGGAGGTGTCCGAGGGCTGAGATTTAGGTTTGTTCATAACCTGAGAAAATCCATAGCCAAGAGAACTTCCACTGGTTTCACTCAGCTGTACACAAGAGTGAGACCAGAGAGAGAGAGAGAGAGTCAATGTTTTGGTTGTATTTGATGAGATGGTATGATGTTTACAAGAATTAGATGATGGTTGAGTTTTAGTTACCTCCCTAAGCTCTGAGAGGTGGCGGGATCGGAAATCGTTGATAGTAGCCGCTATCTCAGGCGCCGCCAGCTTAGCCTGGAAAAGACAACCATGACATTGATTAGCAATTTTCCAAATAATATGGTAGTAGACACCTCAACATCCTGGCTTCTCTCTCGTATTGTCAAATAATATAAGCCGTATTTTCGACATGCATTCGATTCTCATCTCCCTCTATTCTTTACTTTTCTCCCCTCTAGAAAGTACTATATCAAACTTACATCGAATGCTTATTTACATCAGTTTCTTAAAGTGAGTTTGGTTTTGATTTCAAATCCAAATCACCACTATTCAACCTACACTGTTCACAAAAAAATCAACTGCTCTCTCTCACACAAAATATTACTCCCTCCTTCCCAAGTAATATGACCACATTAATGTATATACGTAGATTTTAGGTAAAGTATAATTAATAAATAATTTAAAAAATATATTAGTAAAAATAATTATTATATAATAAAAATAATTATAAATTAAGATTAAGATAACAAAATAATTTAATTAAAATTAAAAAAATTCTAAATTTTAAAATTTAAAATGTAATAATATTTCAAAAAAAGAAAACAACAAATTATGTGGGATGACTGAGATAAAAGATATGGATATTTTATGTGGGACAAGTATATCACAATAACATGGCTTTGCAGAAATATTATTTTCTCACTTCCATAAAAAATTTAAAAATTTCAATAATTACTTTATTACCCTATTGACTTCAACACTTTTATAGAAACTCAAAGCGAAATCACATGTTCTATACCTAAAAATACAAAACAATCAAATCAATCCAGTAAATTTTGTTCACTATTTAACAGACACACTGCTATTTTACACATTCAAGCATACAGGCAAACATCTCAAGTGTACTTAAAGCTAAATTGAATGCAAAGAATGACCACACGTCTCGGTGAGATATTAGTTTGCAATAATTGCTTATGTTTAGAAAAGAAAATCACAAAGATAATTGAACATTAAGTATGGAGTTAATTTTGCGACAATTGATATACTTACTTGTGCAAGGACAGCGGCGGCTAACTGTAAACTGGGTTCCAAGGTCTCTGGGACCACCTGCAGCAATTTTTTCATTAATAAATTAGCATTACCTGCCACAAGCTCCAACGTTGAGCTATCAAATAAAAAGTTCCGCAAGAAATGATAAAGCTAATCGGAAAGATATGACAGCATGATACCGCGGTTGCCCCAGCTTTTTCTAAATTGAGGCCATGGTCAACATCATGGGCACGGACAAATGTCTTTATATTGGGGAAATACTTGCTTAAGGCCCAAACAGTTCGGTAATTTGCCCCGGGACTGTCTAACGTTACTGCTGCAGCACAAGCTCTCTCTGCGCCAACTTTATGGAGGACCTGCAACCAGATAATGTTGCAAAAATAAAGCCAGGGACAATATACTTTTGTAAACAAAGGGAAAATGAATGAATTTTTAAAATCACAGTACCTCTCGGCTACCGGCATCACCAAAGTAAACAGGAAGATCAAGTGCACGTCCCATTGCCACACGATCACTGAAATGATGAAGATAGAAGATAATTATGTCAGTGCTTGCAGCTCAAGATTTTCTATTTTTTTTTAGTTTTCATTCTTGTGAATAAATACTCTGTATAGAACAATGCAGTAGTGCACAACTTCAAATGTACATCAATGATCAGGTTGTCAGCCTATTCATAATTAACACGATAAATAGGATAAACTGAAATGGCATTTCATTATATCTTGGAGTTAAGTTTCCCCTCTTTTACATGATAGTTTGTCCATTTCTCAGGTTCCCGTGACATCAAGAAACAATGTGTGCCAAAAGAACAAACTGGTGAATATTGTCTGTAAAAAGAAAAAAATTGCATATATAGGCATTATAAATGAAGATATTGAAAAACCGTACCTCCTGACATCAAGTGCGACAAATGGAATCAGTCGTTCAGAAAGAAGCTGGGCAATAATCTGTGCAATTCAAAATGGAAGTTCTTAATAGAGAGCTACTGAACATATCCTTGAAGGAAACTAATTAAGACATTATGCTGAACACCATGCATTAGTATACCTGGCCAACGCGTCCAAAACCACAAATAATTATGTGATCTTGCAAATCATCTGTCTGAAGAAATTCATAGTAAACACAGGTAAGAACAATTTGGTCCAGATAATCTTGAAACATATGAACTAACAAAGAAACTAATAAAACAGTTAATATAACTAATGTTATCAATGATGATTGAAAACACATTATCAGCTTTAAGTTCACATGGTGACAACAAGTTCCACAACTTACCTCACTCTCAACAGGCAATAGACTCCGAACATCATGCAGCTCAAAATGAGATGCTATGAATTGGCCTCCAGCAGCTAGCCATGGAGTTAGGGCCATTGAAATTCCAACCACTAGAAAGAGCAATGATGACAAGTGTGGTGACATTATACCCTGCGCAAAGAAGCTAAATTGTTAGCTATGGTCAAAAAGTACAAACCACTTCACTAAATCACAATATTTTTCACACATCATATATTTTGATGGGTGCCCGATCAACTTCAGTAAGACAAGAGATATATGAATATATGTGTGTATATATATATATATAAAATATGTCAAACAAAATACTACTCTACATGATGGCTTTTAAGTTTCAACTTATTGGAGCACCCCTGTGTCTACAAGAACGATAGCATATTGGTACAGTATCAAGTCTAAAAATTCAAGGATTAGCCACAACTTCATAGTCAAGCAGTACAGATTTGGTATGAGGAAGCATTGGCCACATAGTTTAGTTGCATGATGGAAATGAGTTTCAAATATCTGTGAACCTTATACATAATTTAGCTTAAAAGGTTCAAGGCTTTACACACTAGGAATTATAACCGACTGTTGTAATTATGAAAACATGCACATCTGTAAACAAACCTGATTAACAGCTTCCCCAAACGCTACAAATGCAAATTCCCCACCAGGTGCTAATAGAAGACCAACTCTCACCGCTGATACAAGTGAGAGACCAAAAAGTTTGCCAATAATTGCTACTAACATGGTCTTGCCGACAATTAGAAGCCCTAGGGTTCCTGTAATAGCTTTGAAGTTTGAAACCAGAAGTTTTGGATCAATGGACATTCCAACCTGTTAAGAAACAATACTTTCTTTAAGCAATAAAAGGAGAGAATCTAGACTAATAGTCACTCCAGACAAGATGATCAAACCAATTTGAGATATCTGAAGAAGATACGGTAAAAACTTATACTGAAAAAATAAACCACCAATCAAAAGAAGAAATCACGAAATTTTGAGAACTCCTAAATTACAGGCTATGCAAAGCAGAAGGACGGCCCCATTTGCCTCCCTAAGTATCTAAAGGAGGAATAAGATAAGCGTCACATAATAACAAATTTTCCCGAGCCTAAGAATCAGTATTTACCGTCATGAAAAAGAGACCCAATAGAAGACCACGGTATGGGGCAATATCTGATTCAACTTGCAAAGAGAATTCCGTTTCTGCTAGAAGCAAGCCTGCCAAGAATGCTCCTAGCGCCATGGAAAGGCCAGCCTGTTTCAAATGACGAATCAACAACACAGTTTACCAGCAATTTGCATGAACTACAAGCATTGAAATGCAGAAGTAGCATATCAGTAATGAATTCACCTACCCTGGCAGTTAGTAGACTAGTCCCCAGGATAACAAGAAGAGTATTTGCAGAAAATATTTCTGCATTTTGATTTTCTGCAATTTGTTTATAAATTGGACGGAGGAGCTGCACAATTTCGAAAAGGCATAGTTCATTATGTCAGGTATAGAAAAACCTTGCCCAAATCAAATGCAGAGAAAAGAAGCGTCCAGCTGCACATCAAATGTAGAATATATTGATACTGTGGTTACATCACAACATAAAGGTTGACCATAATTTTCATCAACGTGACTTCTGTTAAAAAAAATATGCCCCACCAACAGGAGCAGAAGATGCTGAGCTTTAACAAAATATGAATTACCAAACGTCCTCCGGCAATGATGGCAGAGATAGCAATCACAGCCTTCACAGCAGCCAATCCAAGAGCTTCAGCGATGGCTTGGAAACCAACCTGCAAATGTTAAAAACAGCTCTTATTAAAACTGCACCAACTGCAGTAGCAAAAAGAAACAGATGGCATTACAATGTGAGAGAGCTTTTTTCACCTTAGCTAAAAATAACAGAACAAAATTCTTACCCCTCCTTTGGATGAACTTGGTGAAATAAGGGGTATCAGTATTAGCAAAACCACCACAGCTAAATCCTAGAAAAGGCAGAGCAATTAAAAGGAAATACAGGACAAGCAAGAAATAGTAAATGAAATGTGTGAAAAGTACAAAGAATAAACAAGTAAGATGATACCTGAAAGAGTAACACAGAAAATGTTGCACGCCCATGGCGTGATGTGCTTTCTCCACGTTCTTGTAGCACCTACTCAACATAGAATTAATATTAGCTGAATGTGTCTGCTAATGCTTCTAAAGGTAACGAGTTCTAAGTTAAAGAAAAGAAGGAAAGGTACACAGCAAAAGAACATTCAGGATATTTACCTGTAGGACAACAGCTGTGGAAGACAATGCAAGGCCATTTCCTATGACAATTGCAGCAGGGCCAAGCTGCCCAGAAACATAGCGAGCAACCAACCCAACAGCAACAGCCGTCACCAAAACCTGCATTGGTCACATAAGTCATAAATCCAGCACAGCGTGTGCTTTGATATCAAGGTATCAATAGACCCTAGAAAAGGCATGTTCAGTATCTAGCCACCTGAGTGGTGCCCAATCCAAAAACATATTTCTTCATGGAACTTAGTCTTTCAACAGAGAGCTGCACAAAAACAATAATTATACGTCATTTTCAGTACCCTGATAGATGTACAAGGAGAAATGTACAATTGCAAAAGGCTCCACCTCGAGGCCTATATTAAACAGTAAGAAGACAACTCCAAACTCTGCTATTGCCTTGGTTGCATGTACATTACGAATAATCGAGAGACCATAGGGTCCGATTAAGATTCCAGCAGCAAGATATCCGAGAACAGGACTGCCTATAAGCAGCAGAGACAAGATTTAAGATGCATAGTTTTAGTGTAAATCCAGTTATAAAATATGATGGTTCAGGCATTTGCTCGAATTGTGAAAAAAAAAAAAAAATTGGAGCAAACTAAAACTTCCCACTGCAAAAATGGCAATGAAAACTGTCCGTAAAATGGCCTGTGGAAATTTCTATCAAACATATAATAATATATACACTAATGAAAAGCAGGCACAGAAAGAAAATTAAAGTTCAATAAAAATTTTCTCAGTCAATCAGTTATACAGAAATGAACTATTTGCCGCTGGCTGCAACCATTTTCTATTTGCCACTAAACCCAATGTGAGATAAAATGCAAAATTCATTCAGTTACCTCCAGGAATTTTCTGGAAAATGGGTACAAATACAACACTTGCAAGCAGTAACCACAACATGTCAAAGAGAGAAGCTTCTTCCTCGTTTATCTGACAACAGTGAAATGTTTTCAACAAGAAGGCATATGTGTGTGTGTGTGTGTGTGTTGTACATCCAAAATGACATGCTTTTATCTGAATAAGTCGAATTAAGTTAATTAAGATCTTGCCTCTTGATGAGGAAGCTTTTCCATTAGGTTTTTTATTTTCTGGGGAAGCTTTCTTATATTTCTGATCAATGGTTTTGAGGCAGTTGATACATCATCCATACTAGTTGAGATGACCTCTGGCTGCTGAAGTAACTGAGAAATCTTTTCACCCCGATTGACATAAAAGAAAATCCTGTGATTAGATTAAGTAACATAATTAGTCACACTATAGCCTTGGACATAAAAATCTTAAGTTCTGATGTCGTTTTAATCAATTTACCAAAACTCTGATACACTCCAAGCTCATATTTAATTTAATATAGTGGTTCGCTGAAAAAGTCATTGGATCTCCAGAAACAGTAAGCATACCCTGCTCCAACAAGTAGTGATCCAAATACCAACTTAGGCAATTGTTTTCTTGCGGACTCCACAAGACCACGAAAAAACGAAGCTGGTGTGAATTCTTCCTCATCCGCAGCAAAAGAGAAAAAAGAAGCAGAAAAGAACCGGGATGATTTCTTAAGTAACAGCTTTGGAGCACCTAGAGTAGAACCTTCTCTTGTTGGCTCCCTTTGCATTTCCTGTACCTTGCTTTGAATAGCTTTAAGTTTCTCAACTTCATCTTCAATGTCCTTTGATGAGTTTACAGTTGAGGCTCCATTGTCATTGTCACTCACGTCTGGCGAACCTTGTCCCTCCAGCTGACTAGCCGGCAAAGCTTCAACAACTTTTGCATCCTCAGGTGGCACAACCAAGTCTCTCTCAACATCATCATCTGCTGAACTCCCTTCTAGTATCTCTCTAGCACCAGTCACTTCAACTGAAGAATCCACAGTGTTAACAATGGAAAGGGCAAGATTCTTCTCTGCCCTCTGCAGGGCAAGCTCAGCATCAGCAACACGCTGTGCAGCCCCGAGTTCAGAAGCAACTGCTCGCTCCGCCAAAAGCATCACATTTGCTACCTCTTCCTCTGCTTTAGAAGCATTCAGTTGTGCTTTCTCTGCAATCTGATTTAACCTGTCAACTTCCTTTTGCAACTCATCTTTTCGACTCTGGACCTTTTTGAGCTCAGCCTTGCAATTTGCTAAATGATCTTGACAGTGGTTTATGTCCTGCTGTGCAGCCAATAGTGCTTCCTCCTCACTTGATTCTTCCCTTCCACTTTCATCCTCAGAATCTCTTTCTTTAGCAGCTACAGGAGAACCGTTATTTTCTTTTGCAATTTTCATTGAATCTAGAGCCACTTGGAGTCTTTCCTCAGCCAAAGAAAGGGCCATGGCTGCCTTCTCAACTCCTTCTTTGGCTATAGCTTCTTCACTGACTACCTCTTGGATGTTTTTAAGGGCATCATTGACACTATCCCATGCATTTGTAGCTTCATCCTTCAAGGCTATTGCCGTTTCTGATATCTTCTGGGCTTTTTCCTCAAAAGCTTCACTGTTACTGCGGGCAACATCCAATTCTTTCAATGCTTTCTGCAATAATTCCCTTAATTCCTCCGCACCAGGAGTCTGCGATCCTCCTTCCTCCTCTCTTGATATTCCTTCAGAGCTGGACCCACCATCGTCCTTCTCAATTACTTCTAAATCTCCCCCATGTTCGTTTACTTGCGCAACATATTCATTTCCAAGACAATGAGCTCCCACATGCCTTGGAATTTTGAAAATAACTTTCGTGTTACAGAATGAAGGATCATTAAAGCCATGGCACCATAACTTCCTCTCACTGAGAGCTCTTGGAGTGGTAGCGTTACAATAATATGTATTCTTTTTCTTCAACTTCTTTGGTAAATGTGCTCTTAAGACAAATCTAGAATCTCTTAACATATCACTGCAAAAGCCTCTATATTTCAAATTTGGGGTCAGATTCAAGCATTCTGATGCCCTACAAGCCCCAAATTCACCTCCATGAATTGCACTTGCTGGCGATAAACTACAGGCTACGTCCATGACCCTAAATTTAGAAACACGAATTCGTATCAATATATATCCTTCCTGCCAAACTCCTCGAGTCAACCTTAATAGAACAAAAATAAATTCAGCCATTCTTACTAGTCTACAGTGGAAAAACGCACATCATTAAACCAGATGTTCATATAGCACATACATGCAAACATAAACCAATAATCATCTTTTTTACTGAATCTCCTCTAAGTGAATCAACACGCAAGTAGCAATAGATGTAGCTGCATCTTCCTATATGTATACCATGTTCTTCGTAACTAAGCACAATAATTAGCAAACATGTAGATTATTAATGATAACGCATACACGAACATACCGGCACACATTACACACACACACACATCTCAAGGCATAGTAAACCATACAGACCCAATCGAACACGGTCCATCACAGATTTCCGTTCCACATTTCAATTAATTATCACCTGAAGCAACACTTTAAGCAGAACGAATTAACTCAAATCAAATTCAACAACTCCGATTTCACCAGATTTTAAATAATATTACTCCTTTGATTTCCCAAAAATAACAGCTCCAATTTGTCACAGGCACTCCAACTCCCAAAATGAAGCAGAAATCACTCCGAGACCAAATTACTGTAGCTAAAATCAAGCAGTATCAACGGGATAAGCAGAAATGAAAGAAACCTGGTGCGCGCACGTCTGGTGTAGGGAGCTGACCGAGAACAGTGAAGAGGGCGTGGGTGGGTGGGTGGGGGTGGGTTCGGAAACTTCAAAGGCCGATATATTTCGGGGCGGGCTGGGGGTGGGAGGAAAACCTTTTAACGGTAACGGACCCAAGTTCCGCTTCAAGCGTTTGGACCTTTGGTTTGTCCGAAGGGCGGCGTTGTTGACGGCCGTTACGAAAAACGTTAAAACTAAAAGAAATAAATAATAGTAGTAATTTGGTTGTGTTCACACAAACCGATTTTTTTATTACACAAATTTTAATATATACTATTTATATTTTACTATTTTTTTAACAATAATTTTTAATATAAAATACAATTATATTACATATCTGATTTTATAAAAAATATTTTAAATTAAAATACTAATAAATATAAGTTTAAATAAAAAAGTGTGTTTGAATTTATTTGATTATAATTTAAAATTAATTTTAAATAAAATATTGACTGGCAGGTGATCCGGAGACGTTGGTGACTTTAATTTTCTTGCACCACTGGGCTATTACAGCAATATTTATAATTGAGATATAATTTTAACAAAATTTAAAATATTGACAGCATTACTGGTCATATATAAAATAATAAAACAATATTATAATTTATTATTAATAACTTATTAATCTACACTATCTAAAATATCGTGTTCTTATTGCTGAGACAGAGAGAATATAATATAAAAATAATTAAGTTATATGTTATATTTAAACTAAAGTTTAAAAACTATAATCGAAATAGTAAATTTATATACTCCCTCCGTCGCATTAAAATGTTACAATTTTCCATTTTTATCGGTTCCAAAACAAAGTTATCATTTTCTAATTTAGTAATTGTACTGTCTACCTTACATAATAAATATCATTACAATATATTACATAAATGTCATTACTTTTATACTGCACCATACTAATAGGAGTATTTTTGTCTTTTTTTTACTATAAACCAATATAATATTAATATTTAAAAATCTACATGCAAAAAGTAAACGTCACCCTTCAAACGGGACGAAAAAACGTATATTTTTTAATTATATTAAGAGCAAGTTCTTTTTGTCAAAATATTCAACACATTTTTTTTTAAATAAAAATATATTAAATAAGCATTTTATTTTTTAATTACATATACCTATATCTCACGGTAAAAGAAAAATTCTAACCAATAATCAAAATAAACAAACTCTTAGATAATTGAATATTTTAAAATATAATTTATAAAATCTTAAAATAAATTATTATCTTCATCCCATAATTGTTGACACCTTTGTATTTTTAATAAATTTATAAATATTAAATACTTAATACATGTAAATCAATTTAACCAAGGGGGTGTATTTATGTGAGATTTCATTGGATTTTTTTTAAAATTTTAAAAAATCTATATGTAGATTTAGAAAGTCCACGGAATGCATGAATTTTATTAATTAATTTAGATAGATTCTTATAAATTTCATTGAATTTTTTTATGAATTTTGTAGAATTATAAAATATATTATTTTATTAATTTATATAATTATATAAACTTATATAAACACAAATTTTACAAATATAATATATTTATTATACATTATTATATTTTATAAAATATAAATAATATTAATAAATAATATATAATTATTAATGATATAAAAATATTGTAACATATATAATGCTACTATTTTGTATATTATATTTTTAATTTTATATTATTATCATTCAATATATCACTTTATTTTTATATTTTTTATTAGTTATTATTATTATTCTTATGTACAATTTCTTATACTTTAAAAAGTACACCTTCAAAATATTTCACAAAACAATTACACCAAAGATAAAAAAATTGCATTTACGATTTTGCATAAAAAATAAAATTAAAAAGTAAAAAATAAATTAATACAACTAACGATTCAACGAAGAATATATATATTTAGTTAATTTTACAGACAATACAGTGTATTCGATAATTTAAAAAAAAACAATAATACATGATAATAGTAATTTCCAAACATATACTACATTCGTCCATAGCCAATCTATCTGTTTACGTCTGCATGTTAATATTTGAATATTAATTGTTATATTAAAACATAGTACAAATTAAGAAAAAAACGGCAAAAATATTTATATTTGTGTCTTATAATATAAATGTAATGACATTTGTTGAAAAAATTATACAAATATAAGGATATTTTTAATATTAAAAACAATGATACCCATATGTAAATGGATAAAAATTGATAATAATTTATTAATATATTTTATTTTTAAATTATTACTTTTTATTAAATATTTAAAATAATATTAATAAATATTGTCATATTCTTTACCACTTATGTACAAATTTTTTATAATTGGCCATTAAAATCCAATAAAATTCATAAACTTTAATTGATTGTTGTCTTGATTGAATACCTAAAAATTTTAGAATACACCCCTAAATGTTTAACATCTTACATTCCGATCCACTCAAAATTATTTTATTTTTACCTTTTTTTTTGTTTTTTTAAAATTAAAATTTTAACATCTTACACTTAAAATCGATTCAAAATATCTCTATTTCTATTTTCTCTTCCATAAATAAATATTTTTATTTATATTTAAATCTATATTTTTTTATATAAAATCAATTTATGTTAATTATTATATAAATAGTATTATATAAAATTTTATTATTTACAAAATAGTATTCATATTATATATATTTTATTGAGATATATTTAAAATATTTAAATACATGTTATAAATTTTTATTAATCATATACATTAATTTTTATTTAAAAATATCAAACACCATGCACATAAAAAATAAAAAATAAAAATCATATACTATGATTAACTTATTAATTTAGATTTATTTTAAATACAGTGTCAATCAAACACGATCAATACTATTGGTTTATCCAAATATGTCCCAAACAACATACCTATACAAATCTAAATTTAAAAGTAAAACCCACCAAATAACATTAATTCGTTTGTAGGATTTTGATAAGATCCTATTATTCATCCAAAATTTTTCCCCCAAAAATATCAAATCAAACACCTATATTTTATTTTCAAAATATCACATCATACTACTATTTATATCACATCATACAACTATTCAAATTCAAAATTTTTACTATTCAAATCCCAACTCAAAATTCAAATCCCGAACAAACGCAAACCGATCACAATATATATAACAAAGTCTCATAATCCATAATCCCAAATTAAAAGTTCATATAACCATATAGTACCAACAAATTTCAAAATATAAATATTAGAAAAAGAAATTAAGTACAGACAAGTGACGAGAATTACCATCGGTATCTCATATGTCCAGCCTCCATGCATGCAAAGCAACAGTCATAATCCAGACCACTCGGTGTACAACCATCGCTGCTGCTGAACGATATCCACCATCGATGCCCACGCATTTAGAATTGAAAGAAAGAAGAATAATGAAGTATGTTCTAACCTGATGTATCGTCTTGGGTGGTTCCAAATGAAGTAACCGTTGTCGTTCATGTCGATGTACCTAAAAAGAAAAAGTAATTTATTTTTATGAACAAATTTGTACGAATAATTAACGTTTAAATTAGACTAAATATACAAACCATCCGACGTACCGATCTCACCCCATTACGTTGTTGTGTCTGCGCTTATGTAATTCGCTCATCCTCCTCACCCTACTGTAATAGCCTAACTAATCGAGCAAACTGATGCAGTCGTTGCTGGCACACCAACTCATGCTCAACTTGAGACATCTGCATTGTATAAAGATTAAGACATATAGTTAAATTTACAATAGATCAATAAATCAAAAATATATTACACATTGGATGACCTTATCCATCACACTCATCGTCAGTGGAGCTAGTTGAAGTAAGTTGATTATGTTTCGACGTAAAAAAGGAAAAAAAAAAAAATCCAAATAAAATTTGTTCATTTATTTCTTCATTAGACACATCATCGGAACTCCCATTATTCTCTTTGTATTGTGATTTTGCACAAAACTTGTAATTCTCTAAATCGACATCCTTCTTCCATAATAGTATGGAATCAAGTTGACGACAATCTATTTTCTTGCAAAGTAAGCATAATCCTTCAATCAACTTTCTTGTTTCATACAATTTTTTTAACAAAAAAGTAGCCCTCAAACATCATGTCGTGCATGAGCTGGCATTTGAAAATCAAATCATGCAATTTGAAGTCAACTGTAATATTTATAAATGATTAAACTATATCATAATTTCATTGAATAATATACTTAAGTGTTTATAATATTATATTTATATATTCTCTTCTATTTTGTAAATACAAAATAAAAGAATATTTCCTAGACTGGAATAGGCAAATTTTAGGGGTTGGTCAAAAAGTATAATTGCGGGGGTGGTCCTCTGATAAACTTTGACCAGAATATGCCTGGGATAAGTTAAATTAATGCATACATTCTAACACCAGCATGTTTAAATTCTATTGTACTGTTTATTCTCATGGTAGTCAAAATAGCAAACATAACCCCAATACTTATACACAGAATGTTAACACAATACAGATTATGCAAAAGATTTACCTTGAATATTTTATATATTTACGTTATAAATAAATAATATATATATATATATGTATTGGCTGAGCTAAACTAGTTCCGCTTAAGGGGCTAAAGCCTTTGTTGAGGTTAAAAAATAAGTAATTTTTATTATTTTGAACTGAATTGATGATAAAGATATATATTTTAACGTATTCCATCAATATAAGAATATTAATTTGTTAAGAATTGCTTGAATTTGAACGGACAAACGATTTATGGATGTCTTTCTTCTGTGTAGTTTTGGCCAAAACTATTGTATGGCCTGACAAACCAGGCCTCTTTTACTGCTAACATGTTTTATTTATTTATTTAAATTATAAATTTAAATTTAAATTTTTATAATATGTATAATTTAATAAAATATATACAATATATATGTCATTTTGTAGAGAATAAAATATTTTATAATACAAATAAATAAAAAACTTAGAAATATATATATAGATATAATATAGATTTATAATTAAATTATACAAATTAATACACATTTATATTATTATATTTATTCCTCATCAAATCAATCATATCAAAACTCACTAAAAATCTAAATACAAAACAAACATCAAAATTTAAACTCAACTCAAAATTCAAATAAAAACCAAATTCAAATCCAAATTTCTCAAACCCCCTAAAGAAACACAGCCTATATAACAAATAATATAGCCAACATAACGGCGGGCACGAGGGCTCGGGGACCTATGTGGCTCCGCCACTTTATATATATATATATATATATACATATGTTTTTCACCCTTATGATTCGAATGTTTAATCCGATGGTGAATGGAGTCATGTGTAGGTGTAGGTGTAGCACTATTTTTGCCTTTTCTAATGCAAACATAAAAGCGAAGGCAATAACTCCAGCCTATTCATAATTTTATATGGCAAAGGAAAGAGACATTAATGCTCTCTGCACAAAATCAGCCCAATAAATTAATAAAATGGCTCAGGTTTTAAATGCTAAGAAATACAAGCCTATATACTTGGAATTTTACAAGTCAAGCTTCCATAACCGTATACGTACAAAGATGGGTTCGGATCTCCTGTTCGGCACATCTCCCTGTCGCTCATGTCCATCCAATTGCAGAAAGACAGGTGCTTCATTACCTTTTTTTTTTTTTAAATAAAAATTAAATTTTTATTACAATATATAATTTTACCCCTTAATTTTAATAGCCATTTTATTTCTCTTTCAACCCTAAATTTAATTTATATTTTGTTTGAACAACACAGCAATTCCATCGCCTCGCTTGCCGCCTGCTGCCGGTTGCCGATTAGGCCGTCGCTACCGCTCTCTTCTTTCGGCCATTGTCGGAAAATTTCTCAAGACATTGTTACCGCACGCACTCTGGTCTTCCATCGTAGTTAAAGTTTCTTTCTCAACTAGAGTGCGTGCGGTAAGAATATGTCTTGAGAAATTTTCCGACGATGGGCAAAAGAAGAGAGCGGCGGCGACGGTCTAGTCGGCGACCGGCGCGCCGTTCAAACAAAATAATAATTATATTTAGGGTTGAAAGAGAAATAAAATAGCTATTAAAATTAAGGAGTAAAATTGTAAATTGTAATAAAAATTTAATTTTTATTTAAAAAATAAAAGGTAAGGAAACACCTGTCGCTCTGCAATTGGATGGACAGGAGCTGTGCCAGACAGGAAATCCGAAGCCATACAAAGATGTTAAATTGCATGTTGTTTTGGATATAAAAAATAATTAAAATTACCATTACCATAAGCAGGCACATTTAATTTGATATATCCATGCAAATAGTACCAAATGCCCAAATTTAGTCCCATATTAAATTCAAATATAGGCTGAAGTTGAATTCAACCACACAGAACGTATGATTACTGTAATTTCACTCAGTTCTATTTAAGTTGTTCAGCCCCATTCAAAGTTCTAGCTTTAGGGAATGTCACATAAATGAAAGTTTCAAACCTACATCTATGACATATACAAAATCGAACCCCAATTTGAATCAGTAGGATTTGAAAATTTTATCTAAAATCAGGTCCCAATGCAATCAAAACCTAGTGAACGATAATAATATTATTATTAATGTCAATAATAGCAAAATTTAAGATAATATAACAGTAGAGGAACATGAACTCAAAATTTGATGCCAGAGAGATGAAGAAATGAAGCTAATGTTAATAAATATATTGTATTATGTAACATGGTTAGTAAGTTAGATTTGGGTCTAATTCAGTTTGGAACAGTTTATTGTAGGTACAACTCATTTTTAGGCCAAAAACACGAATTCAAGATATATTCATCAATCTATATTGACATACAGATCAGGCTGATCTAAGCTCAATATTAAACTAAACATTCACAGTTCAATTTCACATTAAGTGTAGATTGTGTAAAGGACATGGATAATATAATCGACCTCATGTATGAAAAAAAAAAGTGACGAATTAGCTAAATCTGCATTGGTAGCTTCAATATAACTATGTAGAAATCCCAGGAAGAATCAAGATTCATAATGTGGACTTTTTATAGCGATGCCTTGCAACATCAAGGGCGAGTTACTACTTGGTATAAATGAGAATTGTCATCTTCATGTATTAATTTAATTAACACAAGATTACTACATAATCCCAAATAATCTCACATATAATCCCAAATAATAACATATAGTGAACATGCCTAAAATGAGACTTGAATATTGGGCCAAAAAAATAAATAAATAAATAAAGGGTAATACCTCTTATGTTTTAATAAAAATGCACAAAATACATTGTATTTTATTTATTGCGTAAAATTCTTTTATATTAGATTAAAGTATGCACTAAACATAATCATCCAAGTTGATATTTGGTTGTAAACACGCACCTAATTATGAAAGTTTTATACAACTAAAAAAGGTAAAATATCTTAAAAGACTATTTTTATGAATAAAATAAACAACTAAAGAATTTATCAATCATTAGGGTTTGTTTGTTTTGTGAAATAATTTGAAGGGATAATTTTTTATGTAAGTATAGAAAATTGTGTGGATAACACAAAAATGTTTAATGTAATGAATAAAATACGAGGTATTTTGTGCATTTTTTACTAAAATACAAAAGAGTATTATGTAATTTATCCATAAATAAAATAAGACCAACAACAACAAATAACAATCTCACAAGCAATATACAATCATCTCAGAGATATCTAATATTTTTTGGGTTTGGATATGATGGTAGAATAATGTCAAAATTCTTTTTCTAAAATATACCCCATGATTTGCTTAAATTGTTTAACATATCAAACCATTAAATTCTATCTCAAATGCAAGCACAACATGATACAAGCAGCTAGCTTGGAATGGAAATACACAAAAAGTACATCAAATCAAAATCTACAAAGTGAAAAGAAATGTTCATTAATGACATCCATGACTTAGAAAGAAAAATCATGCAAAAATTAGTAAGAGAGTGATAGATAATGAAGTTTACATAAATGTGCATGCAAGTAGAGATTCTCATAAAGTTGCAACACAAAATTAGACAAAACATCTTAACTGAACTTTAACATCTTGCAAACAAGAATTCAAGAATCACATTAAAGCAACCACAGCAATAATGGAGGAAAAAGCGACACATATTTTCAGATCCAGAAGCTGCGGTAGAGATTTCAAAATTTCTAACATTTAGGATTAGGACATGTCACTAGAAAAAGGGATGTCCCTTTATTGCAATTTTTTCTGCAGTCTCTCTCAATCCTTACTATTCACATAATTTCAAAAACTAGAGAGAGAAAAACTTTCAAAAAAAACAATGTTAGATTGACACCTATAAATGCAAAATATTTCAATGGATTGCATGTTGTGACTTTACAGAGTGATTTTACTATAGTATTATTATTATTATTATTATTATTATTATTATTATTATTATTATTATCATTTTACTATTTAATCTCCAAATTTCTCTAAAATATATCAAAATACAAAATATACGAAAAAAACCTCAAGAAAACAAACCATGTATAAACTGCTAATACTTGATAGAGTAAAATCTTTCATCATCATTTATACATTAAAATTATGAAGTAAAATAGGCAATACAATCTGATTTTTTACATTTTCTTGTAACAGTCAGAAAATAATTTCACAAGTGGAAAGAACCTTTAGGGTGCTCTTAGACACTTACAGGTATACATATATCTATCTATATATATATATATATATGTATATGTATATGTTTAATTGAACAAATTACTACAGAATTAAATATTCTTTGAACCACTCACCATTAGAAACCTTAATGAGCTTTCATTTTGTATTTTGTTATTTTAATATTTTTAAACTAAATAGTTGTTGGGTTATGGATGATCTTTTTTGTGAAATAAACACACGTTTTTTTAAAATAATAATAATAATAATATATTACACATATTTATTATTTTTATCTTGCATATAATTTTCTATACCTCACTTAAAAAAATTCTTTCAAATCATTTTACAAAACAAACACATTCGTAATGATTTGAATAAAAATTTGGATTGTTCTTTTGTGAGTTTCCTACTAGATTTGTACTATTTGTTTTATTTTTTTTCCTCTACAATATCAAATCAAACAATATTTTTATTTCTTTTTATCTTATACTAAAACTCAGTCTTACATTCAAAAATCACATCGACGTCTATTTTTATCACATCAAACAATTATTCAAATTCAAAATTTTACTATTAAAAAATGCAAACCCAAAAATCAAACCACAAACAAACACACCCTTAGAGTTTGGAGTTGGATGTGATGTGTTTAGAGAGAAATTGGTTGATTGAATAATAAGAAGTTACAGAAACAATCACAAGTAAACACACTGTTTATTGAAAGCATTCCAGCACCAAGCTACTTGTGTTTGTTCGGGATTTCAATCTATTTATCGCTATGCAATCTACAGTATAATGTGTTTTCGTCAACATTTATTTTCTATTACATCATAAACATATGTTCCATTTAAAACACTTCAAATACAAAACAGCCTAAAACATTCCAAACACACCTGAATTCTATAGCTTTATTTTATTTTTAACTTCTAATAGTGAATTTAGTTAGAAACAAATAATAGAAACATTTACAAATAGGGTGTTCTTCTATTACTTAAAAAATATAAAGAAGTCAGTTTTATTTTTATTTTCAACACAAAAAAGTTTATTTTACCTGTTCAAGAGTAACATGCATTAAAACCCTCCCCCCATATGCTGCCTGAATCTCTGTCCCCCCTCCATTAAATGTATTCTTCTCTCTTCACTCTTGCACCTCTCTCTCTCTCTCTCTCTCTCTCTCTCTCTCTCTCTCTCTCTCTCTCTGCATTATATGTTTGTAGGGATGTATGTATCTCTATATGTATGAATGAGTGTGAGTGTGTGTAATGAATGCAGAGTAGTAATGAATGAAGGAGGAAGGGCATAATAAATGCTTTCAATCTTGACTGCATCTCATCTTCTCCTTTCGCCCTCTCTAACAAAGCAAGAGTGGTAAGTGTCCCCTCTCTCCATCTCTCCCCATATGCCCTGTTTTTTTGTGTGTGTTTTTAATACCACCTCGCATTTACTCCTCATGGCTCCACATACACACAGTGACAAACTGTACACTAATGTGGACTGCACAGATCTTGAAATTTTAATGACCCTCTGGCTATCTCACGTCTCTACCCAGTGAGTGTGTGACTCTGTGTGTGTGCATATCAATAGGATTGGAGTTGAAAAGATATAAAGGTTTCCTTAGATTCATTTGAATACCTCAATTACAGGAGTTGACAAGGGAAAATTAACATTACTCCACTTGAATTCAAGACTATATTTCTTTTCTTTCTTTTTTCTTTTTCTTTTTTCAGCAATTGAGGAGGATGGAAAATAGTTTCTGATTTTTAATCTGCTTATATTATTAACACTGTCTATTTTGTTTATTATTATTAGTTTATGATTCCTTTTTTCATATGAGATCAATAATTAAGAATGTGTTTACTTGACCATTAGGACATTTTTGTGGTGAAGGGAGTAATTCCACACTAGAATAATATTGTTTACTTTGATCAAAGACTGCATAATAGAGAGTCGAAACAAATACTTGAGATTATTAAAGACCCAAGCTTGCAAAGACAAGTCTAAGCCTTTTCCCGCCTTCTGTACACGAGTAGGAGCTTGGCCCCTATTTCGTTCTCGAGTATTTGTTCCGGCTCTCTATCACTAGATTAGTTTGTTTTTAGGCTTTTCCAAAAGACCTCTTACTATGTGAAGTTAAATGTTAACTTATAACCAAAGATATTTTGATTTTTATTTTCGATGTGGAACTTGAGTCTTTCCAACAAATCACCTCTTCAAAATAAGGACCATAAAGTCCATATCTTTCCCTTCAATGATATTCCATTTGATTTGCCAAACAACTTACACGACCTTTATTAAATAGACCCATTTTCTAACCACAACTATCGTCAAGACAAATCGTTCTTCCGACCATCACAACGTTAGGAAGATTTTCGTCACAAGATACTAAATTTAAATTTACAATCCTGAGGTCAATAAGGGCTTTCCACAACTAACCTAATTCAGTTCAGTTCACCAACTAATCCATTTGAATTTAACTATGAGTAACTACACACTAGTATGATATTGTTTTGATTTATATGGAGCATAGGCATGAACATGGTGAATCTTTTGGTAGCCTTTCTTTTTTAAAAAAAAAATGTAGATTGTATAGTACATAGGGGATGTGGAAAACAAAATGAACAAAGAGGCACTGCACGCAAATGATTTTTCCTTTTGCCTTTAGAAAATAATAATAATAATAATAATAATAATAATAATAATAATAATAATAATAATAATAATAATAATAATCTGAAACTTGCAAACAAAGCCATGATTAGAAAGAAAAAAAAAAAAGAGAGTTATAAGTGGGGATTTGAAATAAATGATTCATAATTAGTATACCATTTATGCAAAAATGGAAGATAGAATAAAAATATATATTAATTTAAATATATTATTTTATTAGTGAGTAATAAGTTTTTAAAAAAATATTATATAATTTTTATAAGATCATTAACTTCCTAATTAATATCACCTTTGGAGGCGTTCTTTGCTTATGGCACTAAACTATTTATCTCTTTAATCGGCTACCAGCTTGAGTGCTGACTATGTAAATATTTAGCATGTACTAAATGCATTTATGACCATTAGTGTCTTTTGATTTGCAGTGGACAATTACTATGCTAATAGCATTTGTAGCATTTAATATAAAAGTATATTTAGTATACCCAACATCATAGATTGATATATTTTCAACACCTTATAACAGACAATCTACAATAACTTTAAACAACATTGAAATAGATTTTCAGCAATATAAATGAATAAACTCCGTAACACTTGCTACTAGGAAGTCAATACACAAACTTTAAACAAAATCGAAAAAGATGTTTAACCATACACATGGAGATAAAAACCTTATTTGTATCAAGATAATTTTCATCTTTATATTCTTTCTATAATATTTGCCATAAACTCAAAACATGATCAAAATGACTGACTTCAATCCAAAATTACTAAAATGTGGGTTTTCATAAATATAGAAAATTTTCATATCAAACGTCATATTCAATAACTATTTCACAAAAAAAATAAAAGTAGAAATAAAAATGCAAATATAGAGACAAAAACAAACACAAAGTAAACTCTCATTCGAAGACCGTGCCTTACATAAGGTCATGAGTATTAACAACTACTAGCTATTGATTAGAGGCAAAAAAAAAAAAGTCAAATAAAAAACAATATTGTGAAAATTGAAGGTCATTTTGAAAGCTCTCATATTTTGAGGGGCTCCTTACAAAAATATACATAGTGTCCATTCAAAAAGTTGCATCTAATGTGGCATTTTCCTATCTGTAAAAATATAGAAAATAAATAAATAAACATTGCCAAGACATGTGGGCTTTTATCAAAGATTGGTGGGTAAAAATCAAATCAAGCTCATGTATTTGAATACACACACATAAATGCAAGCATGCATACATATGTATGTATATGTAAGAAGGAATATGTGGCAGAAATAAATAACTGGGACCTGAGGGCAAGGGAACAACACAGAAATGCAGCACCATAAATATACAGTGTTTTTATTTTATATTATTCCATTTTGCAATCATTCAACTTAATTCAATTCAATTCAATAAATACACAATATTTTTATTTAATTCCATTCTATTTTGCAATCATTCAACTCAATTCAATTCAATTTAATTCATTTATCCTCGTCCATATTGATGACAATAATTACACTACATTTAGATCAACTAAAAAGTATATTAAAATCCATATGATCTCATCATCATGCATTTTATGTCCTCTCTAAATTCATAATATTTTTATATATATTTATCTATGTATGTATATCAGTGTAAGTGCATTCAATGCACAGCCTAGCTAATGAGACGCCATTCTGGTCTCTAAGAAAAGCACTACTGAATTGTCTTTTCACATTTATGTTTTGAAGATTCAATACTTTGTCTAGTGGTGTTCAGAGTTCATCATCATTCTTCCCTGGAGACTCTCTCATTGTGCTAGTGTGCTCGTCTGTGTTTCAACATTTCTCTTTGGAGTTTCAAGAAACCAGTTTTTCTTGCTTTGTAGTTTAAGTGTCACTGAGTTGCCTGTTCATTTTCTTAATGGGGAGATCACCATGCTGTGACAAGAAAGGGTTAAAAAAAGGGCCATGGACGCAGGAGGAAGATGAGAAATTAGTCGAGTATATCAACAAACATGGCCATGGAAGCTGGCGTTCTCTCCCCAAACTTGCAGGTTTTAGGCGCGCGTGTGTGTGTGTGTTTTTATTTCCATTCTACTGTGATTTTTCAGGCTTTATACTGTGATGTATAATGTTGGAGAGATTATGTGGATAAACTATGTATAGTTTCAACTGATATGAAATTCAGACCAGATTTCCTTTGTCAATAGGACTACTAGTACGGCTAGATTGGCTGCAAGTATATGCAGTTATAAGTGTCACAAGATTTGTCTTTGTAGAGCCAACTAGTTGAGAATTTAGTTTGTTCTTTCTTTCACAGGGCTTCTTCGATGTGGTAAGAGCTGTCGGCTACGCTGGACTAATTATCTTAGACCAGACATTAGAAGAGGTCCTTTCAGCCCAGAAGAAGAGAAGCTTGTTATACAGTTGCACGCAATCCTGGGAAACAGGTTCTTTACGTTTTTATTACAGTAATTAAATAATACATGATACACTTTTAGAATAAACCACTCTTGGCCCTTAAAGGACAAGGTTAAATAAGGGGTGTGTTCAGATATGCACAGCACCTATTTAAGAAAATGTTCTTTCAATGAAAGGGTCTCTTTGCCTTTATTAGTGTAATTGTATATGAGATGATAAATCTTCTATTAGCTTCTTTCAGTTGAAATAGTTCGACAAGGTTGAATACTACGTTGTGTTCACACCTTCATCCCTACACTTCTATAGAAGTAGTTTGCTCCTATGACAGAGATCCATCTTTGTATTAGTTCAGTTTTTTAAATGAGGTAGGATAGATAAACCAAATCTAATGTTTAATTCAAGATTTCCATTGATTGATTTTCATTAGATGGGCCACTATTGCCTCTCAACTTCCCGGAAGGACCGACAATGAAATCAAGAACTTATGGAACACTCATTTGAAGAAGAGATTGCTTCAGATGGGCATTGACCCTCAGACTCATCAACCCTCTTTGACACCCAATGGACTGGTTCCACGACTGCCCTCGTCTCCTTCCACCCGCCACATGGCACAATGGGAGAGTGCAAGACTGGAGGCTGAAGCACGCCTATCTAAGGAATCACTTAACTTGACTCCATCATCAGCGGACAAATCTGAGGGGGACTATTTCCTACGCCTCTGGAATTCAGAGGTTGGGGAAACATTCCGAAACTACAACCAGGGAGAAAAAGTTATTTCCGAGAGCCCAATATCGTCCTCATCGACAAAGGATGGTGTGTTGTCAGGAATTACTACAGAAATGGGAATTCCTGCATCAGGGCTTTCTTCTGCAGGGAGCAACCACAACGATGACAGCAAATCTTGTGTTGAAGATGTCCAGCCAGGATACGATTCCTGCAGCTCAGACGAAATGGGAGACTCGTCATCTGAATCTGCTTTGCAGCTGCTTTTGGACTTTCCATGTAACAACGACATGAGCTTCCTCGGACAACCTGATTGTTTTTCCTCATATCCAGATATGTTTCCTCAAAGCCACTTTAATTGTTCTTGAAGCTATGGCAGTATGTCTTTTGTATCTCAGCTACTTCTTTTAGATATTTCTAGCTTAGGATGGAAGCAGTTAAGAATCCATCTCACCTATGTATTTTAATGTTGACTGATTAACGGTAATATATTGGCGTACTTTTCATGCCTGCTAGTTACTATCAAACATGAACTTAGTTAAGAGCATCTGTTGGCATTCTTTCCATGCCTACAATTTTAAAATGATACATGAACTTAGTTCTGCACCAAGAATTGTACATTTCAGCTGGGTTTCTAGGCATAATTCTTTTCATGAAGAAACTTTATGCAGCCTATTTTGAGCCTACATCTGAGAAATACTGTCAGCATCACCCAGAGTCCAGTTTCTTCTACAGACAACATATTTAGGATTAATAAAGAGCCTTGTTCTATGAAAGCCAATACATTTGAAATTCTCAGGGGTTGAGTAAGACAGTTTGGCCAAATATCATATACTATAATCAATAGCCAAATATTACTGAACTCAGCAAAATTCAACGAACAGTGATTATGTGTAGCCCATTGTTTATCCTGATAAGAGTTGTTAATAGGTTTAGATCTATTCCCCTATGAACAAAAGCAACAATAACATAAGCCTACATCCCTCCTAAACCTTTAGATGCAAAGCAATGTCTTCTTGCTTTCTAGCTTTGCAAATAGAAGCATTTGTATAACACAGATAGATCTATCTACCTCAGGTTTTAACACACTCCACTGTTCATATTTCCAGGCTATTCCATTGAATCATATTCTATTGCAATTACCTCATTCACGTGGCTACTTTCAAATTGCAGGATAGTAGCAATAAGTTTTTCCTGAAGTCTTCAATCTATCAATGGACCACAGTACTTGAAACCAACAAGTCTTCCAAAATGACAGCAGTTAAATCAATTACCAAAATCCTACTTTTTATGGCATGGAAAATTGAATAAATAGCCCTAAATTTCATCACATCTGACGCGCTAATTCACAAAAAACAAATCTACCTACTTTCAGGCATGGACATTGGAATAAACACCCCTAAATTTCATCACATCTGACGCCGCTAATTCACAATGAGACAGCCAATAAATGTGATCAAGTTATGCCGTAATCCACCCTTCTCCATGTTCGTTAGCAAGCATTACGTTCTTAAATTGCGATAAAATGGAATACGAATTAGACATCAGCAAACAATTAATTTCGACAATCTCAAAACGCATTTATACCAAAATTCCAAATGCATACATACCGACGAATTAATCGCGAGAGAAATAGTGCCATCCATTGGGGGAGGAACAGCCGTCTCATCTTTCCGCTGCTCGACTCCGCCGCCATAGCCGTTGAAAAATAAATGCCTGCTAGTGCGCCATATTGTTTTAAAAACTTATTAAATACACCAAAGATGACAAAGCTCCGTAAGGCCGGCCTGGTAGTTGGTGTAAGGTTTGGGCGAGTTATCGTGCGGTCATGATTCAAACTTTTTCAGTTTACTCGTAGCATCTGCGGGTTCCACGTTCATTTGATAAAAAAAACCATACAAGATCAAAATGCTGCTTTTCTTTCTATAGGGCTTGGATAGATAAATAAAATAAAATATAAAACTTGTTTGGCTGGCTGTAGATTTACTTTTTCTTTGAAGGTGTGTTTGTTTGGGAGTTTGGATTTTGAGTTGGGATTTGAATAGTAAAAATTTTGAATTTAAATAGTTGTATGATGTGATATAAATAGGTGTTGATGTGATGTTTTGAATGTAAATTTGATTTTTAGTATAATATAAAAAATGAAAAATAGGTGTTTGATTTGATGTTTTTGGGGGGAAAAATGGGATGAATAGTAAAAATTAAATCCAATCCCCCAAACAAACACACCCGAGTATATTTCAAACTATAACATTACATATTAATTCTTTCTTTAATATATTGCACTATATCATTTAAATTTATTTTTATTTTCTTTTTTAATTAGTCATTAAAAAGTGTTTTTATTTTTTATTAGTAAAAAGAAAATAGTATATCTTTTTATTATAAAAAATAGAAAGTATGAAAATTTTCATTCTCATTTGAGTTTTAAATCACTGCTATTCAAACAGAATTTGGGTGTGTTTGTTTGGGGTTTTGGATTTTGTGTTGGAATTTGAATAGTAAAAATTTTGAATTTGAATAGTTGTATGATGTGATATAAATAGTTGTTGATATGATGTTTTGAATGTAAAATTAATTTTTAGTATAATATAAAAAATAAAAAATAAATGTTTGATTTGATATTTTTTGGGGAAAAAAATGAGATGAATAATGTATTTATAATCCAATCTCCCAAACAAACATACCATTTGTGTTAAGACTTATTAAATACATGCTTTGGGGGGTCAAGGGGTCTCCCTTGCATGGTTCCGAGGGCGCGGAGTGGCTTTCAGTTGACGGTGTGCAGTAAGCTTTGGAATTGGTATTAGGTTGAATCATGTATTCTTTTGGTTGATTTTAATAGACTTAGGGATATAAAATTTGTAACATGTAACTTCGCTGTCGTTAATAAATATGTTTTTCGTTTCTGTCTATAGACGTAGCAAACAAGTTGTCGATGAACCATGTAAATATATGTCTCATTTGTATTTTATGTTTGTCGATGAACCATGTAAATCTGTGTCTCATTTGTATTTTATGTTTGTTGAGAGTTACAATTAATACCAAAGTAAACCCACGACAACATATAGTTGTTGTCATACTATTAAGAGCCTTAATATTGACATCGCAAGTACGAAGAATGTAATAAATACTTGGGGATAAGTTGAACCAGCTATTCAAAATTAAGTAAAATTTAAAATTGATAAACTATTCAGGTCAACAACTAAAATGCATATTGTTTTTTAAAAGTCTTATTAAAAAAACTTTTGTTAACTTGTGAAGCCAATATCCGAACGTATTGATTTGTACAATCAATTTACGATTTTGACACACTCGATCTACGAAACTTGTGAATCCGTTGTTACGGTTAGTTATCAGAGGCGGATGTAAGTGGGAGCCCACCCCACTTCAACACATTGTTTTTATTTTTATTTTTAATTTTGATTATATATATAATATAAAAAATGATAAAAGTAAACTAAAGAATGACTAAATATTTATTAGTGTTTATTTGATATATTTAAAATTTAATCTTAAATTATAATAATTATTTGATATAATAAAAATAAATATAAAAAAAATGTAGCAAATAATAATAATAATAAGAACCTTAAAAAAACTTTCAATCAAATGAATATGAGATGATTTTATTAAAAGCTATTTTCTTTAATAAATTTGTTTTCTATTTATCAATTTTATATAATACAAAAATTAATATTGTAATATGTAATTGTTGTTGTAAATTGATATTTTGCAAGATTTTTCAAATATGGTAATTCTATTTATAAAATTATTGGATAACAAGTAAATTATATTTTTTTGAAATTTAAAAAATTAGCCCCACCTCTCAAAGAAAACTTAGAATTTATTTATGGAGTAAATTTATTTTTATTGATACGATTTATAATTAATATTATTACAAAATATAATATATAATCTATTTATTCAAAAAAAATAATAATAATAAGTAAACAATAGCCTAAAAATTATATAGAAATGTAAGGGCCCAACCGGGTTCGAACCGGTGACCTATTGATCTGCAGTCAATTGCTCTACCACTGAGCTATGGACCCTTATTGTAAATTTACTTATTTTTAATATATTTATTATAATAAATAAGTATAGTAAGGCGAAAATTATTATCGTTTCAAACTGTAGGGACTAGACGTTAATTATTAGGAACGGCCAACGTAATGACGTATATTCTACTGTCGAATTTTTACAAATTTTATGGGAAAGAGGAGAAGACTTCAATTCAGCTTAGAAACCCTAAGATTGATTCCTCGACAAATGCATCCCCGAGGAGGGTAATTTCAGAGGGAAAGATGGACCCGAAGACCGATAAGCTTGTGAGGAGGACAACAATGGTGGCTACTGTCACTGCTTCTTATTTCCTGATCACTGCTGACTATGGCCCTGACCCGAACTTTCTCGACCCCGTAAGTGATAATTGGTCGATCGATTGATTAAATTACTGTTTTGAATAGGTTGTTGTTGCTGCTTTTGAAATTGATTCTCGCTGCTGTATGGCTGTGGTTTAGTTTTTGAATGGCTTTTTGGTGTTTGATTGTTTCGATGTTATTGTGGACTCCTATTCAATTCCTGTGCGGATTATTGAAAAATGAAGTGGAGGTGAGTTAATGAATTGAATTGATATCTTTGTTAGCGAAGATTCAGTTCGATATGAATTTGTATCTGGAGAATTGAGTGTTGTTAATATGTATTGTGAAGTGGAGAGTAAAGTATATTGTCTATGGAGAAATGCATTATGAACCACAGGTCTATGAAACTCTTTGGGTGTGTTTGTTTGTGAGTTTTGGTTTTTGTGATTGGATTTTTCAATAGTAAAAAGTTGAATTTGAATAGTTGTTTGATGTGATATGAATAGATGTCGATGTGATGTTTTGATTGTAAAATAAAATTATAGTATAATATAAAAAAAGAAAAGTAATTGTTTTATGTGATACTTTTGAAAGAAAGTAGAATCTAAATAGTAAAAATTTATAGTAAACCGTGGTTAGTACTTGGAAATCGGAAATGAAGTTCTTGGCTATGCAATTTGTGATTTATGAATTAAAATTGCATTGGATAATTTACTTGCCTGATTTGTCCATTATATTTTGCCCTATTGACGGATAATTTCATTTGGCTTGATGCAATGATTCGAAGTATCTTAAATGTTTTATGATCCAAAGGTCATCCATGAATAGACTAAACTTTCATTGGATAATAACTTGTTAGATTTCAATCAGATTATGTTCTTAGGGTGTTTTTACTTTGTAGAATGAAGTTATATTCCCTATGATTATTTGAATGGATTGTATAGTCGATAAAATAATTAATGCAATGTTTACTATGTTCGATTAAATAAAGACTAACATAGACTTTTTAGTACAAATATCACTTGAAATAAATTAATTCGACCCATTTAATAATCAAGACAATGTTACTAGGTTTGATTAAATAAAGACTAACATACACTTTTTAGAACAAATCTTCAAACCAATTCAACCATCTAGGTGAGATTAATTATCTATGATTAGTGTATTATTATGACGGATTTAATCATTTTCGTCCTTAATCAACTAACAAGTGATTAAGTTAGATAAAATAATATTCTTGAAATGCTTCCGGAACTTTTCCTTTGTTTTTGCAGCACTTATGATATCTATCTATTCCCCACAAATGTCGAAATTCCTGTGTATCCATTACTGATCTTGTATTTTCGGCAGATAAAAAATGTCGTAATGTCAGCTCAGCGATCCGTGAAAGAGTTTATGTTCGGAGCGAAGAAGGAATCCGCCGGGAACAATGCTGGTAAGGTAACATCAAATGCTGCAGACAAACATCCTTAATTATGTTCAGATGCCTAACATTGTGCTTTCCTGATGGTTCGGAATCCTTTTGTATCAGTGTTTATAGAACTATAGCTGTAGTATAAAAGCATCCAAACTAGATTTTATTTATTTTTTTTCTTGTTCAAAGATTTTTAAACTTTTAGTAAATTCAGTAATTAATCTTCAAAAGCAACTTTTAGTTGTATGAGTTTATATAAAAGTGAGTAAGAGCATAATGAAAAATTTATTAAAGAATTAATAAAAAAATATTAATTAGATAAAAAATGAAAAAAATATTTTTATATGTTAAAATAAAAATTATAAATTATAAATAAATAAAAATATATACTATACTTCTTCTGTTAGCTTGTACTTTATATTAAAAATATTTATATATTTGTATAATTTTTTATTTTTTTTACAAATATCATAATATTAGTATTATTAGACATTGATAAATATTTTTTTGCCATTTTTTTTTTATATTTTACTGTATTTTGATATAATAATTAATATTAAAGACTAACAAGTCAAAAAATAAATATGACAGTAGAGCTGCGGAACGGTGACAAGTACTATATAAACCTGCGACGCTTGGGTCACCTACCCGGCATAGTTCGCCACGTGTGACCTACATCATAAAAATAAATAAATAAATAAATAACAAAGAATGTAAAAATTATTTCCTTATTCGGTCACCGAGCGGTGACAAACAGTCCAATCACTTGGTAACATGTGTACAAACCTTGGTCACACGTAGTAACGGTTCTACCTACCTACCTATCCAAACGTCAAAACCCATTTCCCCTCCAACCTCAGTCTCAACACAGCACTGCACGACCTTTGTCATGTCCATTTCCCTCTCTAAAATTCCCCAATTTCCAAACCCTAATTCTCTACATGACAATCCCTCTGCGAAACTCTCCCCTTCTTCTCCGCAATTGTCCCATAAATCTCCCTTCATTTTCCACGCTTCCCCCGTTTTGTCGCCCTCCAAGTCTCCCCATGGATGCAGCAGCGCCAGACGGCCGTGTCTGTGCCAGTCCTCCAAGCTTCCGCCCTTTTTGGATCACGAATCGCCGTTTCTGTCGATTCTTCTAGAGATTCCGCGTTGGGCGGACGGCGTAAAGGAGCGCGGCATGCGGCAGAAGCGGTTGTTGTACGATCACGAGAAATGGGTGGACCACCGGAGCTCTTTGCGTCACGTTCGGCATTTCATGACGAGCTTGAGTTCGCGGGTGATTCTGTCGTTGGTTCCACCGGTGATCGTGTTCACTTCTGTAGCGGCGGTCATCGCCAGCTACAACACGGCGCTTTCGCTGCACTGGCTGCCGGAGTTTCTACCCGTGCTGAGAGCCTCGTCCCTGTCGTACCAGCTGACGGCGCCGGCGCTGGCGCTGCTTCTGGTTTTCAGGACGGAGGCGTCGTACTCGAGGTTCGAGGAAGGGAAGAAGGCCTGGACGGAAGTAATTGCGGAGACTAATGACCTCGCAGGACAGGTGATTGCGAGCGTGGTGAGTCCAAGGGACGTGATGCTTAGGAAGGCAATTTTGCAGTACATCATGGCGTTTCCAGTCGCCCTCAAGGTATACTGTCTTTTTGCCTTTGCTCGTACGCTTAGTTTTTTATGATTGATTATCATTATCGTACTTGTTTGGATTCGTTTAGCCATTAGAACGAACTTTATTAGAATTGTTATGTCTAAAAAGTGTATTGAAACATAGAAAATATTGCATAATATGAAAGAACACACGATTTGAGAATCCTAACAAGTGGTATAAGAGTTTTATACGACTGAAGATGAAATTGAGAAATTCGAGCAATATTATTGGTACCATGTTTTAAAATTGAATCGAATTTGTGGCAAGGTGGAGATTGTTAGAAAATATGTCTCAAATTCTCCTTTTGGTGAAAATTCCAAAAGCATATGATGGACTGAGTCATGGGCATAACTAAGCAATTTGGAATCAATTTTGTGGCTATTTCATATCCATATGATAATTGTACAATTGTAACAATTCGATCCATAGGTATTCCACGTAAATCCTCTCTCTCTTGCAATATTTTTTATGGTTCAATTATTTTTGGATCTGCTTCTTCATTCTTAACACACTTTTTAAATGTAAAAATAGTAAACATACTTAAATGCTTGTGGTGCTGAATTTGCTGTGCTTACTGTGAGCATAAATTTGATTCGTAATTGGAAATTGGAGTGTCCCTTTTGTTGGGTATTTTCAGGACTTTTTGCTCTGGTTCGTCCTACAATGGCTTCCGAAGATTAGAAGAGGCGAATGGATGTCTGCAGAATTTGTGATCTTTGTTGTTATTTATCATACATTTGATTGAGATCTATGCGAATTGTTGGATCATATTGAGGGCAGGGTTCATTTTAATGGATGCCACGAAATTCGACTAATTAATTGTGCAATTCCAAATGCAGTGCCACATCCTTTATGGCTCGGATATTGCTGAAGATCTTCAGAACATACTCAATGCCGAGGATTTAAATGTAGTCCTTGATTCAAAGCACCGTCCCCGCTGTATCATCGAATTCATCTCCCATAGCCTGCAGTTGCTCGATATGGATGCCACCACGCGCCATACTCTGGTAAAGATATTGAATCCCGAAAGACTCTATATTCTTCTTACTGGTTCATTGGCGTTTGATCCGTACAACGTATCTGCAGGAGTCGAAACTAGGCTCGTTCCATGAAGGAATTACGATATGTGAACAGCTCATCGGTATACCCATCCCTCTATCCTACACTCGGCTGACGTCTCGGTTTCTAGTGCTGTGGCATCTAACTCTCCCGATCATCCTCTGGGACGACTGCCACTGGCTCGTTGTCCCCGCAACTTTTATCAGTGCTGCTTCTCTGTTCTGCATTGAGGAGGTAATTCATTTTTTTTTTCTTTTTTTTTTTCCGACCCGTTTAACCACCTAACAGCACGAAGATAGTTATAGTAAGTCGGATTGGTGGTGCAGGTTGGTGTTCTGATCGAAGAGCCGTTCCCAATGCTGGCGCTGGATGAACTGTGCCGTGACTTTCGCGGCAACATTGAGGAAGTGATGAGAAGTGAGAAGGTGATTCGGGCTCGAGTCAACACCCGAATAATGAGCCATCCTAAGAAGAAGCAGAGCCCCAGCCACTCCCCCAATGGCTGGCATAGTGCTACGTCTACCTCACTTGAAGATAGAGAGCCTGGATGAACTGACTGACCAGGTCTGTCTGTGATTTCTTCACTTATTCATCATAATGTCTGTATGTGTGTGTGTGTATATATATATATATATATATAGAGAGAGAGAGAGAGAGAGAGAGAGAGAGAGAGAGAGAGAGAGAGAGAGAGAGGGTATAGATATTAGATAGAGTAGAATGGAGTGTTAATGTTATGGCATGTGGATGGAAGAGCAGTAGTAGAAGTTCACTTGCAGTGTGGGTGTGGCTGCGATGTCTTTTTAATTAGTTTTATTATCTCAAAATCAATTGGGTAATAGAAATAGAAATAGAAATGCGACCTGACCTTAATTATTTAGAAGAAATGTGAGGCTGAGGCTGAGGCCGAGGCCGAGGCCGAGGAGGCCGTGGGTGATGATGAAATCACATTTGCCTGCCAATTTCAATTCCACACAAAATAAAATAAAATGTATAGCGGGAGGATACTCGGTCCAGACACAATTCAATCTCGCACAAAATGATTGTTTAGTAGATTGGAATTGCGACCGCCCTACAAATATTAGAGCGGGTAAATGAGTCAGAGTTCGACCTCGAAAATTATTTTCTCAATATAATTAATATATTTATATATTAATATAATATATAATTTTTTATATCAAAATTTATATTTATTGTTAAAACTTGAATATTTTATTATAAAAAATAATAAATAAAATTAAATATTTTTAATTTATATATTAAAAAACTACATAGAATATGTATAAAAATCAATTAAGTTCGAACTCGAGTTTGAGTCACTATTTTGGTTCGAATTCTTAATGAGCCGATCTTGTACTTTATTTAACAGCTCTACTTACCATGATGTTGTATTATAGATTAGGTGAGTTCAGGATTTGTCATAATAGTTAGTAAATACTCTGATCATGACAATATACAATATTCGAAAGGGACTAATTTACAAAATGTTAAGTTCGATAGGAGGTTTACCAAATGAGCACTTTCGGATAGCAAAATTAAAAAAAAAAAAAAAAAAGGAAAATATGATTGATTCTAATACAAACATAATTTTTTTAATATTATTACATATATATTTATTATTTTGATACTACATACAAATTTTTTTATGTCTTATATAATTTTTTATTTTTTCAAAATAAGAAAACAACACAACCAACCCGCATCTCTCAGAATTATAAAAGGACGGCTTAGGTTTAAAAATCGCTTGAATTTTTTATATATTTAATTTTTTATACTTTTCTTCTTAGTTTTCTATTTTTAATATTTGAATTTTATTTAAAAATACTTAAATTCGATTTAATTTTATTTAAATATATTTATTATTTATTTATGATGTAAAAATTATATATAAATAATTAATTAGATTATTACTATATAAAATAATTAAAATAATAAATTTAATTAATAATTTAAATTTAAATTTAAAAGTAAATAAAAATAAATTATTAAAATATTAATATAATAGATAATAAAATAATTAAAATTTAAAATAATTATATAATAAAAAATTACAAAATTTAATAATAATATTATAATATTATTATTTTTTAGTATCATTAAGAATTATTTATATTTATTAAAAAAATTAAATAATTTATAAAAAGAATTAATTATAAATATATTACTATTATCATACAATACACACCATTTAACTTTTTACCTTAATCAAGCAATTACACATCCACAGGTACAGCCGACGCAGCAATCAGGTTCTCCTCTTTCTTCTTTCCGGCTGCTGCGCCTCGCACGGCTCGGGTGAGATATAAGAAAAAAAAAAAAATCCGGTTCAAACCGTCAGAAGACGGTTTCAGTTTGAACCGTATCCGCCGGTTCGAAACCGAACGGACATGTCTAAAATTGGGTAAGGAATTTCGGATTTGGTAGCAAGTCTCAGTCAGACTAGACTCAGCCAGCCTTTTCTCTCCCACTTGTTCATTCCATTTCAAAATTCGAAATTTGCGCAAACCCTAACCCCCAAATTGAATTCGTCCCTTGCTTCCTCTCTTGCCCACCAAAAATTGATCTTCTATGTCGTCAACTCAACCTGAATCCCTAAACGAAGACGCTCAAGAAGCTGCAGAAGAAGAGGAGCTGCAGGCGCTCGAACAACAAGTGGAGAACATGGCTAAGACAATACTCCAATATCGAACCACTCTTCCCGATCACCTCACATCCACTCTCTCATCTCTTCTCGCTTCCCAAAGACCCCTTCTACCTCCGCATTTGCTGCAGGAGGAGGAGGAAGACCTCTCCAATAATGCACCCTTGCCCGCACCACAATCGGAAGCTCGACCCACCCAAGGTTTGTGAGCTTCTTACTTAATATGTTTACTTTAACCCACGTGTTTTTACATGTGAAGATAATAAGTAGAAAAGGTTTGGTGTAAGTAATGTTATGGTTAATGTTATACTATAAGTCTTGTGTAAGTAAATTGATGCAGTCGTTGATTTCTTTGGAAATTCTTCAACACATCTTAAAAGTTGTAGCAGTAACTTAAAAAGATTGTTTGAGATGCTGGCCATCTCATGATTGCGTGTTACTCTTTCGTTGTCAGTTGTAGAAAATGCTTAACAGGCCAGCTTTTGTTGTGTTCAGTACATTGAACTATTGTTAGGGAAATTTGTAATAGGGACCGATAATTACCCAATTATGTCGTAACTAATTGCTCCTTTGTTTAAGCTGACACAATTCCTATATTTGTGTCGGTTTTGTGCTTGGAAGTTTTTAAGTTCTCAAGAGTGTTATTTTGAGAGGAGTTCGCCAACTGCGAGTTCATAGTCATGGGTTTGAGTGCCTACATTCTACTAGGAATGTAGATTACGTGCAGCAGCGCTTGGTGAATTCAATTCCAGCTGTTGATCTAATGTGGTTTAATTCGGGTAGTGGAGATTGTGTCAAGATAGAATTGTAATTTTGTGTTTTTGGGGTTTGTTTTCTCTTTGTGTTTGGAATTTATGATTTGGGTTTTGAATAGTAAAATAATTGAATTTGAATAGTAGTATGATCTTATGTTTTGAATGTTAAATTGATTTTTGGTATATTATAAATCAAATAAAATGTAGGTATTTGATTGGAATGTTTCCTCTCTTGGTCTGCCACATTTTTGCATTGACATTTCAGTCTACGAATCCTCCTCCTGCTGGTTCTTCTATCTACCTGTTTCCCTTTCTCGAGTCTACAGATTCCTTCTATCATGTGACACCAAGTCTCGTTCCGTTGTTGTCCTTTCTTGATCACATATGTGCATGTTGTTGTCCTTATGTTCCGTGCCACTGGTAGGATTTATGGGTTACGGTAACCTCTCATTCAGTTGCATCTTTGTTTTGTTTAGCAAGTTAGCTATTTTTTTGGTTACATTTATTGAGCATACTATTTTGTTGAACAACCTGAGAGGTTTTTTTTTCTTTTTTTTTGGAGAAATGAGATGATGTGTATTTTGTTAATCAATCTAAGTGTTTCGCTTTTCAGACATTTTTTTATTCACAATAGAGAAAATATCAATTTTATTTGTAAAATATATTGATCGATTCTTATATTATTGGCATGATCCAAATCGTGATTAGATTCCCTTGTCTAAAACCAAAGGCACACATAGATAACAAAAAGGTATTGTTTTGTTGATCATCCCGAGACTTTTGTAGAATAGACATTAATTTTGTTGTTCAATTGTAATACTTTTTAGTCATTATTTGATCGAGTTCATTTAGTGTTAGATAGGTAGTCTTGCAACTGGCATTCTCTCAGTGAACTTTCACATGAATCTAAAACCGAATGCATTAGCTTTGCATTATCAGAAAACCTGAGCAATGAACAATGAACAATCTGGATCTGCAGACTTGTTACGATACTTTTTTCATCTCTGTAATAACAGCATTTTCTACCGGAAGTAGTAGTGTCTGAGCTTTACTTATTTTTTTTGAGTCATAATTAAGCCATTCTCAGCCGTGATTATTATCACATCTTTCACTGATAGAACTAGAACTTAACCTACCTATCCTATTAATTTTTACTTAAGTGGGATTTATTGCCTAGCTGCAGTGACTATGAATACTCAACTAATTCAGCACATTTAGAAGGATCCAATTTGGCAAAAATACTTACCTTGGCATGCCCACATTCTTGTATTATCTATTAATTGCTTTCTTGGATTTTCCATATTTTAATAAAATTAATGAGCATGAGAGTCTTGAAAGCTTTTTCAATGGTACATTTTGTATGTTCAAATTGTAAATACTTTATAAATCATATTAGGTTTTTTGTTATATTATGTTTTGATTGTTCCATATTATATGAAGGCCAATGATTAATTGTGTTTAGATGTATTTTGGAGTTTTTTTAAAAGTTTTGGTAATTGTAAAAAGATTAGATGTGATGTAAATATGTGCTTATATAATATTTTGTTTAGAATATATATATCTTGTAATATTTTAAAAATAAAAATAAAAATTAGATATTCGATAATAATATTTTCGTAAAAGATACTAAAAGTGATTTTGAAACATATGCAAAGAGTGCCTTAAAATTTAATATTGCATGGTATATAAAATAGTATCTAGTATTCGAATAGAGCTAATTTTGGCGCCCACGGCAACATATGCATATTGTTTTGAATATTTGAGGATATAAGAGATCTTTCAAAGAGTTACCTTGTTAGTAAAAAAAATATATATACATAGAAACACCTTTCTTTCCACCACTTTTTGCATGCTGATCGTCCCGACCTGAACTTTACCTTGGTTTTATAGACCCCTCGGATCCAAACGATGCAGAAGAAGCTGAGAAGATACGTATCCTCAAGCAGAAGATTTCAAGAAATGCATCTGCAATTCCTGTTGTCTTGAATAGGATGAAAGAATGTATGTCCAGGATTGATAAGTTAGAGCCATCCAATGGAGTTATCCATCCCGCTTTTAAACGAAACGGTGGGACTTGATTTTTGTTTTTATTCGATTTTGGGGTTTTTGGCTTCGGTCTTTTAATATGGCGACATTTGTTGTTGTACTGGCCTGCCTTACCGGCAAATTGGTGGCGGGGGTCATTGATGTTTGTAACTAACTATTAGCTAGAGTATCGACGATCTTTTGGGTTTCCTATTTGATGTATATTAATTTACAGAGGATTTGATATTTGATGAACATAAGTGAAGTGAAAGTAGCTACTACTATTATTATTCTTAATTTTCCGAGCTACTTGAAAATTCAATAGAGCAGGGAATGTGCATTGCTTTGTTAGATATTGTTTAGCTTCGATAAAATAGGTATTCGAATCCATTGATCTAATTATAGTTTAAGCAAAACTTTTAGTTACTAAACAAACCAAATCAGGGCCTATCAAATTCAGCCATAAATCCATCAATCTTAATATATCTCTTATACTACAATACATTTGATATTTAGATGTATCTCATATACTACAATACATTTGATATTTAGATGTATCTCATATACTGCATAGGCTTCACAGCTATGTAATTATATGGTAAATTTGATGTATAAACCAAACCTCATTATACAGTTGCCCCAAGTTCCGATTTTTAGCTCTCGGTGAATTTCACAATTTCGGTTGAACTGCGGGAGCTGATGTTCTGGCCTTCCTCAATAACCCCTCTTGATTTATCGTAACAGCGAGCTGGCATGAAGAAATTGTTCAGATATTTATAGTAGGAGTTAGAATGAATTTGAATCACTTTGTGTACCTCTCCTTTCCGGGTAAACATTTGTCCAACAACGAATCCCCGGGCGCTATGAGCCATTGGACTATAAATCTATGGGAGAGAAGGGAAAAAGGAAAAATCTTGAATAAATAAGGCAGTCAGTCAGTTGGATTGTATTCTTAGAGACGAGTTGCGGATTACTCACAACAAACAACAGCCAATCATCAGCTCTGATAGGCCTGTGAAACCACATCCTGAAAGCACAGAGAAATTTCCGATGTAAAGAAAATGTAAAAAGCAGTTGAAACATTGCTATTCGGCATCTATGGAATTGATGCTTTTGTGAGTCGAATAGGAGATGGAATTGTATTATAATTGTTAAGTCTTCTCCAACAGGTAATGCTACCACAATATAATAAATGGACACTAGGAGAGTAATATGTATCTGTTCCGGCTTTATTATGTTTGTGTTTGAGAAATCTACATGTGATGATACAGATATTAGTATTAAGCAAAAAAACCCGATGCAATTTGAGAAATGTGAAAACTCACGCGTGGTCTAGGCTGACAGCAGATGTCTTCAAACCCTTTTCCCGATGAGGGTTCATGCCGATTTGGAGAAATATTAAATCAGAAGCATAAGCGACTACACATCTGCAGAGAATTAAGTTGGTTAAATAGGTTACATGATAAATATCTTGCCAAGAAAACAATTGCTCTACCAACAATATAGCCATATGGATTTACAAGACACTTTCATTCACAAACTTAATAATGTAATTTCGCACTTTGAAAAGTTGGAAGATAAATGATTCTTCAATGTTTACATTCCAAACGGTGTGATCCAATCATACAAGTGTAAATTCAGGACATTGGATACTAAAATTTAAATTCTACCCGCCAGATCTTGCAGGAAAGTATTAACCATTTACTACCAATTTCAGAGATCGGGTGTAATAGTAAATAGTTTCAATATCATACACTTTCTCCATCTAACGGGGGCTACAGGAGATTACTGTAACTATAAAAAATAGACCTAAAGCCAGACTCTGATTCCAGTTCATATGAAAAACAGAGTCCTCATCTCTGTGACCAAAAATTCCAATATTGCAGATATTAGATCATGGGCATATCCACTCCTATAAAACAATAGTATATGTCATTCGGGATTCCTCTAAATTAATCACTCTCCCTAGGCACAGTTACAACTTGTGTGTAGTTGTAGAATCATGTAGTTACGGTATATCGCTACAAGTTGTGTCCTCCATTGATTCCATCATCATTCCAAAATCGATCAGAGAAGCCTTGGATCAACCTCACTGGTATATGGCTATAATCAGGGAGATGCATGCCTTACATGCCAACTACTCGACAACTGGTGTCCTTAACCGTAGGAAAGACACTATTGGTTAAAAGTGACATACTTGCATAGGACCCAGATGGTTCCATTCCCTGTCTGAAGGCTAGTCTGGTAGCTAAAGGCTATGGCAAGCGTATGGTGTAAATTATATGGACACCTTTTTTCTCTCAGATGTGAAGTTTATAGCCACTCCTTATGGACTTGTATTTATATGTAAAAAATGCCTTCGGACATGGGAATCACGGTAAAAAGGTGTATATAGAGCAATCTTTGGGATTTGTTGCTCAAGGGTAGCGAGGAAACATTGGTGCTGGACAGATTTTTTGTGACTTTATGATATAGAATTCATATTTCAGGATTAAAGGTCACCAGAAAACTCATTTGTGCCATTTTCTTCCAGTTTATCGAAACGCATTGAAAAAGTAAACTCCATATATATTTTCCTGAAGCTCCTAGAGCACAAATACAGAGATCGATCCTTCTGCTCAACCTGATAAAAGTTTTTGCATCAGAGACTTGTGCGATCTTTCCTTTCTCCGAGAATAGAAACTCAAGATATCCATCAACTCCTTAAAATCTCAGTGGAAGATATAAATTACAGGCCTTATAACTAGTAGAAGGGGATTATTGCCCTGAGAACCTTCAAAACTATCCTCAAATAAGGGCTTATGGGTTTGGATTACTCAAATACTCCACCTATGGTATTTAGGTGGTCAGAAGGAAGGTCTCACAGAACAATCCCAAGCCCTGCACTGGTGCAGTTCAGTGTTCTCCTGCACTGCATAGCACACACAAAATTCAAACCCAAGCCTTTTCTTTTCTGCTCTGATACAATCTAGTTTGAAATTCCTCTGAATTGTATCACTAACTCTGTTCATGGATATAGGTGGATAGATATCCTATCTATATCAAGACGATATCTACATTAATCTCTACCATATCTACATCATCCCACTATTATACTCTACAGTATATAAGGCATGTTAATTCGACTTAAAAACTAATGGTTAGATCCAATAAAAAAAAGAATAAAAAAAAGAAAGAAAGAAAGAACTAATTGTTAGACTTATCTGAAGAAAACTAATCTTCTGCAAGTCATTGCAGGAAACAATACATAAAGATTCATACCTGTGCAGATTTTGCTCATCAGAAAGTGTTCCTCTTGCTCTAAACCAGTAGTTTAATCTGCACAGTTACAAATGCATAAAATGCATGAATTATGTATCACTTCCAATTCTTCCATAACCAGTAAACCACAAGTAAACAAAGTAGAAGGCAATGAGAAAATGAGAAACCTTGGAGGGGATTTAGTCTGATTGGTGGAGGAAGCATTAGGCTCACAGAACCTAATCTCTATAGGCCAAGGAACAAATTTTACACTAGCAACCTTGTTTCTATATGTCCTGTGACACACAAAGATGATAATCAACAAAACTTAATATAGGAACTGAAAATACTACTCGAATGGCATTTCAAATTATACATGAAAATGAACTTCACTCTAGCAACAATAAGAATAGGGCCACAGTTTTAATTCTAGACAAATCATTTGGGCATTGCTTCAGTTTTTAGTTTTGGTTCTTCACTCCCTCCCTTACATACTCTCTAATAAAACCATTTTACTTCCTAAATAAAAGAGAAGCAATTGGGCCAGAGTTGAAAAGTCAGTTGAACCCATTACAAATAATCATAAATGAAAAAAAAAATGGTTAATAAGTGGTTACCCAAAGATCATACTTCATAGATAAACAAAACAGAGTGCGGTAACAAGAAATAGACAATCGAACATAAATCTAACAAATACAAGATGAAATGCTACACTTTAGAGAAGTAATTGTGCTAAATTTGGAGGAAGTGTTGTTGGAAGTTCCCACTCTAACTTTGGTCTCTTTTATTTATAGGTCAGAAATTCTCATTGTTGACCAGCATTAAAGCGTATGCATGAAAAGAAAGTAATTATTGCACAGATATGGTTTACTAGCCCGCCCTAAATTGGTCTTCACATTTGATTTTGAATTTGTATTTTCAGCAGCAAATACTGATAAAAGAATGTATCTAATCGTGAATTATGCATATCCATAAACATGGTTTCAAAGTGTTTTAAACAAAAACTGCAGCATTTTCATGAATGATCAAAAACATTTGATGATAGCCCAAAAGTGCATGCAATCATGCTTTCTATACACGATAACACATAACAAGAAAAGAAGCCACCAACGATGTAACTGCTCAGAAAAATGTTTCAATTCTATACACTCATGTGATATATTGCTCTGCAAAGCCATCTGTTTTCTTAAATGCAGAGATACACACTTAATTTTGGGTATTACCAATTATTCTTCCAAAATTTTAGCCAAAAAAAAGAAACTAGTGAAACGAAATTTTGATTGGCTAAGTAGATGGTTTCCCAATCAACATTTACCGGTAATCTTAGAAACAACTTAACCTGGGAAGGCGAGGATCAATAAGACGTCTTTCCCGCAACTCCTCCATTGATAAAAGCTGAAGAAGGGAATAATGATTTCAAACATTGTAATAGACATTCCAACCATAGAAATCAATAAATCCACTTGAATGAAACCTCATCTGGATCAAGTACATAAGGCATGGTTGCCATCTCATGTTGAAATCCTTCTTCAGCTTTCTGTAAATTTGAACACAATTTATATAAAGTTCCAAATATAGCACAACAGAAAGGCACATAAGACAACTATTTATTTTCAGAATCTGTAAGCTCCTTGAAAGAAATGAATTATTGGTAGCAAATATGCTTAGTCAATTCCTATGGAAAATGTCACAAAGTTATCTCAATCCATGAATATAAAAGTGATCCAGGACCATAACAAATCATAGAAATTACTAAATATCGATGGTAGAGTCCACAGATCAATAAAAAATTACTGGTAAAATTTATCATGATATAAACGGAGCATTAGGCATCTAGATTGTTCAGGTTTGTTTACATTTTTTGGGCGAAGACAGTTACTTCTATTTTCAAATGCCCTAAATAGTGTCAGGATTTTTCACTTGTTTATTTTGTATATTTCAATTAGTAAATATTATATGATGACTTAATAGGGAATAATTATGATTGACAATGATCAATATCTCCATAAAATAAACTATATGCAATAACTTTGGGGTAGATGTATCATAGAGGATGTGCACACCTAGATAATTATTATAAAAAGGTGCGACAATTATACTCTAAATTTTGTATGCATGAATTAAAGAAAAAAAAAATCAAAATACTGGCCTGTTGAGAGTTTTTATGTGTGTAAGTTTGGCAAAAACTTATCATGGCAATGTATTGATGCACTACAAATAGCTAAAGAAGATAAATGTGCTTTCAGTAGATTTGGAGTTTTGGGGTATTTGCGCATGAAAACAGGACAGCTGTCAACCACTTTATTTGGTAATGTGAAACTCACCAACTAGAGTAGGAAGAATCACTATTGTAAGAAATCTCCAGTCACACCTCCTTCTCACAAAATCAATTTACAAGTTTCTATCAATATTGGTCTTTTCAAAATTCTTAATTCAAACAATTGTGCATGCTGTAGGGGAATTTCAGAGAATGTAAATGTGATCTAAAATATTGAACTTTATTGATTTTTCTTGATTTGAACTCCAATCCAATTTTAAATGCACAGAAATTTTAGATAATTTCCCCTTTCCACCCTACTTTCAACTGAAAAAATAAGGAGAACAATCCATAGATAATACATTAATAAATCTAAACAGTGACTAATAAACTTACCTAAATTCTGAAAGAACATATCTATCTTATAGTGTAAATGGGGCATAAGGAGGGAAATCTGAAAATGAATAAATTCAAATTTGACAGAAATACCTGAAAAGAAGCCATCAATGTAAATACTACATTCCCTTTTTGTATTGCTTCCACCCTTCGTGTCGCAAAGCTTTTTCCATCACGCACTCGATGCACTTGATATATAATTGGTACTGAAAATCATTGTGGATACACAATAATTTTGGAGTAGAACATGTAGGGTGGTACAGAAAAAAGGGGGCGGTGGGGGTGTTTTAGAAAGTTTTGAGAAAATAATACAAGGAAAAATGTAATTTTAGTCCCATGAGTGCACCCATATCACTTCGGTTCTTTAGCTTGCGTGAAAATGGTCTTTTATCTCACTCGCCATTGCACTAGGTCATGTATTAGAATGATGATAAGTGATATATAAAACCATTTCCATTCAAGGTAACTTAAAGGACCAAAGAGAAGCCACTTGCAAGGACAGAATTACATTTTTCCCTATGATATACTTATGCTTCTAGACAACATTTGACTTATAATGAACATGTCAAGTCAAAAATAGGAGTTTCTACATATCCATTACAAGATCATAAACCTTTCATAACTAAAAAATATGAACATTTACCTTGTTCGACGTCCAAAAAGAAATATACTTGTGACTTTTCCTCCACTACATGAATATATTGCCAAGTTGCTCTTATTATTTTTCTAGTGCTACGGTTTGGAGGCAGAGTTACCTAAATCTACATTTCTTATTCTCATAATCATGCATTCTCTCTAATGTAAAAGTTATATAATTGTCAAAAAAATCTACATATGAGAGTTGTAGCCTCAGTCCTATTTTCATCTAGCATACTAATATTGCTTGATCTCACTTCATGCAGTTGGAAGAAGCAATTACGGGACTTTATAAATACTTGGAAATTATCTTTTGGTACTGACCAGTACAAATATAAAGGAAGAATATACATGAAATTTCCCATCCCAGCAGTAAATCTAGACAAAATTATTCATTAACATGTTAGTGATAGTTGCACCCATCAGAAGTCAATTTATAGTTAGATACAGAGCTTTATACAATTTAGTAACTTTGAGCAGCAGCAACTCAAGCTATACCTGGAGGAGATGATAGTTATGAATAAGAATCAGTGGACTCAATCAAACAGCTATTGATATGTACCAATATATTGATATGCCCCAACAAAATATTCCACAAACAGCAATGATGTGATCATATTACACTTCAAGTTATTAAAACACCAAGTTATATGTAACTCAATGATCATGTTTTCAGCAGGTTAAGATAACTGGACTAGCAGTGACCATATAAACAAACACACATGTTTTTGAGTATTATTATAATTTTTGTGACCTGTGCAATAAAGAAATTTGAAGGAAAGTTTCAGAACCTCGAGGAACTTACTGTCAAAGTCACCAATGAGAAGAAAATAAGCATGCAAACTGTGAACAGTCTTAAGACTATCAACAGTTTTGCATGCTGCAGCCAGTGCCTGCATTATTAGCCATGGCAGTATATCAAACTCCTAGTGACAAAAATGTTTTGTATAGTATGAAATAAACCCTATGAGACAACATAAAGGACCAATGGAGACAAAAACAAAAAGAAAATATATAACCTAAATTATAAATACATATTTCAAGTTGTCAATGTGAAAAAATTAATAGAAAACCTAAAAAGTTCCCTGGCCAACAAATTGGATCTATGTAGTTATCCTAGAAGGATGCCTGCACATACCTGTCCAAGAAACTGCCCTCCAAAAACTTTCCCAAATTTTGGAGCATCAGGCAATGTAATGCATTGAAAAATGTTAACCTGGAGAATAATACTTGCAATCATCAAGAATCCAGATAGCAGGCACTCTAATGCAACAAACCATAGAACACGAATTTGCATTAAGTTTGCTTATTCTAGATCTTTTCCATCTATAATAAATTTAAAATACACACACACACAAGGACAATATGATTTTCCATTTTTATTTAACTTGATCACAGACTTTAGCAAGCATTGGTTTAGAGTCAAATGTAAAAGAGTACAATAAATGTAGTAAAATGTGGTTGTTGAAGAGAGGCATGAGAAACAAACTATATTTCTGCAGCCTTGCAATTTGACATAAGTAAATCTCCACATGCCAGAAGACAATTATTCTTTGTACATACATCAATAGGCTCTGCATGCAGAATTTGCTCGACAAGTGGCTTCTCTGTGTCATCTGCACTCCAAATTGATTTGGGCTTCAACAAACTCTCATGCTCCTTGGGAAGCACTAAGCAAGTAAGCTGTCCACCACATACAAACATGTCAGTAGTTTTGACAGTAAGCGCTGGTGAACATGCACAGAAAATGAATAGTTTTCTGCAATAGGGGGCAGAGGAAGCCAAAAGAACCAGAAATAACCTTCGACAAAGCAATCACATCAGCTGGCTGAGTAGAAGATGCCAAACCTGCAACAGCACCCAAGCCATGAGGTGTGTTCTCATGAATTATAATTATTACTATTCTTTTTAAAAATGTACTTTGAAGAATGATAAAATGATGAAATGCATGCACTACATGATATCTAATAAGTAATAGTACATGAATAACCTATGCGAAAGAAAGCAAGCACAAAAATTTATAAGCAGGTAAATTGAACCTTATAGTTAAAGAATGAAGCAACACAACAATCAAATGAGGTAAATAGTTAAAAACACTGGTTTCATAAAAGCCATATAAACTCTACAGCACTCAGCATACACAAATGCAAGAAAAAGTTTTAAAGAATGAGCATCTAACCATGGCCAAAATAATCACACTTCTTTAAATTGAATTCAGGACGGTCTTTATCATCTGCGTGAAATGATCCGCAAACTTCAGCCTACATCAATGCAGGATGATAGTAATACAAACAGTAAATAACCACACAAATACATAAACTCTGCTGTCACAGTCCAGGCATAATATCAAACACACCTCCCCATCCCATATAAAGTAGATTCCATCAGCAGCATCTCCTTCACGAACTACATAATCTCCGCGATCTTTATTATTGCATGCATTAAAAAGAGATTAAGTAGAGGACAGATGTATAAAAGGGAACATGCTGTTACAGTTTGACATTCATCAGACAGAAAACATAAAGCAGGAAGATGTTAAGTAAATATTCCAGTAATCCATAAGAACAATTCCCTCCTCCCACGCCCTAAAAAACAACAGAATATAGAGAGAGAGAGAGCAAAGTCCTTCCGATTGTGTGCAAAGGGGCACATTTAAGCTCGAATTTTCTATTCTCATTCAGTAAGACATAGTTGTCCGATTAATTTACCAACACACGCACGCATCCGTAATCCGTTACGTACAACACATGTAACCAAAAAGCACAATTATCAAAAACAAAAAAATACAAAGGATTACCGTAGTGTTTGGTGATCACAACTTGGGCGATTTTCTTATGCGATGAGCTAGGAAGCCTCTGAAGCAGCGGCACACACCCTAAGAACTCGATAACTGCCAATTCAACAAAAAAGAATAAGAATACAAATCAAATAAAAAACACCAGAAACATTTCCTCCACCGTCGGAAGCACTGAAATCGCCTGTAGAAAATAAAACGAGAGGCGAAAATAACTAAGGTCACCTGAATCGGAATCCATCGGCTCGGCGGCGGAGAACGGAATTTGTAAGCGATCAAGAGCAAGAGCTCCTCTGTTTAAAGTGATTTGAGAGGATGAGGATACATGAGAATTTCATCTGTCAGGCGCGACGCACGTGCGCATACATACAAACGGTGTTTATGCAAATACTAACGGCGGTCGGTAAGGCGTCCCCTTTTAAGCCGCAGACTCACTCATAAACGATGACTAAGAAGAAAAAGAAAAAAAAAAAAAGACGATCACTATAAATAAATATATATATATATATATATATATAAATAGATTTAGTTCAATAATCTTTTGGCACGTGAAGAACGTTGTCGGTCAACTCCTGTTGTCCAATGTTGACATTAGATTTTATTGTCTATGAGATTTTATGTTATGAACTTATACAATGATTCATTATTATTATTATTATTATTATTACAATATAAAAGTATTATTGAATGAGAACAATGCTAATAAATCCAATATAAACATACATTACATTACACGATAGATATAAAAACAATTGTCACTATTAAATGGCACAATTGACTTCAATATCAATACAACATAGATATATAAAGATATATATATATACATATATAATTTTTTATTTAATACAATATGTGCTTTATTAAATAAAAATCAATATTATGCTGCTTTAACACTATAATTGTCACTATTTAAATATAAAATATACTCCCAGTGTAGCTAAATAATTATATATATACATACATAAATTCATCAAAAAGTTCTATACACTTATCATTTCTCAATATATTTCTTTAGATAAAAACTTTATTTTTTTTAGTCCCGTGAGAGAGGGTCGCAATGAGAATGCATTAGTAACTGTGAAGTCATTGTTTAGACAAGAGTTTTTGAAAAAATTTAAAATTTTAAAAATTTGAGAAAAAGTAAATTGTGAGAGAACACAATTTAATATGATATTCTTTAAAAAATTAATAATGTCAAATGAATGAAACAATGTTAGGTAAATAAAGCTATTTTTAATTCAATTTAAATTTGAGCTTTATTAAAATATTCGTTCACAACGGTTTTAGATAATATTTTAAATTGAATATTTGACTTTTTCAAATGAATATTTAAAGATTTTTTTTTTTTGACTTTTTTAATATTGTAAAGAGTATGTTATATTGTTTAATACTGTCTCCTTCTCACATACCATGTCCATGTTAACTGTTTTTGTCCGTCCCACGTGCCATGTCACTTTTTTTTTTAAAAAATAATTATACACTTTAATCTCATTTTAAACTTGTTAATTTTTTTTTTAAAAAAATTAATTAAACTAATTAGTTATCTTAATCTTAATTTATAATTATTTATATTATAAGATAATTATTTTCATTAGTACATTCTTAATAATATACTAATTACATCCCTCCTAAAATACTGTGTCTACAATGCAGCAGACACGGTATGTGGGACGGAAGTAGTACTATTTTTCAAGAGTCAGCAATTGAAAAACATTGGAATAACAAAATGAAACTTTTATTCAACAATTTTTTTTTTTTTTTTATAAATTTAATGTATGATAGATATATAATGGTTATATCCATTTTCTTCAAATTTTAAAGCTATTCTGAGCATCTTTAGATTATTCAGCTATACTAAAAAAAAAAGAATAAAGATAAATAGAGGAACGAATGATGTTGGTCCAAACTATTTATTATATCAAAATTTGAAGCTAAAAAAAAAGATGGCAAAAAAGATTTTAAAAAATGATCTGAAATAAATAGTTGATGGATTCTCTTCAAACAGCCTAAGAAATAAGAAAATTGGGCTGTTGGGCCTATCCAGCCCATCAAAACAGGCCCAGATATTATAAAATTTTCGATTCAGATCTTATCCAAATATGATGATCGTATAACACTTTGTTTATTCAAGTGACATAGTCATAGATATACATTTCAGATTTATCCAACAAGTGTAACAGATCGATGCAAGTAGTCATTCAAATAATCTCTACAAATAATGGCTTAAACAGGTATAGATAACATTATCATTTCTTTTTATTGAAATAAGGATGAAAAAGAAAATAAGAACAAATATAAATAGAGTGAAAATATGGTTCATAAGTAGAATATATACATTTCCTCAATTATAATAAATACTAGTAAATATTGTGATGGCATTCTCCATATTCTGTGACTGTAATAATACAAAACATAAATATACAAAAGTCATTCTACGGTTACCTACCAACAAATATTTCATCACTTTCAATTTAATGTTAGTCTTACCTCAAACCATTTTTTCATCACTATGTGTACCTGAGTTTCCATTTGAGAAGCCTATGTCAGTGTTGGTCTCGACGCGTCCCCGGCTTGCGCGCAAGAACACTTTCTCCTGCAGATACAAATGGTTCAAACATTTCGATGAAAATTTCTTGCACACAAAACCTCTCTAGCCAATTCAGAATAAAACAAAAATATATATGCATACATTTGATTTGAGAAATATCGTATGTTTGTTTATGTTTTCAATATCATTTTTGCACTATTCTATCTCCGGTGCTATATTTTCATTTAAAATATCAAAAATCGATTTTCTATTCAGAATATTGCATCCAACAACTATTTTCAATTAAAACTTCATGTCTAAAACATAATTTTCCATTCAAAAGATATCAAATACCCCAAAAAACACAAGTCATTCAACAATAACGATTGAAAAAAATGAGCTGAGGCGTAACATTGAATATGAAGTGATCTTACCATGCATAGCCTTGACGAACAATTCCAATTCGACCAGGCTTTGTCTTTCTGCAAGAAGTTGGTTCAGCCTCGCATGCGTAAAACTAGAAAAATGCCTTCTGTCTGGATCGCCAACGGGTTTTGCCTTCTCCAATAAATAATTATACTCCTCTCTGTCATGGCATGGGAAAGAAGTTTCGCTTGCAACAGGTACACAAGCATCCCATGCGTCGTTCACAACCTAAATCATGATTCGTTGTTACCACAATATTTTGGCAAGTGTTCAGACTCATCGATACTAAGAAGTTGAAATAGGATAAGAAAAACTAGTGCTCACTTGCCAAGCTAGCCCCTCGGGATCGGAGAGAGACTCAGACATGTCCATATGGTGATCCACCGTGCTTGTTCCAGAACATGTGAAGTACAGAGAAGCATTGTGCTTCTTAAGCATTAACATTATAGCTGCATAACCATCACGATTGCAGGAGTTATAATATCCGGCCGTCAATTCAGCAGCATGACTAGCTGTTTTGTACCACCAATGCATGCCCGGTAGCTGCTCGAAGATGATCATACAGAAAAAATCAGGAAGTTCTAGAATGAGGTACGTCAAAGATAATAATAGCTAAAGAAAAGGGGAAGAAAAATGGAAAGCAAAGAAACAAAAAAACGCCAGAGAAATAACCTTTGCAGCAATGCAAGTTCTTTCAAAAGTTAACTTGGCCAGAGAAAGGACTCGATCACCATGGTCTACCAAGAGCTGCGAATACCAATTAAGGAAAAACCTGCCATAATAGCCATCATAATCGCCTCTGTCGCAGAAGAAGCCAGTCTCGTGTGGCTGTGAATTGTAAGAACCAGCATTCTCCGGTCCTCGTGCCCAAAACGAGTGACCTCTTATATCAGCTGCCTTCTGCAGGCTTTTCAGCATGTATTGATCATAGCACTGAAAATGATGAAGCAAGACGGATCATAGTACCAAAAACAGATTAAATAATTATCCAACATAAAATAAAGTGCATTGTAAAACACAGAGAAAAAGAGAGACGCTCATGCTCGTTGTGGTAAAAAAACAAGACCAAGATATGTTTGAGTTGAGTTGAGATTGATCAATTTTAAACCAAGAAACCAGAGTGCAATAAATGAAATGATTTAACAACATATTTACCTGAAACTCACCAATACCAGGGTATCTCCATCCATGCTTTACAGGATTGGACGGGTATCTCAGCTCTCCACATGGACCAAGTCCTATCAGAATCATAGATATGATACCATCCTCAAAAAGGTCATCAAATTCAATCCGAAAGCTCCTCATGTAATCAAAGTAGACCTACATGGTTTCCAGTTACATACCATTAACATCATTTCAACAAATGTCACTAAATAAATTAGAAGTATAGTTCAACTGTGAATTCATATCTAATATAACATAGGCTACCTCTACAGCAGTCCGGCCCCTCAAAACTCTTTCCTTGTCTACACCCCAGGACAGACATTCTGGGTCTCGCCTTCCAGCTCTATCAGTGAAGAATATGTCTGGATTGCTTCGACCAATTTCAGCTACCCAATGAGGCAGGGGAATACGCACGTCATCCCCAACATAGCCTCCGCATTCATGAAAGGACAGCACAACCTGACATCATATAAATTTGACCAAAGTTGGCAAGAGATCAGCCAATGAAAGTTTCTTATGGATTCCTTTCATCAATGCTTAATTTTGCCTGTCATGGTGGCATTTCCCATTCTAAGTAGCCAACAAACAACTAACCAAATGTAAAGATATCCATTCCTAATTGACAACAAGGTATTAAGAAAGATATTCAATAGCTCCTTCTTTCGCAGGATCCCCTGAAATGTGGAGTATATACAAAGATTTAGATCCAACTTTGATGTCTTCATAGTATTTCTATTCATAAAAGAGCATATTTGTGCACATGTATTTTAGCTTCTAATTACAAACTGGCTATACACCGAGACAGAGGCATATTTCCTGGAAGGAATATTGTATAATATACAAGAACAGAATTCTAAGTAGTAACCTGTAGTTTCATATTGTGCTCCCTCACAACTTGAAATAACTTTTTGTAGCCATTCCAGTTATACTCTTGGGGTGTGTGCGCTTCAACTATACCCCACCAACAGTCAACCATAACTCCATCAACATTTAATGATTTCAGGGTTTTGAACTGCTTCACAAGATTATCTGGATCAACGAGCTCACACTTCATATTGATTACACCCAACTGGCAACAAAGTAAACAACCATATTATCCTTGGAACCCTAGATATTTTCCATTCTAAGTTCTACATTCATCATTTAAGAGGCTGTGAAACAATGATCAACCAAAAAGAATTGGTCATTATCAAACATCAATGAGAATAACCACAACTAAGACCTGTCACAGAAAGAAAAGAGACTTAACATTCTTTGAATGGAATACATGTCATTTTCTCAGGAAAGAGTGATAAAGAGAATATGTGCAACCAATTCAAGAGCAAACATACATATAACATGGACAGAATAAACAAGTGCAGAATGATGCAGTTACCAGGACCACATAACACCAGAGTTTGGTTAGTAGAGTATATAGATTCATACAGCAAGTTACTCAAATAACATATACTCAGACCATACCGGCAACATGACATAAACTGGAACATAAGGTGTGCCAGCAAAATCCCGCTCTTGTAATTTTGTAGGCATGGAAACAATCTACAAAACAAACACAACAAAAGAATATCAGAAAAATAGTTGCATCAAATCATTGTTTACAAGTTTATATTAAAAGAAACCATATAAACAAGCTGTCGATAGTCATTTGGAATCTCAAGCACAATAAAAATTTACTGAAACGAAGAGGTGATTGAAGCAAATTGAATATTGAGAAGCCAAAAATCTTGCCTGCCTCTTTTCAGCTGAATCTATAGAGCCTCCAAGAAGAGGATCACTCTGCAAATCTCCTCCATCCCCAATTATTGACGATGTCTGAGATCTACCACCTGAGGAAGCATCACAAGGTGATGAAGTAGGAACACAACCACCTTTCGTGTGTGATGTGTTGTAATCAACTGTGTTCCCATAGCCTGGAGAAATGCCTTTCGATGAAGTAGGAGAAGTTTGTTGTACTGGCATTTGTGATGAAGATGACAACACCATTGTATAAGGTGCACCAGATGTAGGTCTCGTGCCCTGTGCATATATTAAAACATGAGCATGATGAGATCCAAGCACATGCAAACATCAGCTTACATGAACACAGGTGAATCATTCACTCCGTTAAGAGTTAACAGGATTGGAAATGGGATTCACAGCACATGCATCTGGAGCGGTTAATGCTTTGCATTTTGTGAACTGTTCCAAAAGTGCATGGTACATATTTCTTACTTACATGCACAAATTCAATGATTAAAATGCAAGTACTTAATTGTGGCCGCATGGTTTAATGAAACTTCAGAATGCTAATCAGGAAAACCTGATATAACTTTTATACTTTTTTTTTCTATATTTAATTTTACTATGTGCAATATTGTATTTTGAGTTGGCTTGGAAGTCCTTGTCATTAACTGAGAGATCCTACACATAATGTGCCTCTGCCACCATGTCTCTGGTGCATAGACCAACTTCAAAGGGTATATTCAACATTGTTCATATCAGGCATATAAAATTACCCCATCAAGAAGCTTAGCTGCTAGATCAATAGCAATTGAAAATTTTATATTAAAAGAATAGAGACATAAGTTTAAATGAATTAATTAAAAGTAATCAAGAATTCTACCTAATCATGTAACAAAATAATGCAATTATCCTTCAGGTTTTCTATCAGAATTATTGAAAACTTATATTATGAATAATCAAATAGATACCTGAGATCTGGAAGGGAAGGTGGTTCCATCCGGAAGAACAACCCAACCTGCTTCCCTTGCCAAAGCAGCAATAACATCATTAATGTCAGCCCTAACTCTGAGATTATAGTTACCATGTCTACGTAGCCCAGACAAAATCTTTGCAGTGATTGCTCTCCGCTGTCTCTCTCGCAACTTTGTTCTCTCTTTCTCTTCTTGTGGCCTACATCTTCGAGTCCCTCCTTGTGGGGTTGGCTGATCTTGATACTCCTGGTTATGGAAATGCCTACTACTATCACTCGATAGCATGCCCACATCTGCACCAGCCGTTACGGATTTTACAGCATCTTTCTCCTCATGGTGGCTATCTTCGTCATTATCATCGTCCTCACCTTTCACATCCATCTCCATTTCATCATCATCTTCTTCACTTGTGCCGAATCTTTGCATCTCAGCTGCCATCACCTTTTCCGTATGTTTATTTGCACTTGGTTATCTTCTCCTCAAGAAAAAGAAAGTTTTATGGTGATTAATGACTTGAACAGGAGCCATGGTTGTTTATGCATACAACATCACATGCTAATGTCATACTTTCGTGGAAATCGGAGGAGCATGTTTGTGTCAGCACAGTTTCTAGTGGGTAGATCCAAAAACATCTGACAAATTGTCAGAATGGCGCTGATATCATCATAACGAACTAACAAACTGGTGCCGTGTACCAATAAAGAAGTTTCACCATCTCAAAGAGTCTTGTATCCACGCAGCAGGGAGATATCTCAATAAATTTATATTTCATAAGAAAAGTTTATTAAGAAACTGATACTCAAGCATAAATACGTTGATTTGTTGGCATTAGTCACACTTGTGATTTAATATCTAAAAATTCTGATATCTTTATCCAGAGAGTAGATTCAAAATTCTGTCTACAATGTAGCATTTTTCAATTCACTACATCAAATCTGCTAAAGCCACTGAACAATTTATAGCTTCAGCCCTCTCATCTATCAGCTCAAACATCTACAGCAATCATATACACAAATACTGAAGATTAAACAAAAAATCAAGTGAACTGAACAAACAATAAATAAAAATCATAAGATATTTACTTCATCAAGTCAGAGTATACAGAAAACACTTACCAAAGTCAACAAAAAAGTCCTAATCTGTGGGGAAAAAAAGTAAAAGAAGCCTGCAGTATTAAAAATTAATAAATAAAAACCTACTCTTGAAACAGCTCAACAAAACTTAATGAACTCACCTCTTTTATCGTATCACAACCTCCAGAAAAGATTCCACACTCGCCGGCAGTAGATCCCGAAGGCGTCGGAACAACGAATATTCCGACGAATCAAACTAAATACGAGGCTAGTAAACCGTAGAACATCTAGAACTCACGAAGCTGGGGAAGGTAACAAAATCGTGAGTTCCAACAGGACAATGAAGCGGCGGGAGAATCGCCGGCGACGAGGCGGCGGAGGAAATGGAAAAGGAGATTTCGCACGGGGGAAGCGTGTGTAGCAGTTGGCACGAGTTAAGGCACTTATCCCGCGGCACGCTTCGCACGGGCCAGTGTGGGTCAGTCACGTGATGCGCGTGGGTCCCGCCGCTCTCTAATTATGCTCTCCTCCTAGCGGTGTAGCATCGCATGCATTGCATATGATATAGGAGGAGTGTATTATTATTTCTCTTTATTATAGTAATAATATTAATTTCAATATTAGTTGTATGCTCACGAATGCACGCCTTTCATATTTTACCATTAAAAATTAAGGTAAAATAATAATGATATTCATCGATACAATTAATTCATTTCTATATATATATATATATTCATGAACAATTCATCAATTCTTTTATTTAAAAAAATATTGGGATTGTTTGCCTAATCATTTTTTATCATTCCAATATATAAAATATATTCTATTTTTTCTAAAAAAAAAAATAATATTCAATATAAAAAATGTTAACTTTTTTTATTACCGATATAATTTTCAATATCTAACATAAAAAATACATCAAAGCAAAATACTAAATAAACAAATCCATTGAATTAAAGATTTATTCTCTATTTTTAATATTTTATATAAAAAAAATTATAATCAAAATATTAAATTATCATTTATTTATATTACAATAAATAACTATTCAAAATTTTAAAACAATATTATTTAAAACTCAAACCCAAAACAAGGACACCTTAAATTCTGTTGTGTTAACCTTTTTCTAATTTTTTACTAATTAATATTGGGTTTGTTCATATATATATATATATTTATATTATACAGGGACGGAACGGGACTTGTGGTTCACTTGCTTTCAACCCCATAACTATATTTTTTAAATTAATAAATAATAAAATTATGTATTTTTAATAATTTATTTTATCTTATTTTTTTTTTCACCGTAATCCTTATTTTTATGGAAGTTAAAGTATATTTTTTTATATTTGCATAAGTTATTCATTTTCAATCATAATCTCTATTTTATATTACAGAATAACTCATCCCCAAACAAATATGCAGGTTAAAAAATAATTTAATTTATATTTTATTTTATATATTAATTTTTGTAATTTTTTAAATTTATTAACATCAAGTATTTTATTATTTTTATATATTTGATTTATAAAAATATTTTAAATATTATATCAATATATTAAAATTATATATTTTTTATTATTTGATTATACAAAATAATAAATAACGTTTTCTAAAATTAAATAAATTAATATATAATATTATTAAATAATATTTATGCAAAATATAAATATAAATACTATATTATATCTTTGGTTAGATATAATAAATATAATATAAAAATTAATATTAATTATAAAATTAAAATATAAATATATAAAAATAATTTATTTTATATACTAAGATAAAAATAAAATAAATAAGTAAAAATATAATTTTTAAATAAATTTTATTTAGTTTTTAACTTAAAATTAAATTAAAAATAAAAAAATAAAAAAATCAACCTCTCATCAGAGAGGATGCCCTTTAGTACAGATAAATTTTGTATTTGAAAGTGTGATGCTTGCAAATATAAAAGGTGGGAGCAAAACTGCTATTTTTGTAGAGTGAGTCGAAGATAATCTTAATTTTTATTTTTATTTTTTTGTAAAAATTAATAAATATTATACTATAATTTTATTGATTTGCTTATTTTTATTTTTTATAAAAAATAATAAATATTATACTATAATTTTATTGATTTGCTCTTCAATATATAATATTTTTCAATAAAAAATATAAAATTTATATAATTATATTAATTCTTTTAATATATCACAAGTAAGGCATTTCATAGTGCAATATATCATGCCCAATAACTGAATTTTGTTATTATAACAAAAAAATCTAAGTCTTTTTTACAAAAAGAAAAAAAGGAAGTAGATTAAATATGAAAATTAGGAAAAATGAGTTACTATAAAAACAATTATTACAAATGTATAATGAAGATTATGGTTTGTTTAGATAGAGATTTTTGGAAATTTAGAAGTTTGAAAAAAAAAATAAATAAATAATTAGTATTTGATTTGATGTTTGTGAGAGAAAAATTTATTTGATATAATATTTTTTTAAAAAAATAAATAGTGTCAAATGAGTGAAAATGTATTTCGTACTATACAGATTATTTTTCTCTTACAGTATTTAAATCAAAATAATCTAAAAGTAAAATTCTAAAGATTTGTATGTTTCTTTTGATGAAATTTGAAAAATTTTGATTTGGGTTTGATTTTGAAAATGAAATGTCTTATGAAAAGAAAAAATATATTTTTTTTAAAAAAAATATATCGTTCAAATAATAAAAAATTAGAATTTGGGTTTAAAAAAACAAACAAATGTTTTTGTTTGACTTTTTATTTAAATAAAAATATATATAAATTTATTTGAAAGTATTATAAGTTGAATAACAATAAATCAAGTTAAAACACAAAGGAAATTAGGTTTTTTTTATTTTTTTTCTTTTGCCTTCACACCCTTCAAACTCAAATTTCTATTCTTATATATATTTTTTTATAAAATATCATATTATATATTATTTCAATACAAAATTTTAACTAAATTATTTTCAAATTAATCAAAAAAGAACATACCTAAAGAACACACGCAAGCCAAATACATAATAATAATAATAATAATAATAATAATAATAATAGTAATAAATAAATAATAATAATAATAATAGATGTATTCAATGTTATATTGTCATGATTTAGAAATTAGAATCGTCTTTATTTTCTATTTTTCGTATGTCCTATATAATTTGTTTATATTTTATATTTTTCGTTAGTTTCACATAATTTGTCATTTTTTTTTTTTAAAAATATGATTATTCACTTTAATTGCATTTTAAATTTTATAATTTTTTTAATTTTAATTAAACTATTTACTTATCTTAATTTTAAATTATAATTATTTTTTACTAAATAATAATTATTTTTACTAATATACTTTTTAATTACCTGCTAGTTATACTTTACTTAAATTTACATATTTATGTTAATAGACCCAAAATATACGGGACGAAAGGAGTATTATATATCGAGTATTATATATCATTCAGACAAAACTTTGTGTATGAAAACCGAGAGCTGGACATAACATAAGCCAACGTTTGACTTTGAAGGTACACAAAGACATGTTTATTGTTCGTAAACTAAAATATATTTATTATTAATAAGAGAGTATAATTTATGCGATAGTTAATACTCTCTCCGTCTCAACAGAGTTGTTTTGGTTTTTCATTTTCGTTCGTCTAAAAATAATTATCTTGTTTCCTTATTTAGTAATTGTGGTTTCACTTTATAACAAAATTATTCATACTTTTCCAAACTACCTATAATTATTACTCTAATATATTTTTTAAAATCATTCAAAAAGTAAAGATATTTTAGTCTTTTATCTTCTACTTTATATTCTACTTTATACCCATTTTCAATTAAATACTATTATTCTTTAATTCTCATATCCACTCCTAACAAGACATCTTGTATGGAACGAAGGGAGTATGTCTTTATAAACATATACTTTTAAAACATATGAGAGAGATTATTGTGCTAATTGGAATATTGAGAAAATCAACACATATTATTTTTTTTAAACAATATGTATAAAATATATAGATAACGTAAGATGTATTGTATAAGAGTATATAATGTGTTAAAATTTTATTTATACGTATTCTATAAGACTATATCATGTATTGTTAGTTTATGTGCTATATTTGTATTATATTAATATAAATGATATTGTCTAACACCATCAAAATATAGTACTTATATACTTTCTTTATTTGAAATCATTTTTTTTTTTGTTATTTACTATAATTTCATTCATTTCTTTTAAAAAAGAAAAAGTCCATTCTAAACAAACATTCTTTATTTGAAATCAATTTATTTATTTTGATATTTACTATAATTTCATTCATTTCATTAAAATGAAAAAGTCCATTCTAAACAAACGGCTATTTCTTTAACTTAAATGTGTATTTTCTGGATTTACTTTGAAATTTTTTTATATTAAAATAATATTTTATAAAATATATATTGGCTCCATTAGTCAATGTTTTGAATTGATATTTAGCGTGTGACATCAAAATTATGTAAAAAATATAAAATATTTTATTTTAATTTAAATATTTTAATATTTTCATTTTTTGTATGATTTTTTTTTTTTTTTGATTTTTATAAAATATATTTTGTATTATTTATTATTATTTTTAAAAAACCGCAGTGTAGAGGGGCAAAGCCATAAATTTTTTTCCCAAAAAACGGATGGTAAAGTTTTGAGAGATTATTTATAAAGAAACTCACCCTTAGAAAACTAACTTGGAGGGGATTTTGGACACGAGGAAAACCAATTTCCTATCTACCTATTTAAAATTTTAAGACGTCCATGGAGTCCAACTCCTGAAATCATGGATCCCTTGCACAAATTCGGGTGGGAGTTCGGATCCATGGACCTTAACAACAGAACCCTTTGTTTGTTCGGACCACCGATAAGAGCCTGCGGATTGAGAAGCAACGCCATATTCGTTTTCCTCCTTTACTGTTCTTCTCAGTTGAAGTACGAGCACAGTCTTTATCAGATGAATACTGGTAATGATAATTCCACTTTGTTGTTATAATTAAGCTGAAATATCTCTATTTATGTTCTTTAGGAAGTACTTCGAGTAATCTGTTGTAAATTAGGAGCTTTGTAGCTCAAGATCTGGAGCTCATTTTTCAATTTGGGTAAGTAGTGCTCCTTCTGATATGTTGTTTCGTTTTCTTTCCCTCCTTGATGATGAGCTCGCAAGTGTTTACCACTGTTGATTTTGATACGGATGATGGTTTTAGGCGCTGAATTGGGGGTGATATGCAGAATCCCTCTTTTTAAATGAAGTTAGGGTTTTGGTAATTTGAATTTGTGCAATCGAGAAAAATTGGAAGGTTCTGAATTAGTGATAACTTCGGATTATATGCGGAAAGCCCCTTTTTCCACGAAATTAGGGTTTCGACTGACTGAAAATTTTCAATTAAGTTGGTTAGGTCGAAAAAGAGATTGTGAATTAGGTGCAAAGTTTAATATCTGTTGGAATTCATAGTTAATACTCTGTAATTCATCTTCACTTATAATTTGGATTTGATTGTACAAGTTTAGGGTTTCTGTCTAGTGTGATCTTCATCTTAGGGGAATTCATAAACTTGGGCTTGTGAGGGTATATTTCAAAATGGATTATCGTCGAGAAAATGGGTACTCCGGCGGCAATGTCGTGCAAGTAGTTTCCGGAAGCTCGGGGAACGGTGGAAATGATAGTTGGGGATTGGGAGTGAATGATCAGGCGATATGGGCGACGGAGGACGACTACGGAATGTGGAGCAATGAAGCTATGGGAGATCTGAATTCAAGTTACGATGGGAGACAATCGCAGTCGCGATCGGGGAGTGAGCCACCGAGCAAAAGATCTAGAAGCTCCCAATTGGCGGACATAATGGGGTCGAGCCGGTCGAAAGCGATCGGAAAGATGTTCTACAAGACAAAGCTGTGTTGCAAGTTCCGGGCCGGGACTTGTCCCTACATAACCAACTGCAATTTTGCACACAGCGTGGAGGAGCTGCGGAAGCCGCCGCCAAATTGGCAAGAAATTGTGGCTGCGCACGACGAGGATCGGGGAGAATCGGCTGAGCCGAGGGAGGAGTTTCAGATACCGATCGTGGGGGTTACGGACGAGACGCAGAGGTCTTACAAAGGGAGGCATTGTAAGAAGTTTTATACCGAGGAGGGGTGTCCTTACGGCGAGAGCTGCACGTTTCTGCACGATGAGCAGTCAAAATCCCGGGAAAGTGTGGCGATAAGTTTGGGGCCGGGAAGTGGCAGCGGGTACGGGAATGGAAATGGAAATGGGAATGGGAATGGGAATGGGAATGGGAATAGTAATAATAATAATAGTGCGACTGGATCAACTTTGAAGCCTTCGAATTGGAAAACGAGGATTTGTAACAAGTGGGAACTTACGGGATACTGCCCCTTCGGTAGCAAGTGCCATTTTGCTCATGGAGCTGCAGGTAAATAAATGACTTTTGTTATTTGTATTTGTTGATTTTGATTCTTCTTATGGAAATAGTGAAAAGTTGGATAGAAAATAATGTTTGATGTGAATTTTTGAATAGAGAATATGTTTTTTATTAATATTTTAGAGGCTAAATTGCACAAAATCCACCCGTGGTTCACGAAATTGCGCAAAATGCCCATATTTTCAAAATTGTGTCAAACTCCCTTGACTGTTCTTATTTAATGGTGTTTGACCTACATGGGCATGAAATGCACATAGGTTTCAAAATCTTCACTTCTAAACCCTTTAAATTACTAATATACTCATTATTCTTAGTATTTAACTTTAAAAAATAGTAAATATACTCTGAAATAGTTGTTTTTCTCTAATTTTAAAAGTTCTTTTTTATTGTTCTTTGAGGTGAGGTTAAATATAAGAGAAATGAATATATTTATAATTTTAGGAGTTTAGAAATTAGTATTCTAAAATTCATTCACAGTATGAGTGCGTGGAGATCAAACACCGTTAAATAAGGATGGCCGAGGGGGTTAGGCTCATAGTTTATGAAATAGGATGGAGTTGACATAGTTTTGAAAATATGGGGGATTTCGCACAACTTTGTAAGAACATAAGTGGATTTTGTGCAATTTAGTTTATTTTAAATAAAAATTAGGTTTTGAATATAATATTTTTTAGAGAGAAAAAACATTGGCGAATAGTGCTAAAACAAAGTTGAGTTGTTAGTGTTTGATGTCTCAATTCGTATGTTGAGTTTACGATCTCTCACTTGTTGTAGGAAATTGTTGATCGCATTTGATTAATGAACTTTGTTAATTGGTGAAGTAATGAGTTTATTTGTGTAATATTGATGTTTTTGGATGATTCAAGATTGTGCTTTTATGTGATGCATATTATCATTAAATGAAGTGATAAAATTTGAAATAGCGATTCGATTTAGATATCTACGAGCTTATTGTATTACTATAATAGTCGGTCAACACTGTGAGACTTTTGAATTAACAGAATTGCATCGATATGGTGGTGGACCGCTGGATTCCGAGGCGAAAGATTCATCAACTCCGGATGCCAAACAAGGCACAACACCTGTAAAAACTTCAGTCGATGCTGTTGCATCGGCGGCCGCAGTTCCTCATTCCGATGGTTATCATGTAGGAGTTCCCTCACAAAGGTTGTCTAGCGCAATACAAAAAACCGGACAAAGAATTGCTCACAAATGGAAGGGGCCGGACAAGATTAGCAAGATTTACGGCGATTGGATCGACGATCTCTACTAGAGTCGTGACTTGATAAAATCGGCAGGGACAAGGCTTGTCCCTATGGCTTGCTCGTAAGTTTCTCCCTTGTTGTTCTTGTTGTTGTTGTGACAGAATGTCGATTACAGATCTCTTTCTTTAGAAGTCTTTCCTTTTTAGGTTTCGGATATAATGCTCGTTCAATGTTTTCGTCTATTTAAGATATCGATGTTGTTCTTGTTTCGGTTTAAGATTATACGACTAGTTTTTTTTTGTTAGAATGCACATATGAATGAGTACGAGGTTTCGGAAATATTTGAGGATGCAAGATTTTTCGCATGATCGAAGCAAGTGATGTTATCCCAGATAGATTTTTGTAGCCGATTTAAAGCTTACCTTCTTCTGTGTAGTCGAACAGCGAGTCTTGAACTAGTTCATCGAGAACAGCTTCCTCCATTTCCAAACACACAAGCTCAAGCTCAGCCTTGACGTTCATCGACTCCCCGGAGTAGTCGTCGTTCATCATTAGGTGATCAGGAGAGTCGAGCTTCGGGGACTGGGGGGACTGGAAAAGACGGGATTTGACCCGTCCCCATACCTCATGAATAAGATCATCCCCGTCGAGGCGAGCCGGAGCCCAGAAGGATCTGAAATACTCCTCACAGAGATCCTGTAATGCTTCGTGAATTAAGTCGAAGAGAAGTTTTCGACCATGTTGGGGTAGATGAGGAGAAAGCAGCTCGACTTCGTCGAGTAATGCCGGGTCAAGAATGTCGCAGAAAGAAACCCATCTTAGAAGGAAGTCGTTCCGATTGAAGCCCGAGGATAGAATCACGGATTTGATGTAGTTAAATGACGATTCTTGCTTGTCGTCGTTGGAGTAAACTGTCGCGCAAGTTCCTTGATCATCTTCTTCGAAGAGTGGTTCGAGTACAGATACCGGACTCAATCGATCTGATCCGTCGATTGCATACTCCGAATCTCCAATTTTTCTCGCCGGCGCGAGTGTGGAGGATGCGATCCGTGAAGAATCCTACGAGACGGGAACGAGAATTAGGAACCGTACTTATAGTTCGAAAGAAGATCGAAGAAAAGAGATACCGAAAGCGACTCTCCAGCTGCCGTGTTTTCGTTTTCGTTTTCCTTATCCTCGGGCGTAATTTCATTTTCTTCTTCGATCTCCAGAGCCGTCGAACTCTTCGGATCTGTTGCGACAAGAGATTGACGCAATGTACCTCGGAGACACTCTACTTCATTATCCAGTTTGCTCGGGATCAAATGCTCGCCGCTGTCTCGGGAATTCCCGATTGCGTGATTCTCGACTCCCGGGGAAATAATATACTCGGGTAACGAAAGAATTCTCCCGAGCGAGATCGACGTCTGAATGATCATCGACTCGCTCTTTTCGTCGACATCGTTCAGCATCTCGGAGAGATGTCTCTTAGCCTCGACGTAAATGTTAAATTCCTTGGCAACTTTTACGGGATCGCTATATTTTTCCTCAGCGCAGAACTTCGGCGTTTTCATCGCTCGACTAATCTTTTTCTTGATCGCGTAAAAAGAAGATTTTGCTACGCTTCTCTTGTTTCGCTCCTTCCGGCGCTTTAAGACGACAATTTTTGTCGAAGATAGACAGTCCTTGTTCGAAGTCTTGATATTTTCTTCGGAGGAATCAAATGCAGGACAAGAATCGATGGCTTGGTTGATTCTATTGTCGATATTCTCCGAACCAACGTTAGAACAATCTTCGGGCAAGATGATAAGATCGGCTGCTGCTGCTACCGGCATCTCATTGTCCTGAGGCCTCGGAAACCAATCAGATTATAAAAAACAGGACATAATGCCGGCCGGTAAGAACACTACGAGTCGAAAAATACTTACATCTTCGCCGTCGTCGACACAAATTTCAGATGAAACCGAGCTTCTACTCGAACTTGTAGTCCCTATAATTCATCCACAATAATTTTTTCTCATAAAAAATTATCATATCAAATATTATTTTATTTTATTTTTTATAAAATATCACATTAAATATATATATATATACCAAGGAGTTGTCGAAACTCTCTTACCAGAAGCAGCTTGTTGTGTAAGACGACCTCTTGTGGATCGATCATGGCGGAAATCGAACAAACTCCATGAACAACCTACACGATGCCGCGAAGAAGAAACTCTTTGCAATACTTTTGCCATGGCAAGAATTCGTGGCGCCGCGATCGACTATTTCATCACATATAACATATATACATACATGAATATGTATGTATAGTTAGCAGTAGCTTGTTTCCTCCTGGCTGCAATGGAGAAGACAACAAATAAATAAATATAAATAAATAAATAGCAAGAATTTTAACAGATGATGTCAGAATGATTTCACTTCACTTGTCTCTGCAGCAAGGAATCCACTTTATTTTTTTTTATTATTTTTTTTGATAGAAATAATTGCGGAAATTTTTGGTGTGTTTGTTTTTGAGTTTAGAGTTGAGCTTTCAGAGTAGTGTAGTTATATATAATAGTTTGATCCGATATAAATACGTACTAGATATAATATTTTAAATTTTAAAATTAATTTTTAGTATAATATAATAAAAAAAAAATGTAATTATGATTTAATTTAATTTAATTTAATTTTTTTTGAAAAAGAAAGAATAGTGAAATCTAAATTAGAAACCTACAAACAAACAAAGATCATCTTTCTTCCCTTGAACAAGAATAAGAACAATACTTAGATCCATAGCCATTGTAGTATATACTTTGGTTGCAATGCACAAATAGTAATCCATTCATTATCTTGTTGTCAATTAACCAACAAGCATATGTAGTGTTTGTTTAATTCAAGTCAAAGAAACTCAACCCATCTCCCTAAAATTATAAATTATCACCATTTTTTTTTTTAAAAAAACATCAAATAAATATTTATTTCTTTTACACAATATCAATGTCAAATATTTAATATTTTATTATTTTTTAAAAAATTTCTAAAACTTGGAAATATATATATGTAGTTAAATAAAGCTTAAGATTTCAGAATGGAAGGGTGGCTTTTACTTAATAAGAAATAACCAGAGCAAGCTAGCCCATATATATATAATGGAAAATTTAGTAATTATTTTTACTATTTTTAAAGATTTTTTCACATTTTTACTATTTATTTTTAAAAAAATAATTAAAAATATCAAATCAAAACGCTTATTTTTTACTTATTATATTATATTAAAAATTAATTTTATATTCATATAACTATTTAAATTCAAAAATTTTACTTCACCCATCCCGTCCCGACTACGGTGTCCTATTTACTGTAAACATAGAAATTTAGGGGGTGTATAATTAGTAAATAATTAAGATCGTATTAGTGAAAATAATTATCGTGTAATAAAAATAATTTTATATTAAGATTAAAATAATTAATTAGTCTAATTAAAATAAAAAAAATAAAACGAGATTAAAGTGTATAATTCTTTAAAAAAGAAAAAGAAAATAACAGAATAAGTGAGACAAATATTAAAAATTTGACACAGTAAGTGAAAGTAAATGAGACAAAAAAATAAATAATACTTCATCCGTCCCAAACACCATGCAACATTTTTTTTTTATGTTCCAAATACCCTGCAATATTTCCAAAATAGAAAATAATTAATTATACTTAATTTCTACCACACACTTTATCCCATCCCAATCATCCAAATAATATATATATATATACATTTCTGTCTCTATCACATCATCTAATTTCTAAATTATCCTATTTAATACTACTAACCTAAAAATTTGTACCCAAAACAAATATTGTACCTTGTTTAAACCAAAGAGAATACTATTTAATACTCCCTCCGTCCGAAACACTTTGCAACATTTAATTTTTGGTATGTGCCAAACACCATGCAATATTTCCAAGATAGGAAATAGTTAATTATACTTAATCTTCACCCACGCTTTATCCCCTCGTATCATCCAAATAAAAAAATAAAATATATATTTTTTTCTTCATCACATCACCTGATTTCTAAATTATCTCACTTAATATTATCCACCTAAAAACTTGTGCCAAAAGCAAATATTGCATCTTGTTGAGTACTATTTAAATTTGAAGCCAAAATTCAAATGTAAAAACAAACAACAATGGACAGATTTCACCCATGAGTGGAGTTGGGGGTACCCACACCACTACACACATGAAAAAATAATAATAATTATTGTTATTATTGAAAAAAAAAGCACAAAAACATGGGAAATGCTTTCTATTCAAGAAAAGTAATTAATATTTCCACTGCATCTTATTTTTCCCCATCTTTATAGCATATTGAAATGAATATTGTAATAATATGGATTATATAAAAAATATATATATATATATATTTATTTAAGGAGGTCCTACGAGGTTATTGTTTAAATGGTATTTAAACGTTATAGTTGTTTTTTTTTTTTAATAATATTATCTTCATCTCTTAATAAGTATTTGTTATTTTTTTTTCCGTTCAAATTTTGAATATTAAAAATATTCATGCATAGTAGAAATTAAGGAAAAAAAAAAATATTTTATTACTATTGTATAATCCAAATATAATAATATTTGTATAAAATATTTTATAAATATAAAAATATTTTTAATATTAATTGATACTTTATTAAAAGAAGAAATAAATATATTTTATTAAAAACTGTATAAAATAAATAATATTGATTTAAATTTGAAATTCAAATCAAACAAACTATATATATACACCAATATTAAGGTTTTATTTAGATAGAGATTTTTTCAATTTTGGATTTTTATTTTTATTTTATTATTATTTTTTAGAAATAATAACAAAATGAGTATTCTCTCCGTTCCACCGTAATTGATACTATTTTCATTTTTGTTTGTCCCGTAACAATTCACACATTTCTATTTTTGATAAAAATTATTAAATCAAAACATATTTAACAAATATAAATCAACTTAATCAACTACGTAACATACAATATCATATAAATGACGTAGAATCCACTCAAAACTCATTTATTTATATCTTTCTCTCCTCAAAAAAATAAATATTTAATCTATATTTAAAACTACACATCTTTTATAAAATTAATTTATATTAATTATAAATAAACAAAAATAATTTTTTATTTACTTGTATTATAAAAAATTTTATTCTCTACGAAATGATATCTATATTGCACATATTTTTAATTGTTATATAATTTTTAAATATTTAAATATATATTTTTTAATTTTTTTAATTATATATATTAAATTTACTTTAATATTCAACATAAAATATTAATTTATTCCCAATATTTCACAACAAAAATATTTTTGTCTTTTGTACTTTGGGTGTGTTTGTTTGGGGGATTGGATTTAGAATACACTGTTCATCCCAATTTTTTCCTCAAAAAATATCAAATCAAAAATATATTTTTATTTTTTATATTATACTAAAAATCAATTTTACATTCAAAATATCACGTCAACACCTATTTATATCACATCATAAAACTATTCAAATTCAAAATTTTTACTATTCAAATCACAACTTAAAATCCAAACCCTCAAACAAACACACGTATATATGTAATGATATATTTTTTTAAAATTTATGTACAAATTAAGAATATTGAATATTTTGACGTTAATATGTTATTAAAGAGATATTTTTTTAACGTGATAGATACTTTGGGTGAAACGAAAAAAATATTAAAATATTATTTAAATTAAAATTAAAACTCAAAATTTTTAAAAATAAATATATAAAAAAGAAAACACAGCTTGGGGTCCTTATGAGTGACTGTAAGTTTGAAGAGCTTGTGGACAAAGCAAACTTGTTCATCCATCCTAAAGAGAAATAAATCAAATGTGCTCTTTAAGCAACAAATAAATATACGGTCATGATAATACATACGCAGTCATATAATCCATTTAAACAGATTTTTTGAAATTTTGAAAAAAAATAAAAAAAATAAAAAAATATTAATTTAATATTTTTGTAAAAAGGTATATATATATATATATATTTGGTTTAAATATTTAAAAAAACTATTGTAAATAACATTTGCCAGCCAATCTCCAACTCATTACTTTATTGTTATAATAATTTTACTCCAATTATAAATTTGAATGTTTGCTCTAAAAATTATATACCAATGTATATTCATTTTCTATATTATTTTATATAACTTTTTAAATTTTAGAAATTACACGTTACTTTTTAAAAAATTTATAAAGAAAATAATTTCGCAAAATTTTGCTACGAAGTTTTTGCAAGCGATTAAAATCCCTAGCAAATTTCTTAGCAAAAATTCAGTTTGTTAAGGAACTTGGCATATTTATAAAGGAATTTATTTGTCTGTGGATTTGGGTTTGCATTTTTAGTAAAAAAATAAATTTTATAGTGATCACATCGAAACACTAGCGCTCCATTAACCCGGGCCGTTACCAGGTGCGATAGGATGTCTGGCTCTCCCAGGTGCGAAGACAGAAGATCCGTAAGTGACTGCGTTTGCTGCGCTCGACTTTGGCCAACTGCCGGAAGCGTAATATGGTACCGTAAGAAGACACATTCTTCTTCTCCTTCTGAGCCGTCTTCAAAATTCCAATTTTTATTGGTCCAAGTCCCATTCCCGTTGAATGTATATGCTTTGGACGTTATGACTTGGGGTTCCATCGATTAGAGTCGATCGAATAAATTAAACTCCAAAAACTAAAACTAAAATTGAAATCTAAATCTAAACAATCAAACAGAACATAACTGACAGAGAAATAAAAGAGGATTAAACTAAACATTAATCACGTAAATGTAAATATAAATTAAACTAAACCAAACCAATAATATTAATTGAAAATCATATAAATACTTTGACAATAAACATTAATGTCAATCAAACGAGAACCAAATAACAAGATAAATACGTGTATGTTCTTGCTCCAGATGAAGATACAAGAGAAAAGAGCTTACCTCAGGTGGTGGTGTAGCTCGTAGAGACAAGAAAATGAGATTGCTCAGGTGGTGGTGGTGGTGTAGCTCGTAGAGACAAGAAAATGTGATACCTCAGGTGGTGGTGGTGGTGTAGCTCGTAGAGACAAGGAAATGAGAAACACATACGAGACAAAACGTTAAGCAACGAAATGCAGCTCAAAAACAAACGTACCACTTTTCAGGTAGTTCTGTGGGAGAGAGGGAGGGTACATTTGTAGTACCAAAATATATATAATAAAAATAATAAAATTTTATTACAGCCTCCTTCACCTTTGGACTGGTCTGGTCTGGTTTCGCCACATAAAGGAAGGAAAGGGGAGCAGTGTCTTGAGATCCAGCATTATTGTCGCTGGAGGAGGAATTGGGGAAAAAAATAAATGTAAAGTGAAATTTACAAGTAGATATCAATACATTGTACAAAATAAGAGAAAATGACAAAAAAAACTTATATTAATCTCTTATAATACAAAAATAATACCATTTGTGGAATAATTTATATAAATATAGTGATATTTTTAACTTTAGATACAATTACGCAAATAAAAAATGGTGTCCTTGTGGGATAAATGTAGCATTATTTTTCAATATTGTTGAGGTGTTTATTCAATATATATACGCTCTTAATATCTCATTCGATACGTCATTTCTCGCAATACCCTCAACCAAATTTTTCTCTGTTCGACTCCCGGCGTCTTCAAAGCTCTTCGACGGTGTCTTCGCTATCGTGCCTCCGTTCAAGCCTTGTGTGATAATTTCGGTAAGAAAGGGTTTGTATTTTCGATCTTGTCTAAGGAAAGTAGCTAAGGGAATGAGTTGTCCCGAATTTGGGTTTGCTTGGTTTTTTCTTTAGTTTATTATGATTTTTTTATAAAAAAAAACTGTAAATAGATCCAAAATTTTGTTACATTTCATATATTCTCTTGAGCCAACGAACCAATAGCTCCCCGCAGACAGACAAGTAAGCCGATTTGGTAATTTATTTTTGTGTAGAGTTCTCGAGATTTCGATCCTTGTTTTCTTCTTCCATTGAGTGATTTTGTGAGTAGTATGAGACGTTTATTGGTGTTTCTATCATTTATTCAAAGTATTTTCTGATTTTGAACATATTTTTTTTGTTCAGTTTATGTTTATGTGAATTCATTTGTTTTTGTTTTATATGATTTAAATATTGACAATTAAGTGTTTGTAGTTTTTTCTTTATCTAAATATTGAGTATAAATAAATTTCAAATTAAAAAAAAGTAATACTCCTCCGTCCGTCCAGTTATAAAGTATACATATTTTTATTTTGGGACGTCCAATTACAAAATAACCATTTCATTAAATACCTTATTTTTTTCACAAATACTCTTACTTTACATCATATCATTACTTCTATAAAAAAAAAAAAAAAGAGCAAGGGCAAAAATGTCATTACACTACTTTTACCTTCCCACTATAATTGAAATATTATTATTTCTTAAACTCTGCGCCAAAAGTAAATGTATATTTTATCCGTGGACGACGGAGGGATTATATTGTAATGCTAGCCTTTTCTTTCCACTTGTTGGCTAGATACATATATTAAATGCCGTAGAATCTCATTGTTGCATTCAAATCATGGAACTTGAACCATTATTTTCATTCATGTTGTTTCATGTCTTAGTAGTTGTAACCTTTTTTTTTTTTTTTTTTTTATAATAATATAGTATTTTTATTATCGGCATGTTTAACTTCTTTTTTTCTGTTTTCTTGTTTGTAGTAATGATTGAACATTATAACGGTGATTAATTTCTTTCTTTTAATTAAATATTCGGGTTTTTTTTTTTTTCGAAAAACTAATGTCAGATTTGTTTTGTAAAGAATGTGGTACTCAAGGATTTAGTGTGTATAGTACTTTTGTTCAGTATGAGTCCGATTAGATTTGGAGATTAGCATTTGAATTTCGTTTGGTTGATAAACCTTAATATAGGTAATCGATGGAAGCCAATAAGGTGGAGCTTCAAGACTATATATTACGTGGGGATAGGAATTACGACAGTAAGAATTGAAATCTTGTAGAGGGTACAGGAAAGTCTTTATGTTAGTATCATATTACTCTTCCAAAAGGAAACCAAACTCATTCTCAATTGGCTCAATTTGTTATTGGCATCCTCCACCCGCACCTTGGGTTGTCAGACATCTTTTTGCTCGTCCGCAAAGGCCCTTTTTGGGGCAAGTGAATAGGGTCCTTGTGTTTAAACTGAATTAGTCAGAGTATGTTTTAATGCACAGTTAGATCATTTTATGGATGTTATTAGTATTCTGGAAATCAATCAACACTGAGAGTTGGAACTAGGAGGTATATTTGTTTTCATTTAATAATTTCTTTTATTCCGTGTAATTATTTTTAACTTATGAACATTGTAGATATAAATTGATATTCTATTGGACGTGGTAGGACATTAGACCTAGATTGATATGATGTTGTTTTTATTTCTATATTTTGAATTGTCAGTACATAGTTTGATTTTTTATACGATGAATAATAATTATCTGCTAATTTAACCTCGGAATTAGAGTTGTTCCACCAAATAATCAAATTTTTCTTGTTAATTCTTATATTAATTTTCAATATTGTCGAGGTTGTTTAGTGCACAGTGGCTATTTTATTTTCAGGTGTGTCTATGACGAGGAAAATATCATATAGTAGAAAACTCAAAAAAATGTATTATGACTTGCAATGCGTGTCGGTGATAATTACTATTTTAAACATAGTATTTGAATTTCCTTTAAAAAAAACGTTTCTTCCTTCGTAGAATTCAACGTTTGACTTGTTAAGATTGTATTGAGCTACATAATTAGTAATACTGGATTGTTAATAAAAAAAAATAATGAATGAACAGCTCGAACTAGGGCACGAGTGCGACTATACTTGATACATATGGGGCAAGTTTAAACTTGAATTCAAATGAAAAAATTATTTATCAAGTTAAGTTTGAATTATTTAAATTGTTGGAAATAAATTCATATATTAGCAAACGCTACAAATAGTAAGAGGATTTGCTTTTTTACATCTTTGAGACAATATTAAGGGATATGAATTTTTATTTTTATTTTTATTTTGTTTTTGGACAAGGGAATTAAAATAAAATAAAATAAAAAATTAAAATATTTCTGTTTCCATTTGCAAAATAAAAATAAAAATAAAAATTGAAAAATAGTGCAAATTATGTTTACATGTCTTTTACCCTACTCTTTTCCACGCCATCTCCAACTTCATTTCCTTCGATTTACAGTTATTTTTTTTCCCAATTTTTTGGAGTTGAGGCTATGCAGATCACTCGAAAAGGTATATTATAATTATATTTTATTTTATAAGTATAATTTTATTATATGATAATAATAATAGTTTATTGTTTGTAAATATTTTTATTATCAATTTTATTATTTGATCATAAAAATTAATAAATATCTTTAAATTTTATTATAAAGTATCAATTAAAAGTTAGATATAAATATATAAAATAAATAAAACAAAAATAAAAGTTTCAAATCAAATAAGAAACAATCATTTTTTATATTATACTAAAATCAATTTTACATTCAAAATATACATTAATATTTATTTATATTACATCAAACAATTATTCAAATTCAAAACTTCTACTATTCAAAAATTCAAACTCAAAAATTAAACAGACAAATTAGTATGGAACTGAAATTTTTCCGTGACACGGAAGTATACATTTAAATTTTTGTAATAGATTAAAAAATAATAATAATATTTTAGTGAAATAGCAAAAAAAAACATTAAAAATAATACTTTCAAGGGTATACAATTCTTTTAGTTTTATATTTAATTTTTTATCATTTTAGAATTTTAAATGATCAAGAAAAGAGTTTCGTAAGTAAAAAAAAAAAATTAGCTAAAATTGTCCTCCAGTGTATAATATTTTTACAAAAGAAAATAAATATTACTCCGTAGTATCAAATCTTCTAAAAACAAGTATGTAACAAAAATATTCGGTAAGATTGTTGGCTGGGTTTCATTGCGATATCCCAAAAGAAAGTGGGGTGCAGAATTGTTACAGTGGGGATGATCGCATGGGATGGCAGCTCCGAAAACCTGAATCCGAGGCAGCAGGCAGGCATTAATTAATTAATGGCGATAAAATTCAATAATTTAGTGAATATTTATATATGTTTATTTATTTAAGGAACCGTCTTATCTGTACGGCCGGAATACGGAATTAAATTACAGGCACGTTCGGTTGCCGGTTCCGCTGCTTCGTACGGCACACGCGCTCAACCCTTTACCCTTGCTTCCCTCCTTCAATAATTTCTAGCTTTTTTCCCTTTGTTTTCTGCTATTTCGCCTCGCTTTCTTTCTCTCTCTGGTATCGTACATATATCTCATTTCTTTGCTTTTTCTTGTCGTCCACCACATCTCTCTCCACAGCAAAAATTCCTTTCCAATTGACAAATTGGGGTTCGCCACAAGAAATTGTCCACTGGATTCTCCACAGGAGGCTTCTTGCTGAGATATTTCTCGGCGATTTTTGTTGAGATTGATGGAGTTGGGGAGCCGAGCTCTCAGCTGCGCTGCTACTCTGCTGCTGCAGCTGCTGTTGTTCGTTTCTTCAGTGTTCGCCGGCGACATAGTTCACCAAGACGATGTTGCTCCGAAGCGGCCTGGTTGCGACAATAATTTTGTGCTGGTGAGAATTCTCGTGCTCTGTCGATTACTGTTTTTCAAGTAATTGGCTGATTGCACTGTCGCCTTTTTTTTTACTCCACTTTTGATTTTTTTGAGGAACAGTAGAGTAGGACTGTAGCTGAAAGTTGCGGTGGTGTTTGAGTGTTAGTTGTAAATTTGGCGCAATTAGAAGAACGGCAGTTATGATTTTGTTATGTTTTTTGGGTTGTGTGAGGATTCTTCGAGGTTGTACCTGGGGAGGCCTTTTTGTGATGTGAACTTGTCCGTAAACCCTAGAATTGCGATTTTAGATCTTTTCTTTCTTTCTTTCTTTCTTTTCTTTTTTTTTTTTTTCTTTTTTTTTTAATTCTCAAAATCTGTCTTGGTACTCGAACTCTCAATTCTACTGGCTGTGACGTTTTTTGGGTTTAATTTATTCTCTTTGTATGGTTTATGGTTAGGAAATTGTAGTAGGGATATTATTGAACTTTGAACCTTTTCTCTTTTGTGGTGGCTTAAGAATCACGTGGGTTTCATGAATATCTCTTTTGATTGTTGGACTTTGATTGGGTTGCTAAACGACATTGATTCATCTGCTTCGTTTTGCTTCTGTAATTAGCAAGTAGAATGAAATTCAGGCTTTAGGGAACACAGTAGAAAGGAAATGATTATCCAATTTCTTCTTGGTTTTGTTATTGTGTGCAATTTGGGTTACTGGTGTAGTACATGAATACTTTTGCGGCAACCTCAGATGCTGCAAGCTTCCTTCCTCAAACTTATAATTAAGTGTCAGTGAACATATATTTTATGCAATTGATATATGCTGTGGAGGATAGGTGTATATGCATTGTTCAAAATTCTGTTGTCCTTCTAAAAGAGTTCGGTATGATGCACACAATCGAGTGAGGATTTTCCTTATGTGTTGAATCTGCTTATGTAGAATATTTCAATTGGTACTCTAGCATCGCATCGTCGGGAATGTGGCAGAAATCCTACCCCCTACCCCCTAGCAATCATATTTTCTTCCCTTACTCCTTAATGTTGTTAATTGTTGCCTATCATGTGCAAATCAAGATATTCCAACTTCCATAAACATGCTCAGCTGGAAACTACTGTTCTTTCTGTTCTGTAGGTCAAGGTACCAATTTGGGTAGATGGGAAAGAAGACATGGAGTTTGTGGGTGTTGGTGCTCGCTTTGGTCCCACCTTGGAATCGAAAGAGAAGCGTGCTACCCAGACTAAAGTAGCTCTTGCAGATCCTCCTGATTGTTGTAGTAAACCAAGAAATAAGGTTTAACAATGCATTGTGAATACATTTGCCTTTTCATCGAGAAGACATCTATATCTTGGATTATCAATAAATTTTCTCCTTTTCTGTAGTTGACAGGTGAGGTTATCTTGGTTCACCGTGGAAATTGCAGTTTTGTTACCAAAGCAAATGTTGCCGAAGCTGCCGGTGCTTCAGCTCTACTCATAATAAATAACCAGACAGGTTTCCATTTGTCAAAAGGATTTTTCCCTTTTTATGTTGTATTAATTTGAATTAGGTCACAGAATTGTTCTGTCGAGAACATACTCATACTTCTTAATGCATTAACTCTTTATAAACCCTATCAACACCCTTGTGCTATCATAGCCTAGTAACATATATTGGTATAGGTTTCCCCCATTGATTATTTTATGTGGTTTCCCCAATCATGCATTCTCCAGAACTCTTCAAGATGGTTTGTGAGGCAAATGAAACTGATGTGGATATCGGCATTCCTGTTGTCATGCTTCCTCAAGATGCTGGTGAAATATTGAAAAAAAACATGAGGAATGGTTCACATGGTAAGCTTACGAAGGATTCTGGATCATTAGGGAAATGAAGTATGTCTAGTTTCTTTATACATTTTCATGTTATTCCTCCTGTATGAATAGAGGTTCTTTCGTTTTGTTTTTGGTTCTTGTTTTGTATTTTTTTTAGTTGTATTCACTATGTTGTCTTCATTTTCAGTTTCCATTCAAATTTACTCCCCAAAACGTCCACCAGTTGATGTTGCTGAAGTGTTTTTATGGCTAATGGCTGTTGGCACCATCTTATGTGCATCTTATTGGTCTGCATGGTCTGCCAGAGAAACAGCTGTTGAGCAGGACAAGCTCTTAAAGGTAACACTTGCACAATCACGAGCTATCTTCCATTGCTTGGTAATTTAAGACAAGATCCTTCAAACTTCTGACATTCTTTGGTTTCAGGATGGCTCGGAAGAGTACATTGCGAAGAATGCTTACCAATCCAGTGGTGTTGTGGAGATCAACACAAGTGCAGCTATATTCTTTGTCGTGATCGCTTCCTGTTTCTTGGTTATGCTTTATAAGTTGATGTCTTACTGGTTCATTGAGATTCTGGTGGTGGTGTTTTGCATAGGTGGAGTTGAGGTACAACATTAGATTTTCTCAATCATGAGCTTTCGGTGTTATTTATTTGCTGAATATATGCATTCTGGATTCGTAGGTATCATGTTATACTGCACTCTGCTATATGTTTGTTAGTCTTGCAATGGATTTATTTGACAAGTTGTAAACAAGCTTGTGGATTCACTTCTAACCAATTACTATTATTGTGTATTTGCATCACAGGGAATGCAAACATGTCTAGTGACCTTGTTATCGTGGTATGTGTTCTGTTTATCTTTACTTATGCTTTGTATTGTGCATTCATGTTGTATATTATACTTTCATGCAAGCACTTTTGGGTGGAGAGGGGTTATTAGGACTAGGCTTGTTTTGGAAATTAATGTCTGTTAGAAATAATTATAATTTCTGTTGTTGAATTTGAGTGTTCATTCCTCATGCCAGAACAATACACAACAGAAATTATTCAAGAATAATTAGTTTCCAATTAATGCTATCATTGTTCATGAATAAATCCAGTATCTTAACTACTTTATTCATTCATGCCGAAATCAATGAACATTCAGCATTAAACTCATGCCAAATACTAATATTTCTTCCACTAGCCAATCTTATTCCCTAATTAGTTGCCTGACGGATGTTGGCACTCTTTTAAAATTCTCATGCAAAATTATGCAACAAAAGTTTTTTTTTTTTTTTTTTTCAATTATTTACTGGTGAAGGTGAGATATTGTTTGATAATTTTTAGACGACGAGTACCTATCCACCACAATAGTTGTGTTTGTGGATAATTTCCTTTTTGCAGCAAGAGGCTTCAAAGTAGTTGTGTCCTGTTTAAGCTTGCAGATATCTTATTTTCAAAAAGATAACTTTAATTGTTCAATATAGTTTCAGATGGTTCGAGCATGCCGCGGACTCATTTGTTAAAGTACCTTTTCTGGGACCCGTTTCTTATCTGACCATGGCCGTTTCTCCATTCTGCATAGCTTTTGCTGTTTTATGGGCAGTCTACCGCACTATCTCCTTCGCCTGGATTGGCCAAGATATACTTGTAAGAATTGATATCTATCATTTTTATCTATTTTGTTTATGAATAACAATCAATGATGAACTTGCTTCCTGTCCCAGAACCATTCTAAGCAAATGAGATAAGCAAGAAAGCAGTATTTTGTCTACTTTGAGCAACTTGCATTATGATATCATGGAAACATGTAAAAATTTCAATGTACAATAGAAGATGTGAGAGGCAGTAGTTAGGTCCTTTTCAAGGGAAACGATAAGCATGGCTATTGATAGGAAGTATAAATTGTGAATTCGAGCATTTAAGAGATGTAACAGAGTATTTCTTAACTTCAGGGAAAATAAAGATCAAAATAGATGAATATTAGGCTTGTTAATTCTTAAATGATGGTAATCAAGCATGTTGCTTCTTGTTCCACTCTTAACTTCATCTTTGATGTATAGCTCTACTTCTAGTAATAAATGCACAACGGCTAACATAATTAATATTGGTAACAGGGCATTGCATTGATAATCACGGTTCTCCAGATCGTTCAAGTCCCGAATCTTAAGGTAGTTTTCAAGACTCATCTTACTGATCACAGCTAAATGTTTATATTTGGTATGGATTGGGAACTTACAAATATTGCTTCCAAAAGTTGCTTTTCAGTGAAATTGCTTTGTTTTCTAAGAAAAGCTTAGATTGAAGTGGTAAAAAATCATGTAACATGAAGCATCATTATTGCTTCCACATTAATGGCGACAACCGAAGACACCTTTACAAAATTATCAGTTGATTAGGGCACCATAATGTTTCAATATTTAATCTCTGTTTGGTTTGATCTCACATTTTTGTGGCATGCCCAGGTGGGTGCAGTGCTTCTTGGTTGTGCATTCTTGTACGACATATTTTGGGTATTTGTATCCAAATGGTGGTTCCATAAGAGTGTGATGATAGTGGTGAGCAGTAGTTTGAATCTTGAAATCCCCAATGATCTGTTTCTTTTCACAGTTCATGCTGTCATATGAGTCTTGGTTACCTCATCATGTAGGTTGCACGTGGTGATGGAAGTGGAGAAGATGGCATTCCGATGCTACTAAAAATACCTCGACTTTTCGATCCTTGGGGTGGATACAGCATCATTGGTTTTGGTGATATTATTATCCCAGGATTACTCGTCGCATATTCCCTAAGGTTTGCCTCGAATAGCTGTCTTCTAAAACTAATTAATGTATTTTTGGATATGAGGAGGAACTGAGTACACGTTTCCATCTGATTAAAAAAAGATGATGTTATACCCTCCTACGAATTAAGCTCAACAAGCTTTCGACTACTCTATTAAAGCATGTAATCGATTTTGAAATTTCCCGAGTTGGTTGAAGATTTATGCCAGTAGGAACCAAGATATGCTGATGCTTATATGAAAACGGATGTACAGATATGACTGGCTGGCTAAGAAAACGCTGAAAGCCGGATATTTCCTGTGGGCAATGGTTGCGTATGGATTAGGTATGATCTAGTTTGATAATAATTACGCATTTCACGGCTTCTTGTCTGAGTGAAACTATATATTGCTTATGTTTAGGCATCATTATCGACAACTTTTTAATAATTTCTGAGTTTCCAATAATCTGGCACGCATTTCGCATCGTGCACAGGCCTTTTGGTTACGTACGTGGCTCTGAACATGATGGATGGACATGGCCAGCCGGCACTTCTGTACATTGTTCCATTTACACTTGGTAAGCATTAGAAATGCAGTCTTGAGCCGGGAATCAATAAACTCGAACACCTCTTTAATCAAAGATCATTACCACTTAGTACTCGGTGTATTTATTTATTTCAGGCACTCTAATCACGTTGGCGAATAAGAGAGGCGATCTGAAGCATTTATGGACACGGGGGAAGCCCGATAGACCTTGCCCTCATGTTCAGCTTCAAGCCGACGAACTCAATCGATGAGTTAACTCTATCGGTCAGACTCTCTCTCACTCATGTATTATTATTATTATTGTCTATTTAGACTAGAATGAAAGTTGAGTTATGTGCTGACTTGCTTATATTTGTTTGCTAACTTGAGAGTCTCAATGTAATTTTATGTGTGTGTGTGTGTGTAATTTACTGAACCTTTAGATCCATTTTTATCATCTACATTATGTTTCTTTTCAATAATAACTTTTTTTTTTTTTTTTTTCTTTTGGCTAAATAAAATAAGTTTGTATATTAAAGCATAAATATTCCTGTAATAAGTATTTGGGTAGATTCATGGTTTAGGACGTAGATTATAATTTTTATGATATGAGTCTATGAGAAATTGAAAACAAGAACTCAATAAACACATCTTCACGTTAATGGGTTTGTTGGTTGTGTTGATGCCCTTCCGTATTTAATGTGATATTTGAATCGAAAATTTTAATTTAATATATTAAATAAAAAATAAATATATGATACAATATTTATAAAAAGAAAATAATAATATAATAAATTGAAAAAATAGAAAGAAAAAGACACAATCAAACAAAGCCAAATTTGAACATGAAAAAGGTAGGTTGAGTGTGGCAAGAAAAACATATTATCCCTTAGCTTGACTTCCAACATAATCAACACATATTTCATATAGACATGTTTTTGGATGTAGATTTTGGTATGAAAGTTGTCATTGATTTTATTGTAGGTTAAATATTAATTATTATATCAATAATTAATACAGACAAAGATAAAAAAAAAAAAAAAATTTAATCTCTTGTAATATAAATATAATAATATTTGTGGAGTAAATTATTGAAATATAGTAGTATATTTTTTTAATGTAGTACAATGACTTCAAAATAAAAAAAACAACTTTGCACGAGACGAATGGAGTAGTATTTTTCTACTTAAGAACTATATAGCTAAATATTCAGTTTTATATTAAAAAATAATATTTATTTAAAATATCATATCAAAAATTATATAACATTAAAGATGTATTATATATAAATTTATTTTAATTTAAAATTTGTTACTATTAAATATCTTAAAACATCACAATGAAATATAAATTAAGGGTGTTTTCTTTTGGATTTTTTTTCCCCTAAACAGTTTGAATATAATATTTATGAGAAAAAATGTGTATTTATTTATATATATATATATATATATATAAAAAAACAAAATAATTGTATAATAAAATTGTTGAGCGAATTCCGAATAAACAAAACCTCAATTTTTACTATTTACGTAATGTTAAAATATTTTTAAAACGTATTTAAATAAACTTGATTTTAATTAATAAATTAATGAGTTGGCATCACTTAAGAAATTGATTTCAGAATTGTGCTCATGAATGTTTAATCGTAATATGCATGTATAAAACAAATAAAAAATATATATATATTTTTTTTTCCAAAACTTATGTATGTACATAGAAGTTGTGTTATTCCGGTGTGTGTTTTTTCTTAAATATTCGGATGTATCTTTTTGTTTTTTTTTTTAATAAAATATTCTTTTCGTTTCAGCTTGTTATTTCAGTGTATTTTTTCTTAAATATTTGGATATACTTTTTTGTTTTTTTTTAATAAAATATTCTTTTCGTTTCAACTTTTTATAATTAATAAGTAATTAAAAATATATTAGTAAAAATAATTATAGATAAGGATTAGACGACTAAATTAATAGTTTAATTAAAATTAAAAAATTATAAATTATAAAATATAATTAAAATATATAATTATATTTTTCAAAAAGAAAAAAAAAAAACTAGATGTATGACATACCAAAATAAAATATATGAACATTTTATGTAAAATAAAAAAATAGATTGATATAATATTTGAAACAAAATTATATATATTTTTTTGAAAAACATAAAAACCTAAGAACAAGAAACCAACTCAAAACTCTAAAGAAATGCACTTTGTGGAATTTCTGATATTAATTATTGGAAATTACGAAAGTATTACGAAGAACTGTAATGTTATTTATAGTAAAACAATTTTAAATATTATGTATGATTAAACAATATATTTTCATTATAAAATCCAAGTATTTTTTTATTAAAAATAATGTAAAAAATAAAAGAATATATAGATATATATATATATATTTTCATCTAGGATTGTGATGTGACTGGGTATAATAAATATTTAATACATCTCAATTCTTGTTTGGTTGTTTGAATTTTAAATAAGCTGTTTTTTTTTTTTAAATATCAAATCAAACACTTATTTTTTATTTTTTATATTATATTAAAAATTGATTTTACATTCAAAATATCACATCATACAACTATTTAAATTCAAAATTTTTACTATTCAAGTCTCAACTCAAAATTCAAACCCCCAAACAAACACACCAAGAGTGCGCGTTTTAATTTGAACGCGAGCTATAATTTTAATTTTCTATTTACATTTTACGTCATTGTATTTAACACTAAAAATGTTTTTATATTTGTATAATTTTTTTTCACAAATGTCATTGTAATAGTATTATAAGACAGTAATAGAAGTATTTTTGTCATTTTCCCTTATTTGTATTATCTTTTTATATAATAATTAATATTCAAAAATTAATACGCAAAAGGAAAATAGGATTCTTAGAACCGTACGGAGGTAATACTTTTTTATTTTTTATTTGAAATAATTTTTAATTATATTTCCTGAATAAATGAAGAAAAACTAGTTACAATAAATATTTATATATATATATATACATTTGCATTAGTTTCAAAATAAGAATAATACCAAATATATTAGTAAAAATGGAAAGAGTTTATTTTGATGAAATGGAAATTTGAGAGATAAGTTGTTATTAAGTTGGTGGACCAATATTATGAAGGGCTGAAATGTTCGGTGGCCAGAATTCAATTGAATTAAATTAAATTGAATATAATATAATATAATATAATATAATATGCCGATTGCGACATTAATACATTAGTATTAATACTATTATAAGTTGGGCGTTACTGACTAACTGTAGCATTTATTTATTTATTTTATTTAATTTAATTTAATGTGAACCCATAAATTGTGTCTTTCAATAACGCTACCCCTTCCTCCATCCCTATTGGATCGTTAGCCTTAGCCATCCAATATTACGGTCATAGAAAACGATGTATGCATGTGTTCTACAAATTATATCAAATTACTTTTAATTTGTGCATTTCAACTTAGGTTACACATTATCTTGAACGATTTTATAAATCTATTAATGATAGTTATAAAATGTGTTTATTTAGTACTCCCTCCGTCCAGTTAGAAAGTATACATATTTCTATTTTGAGACGTCCAATTACAAAATAATAATTTCATTAAATACTCTATTTTTTCCACAAATACCCCTACTTTACATCACATCATTACTTTTATACCAAAAAAAGTAAGGGCAAAAATGTCATTTTACTACTTTTACCTACCCATTATAATTAAAATACTATTATTCATTAATCTCCGCGCCAAAAGTAATTGTATACTTTTAGCTTAGACGGAGGGAGTATTTTATTTCTATATTACAGTATAGTATCATATATGGCGGCGGCTACAATTAAATTCAGCACTGTGTTGAACAGCACATGTGTGATGTTTGACAATACACAGTATTATTACATACAACACATTATATATGTTAATATAATACAAATATATCACATGAACTAACCACACATGTTAGAGCATGACATACTCTTATACAACACACTTGTTATTATATATATAAAAAAAAAAAACAGCACATATCTTTATTATAAACTACATATGCTGTATATAATAACATTACGTGTTGTTTGTACATGTAACATATACTAAGTTGAAAAATTAGCATGCACTCTAACCATTCCCATAATATATACATATAACAATAAAAATCAACAAAATATACAAAAGTTAATTAACACAAAATATTATTTCTTATACTCGTCGTCCCATAATAAAGTATCTATTTCCTTTTTTTAGTAACTGTACTAGCTATCTAACATTACAAATACCCTTACAACTTACAATATATTACACAAATGTCATTACTTTTATATCACACATACTAATAAGGTTATTTTAGTTATTTCTATTTTATTCATACTATATCCCAATATAATACTAATATTTCTAAAGAATTTTGGTATCCTCGTGATGTTGATTAAATTTCAGGAGCATCCTGAATCATTTTAATCCGTTGGAGTGTTTTTATTGGCAATCCAACAATTGAGTTTGATTGAGGGTATTTTGGTAATTGAAAAAATTGATTAAGATATCTAATTAGAAAAAATTATCGTAACTACCTTCGATAATTTCGGGAGTAAATTTTTCTTAAACAAACAAAAACGTTTTCCAAGTATTACTTTCAAAATTGTATACACTCAAGTTATAATGATGTATACATCATCCCAAAATGATGTCTCTATGATACTATTATGATGTTCTACAACGAAATACTTTTTTTATATAAAAAAACGTTTCCCAAGTAATTACTTTCAAAATTGTATACACTCAAGTTATAATGATGTATACATCATCCCAAAATGATGTCTGTATGATACTACTATGATGTTCTACCACGAAATACTTTTCTTATATAAAAAAATCGTTTCCCAAGTAATTACTTTCAAAATTGTATACACTCAAGTTATAATGATGTATACATCATCTCAAAATGATGTCTCTATGATACTATTTTGATGTTCTACCATGAAATTGCACTTCTTTTTTTCTTAATTTGATTGCTTAAATCAGATTTTATAAACCCGAGCGTTTCTTTATTTTCAGTTGCTATTCTCAACATATCATATGATGATCTTAAGGAAATATCTGTCTCTTTATTAATTGTAGCTACAGTCATCTGAGCGTCATCTACGACCCTATTCGAAATAACCATATGTGCGTAGTTAGGAGGATGCAGTTCATGGTTATGCTTGTCCACATATTCGGTGATGTTGTATCTCTGCATTTGTTTGTCAAATTGTAACTTCAATCTTGCTTCACACCCAGTACGCGTCTCATACCTTTTTCGTAACATGGATGTATATGACGGAGCGCCAACATCCTCTGAAGATATTCGTTTATTAGTAGGGTCTACTCTACTGTCTTTTTGTACACCTTTTTATTGCAACAATAATGAATGCATTGCACACGATGAGGATCACTTTTCACCTATTTTTGCATTTCTTTTCGCACGGAAAATCCTCGTATATGTGTGTATGTACAATATGACCCGTACGCATCGTCGGAAGTCGAAAAAGTTGCACTAGCCCAATAATCGTCACCTGAGTAATCAAATGATAGCTAACGTTAAAACATTGTATTATGATGTTGCTCCAGTGCAAATATTGAGTAACTAAACGTACCTCCCTCTTTCGCATTATATGACTGGGTAAATATTTGAAGTATTAAAATAATAAAAAAATAATGGATATGATTTAATATGGGGACTGCCCTAACTCGTCCAACTACCCATAATTTTAGGATATAGACCCTAATTTCAAGGGCAATATAGTATAATTCAACACTTCTCAAATTTGATAAAGTGTGATCTTGTTTACGGTATTGATTACATATATGATTTCATATAGCAATCAAATAATTTATATAGAAATTTAACATTTTTGAATTAGCACTTACATAACTTCTATAAATTGATTCAATTAATGTTAACTGCAACTATTGTTATGGTGAATGACTAATATGATTATGATGCATATATATTTAGAATACAATGCTAATAAAGTAGGGATATGATATAACAAAAGTTCGTCAAAACGTTACTCTCGTGATCGATAAAAAATAGAAAACACTTATCGCATTCTGCAATTTTTGGAACACTATATTCATATGCGTCACACTGGAATTGAGTGGAATGCGCATCAATTTGCTTCATCCTATTATACGCTCTCACTTCTCCACTATTTATTTTCTTTGATGGACATCGGTGAAAAAAAAAATGGAGTTATCTTTTTTTCTTTTAGATGTAAAGCGACTAAAATTATAAATACGATTTGCTGACTGCAATCTCATCCGTTGATTAAAATTTTGATCGGACGGCTGATATTTTTTCAGGATAGTCCTGAATATTGTATTCAGGACCATACCCGGATTGATTTCTAAAACTATGTTCAAAAAGCAAATAGATATTTCTTTATGGAACAGAGAGAGTAATACTTTTACAATTCTACATACATAGCTTAAAAGAAAAAAAAATACTTATTTTTTAAGATTAATAAACCCATGGATTAATAAGTATTATTAATTAAAAGTTAGTAAACTGATACAAGACAAATCATATTAGACGAACTATATGTCAGACAAGAGATAGACCTCACACTCGTGAGTCTATCCCAACAACAGATCATCCCTTACTAGATTTATGTACTTATAATTTGTTTTCAACATAACAGTATCATATACCAATTATAGGAGTGCAAATCTGTTTGTTGTGTTAACTCTCAAATTAATGAGTTTATTTTATTTTCATTTAAATATTAATTTAAATAATATTTTATAAAAAATATATATATTATATTTTTATTAAAAATTATGCATACTTAATAATAATATTTTCTATTTAAAATAATAAAAGAAACCACCCCCATTGTGACATCAATTTAATTCCCAAACAATAGACTTAATCAAGCCATAATATTATTGTTTTTTCACTTCTCAAAGTAAATATTATCGACATAATATTAATAAAATATCATTTCATTTCATGTGACAATATAGGATATATATTTCTAAGTTACATTTCTTACTATTAAAGACATGACAAAATATTTTAATTTTTACACGCTTCACTTATCTACCACAACAAATATGCATAGCAATTTTTGCATTATGGAATTCTACTTTTACCTAAATCAATATCATATTTTAATGCTTAAAAGACAATTTAGTTATAATTATTGGACTAAATTAGAAATAGATATTTAATAATTATTCCCTCTGTCCCACGTACCATGTTCGTATTGCCGTTTCTATCCGTCACATATCTTATGTCATTTTTCTTTTTTGAAAAATGATTACACATATTAATCTCATTTTAAATTTTTTAATTTAATTTTAATTAAAGTAATTATTCATCTTAATCTTAATTTAATTTATAATAATTTATATTATAAATTAATTATTTTCATCAATATATTCTTAATTATAGATTAATTTTACTTATCCTAAATTCGTGTATCTACAGTAACCAAGACACCGAATATATTTTTTTAATTATATAATATAAAAATCAAAATCAAAATATGAAAGAAGTACACCTTTATTTTATGTAATATTTTGCAACTATATTATTGCATTCTTACCCTATGAAAGTTTTCTAAATTTCATATAGTAGAAAATAAAAATATATAAAATAGGGAGACTAATTTCTGAAAATATATAAAATAGATTTAATTATTAAATGTGTGATACATTTTTTTAGATATAACGTGTCGATATGGAGTCAAGCTAAAAGTCATTAATTACTATCGAACAACCGAAACCGAACGAGAGGGTATTTTCGTCATTTCAGCCGGTCCCCTCCTCACGGCTCTCTCGACTCCAGCCTCATTTATTTAAACCGCAACCTTCCTTCATCGTGAAACCCACAGCTGCTAAGTACAGCACTCATTAATGGCGAAAACCACCGCTTCCGCCGCTCGATTCCCGCCGATCGAGAAATGCGAGGTCTCGGACGCAAATAGCAGCTCCATAGCGGCGGACCTGGACGGAACTCTCTTGATCTCGAGCTCCTCCTTCCCTTACTTCATGCTCGTGGCGATTGAGGCCGGCAGCCTCCTCCGAGGGCTGATACTGCTGCTCGCGTTTCCGATGATCGCAATTGCTTACATATTTGTGTCCGAGGCGCTTGCTATACAGATGCTGATTTATATTTCCTACTCAGGACTCAAAGTGCGGGATATCGAGCTGGTGTCTCGCGCGGTGCTGCCGCGGTTTTACGCGGCTGATGTGAGGGCTGAGAGTTACCAGGTTTTTGAGAAGTGCGGTAGGAAGGTGATAGTCACGGCGAATCCGACGATAATGGTGGAGCCGTTTGTGAAGGATTTTTTAGGCGCAGATAAAGTGATTGGTACGGAGATTGAGGTGGATCCGAAGACGAGGAAGGCTACGGGGTTCGTGAAGGCGCCGGGGGTTTTGGTGGGGAAATGGAAGAAGTTAGGGCTGTTGAAGGAGTTTGGGGAGGAGAAACCTGATATTGGCATCGGAGATAGGGAATCCGATCACGATTTCATGTCCATTTGCAAGGTAATTAGTTTTCCTGTCTTTTTCTTCAACAAATTCTGGATAAATGACGTAGATATGCATGCTTAATGATAATGAGTCTCTATCAATTATTTATCTATATTTGTATACCTGCTCTTCTATGGTGAAAGATGTCTGCGTTTAAATAGAATGAGTTGAAATTTCTCTGCCGCATTTTCGCGTGTTGGAGCTTTCATTTAGTAATCAATTGAGCAACTATGTATGCGTTGGATCCAATAGCTTCAACAGTATCCTTTTAGGCGCATTTCGGATAATTATCTGTCAGATTTTCTATGTTAAATTCTGGACGACGGAATTAGGCTCTGTACGAAACCAAAGAAATACATGCTTGATGGTTTAGTTATTACTTGAATAAAATCACAGAATCCTATTGCAAAAGTGGAGTTGAGATTATTGGTAAACCTTTTTATGACTTTTTGTGCATGCACCTTCTTTGGTTAAAAAATTCTTGTCTGCTTCCTAGCAACCTTCACCAAAAATCACTTCAATGTTGATATTGTTAGGTTACTTAAAGCGAGACTATGTGGATATTATTAGAAGAAAGAAATGAGTTCACGCTAAATTCAATTACATTTTTTCACTCCCACACTCCATCATGTATTTTATTCTTAATCCCAACACTTTGTTTTGTAGCAAGTCATTTGGGTCCCATAGGCCATAATAGGAGACCAGAGTTGAATCAATACTGTGTAGACTCTTTACTTCATATAATGATATGATTTTTCTTGATTTAGATCATAAGATAAGACTACTTTGCCTTCTTTCCCAGCAGAAATTCACCATGCTCATCAAACATTCATTTTTAAAAAAATATGATTTATTTTCTAGCATTTCAACAAGCATTAATTTCTACCATGTTCTTATACTTAAAGCCAGCTGTGACCCTCGAGTCATATAATAAATATAGTAGTTGAGGCAGTAGCAATATGTGGTGAAACAGCTCTGACTTAAATCTAAAGAGGGGCCATAGTATTTGCCCTTGCAAACAAGTGTCAAGAAGTCAAGTGGTGGAGCAGGGCATGTGCCCAAAGCTGCCTGTTTTTTCATCTGGGTATTATTAGTTTTCATATGATCCAATATTTAAATCATGGTAATTAAAACTTGCTCTAATATTAATTTAACTTTTTCATGTTCAAACTGATATGTATTTACTACTCTGAATAACAGGAGGGCTACATGGTGCACCGCAGCAAAACCACCAAGCCGCTGCCACTCGATCGCCTGAAAAGCCGACTAATATTCCACGATGGCCGATTAGTCCAGTGCCCCACTCCACTCAATGCCCTCATCACCTACATTTGGCTGCCATTTGGATTTATTCTCTCGATAATCCGTGTATACTTCAACCTCCCTCTCCCCGAGCGTATCGTGCGTTACACATACGCCATGCTCGGAATAAACCTTGTGATCAAAGGCAACCCGCCCCCTCGACCCTCTCCCGGCAAACCTGGCAACCTCTATGTCTGCAACCACCGAACTGCCCTCGACCCCATTATTATCGCTATAGGACTCGGCCGTAAAGTTTCATGCGTAACATACAGTGTCAGCAAGCTTTCAAGATTCCTCTCTCCAATCCCAGCCGTTGCCCTGACCCGCGATCGTGAGGCTGATGCTGCCAGAATTAAATCATTGCTCGAAAAGGGCGACCTAGTCGTCTGCCCTGAGGGCACCACCTGCAGGGAGCCTTTTCTGCTGAGATTCAGCGCCTTGTTCGCAGAATTAAGTGACAATATCGTGCCTGTGGCCATGAACCTCAAGCAGAGTATGTTCCATGGCACAACCGTCCGCGGCGTCAAGTTCTGGGATGCTTATTTCTACTTCATGAATCCGCGGCCAACATATGAAATCACATTCCTTGAGAAGCTTCCACCCGAGATGACGTGCAAAGCTGGGGGGAAGAGCGCGATCGAGGTTGCTAACCATGTGCAGAGGATCCTCGGAGGTGCACTCGGATTCGAGTGCACTCAGCTGACCCGTAAGGATAAGTACATGCTTCTTGGTGGGAATGATGGCAAGGTGGAATCAATGTATGGCAAGAAATGAACCCATCAAAACAGTTTGAGCAGCAGTTTGGTACAGTATATATATATATATATATGTATATATGTATTGGTGCTAAAATTGTGTTTATTGATTTCCAAAATTCTGTGTGTTGACAGGTGAAGCTGTTTGGTTCATTGCTGGAAAGCGGCTTTCTGTTTCTCAGGTATAATGTAGTAAGTAATTGTATTTGTTATGAAATACTATTATTCTGATTTTTGTTGAGGAATAATTGCTTAAGAACTGCTAGTGTGTCCATCTCTGATTGTTGGGTGGGGTGGGGGTATTATTGTTAATATGCTGTGATTTGAGTTTGGTCCTTTTCTATTATACTCTCTCTACAATGAAATGAATGATAAATGTGTGAAAGGATGGATGGATATAAGTTTGAAATTTGATAGTAGAGTGTTTATTGCTCTTGTCCTCCTACTTTTGCTATTTGCAAATAGGCACAATAATAATAATAATAATAATAATAATAATAATAAATAAATGAGAATACATTGGTGACCGCTAGTTTAGTTATAGGGTGTGTGGTGGAGTTTATTTGAATAATAATAATAATAATAATAATAATAATAGCGAATGATGATAAGAGGAGAGCAATTAATACGTAGGCGCAGAGGTTGGTTTGGTTGCTAAGTTATAATGAAGTGTTGACAGGTCATCGCTGCATTGTTCCATGCAGTACATCAACATTTGTTGGCTTCATCAATAGTATTCGCTTATTTATTGGCCCTCTCTCTCTCTCTCTCTCTCTCTCTCTCTCTCTCTCTAGGATGCACCAATAATTGTTTGCCATGTTGGATAGTTTACTAGTGGAGTCTAGTCTAAAGAGTCTAGGCACTGGACTTGAGTTAAAACTTGTTTTAATAAGTGAATGTGCTTGAATTTGTTAGATATTTATATTTTTAATTGGGGTTGAACTTGAATTTATCTAATAATACTATATAATAAAAATATAAATTTATTACTTTATGATATAATAAAAATTTTGAGTGAGCTTTTTAATTGAATCTAGTCTACTTATATATACATATATTTATATTTTCAATTTTCATTTTAGATTAAATATGTATCTTCTTTATTTAAATATTTTTTTAGATATATTATTTTATATTTAAAAATATCATATAACTATTTATTTACATTGTATTTAAAATTTCATTATTTCAAAAATAATATAAAATGTCGACACAAGTAATTCATTAGGAGTTTTATTTAGTTGTTTGTTTGATTTGAATATTAATTTGGAAAATTGAAATTAGTTGCTTGTAGTTTGAAATTAATGTTAAGTGGTGTTAATTTAAATTTTTATTTAAATGATATTTTGATGGAATATTTTATAAAATAAAATATATTTTTACTTAAAATGTGCGGGGTGAAATGATGATTTCGTTTGAAATCACAATTAAACACACATAACTCAAAAAGATCAAAGCTTGTATTTGTGTTTTGGTGGTTTTTATATTAGTTTTTTAAAAGCAAAACAATTCTTTAACGTGATATTTTGTGTAAAAAATAAATATACTCACAGTAAATGCATAGGAGCCTTTGAAATTTAAATGGAGAATTATGAATTTGTTTGGTTTTGATGTGAAATAAAAATTTAATTTAATATTAAAAATTATATGTACTAAATAGGATAGCAGATTAGGGTTTTAAATTGAAACCAAACACACCTATTATCTGAAATACAAATCATATTTGGATATTGGGCTTCTTCCGACCCCAACTAGCGAACAAACATTGAGGCCCAAGTGCTGATTAGCTTATTGTTGATATATATGCACACGCACGTGTGAGGGTGGGTAAGAAGGACTAAGGAGGAGGATACTTGTACACACTTGTTATACAATTCCTTAACCAATCATTCATTCTAAGCTCCTCACCAATCATGCTGTGGGAATCAATATTAAAAGCCAGAGGTTGGATTGGATTTCATTTCATTTCATTCGCTCACTTATTTTTTAAGCTCTCTACATACAGCATCACCATCAAATGTCATTGAAATATAGTGGATATATATGGTTTGAGATTCAGTTTTGCTAGTCAAAACATCCACAAGAATGGTTTACTCTACTTAAAGCTCAAAAGCACTTTTCTCCAACAACATAGCCACATTGCCAAAGGAAGATACAACCAAATCAATAATCACTAAGAACAAAAGCTAGTTTGGTACATGCCAAGATCAACAGCAACAACAAGAGTTTCCAACTTATTGGAAACCCTCAAAACCCCTCCTTTTTTAGGGCTGTAGTCATTACCAAAGGATTCAGAATTCCAAACCAAACACCATCTATTGTCTTATGTACACATACCTGTAATACAATCATATATACAAAGTATACGACGAAAAGGAAATCTATTGCCGGGGATAACTAACCCGACAGCTGATCTTCAATCTTTGAAAGAAGAGAATGAGGTTGCTAGTCCCTATATCTTCCTTTGCATCGCATTCATGGATGTGTTGGGAAGAATCGAAAAGAGGCAAATAACATGAACTAGGAAGTAATATGCTCAAAGAACTTCATATACCATTTCCTGCAATTTACAGAACCCAAAAAATATGAAAACTGTGGGGCAGAAAAAAACATGGTGACAAGAACTCGAGCTAGACAAACCTGGTCGCAAATGGGGCAGGTGTCACTTAGTTCCATCCACTCAAGTATGCACGAAAGGTGAAAGTGATGGTTACACTTGGTCATGATTTTGGGATTTTCAACATCATACTCTGTGTAAAGGAAAACAATACTTTAGCTGCAAAGAAGGAGAATGCCAAGAACTCAATTTTCTTTTACCATTGTAAAGGATATTCACCTTCAAGACAAGTCGGGCAAGTATCCTCCTCGTCTGTAACTAAAGTGTCTGATTTATGCTGTAAGAGTTTGGTGTCTACTTTCATCGGGGAGCTAAGAGGCAACCCGAATGTAGTTTTGCAGTTTGCTTCCTTTGGGTCCACATGACTGCCGATTTCTGTGGATTTTTGGTGCCCCAAAACTGCATCATATGGCAGAGGTGCGGGAGGAGAGCGATATGTGTCAGGAATAGACATATCGAGATTTAAATCAAATAACATCCCAGAAGTGAGTATGGTAGTGACGCCATCATGAGATGTTAAGGACTCGTGATCCTCTGAATACGGTGAATAATGCTGAAAGAAAGTTTTGTATTAAGTCAAGAATGCATAGCACATGTACAACAATAGATGGCATATATAGGCTACATATAGATATGCATATATATATATATATATATCTTCATTGCTAGAAAACAGAGGACTGATAGCCAGTACAGAACTTACATCTATACTTTCAGTAATAGTAACATGTATCACACTTACTCTATTTTTCGAAATTCTTTCCTGAATATCTTCCTTCAAAATTCATAAGATTACGACGAAGGGAATATATCAATATAAGAAGGCAGATGTTTTTCTTCCCACCCCATGAGAATCCAAATCAAAGATTGCATTACAAAATTCCAAGACCCTAATCTGATCCTACCACAACAACAAAATCGTATAAGAAAATGGTCATCTCATTGCCTCAAAAGTAGAAATTCCTTAAGCAGACTATGCCCAAATAGTGTAAAGTCAATTTATTCAGTTTATATCATAATAGTTCACTTACATAGTAATATGTTGGCGTTCCATGAAGCGGTAGCTTTCTCGAAGACGAACAACAACCTCCCATTTCATTCAGCAATTCCTTAATCTATATTTGCCAGTCCTCTTCTTCTATTTTGACCTACAAGTCTGTCCAATGCCAAGACATGAAGTTATATACAGTATAGCTCATGCATATTAGGTTACACCCAAATTATTCACTTAGAAAGCCATAAGCAAAATATAGTTTCTTCAAAACTAGACGAATAAGCACAATCATCCATTGTATGATTGAAAAAGGCGTGGCAATATTATTTTTCTGTGTATATTCTATACATAATAGATCATGCCTAATGTACATAGCACACAATATTAGATGCCGAAAAAATAATCGAAAAAGTATCGAATTGGGCATCCTGTAACACAGTTACTATGATGATCGGGCTACTTTGTTTAAGTTTAGGTAACTATCAACGTGATCCCGTGAACGATATACCCATAAATAGAACACCCCAAAACAGCTCCAACAATACCATTAGGAGTAGAAAGTTAAAATTTACAGCACAGTACTGTAAAATGCAAACATAAAATAATACTCCATAACAGAAACAACCCTCTACTTTCAACTTGTAATATTACATAGACTCGAGAATATAATGTTTGACAAAAATAAACTTGTGATTAACTCATATCCAACAATCAGCAGAACACCTAAACCATCTGCTTCACATTTGATGCCAGTGAAATTGTCAGACAGTTGAATTCGCCATTGAAATACCAAGGAATACATAAAGTTAAAATTCATTTGCATTTGAATCCTTGTTGAGAGGAAAACATTCTAACTCATAGATTGCATCTTAACTTAGGACACCAAATCGAGTGGAAAAGCTTAGCATATGAGCCTAACATAAAATACATGAATATATGTATGTATGTATGCATAAAATCCCCAATTTACTCGAACACTGTAGAAGTTTGTAGCAATATAAGGAAGCAGAACAGTCCAGAACAGAACTAGAGAAGGCCTGCTAAAAGTTACGCATAACAGAACGCCAGTGGAAGAATCAAAATTGAAATTCAATTTAAGAATACCCAGCCAAAAACAAACATCACCTGATAACTCTAGTTCAATAGCGGTTGAGTATTGATCGACCAACCGCCATATACAATTAATTAGGTTAGGTATTGGTTGGATGAGAAAGGAATCAAGCAATCAAGCGCACCAATTGATTAATAAAACATGCTTAGGAAGCTTGAAACGAAAGAGGAGAGTTCCAGAGGAAAGGGAAAACTTGAAAGCAACTGCTAGTAGGGCTCTTTGATGGCGTTGAAGGGTGGATTGGGGAAGCCATTAGTGTTGTGTTACACCATAGCCAAGTGGAGCTGCTGCTGGCGGCTACACATTAGTGCTAGTGGATATCATATTGATTATCAAAATTTAGAACCAAAAACCAAATAAACAGAGAACTACTACAAAAGTAAGGGAAAAATGGCGTCGCCCGGACTCGAACCGGAGACCTTCAGTGTGTTAGACTGACGTGATAACCAACTACACCACGACACCTTATTGGTAATACATTTAAAAATACATTATTAATATTCAAATTTTTGTGCATAAAAATAGTTTTAAAATTAGAAAAAATTTGAATAATTATAAATAGAAAATAAAAACCTATTAGAACGAAGCTTATGAATATCTTTGGTTTAGAATTTTAGATTTAAATTACTATTATACAATAATTTACAAAATTAAAAAAACTACTATTCTTTTTTCGTAGTTATATTAAAAATATTATTTAAATCGAATTAAAAACCGTCCTAATTTTTGGATTTATTATTATTATTACATAGAATTTGAAAATTTTAAATTACATATTTATATTAATAATCACACATTTATATTACTCGTGAAATTTGATTTTTTATTTTACTATTTCAAATTTTTTTAAAAATGTCAAATAAACACTTTTTTTTAGTTATTATACTACTATTATACTTAAATTAAAATTTACATTTAAAATATCACATTAAATAACTATTTTAACTCGAAATTTTACCATTTAAAATCAAAATTCTATAAATAAATACACATTATTTTTTCTATTATTTTAAACAACTTTTTATTTTTATAATTTAAAATAATTTTTATTAATTTTAAAAAATAAAAAATAAACTTATAAGTTAAAATAAAAAATTTAAATTTTTTTTTTTTTTTTTAGAAAAAAAGGAGCGCAGATGGCATGATCCACTTCTTCCAATGCTTAATTTATTTAGCACCACCTCCAATTTACTTCCATTTTTGTTTTATATATATATATATTGTGCTTTTCTTTAAAAATATTATATTGATAATTAAATTTTATTAAGATGTCATATTTAATAATAAATAAATTTGTAAAAATACTCTCTTTGACCGCCTCTAAGGATCTCATTTGTATTTAACATTAAAATTATATATTCGTATAATTTCTTTTGCACAAATGTCATTATAATAGTATTATAAGACATTAATAGAAATATTTTTGTTATTTTTCTTTCAATTTTATTTGTACAACACTTTTTTATAATAATTAATATTTAAATATCAACACACAAATGTAAATTAGATCATTAGAGTCGGAGAAAAGTAATATAAAATATATATATATAAATTGTTTACTATTGGCAAAAGGCTAAAATAAATATAAATGTAAAATTCAATTAGTTGATTTCCCATTATACATACATACACTTTTATTATTATTATTATTATTATTATTATACACACTTTTGAAGAAAGGTTTGTTAAAGTTCCCAATTAGGATTAATATTATTATTATATTTAAAAAATGTCATTCACTTTACACTCCACTACGTAGTGTACGTGTCCATCAGTTTGTGGTAAATTATCACTATTGTTACGAGTGGATGTAATATAGAGTGTGCTTTCATTTGCTTTTAATTTTTTAATTGTTTTTTTTTAAATTCATTTTATAACGAAATAATTTCTTTTTTGGAAATATTCCATTTAATATTTATTTTAATTAAAAATTTATATAAAAAATAAAATTTCTATTTGCATGAAACTGTTATACAATAATTATCTATATTTTATCACATAAAAGATAGTAGTATAGTGTGAAGTGAACTTACGATTGTAAAATTATAAGTTTGTTTAGTATGATTTGTCTTTATTAACAGATTATTAAGTAAAAAATTATCTATATTTTGTATATTTTAATTTTTTTATTATGTGATAATTATTTCTATAAAAGATATATATTATTATTTTATATATATAAAATACTCCATCCGTCTCATATTTATATATTTATTTGTTTTTTACACAAAATTTTAGAAATATTAGTATTATATGGGGATAAAGTAGAAATAAAAGTAAAAAGACTAAATTAACCGTATTAGAATTGTATGATATAAATGTAACGATATTTATATAATATATTGTAAATTGGGAGAGTATTTGTAATGTTAAATAGATATTACCATTACTAGAAAAAAAAAATGATAATTTATTATAGGACGAATCAAAATAAAAAAATAAATAAATTATTAAGAAACAGAGCGAGCATTATATTTAAATTACTATTCAAACAAAAAATCAATACAAAAAACATAAAAAAAAAAAAAAAAAAAAAACTATTACCCTTTTCTTTCCCTCATTTGTATCCGTGATGTGGATATTTACAATTTTAAGTAAATAATTTTGGTTAATGTCATCAAAACAAATAAACTACTACTATTATTATTATTATTATTATTATTATTATTAATAAAAAAAGCTAAAGTAGATGATTAATGAAAGAAAGACAAAAGTAGATGAGAAGGAGGGTGTGTTTTTTTACACCAAAACTCATACATTTCTATTATTTTTTAAAAAGAAAATATTATTTTATTTTTTTTTACAAAATATCTTATTATACATTATTTTAATATCAAACTTAAACCAAAATTTTCTCAAATTTATCAAAAGAACCTTTTCAAATTTGATAGTTTAATTATATTTTTTAATGTTTAATCACTCTTAAAATATTTGCTTGTTTTAATTTACTTGCATAGTTTTTCAGATAATATAATTTTAATTTTTTATTATTATTATTATTTTTTTTTTTTTTTTGACAATTGTACTCTTCCAAATTAAGACTCGTTAGTTTATCATATTACCAAAAATTTAAAAATTGATTATATAGAAAGACAATATATGTAAATATGAACTTAGAATTTCTACACATTCAAAGAGAAATTGCATGAGTTGGGAATTGTTTCGATACATGTAGTCAAATAATGAACACAATAGATATTTTTATAATTATCACTTCATATTATTCAATCATATGTTACACAATATTTTCTTTGTCCAAAAATAGTTCGTTATATTAAACCTAATTAGACATGTTTGTTTTTGTAAAATTGTTGGAATTTTATTTTTTTTAATATGAAATATAAAAAATTGCATAAAATAATATAAAAATAATGAATGAACAGCGTATTAATTTTTTTTTTTTTTTTTTGGAAAAAGTGTGGAAGAAAATTAAAGAAAGAATAAAGCTGTAGCACCATATATTGCAACAACTATGTATTTGTTATACTATTGACATGTATTATTAGTTATATGTAACTATTTTGTCATTTTTGTTTGACCAATTTAATGTATATATATATTTAATGAAATATTTTTTACTTTAATTATAAATAATGGTATTAAAAAGTAAACGAGTTTAAAGATAAAATTATTTTCTTTATTTTTTTATTGTATTATTAACTATAAAATACTAATATACTAAAATTTTATATGCAAAAAATAAATAAATACATATGATTCGGATGACGAGGTATTATATATTTTGTGATATCAATATATGATATGAGTTGAGACCAATGGTGATGTGAATTGTGTGGAATGTTATGTGCTATCAGTTTATATTTAACATGTGTTATTTTGTATTATATTAACATAAATTGAATATTGTTTGTCTGCATTATGCTAATATATGATATGTTGTCAGATTAATAGTAACATATATGCGCATCATTGTCATATATTTTAGGTTTATATATTATATTTGTGTTATATTAACATAAATTGTATATTGTCTATCGAGCTGTTATAGCATATTATTTATATTTATGCAATCGTGTGTTTGTTTGGGGGGTTTGGATTTTGAATTGAAATTTGAATAGTAAAAATTTTGAATTTGAATAATTGTATGATGCGATATAAATAGGTGTTTGATGTGATATTATGAATGTAAAATTGATTTTTAATATAATATAAAAAATAAAAAATAGGTATTTGATTTGATGTTTTTTGGAGAAAAAAAATTGGATGAATAGTATAAATCCAATCCAATCCCCCAGACAAACACACCCTAGTGTGTTGAACGATACCATTCGACACCCTACCCATTACGAATAATAAATACTTCCTCAAGCCTACTCGAAATGATCATTTGAGGTTTTGTAATAGATTAAAAAATAATAATATTTTATTATTTATTGAAAATATATAAAATATTTTGACATTTTTACCCTTTAATTTTTCTTATACAAAGTAATTGTATGGAAAATAATATATTTGCATTATTAAAAAAAAAAAAATCCAAATCCTCGTTAGTTTAAACTCGATAAACTTAATATTGAGAATTAAATGTAAATTTTTTGACTAGTTAATGTAATTATTTCTGTTACCATTGTTACAATTAAAGTATATCTATAATTTTATTTTCAGATAAATAAAAATGAATTTGTAATTTGTAGGCGAACATTTACATGATTAAAAAGTTTTAGTTTTTTTTTTTTTTTTTTTTTTCGAATGAAAAAGTATTTTGAATTTATTTATATTTGAATATTAATTATTTTGGTTAATTGTAGTGGTTTTTTATATTTGAATATTAATTATTATATGAAAACGTAAATACAAATTAAGGAAAAATGACAAAAATACTTCTATTAATATCTTATAATACAATTATAATAATATTTGTATACAAAATTATATAAATATAAAAATATACTTAATATTAAATACGATGACAAAAAAAATAAATATGACCATTAGAGTAGGACGGAAGAAATAATATTATACATAAAATATGAATTTTAATTTTTTTTTTATTTCATTATATATGTATATTTATAATATTTATCGAAAGTCGAAGTTACTACAAAAATATTGATTGATTCTTGAATTACAAAAATTTTAGAAGAAATAATTAAGTTATTTATTCTTGAAAGATCATGGGACTCCAAATCCCATTAAATCTACAGTATAGAATTCATCTGCGTCCGTGTCAGAAGGATCGACGGTGTATATCGATCCAGGCGTTTTTGCTCCCGGGACCACGTTAAATTAGGAGCACTCGCCGTTGGTTTATTACAGTGGGATTCTCACTTTCCCATATCTAGCAATATAGCTGCTGCTCCTCCGGCGGAATGGAATAGGCGTATACCCCACGCGCCGCCGCCGCCGAACCGTCATTTTCTGTACTTTAACATGACTACGCGTCAATAGATTCCTGTTTCAACTTTCTTTTTGTTTGTTGCTAACAATTGGATTTTCAATTGGAAAAGTGCGGTTTTCATTTCGTTTGATTTCCGCAATCTGAAGTGTATATTTGGGGCGTGGCGGTTAACAATACATACAGGTGGAGAAAGTAGGGGTTGAATCCATCGGAAGAATGTCGGTGCTCAATCCGGCGTTTGTGAACCGCGAGCTGTCGAAGAAGACCTCTATTTTTGGCCTCCGTCTATGGGTGGTGATCGGAGTGGTCGTTGGAGCGGTTTTTGTGCTCTTCCTCTTCCTCTTTTCTCTCTGCTGCATCACCGCCTCTCGCCGCCGCCGACTCCGCGGCCGCCGCCGTCGTTCGGAAAAAATCGCAGGACGTTGTGAAATTACTCGTATCGCCTCCAAGGAAACTGCCCCCGCCGACCAACGTCCAATGGTGTCTGCGGTATGAAGTTGAGATCCATTTAAGTTAAAATTACTCCATAAATTATTGCTTTTACCATTGCTATTTGGGGAAAATAAAAATAAAAAAATCAAGGCTCAATATGGAATTTGTTGATTTTTTTACATCCATTCATAATCATTTCGATGTTCTTCTTCAACGAATCGAGTTTCCTTTGAGCTGCAGCAAAGTATATCATCTTCAACCGGTAAATATCTTTGTTCTTAATTTCTGGAATTCAACTGTTCTTTAGGATTAAATGTCATTATCTTCAATACTCACAGGTTCAATACTCTCTCTGATTATGACCTTGTATTGAATTTAGTTTATGGATCGGTAAAATTGGACAATAACCTTATCATCCCATGTTCTACGACAGTGATAGTCTTATTTTTGTAGCCTGGTTTGCCATCAAGTTTAAAATTGTTTTTATATATCCTGGCAATCTTTTGTTCACTTTTGTTAGGCTGCACCGGAAATACAGATCAACATGGGCAAGGTGGAGCACCGAGTTGTTTATCCAGAGAGGGGAGCATTGAGCGGCGAGAGCAGGGCCACCAGTGTGTCCGATCGGCCATCACTTGGAGAAGCCAGTGGGGTGTCGTTGCCAGAGGTTTCGCATTTGGGGTGGGGAAGGTGGTTTACTCTACGGGAGCTTGAGGACGCCACCAATGGATTCTCTGATGAGAATGTGATTGGTGAAGGTGGATATGGTATTGTGTATTTGGGGGCCCTGGCCGACAACACACATGTTGCGATAAAGAATTTGTTGAACAACAGGTATGAGAGCTCAATCTTTTACTGTGGAGATATGTTGCTTGTGAGGTTGTGATTGTGGACTTTTTTGTTTGCTGGAGTGCTTCATCATTGTTAAATTCGTTTGAATGCATCGTCACTTCATTTAAATTTGGGAATTGATCGTTTGAATTATTAAATGATTTTGTCACGCGATATGTGGACCTTTTAGAGTTTGAATGCGGGATCTTCTAATTTGGATAGTATGTTATGTTTGTGCACAATATATATATATATATATATATGTATGTATCTTAGGGGTCAAGCTGAGAAAGAGTTCATGGTGGAGATGGAAGCAATTGGGCGTGTTCGACACAAGAATCTTGTGCGACTATTGGGATATTGTGTCGAAGGGATTCACAGGTATCTATAACTATTCCATTTCTATCATTCTAAATTTTCACATTTTTAAACATCAAACTTGAAAAGTTCGTTCGACTTGTATTCATATAGGATGCTTGTTTATGAATATATTGATAACGGAAATTTGGACCAATGGCTTCATGGAGATGTAGGCGAAGTTAGCCCATTGACATGGGACATTCGTATGAACATAATAATCGGGACTGCAAAGGGGTACAGCCTCTTCATACATTTATAGCTCATTGCTGTCTACTCGTGTTTATTTCATTCTCTTCCTTACGGCAGATTGGCTTATCTACACGAGGGTCTTGAACCGAAGGTCATACATCGAGACATCAAATCAGGCAACATACTTCTTGATCGATCATGGAATCCTAAGCTGTCGGATTTCGGGCTCGCTAAAGTTTTCAGTTCAGAGAATTCGTATGTGTCCACACGGGTGATGGGAACTTTCGGGTTAGTTCCTTGTTTTTGTAATGAACCAAAGCTTCTTGCAATTTTGGCTTCTCCCAGCTCTTTAATACTTTTGATTTGTTTTCCAGATACGTAGCTCCCGAATATGCCTGCACAGGCATGCTAACAGAGAAGAGTGATATTTATAGCTTCGGTGTACTGATAATGGAAGTGATCACAGGGCGATCTCCTGTTGATTATAGTCGACCGGCAGGAGAGGTTAGTTTGAATTCCAAGAGTACTAAAATTACTTGGGATTTTTCATGTGTACGTCGATATTAATTGATGTGTTTATCTATCTGGAAATATTTTTTAGAATAATTTGGTTGATTGGCTGAAGACAATGGTTGGTGACCGAAGATCTGAGGAAGTCGTAGATCCTAAGTTGCCCAAACAACCCCCTTCAAAAGCGCTGAAACGTGTGATCTTGGTAGCCCTTCGATGTGTTGATCCGGATGCCCAGAAAAGACCAAAAATTGGACATGTCATAAACATGCTAGAATCCGAAAACTTACTATCCCAAGTGCGTTTGAAAGTTCCTCCACCATTGATTGAGTAATGCCTCAAAAAAACAAATTTGAGTTATTATTTGAAATTTTGATTTGCTGTGATGTTTGTGTGATTGCAGGATTGGCAAATTGCTCAAGAATCTGCGAGCTTTTCCAGAGGAAACAACGAGTCAGGCATTGAGTCGGGGGCGACAGGTATTTCTAGCACTAGCGAAAACGACAGCTTTAGGTACCATAAATTGAATACTAGGTGGCGTTAAGGTTGTGATGAGTTGATGAATGATTGAGATATATTGTTTCGCAATGCTGCCTGTTGGGTGCCATTTATATGTAGGAAGAATTTTACAAGAAAGTAGTGGTGTAGGTGTAGCCATTGTTTGCTGCTACTTGATATGATATGATGCTTTCATTGATTTTATTTATTGATTGATCGATGGATCGATGAATTGCTTTCGCTTTCGCCATATTTAGAGAGTTGATTGGATTGTAATGTCTTAATATGAGGTGGTTGGGTAAGGCTTGATTGATGATCATGCATAACGGCCTTTTAGTATTTGTTAGACAAGGAAGGAGGTTGATGAAGAAGGATGCGTGTAGGAATAGAACTTATAAATTAGGGTGATGGATTTATGAATTTTAGTTGTTAGAAATCAGTTTGCTAGCACACACATTGAATTTGGATTGGATTGGGACCATTTAATTTGTATTTGTTTGTTGGATAGAGATTAGACAGAGACAGAGACAGAGACAGAAACAGACAGAGAAATGTTGTGAAACTTGGCGTCATTGGACACCACACCAAACGGTAGTAAGGTAAGGCAAGGACAAATTGGTTTGTTATAGTATTTGTTTTTGCTTGTCTTGTTAGATATAATTGTTTTTATGGGATATATATATATATATAAATAAATGGATTTTCAGTGGAGTGGACGACATTATTATTTTTGGTCATGAAAATAAGTTTGTATAAAGATAATTATAGGAATATTCAATTTATAGTTAGTTAATGAAAGGGTCTGTCTTTCTGGTCATCACATTTTCATTTTATAAAGATAATTATAGGAATATTCAATTTACACACACACAATATGACAATATCAAATATGGGTTCTGGAAACCGTGTTGGATCCGGATCCGGATCTGGATATTGAATTTGGCCCCCAATTTGTTAAAATTTTAGACATATTCCAAAATATATAATAATTGCCGAGAGCATGATTACCCATCTAGACTAATATATATTTTTCAACTGAAAATTGTACGCGTAAACAAAATATTATTAATAAATTTTATTCAAGTTTCAAACTGAGATATGGTTGTGCCTAATTTTTAAGTTTGGGTCACGTTTAAGTTAGATAGTTTTTAAATCTGATTTGGAATCGGACCAAATTTATCACATTTGTATAGAAATTACTTAGAAATTTTGCAATTTATATCTATTTTATTGTTATTATATAATTGTTGTATTTTCTACCCCCCTCCCCCCAACAAATAAAATCTGATAAATATTACACTTATATTATTTTACTTAAATCAAAATAAAATTGAATATCAACAAAAAAAAAAAAAAAACCTATGAATATCTAGTCTTTAATGAGTTATTTTATTTATTTTGAAATTTTGATATCATATTAGAAGGCAACTAATATAGAGAGAGAGAGAGGGGAGAGACTAGGGGATTTTTGGTATAAATATAAAATTCATTCTCTTCTTTGGTATAACAAAATTAAAATGTAAAAAATGTGATTATTTGAATGAATTGATTGAAAATAAATAATTAATCAGGATTTTTTTATTTTTTTTAACGAGTGATAATTCATAAAAAATATTTTTGGTAATTTTTTTGTTTAAATAATAAATTAGATACGATATTTTGTACAATAAAATATTAGTGAAATATTTTAAAAAATAATAAAAGACTATTTGAATAATAAATTAATGTGATGCTTTATAAGATTAAAATAATATACTTTTAAAAATATAAAAATAAAATAATACAAAATTCTCTACATTTATCTATATACGGGATGAATAAGATAAAATAAGATTAATAAGAATATGTATATTTCTCTGACTACATTTTTTTTTACGGAACATCATAGGAGCATCTCAAATCCAATGTGACATAAATTGAGTTTATATACTTCAATTTGCCTCATTTTTAACACCATTTTATGCTATTGCACTGTAGCAGCCATTTTACAGTGTTGTGCTATTTTATTTTTTATTTTTTTAATTCTTCTTTTTAATTTTTAAATTTTTGCATATTTATTTATTTATTTATAATATGTTTTAAGAGATAACATTAATTGTAAATATAAAAATTAATTTAAAATATTATATAAAATAAAATGAAGATTATTTTTTAAAAATAAAAAATAGAATTATGGATTATAGTCAAAATACTAGCAATTGTATTTTTGAAATTAAAACAGTAAAAAATTTAAATTATAATAATTATTTAATAAGATAATTTTATTTATTTATATATTTTTTATACATGTAATATAATTATCATTGTAAATTACCTTTGGTGGTCTATACAGGGTGTATTTGTTGGGGGTTTGGATGTTGAATTGAGATTTAAATAGTAAAAATTTTGAATTTGAACAGTGGTAGGTATGATGTGATATAAACATGTGTTGATATGATATTTAGAATGTAAAATTAATTAAAAAATAAAAAATAAATGTTTGATTAACCGTTTATTTAAAATCCAATCATCCAAAGAGACGGATACAATAGTGGATCCTGGCCTAACTCAAAAGTTTTTAGGTGAGTTCTTGCACGTCATATTTGAGATGATCTAATAATCCAATAAATAAAAAAAATGTAGGTTACATTAAATATAAAAAAATAAAAAAGGAACTTGAAAATTAAAGGAAAAAATTAAATAAAATAAAGCAATATGCTTGAAGATAAAAAATATACATAAAAAAATAATAATACTCCGTCCGTCCAATACAATAGTTCTGTTTACTATTTTTGTCCGTCTCAAAATAATAATCTCATTTCTATAAATAATCATATCACTATAAAACTACACTTACTTTTTCATTATTATTACACAATTGCCACTACTTTTTACACTAATACACTCATAGAGGTAAAAAAATTTTTTATCCGTATTTTTTATTCACTACAAATATAATATTAATATTCCTTAAATCCCTGTGCCGAACACAATCGAGACTATAAATTTAGGATGAAGGGAGTAGAATGAAGGAAAATGGTTCCCGGGGATATATCCATTTTTTATATTTATTTCATGTGTAACTTCTCCCATGTAAATTCATAATTGATTTAATGTGCAATAGATAATTTTAAAAATTTTCAAAAATAATAATTTGATTTGATTTAAAAGTGAAATTTTAATGTTTTAATTTAAATAATACAATAAAAAAAATTATGATTTTGTTTATACTAGATACTTTCATTCATTTGATACTATTTATTTTACACAAAATATCATATTAAATATATTTTTTTTTTTTACAAAATATCAAATTAATAGTAACTTTTTACTTTTTCTTTTTTCAAATTTTCAAAAAACTCAAAAAAAAATAAAAATAAAATAATAATAAATAAATAAAAATAAAAAATTATTGATTGGCACGCTCTCTTATTTATTTTTTATTTTTTTAGCTTCGTTCAATTCCAACCTCCATCGGCCCCTGTTACCTTATTTTGTCGTCTCTAATCTGGTTGGCGTTGGGCTTCGTTTGGATGGCCATTCATTGTTACAGAAGGCTGAAGAAGGATCAACTCCAGCAGACTAATGTTCCTGCTTCTGTTGGAATTTGTATTGTGCTTGAATGAGTGATTACAGTTTTACTGACATTTGGATGTATTGCGCTTCCTTTTGTGGTTGCATTCAATAGTAAGAATCTATTCTTTGCCCATAGGTTAGATATATCTGAGAACTAGGGTTTGTGAGATTTATATCTTGTAATGGTAAGAATGAATACAGTTTGTAGCATCCATTTGCATCTCCACATTGGAAGATTGTGTATTATTACCTAGTAAGAATCTGAACTTGTTTACACCATGTCAGGGATCCTCCTATTTTGGTGCATGTTTTCTCATTTTTTTAGTTTGGATTCTTTTCAGATATGATTCTTAAGGAGGAAGTTCCTAAGCTAAATCGATAGAATCTTAGCCTTCCTTCTACTTGGCGTTGCGAGGATATGCACAGAAAAGGCTGAGTATCTGAATGATAACTGTGAAAACCTCCTGAACAAGCTGTTGTGAGGCTTTCAGGATAGAATATAACAATGACTCAAGCCTCAGAGCTTTGCAACACCTTGCCGAATAGATTCGAGCTGGATGCTTTTGATGTTGACCTCTGTGAAGATCAAGACTTTGCAGGGTAAGCTTTGTAAACTAAAACTTGCCTTTTGGACTCATGGAATTTATTAGCTCATTTCTTCATGGGCATTTTATATACTGTTTATTTCACATTTTTCTTTGAAATATGTTACTATGCAATGGGAATTGTGAGGCCCCGCAATCAAATCTCTTGCAGGTATATAATATATATATATATATATTCTATTGTGTCATGCTATTGTACAAGACTATATTGGGATACTATGGGAGTTTATCATGTTTCAGAGGTGCAAGGAAACAATAGAAATGAACATAATTTGCTCTATGAGGCATGCTTGTATAATTTCTTTTTTTTTTTTTTTTTTTTTTCGATTTTCTTGTCTGTGATCATTTTTTAGTAACCAGCATGCATAATGATTGAAAAGTTAGTTCAGATTATGTATTAAATTTTGATGTAGTGGTGCACATTCTGTTGAATTTATGAACTCACCGGCTTTTCGGATATTTTAATAATTGAAACATGTTGAAAGATCATTACAAATCATTCAGTAAGCGTGCATTCATTATTGTCACTCTTTGTCATTTAGTTTTTGAAAACTTAGTAAGGAAATCATTATGTAGGCACCCCGTGTTCTATTTGTTGAGATTCGATACACATGTTCTTATTCATATTCTTCTATTTATGAAGATTTGCCTGTTTGTTCTGCGAATCTCTTACATATAAATTGATTAGTGGCTGGTTGTTTTAATAAACTATTTTGCATATAAGTTTTCAGCTGTAGGAGAACATAAGAAATACACTACCTCAAAAGTAAATAGCGACAAATTGTGTGTTATAGTGCATATTTCCGGCATTATGAGGGCAAACAATTGGTCTTGGCCTTATCCATTAACGAGGATCTTTCTTTAGCTCACCTAGGGGAGCTATCCGGTACAAGTTATTTCTTGGAAGATCGTATGGAGCCACTGGTGTTTAGATGAGGATGAAGAAGAACACCTGTGTATGAAGGCGATTAAAGATGATCCAAGAACTCTAACTGCTGATCCAACTAAAGAGATAAACTTTGGTTCAGTTGAGATTTCACCAAACAATATGTCTTACATTACCGAGTTTGGAGAGACCTTGTGCACTCAAATTGCTCAGACTGTATGTTGTTGGATGGAGCCAGAGAAGAGCAAACAAACTACAAGCCATCTGATGACATAATAGGACAGATTTCCCGGATGCTATTGAAGAAGTTGAGTTCAATGATGACTCAAGTTCATTAACTCTTGGAATTGATTCGGCCTAAGGTACAGAGATACTTGAGAACTTATATCTCCTTAGAATATTTCTCCAATTTGAAAACATTGAATGAGGCAGAAAAGGATCAAGGCAGCAACGAGCCTTCTTATGCGCAGAGAGGAATTACAGATAGAGATGTGGAGAACCTAAAGGCTCAATTGAGCTTGCAAGAGGATGAACTGGAACATGTTGATATAGTGAACTGTCAGAATATTGATGTGCTTCCCATGGCTTCTCAAATTCGAAGTAGCATAGTGAAATTAGGTTGTGAAAGGGACATCATGAAAAAAACTTCTTGATTTTTGTACTTCTATGCATTGGTGATCAGTTTTATTTGTTTCTAAGTTTTCAAATGCATTCTTTATTTTCTTTTTGTTTTATTTTTCGGATTCAAGTAGCCCTGAGCTTGCTCATATCCTGACTCCTGCTGCCCAAGAATGTTGTAAAATTTAGAGCAAGAATGTGGTGAAACTTAAGAGGAGTTCAGTTTCGATTTTGCATATTGTCGAATTTACACACGCACCCACCTAGGATCGAACGTAGGACTCAACTTTCAAGCTAGGGATGCTCTGCTTTGAACACGGGGGTGTTTAGTTTTGAACAGTGATATATTGTTTAATTAAAACAACACAACCGTGTTATAATTAACACGACCGTATTTGTTCCAGATCATTTGTTACATCAGCTTTCGTTATGACCACGTCAATGAGACCAAAAATGATAATTTATTTTTTGTATGGGATCAATTTTGATAATTATTTTTGGATTTGACCAAAAATTAAAAAAAAAATAGGTTTGATTAGGATCAAAATTAATTTTTAGTCTTATTTATTTATCTATTTAGGTGTGTTTGTTTGAGGGATTGGATTTTGAGTTGGGATTTGAATAGTAAAAATTTTGAATTTGAATAGTTGGATGATGTGATATAAATAGGTGCTGATGTGATGTTTTGAATGTAAAATTAATTTTTAGTATAATATAAAAAATACAAAATAGGTATTTGATTTGATATTTTTGGGGAGAAAAAATAGGATGAATATCGGAAATCCAAACAAATCCCTCAAACAAACACACCCTTAGTATTGATTGAATTATAGTGCACTGTATTTCAGTAGAGGGGGAAATTGTCTTCTGGTTTGAAAGAAAAGCCAACAACTGTTAATTTTATCCAATTTCTTCTTCTCTTTTTTATTTGTTAAAATATAGTACCACTTGTCATTGTTGCCTACTTTTTTTTTTTTTTTTTTTTTTTTTTTTCCCACTTGGATGTATATATAATTAACGGTCGGATCTCCACCGGCCATAATAAACTAATCTGCATCCTTGCCGTCCAAAATGACAGCTTAATTTAGATATCCACTAATATATCAACACGTGTCCATGTTCAACATCAATTACAGCCAGATCTTATCATTCCTTTGAATTCACCATTTCCACATGTTAACGAAACCCTAACAAAGACTTTCTTTGAAGCTTCACTAATATCTCCGGCAGCTGTTTCAGGTACGGGTCTCTCTCACTTAGCTTGATTGTGTTTCTTGCACGATGTTCTACGATTACTGATCAAGAGTTTGGCTTGGATTTGAAACTTTTTTGTGTTTTTAATTTTGAAGATCGGCGGATCTTTTAACCCCTTTCCGCGTTTAATCGGCGAACACCGACAAAGGAGTAAGTTCTTCCATTGATTGTTAATCTTTAGTCTTTCTTTTGTTCTTACTGTGTCTGTTTGATTTGTATACTTGAACAAATCTGTGTTGCTTTTTTTTTTTTTTTTTTTTTCCTGCTATTGTTTGATGTATGTAGAGCTGGACTTTGTGTTTGCGTTCAATTTGGGATGTTAATTGCCACTATTGGTTGTGGATCTAATGACCAGGCTCAGTGTTATTTATATTTATTGCAACTGTTTGCTGTTGAATTAACACATCGGCTAAGTTTCTCTGAACGGAGCCTTGTCTTCAATTTAATCTTTTCATCTCGATTATCCATTATGTACTCCTATTATGTAACTGTAAAGTGCAGATTGAGTGATGACTTTGTAGATCTTAAAAAACTGGCTGTTAGGCAAATGATCTTAAGTGCTTGAACCATTCTTAGGACGTTTTCAGCTATGTTATTTAGTTCTCTGTGTTGTGTGGATGAATTTGGATTGTCAATGGAGGATGCTATAGTTTCGGGTTTAATTTGTTGCTTGGTTGCCACAATTCCATCCTTATAGATTTTGGTTATTCTAATTTCTGATTGGGCTGAATTTCAACTAAAGACATTGCTGCTCTGATGTTTATTTCCTCAAGGCTGAATATTTATGGAGTTCTTGTATCCTCTCTTTCGATATTCAGTCGCCCTTTCTTTTGTCTTATGCGTTCCTCTGTCTTTGTAAATTCAGTAATTGTATCAAAATGAGTCGCCCACAGGACCCACACAAACCGTTTCTCTCATTTGGAAACCCGTTCCGCATGATGATGCCCAAGGCATCGTGCCTCCCTCCCAAGCTCCTTGAATTGCTAAAAGATTTCGAGGAGTCAATAGCAAAGCATCTTGTAAAGCTTAAACCAGCTGAAAAGGAAGATGTTCTTAGTATGTTTTGGTTGAGAAGCGCAATGGAATCGCTGTGTGGAATTCACACCGAGATTAAGGTTCTTATCACTGAACTTGAACTACCGGTCTGTGATTGGGATGAAAAGTGGATCGACGTGTACCTTGACAGCAGTGTGAAGTTGTTGGACATCTGCATCGCTTTCAACTCAGAGATTTCTCAACTGAATCAGGGCCACCTTTTCCTTCAAAGCGCATTGCATACCTTGGGCAGTGCTTCGGAAAACCAGTTTGTGAAGGCTCGCTCGTCGCTGGATGGTTGGAAGCAGCATGTGGGCTGTAAGAATCCTAGACTCGACAAATGCTTCTCCGCGATGGAAAGTCTTGTCCTGGCATTAGACCTTCCTAAAATCAAGAACTCTTCTAAGGGAAAAGTTTTGATGCGAGCCATGTACGGAGTGAAGGCAGTGACTCTATTTATATGCAGTGCTTTCGCCGCTGCATTGTCTGGTTCTGCAAACAAGATGATCGACATACAAGCTCGGGAGACATTGTGGGCGGAAGCGTTCACTGATCTCCAAACTTTTGTGAATACTGAAATCAGAAACAGATATTCTAACGGTGCTCTCACAGTGTTGGAAGAACTAGAAGCTGTCGACGCCAGTGTCAAGACATTGTATCCGATTGTGCAAGACGGCGTTAGTCCCATTCAAGCCGAAGCAATACATGAATTGAAATCTGATTTGGAAACTTCAGCTGACCAATTCTCCCGGGGCCTGGACCAGCTCGCCAAGGAGGTGGACAGATTCTTCCAAGTTGTTCTAACCGGGCGCGATGCTCTGCTTGGCAACCTCAGGAACAGTGGTAATGTATCGAATCATTTGCAGAGAAGCCACAGTTTTGAAAGCCAGGCTGTGAGGTGAACCCTCTGTATGTACATACCGAATCTGCAACCGATGCAAATGAGGTATTCAATGTCATGTTTTATCGTTGAATGTAGAATGTTTGATGTCTATATATGTTGGTTTTGTTGCAGTATATCGGGGGCTGTTTGTTGCAATGTTATAATCGATGAGTATGTGATAAACTTATATGTAATGTATAAATGTAAGTGTGTTTGCTGTATGGTTTGGTTCTTCTTCTTTTGCACTCAATGGTTGTTTGCATTCGGCATTGCATTTACATCTTATATGACATTATCTGAACAATGAACATAAAAGAATCAACTTTAGCATTGTAAATTTTTAGTTAAGCGTAATCTTACTGTAAAAAAAATCCATAAAATTCGGACTTTGGATTGGTCTGACTGGGAAACACAAAAGAAGCAACGAAGCCATGTGTAGTATGGATATGCGGAATCATTCCGCGACATCACCAAATCCAAGAAATTTGCATTTGCATTTGCATTTGCATTTGCAGATTGCAATTCCAACGACCATTCTCTGAAGAATTTCTCATTTCTCTTCCCTTTCTGTATCGTATGAGGGACTTTAATACAGCATTTACGTTTGCGCAGAATGGTGTGCATGAGAGAATTTAAGCATGTATGTAGGCTTTACGCCATATGCTTATTTATTTAGTTAAATTGGCGCTATTCTGTAATCGGTTTCTGATTTCTATAAATACTGTTTAGAATTGCTAGCTTGTTTACCCTAGATCGATCTGCTGCTATTATGCTCGGCTAGATGTGGTGAAATTGAACAACGCGGAGGTCTGATCGGTTTCATGGTTGAGGTTTCGATTTTCTGTTCCCTAATTTCGCAATTATGTAGTTGTTTTTGATCTAGATCTATATTTCTTATGTGTTTCTAATTCTACTTCTGAATTTGAATTAAAATGAAATGATCTCTCAAATGTCCATTCTGCCATAGTTAAACTTCCTGTTTGTTTGCTGGTTTTGGGTATTGATTTATTGTAGTTTTCGAAATTCTGTTTTAAGTTCTTAGTAATGTTGTTGCTACCCTAGGCCACTAGGGTTTAGGCCTTGACATCTTGTGTTACAGCATTTTATTTGGCTGTATTTCTATTCTATGGAAGATTTATAGTGTAAGTGAAAGTGCTGATGTTGAGCATAAACTGAGTGAAATTTTTGGAGCAAGTGTAGTCCAAATGGCACAACACAGTTACAAAGAGATGCTATTTTTCTAATAAACCACAATTGCCTGCAATCTTGCTGGTATTATATATATGTCTTCCTGTGAGAGCATTTTTGCATCTCTATGTTTTCGATATCTAAACTGTCTGAGGGAAATTCACACATGTTCATTTTCCCTTTTCCTGTGTTGGGCAGCAGGTTGCATGGTGGTGGCACAACCCCGCTTGACTTACCCTCGACCTCACTGCAAGTCCAGGGGGCCTTCTTGGTTTTCTTCGCCATTCCAATTGTCACATTAGACATGCAAATGCCAGTGAAGGGGTCACCTGAGATCCCCTCCAGCCTACCAGCCATTGATACATTCTCTGCCACCACGTCTCTGTAATTGATGCCTTTGATCACTGGTAAGGCGTTTGGATCGTAGTGACTGTCAGCGTGGGAGCCGTAGTTTCCAGTAATCCAGAAAGCCCATTTCATAGTATGCAGATTCATGCCTTTTACGTATATGTCCTTGACATAGCCTCCCCTCCCTACTGCTGTCTTGATTCGAACTCCCGACTCTGTCCGAATGGCTGTTATGTCTTGTGCTCGGACATCCTGAATTCCACCTGACATTTCACTCCCTAATGCTATGGCAGCGCTGTATGGTGAAATACAGGTGAGACGTCGGATTATCATGTGTTTTGTGGGCATACCATACTTTATGCCATACTCATCCCATCCGCTTTTGATTGCCACGCAGTCGTCGCCAGAGACTATGTAAGTATCCTCTATTCTTGTGTTTGTGCAAGAATCTGAACATCATGTGAGATACTTGGGACATTAGAAATGCATGTGTGAGACTGTAGATTGATTTATTGATGGGATTTGAGAAATAATAAACACCTGGATTGATTCCATCTGTGTTTGGGGACCTTACTGGTGCTAGAATTGTAATCCCTTGAATAATTATATTGCTGCAATGTTTTAGAACATTAAGAAATCATGTCACTCCCTCTAAAACTTAGAAACACATGAGCTTATGTAGTTATGTGTGGTAAGAATATTGACTGACTTTAGCCTTAAATCTCTACTATTTTACTTAACAAGCATGAGAAGTGTTCATAATGAATTCCTCAAACTCAAATAGATGATATATATAGATAGAGAGAGATAGAGAGAGAACCTGCTGTATACAGGATGAACATTCCATGAAGGAGAGTTGATAAGTGTTAGATTGGATATCTGTATATTATCTGAGTGCATAATTTCAATTAGATATGGCCTTGTGTATTGTAGCTTTTTCTTGTGAAACTGCTGCCACCACACAGCTCCCTGACCATCAATAGTACCATTCTCCCCTGATAAACATACATATGGTAGGTAAATACACAATTACACCCTCTAAATGTATGTATAAAGAGCTTTGGAGTATCCTGCTACCTGTGATAACAACATCAGTAAGATTAGATCCGAATATAAGACTGATGTACCTTCCCCCTGCTGCATCCCTTCCTCGCCCGTATGATGGTAGAGGATCTACCACAGGCCACTGCTTTATGTCCTGAAAATCAAAGTAATATACAACTCAGTACTTCAACTTGATTTTCTATTGTTTGTAGCTTTCTATGTGTTATAAACCCCCCCCCCCCCCGCCCCCACCCCACCACCCACACACACCTGAGAAGCAAGAAGAATTGCATCCTTATGCAGGTAGAGAGTGAAATGGCTGGTGAGATTGAAGCTCCCTGTGAGCCATTTACCAGCAGGGACAAGCAGCTGAGCCCCGCCATCCGATGCATATCGGCTCAGGTGAGTAATTGCGGCCTGAAAGGCCTTTGTATTGAGTGTTTTCCCATCTCCAACACCACCAAAATCCACTATTGATGCACTGTGATTTCTGCAGCTGATGGCTGAGTACTCAACAGGGTCTAATATTCTTGGATCCTTGCGGCACTCGGCTTGTTTCAGAATCAGAACTCCCCAAACCACCAGAAGCAGCATCTGAATTGGGGCATTCATCTGTCAGGTAACAAAATCTCTTCTCTAGGGAGTGATCACAGGGAAAACCCAATGGAATAAAAGTTATAAACAAGAAAAATTTAGAAACACAAAAATATTATAAACAAGAAAAATTATAAAAGAAAAAAGAGGGTCTTACTTAAAGTTGTGTAAAGCAACAGGTTGTTATTGTAAAGGGATTTGGGTAATGTGCTATTTGGTATATTTTACAAGTGTGGCTATTTATAGAAGGCTATCTCGTGACTTTATTTGACTTAGTAGCACTTGGATTTATGTCTAGATTTGTCTATTTAATTTTTTTTTTTTCCACTTTTTAGGATTTTCTTTGTCCCTTTTTACATATACATGAACATGAGGGGGGAGTCGTCTACAATGATATTTTACCCTTTTTAATTGAAATAGGATCAAGGAAAATGTTACCGTGATTGATTTAGAAGCTATAGATTATTTTTCTCAACAGAACCCTGCTGATAAGCTGATAGTATAATTAGATTATGAAGAAATGGTGGAGGCTGATAGCACAATAATATATACCGTATATTAGACAATAGATTATAGATAAATCTAACAACACAAAACATATGTTTATATACTATACAACACATGAACTAACTACAAGTGGCAATAGTCCATACAACGAAAAGTACAATTGATCTCAACGCACATAGTTTACTATCACAAAACATAAAATAAAAGAGACGGTATATATTAATACTCTAAACAATATGTGTTGTCTGTTATACTTTCATACGCTATTTGTAGTATTTTTATGTGCTGATTGAGACAATCAATATATTGTTGATAAATCCTCAATAAGAACTCTAATCGAAGCGATGAGGGAAGTGTACAACATCAACATAATTTGCTTTCTTTCAATGGACGATATCCCTATTTTTTTTCGAGTAATTTGTCTTTAGTTTTTATTTGAAATGTTTTTGTAAATTATTTTGGAAAGTAAAAGAGAAAATAATTTGTGAATAAAGGAAATTTGCAAAAGTTTTGAAAATGTCAAAATTAGTAATAATAATAAAAGATTTAGAATATATGTAGAATGATACATGATTAAATTGTAGTCTTAGAAGTACTTGCATGAAATGAAATGAATTATTAGTTTGTGAAATTTAATTGATGAAATCTGTAGTTTATGTTTTTCACTTTTCCTTCGGTACATCGGCAATAAATTTTATAAGTTGCAACTAGAAGGGCAAAGAAGAAGAAATGTGGCTAAGTCTTGCAAAGATATTAGGTTTTGTTTGGTTTTGATTTAAAATTGATTTTAATTTTTGTGAAAAACATAATTTATTTTTATTGGTAACTGGATTAAATAGTGATATATATATATATTTTTATTTGAAATAAAAATCAAACCCACCCTTAAACGTAGGGTTTCTGGAATTCGAATTGAAGATAGATAGGCAGACTTGGCATTTTGGAAACATGAATTGGGTGCGGTGCTTCAAAGTATTAGCATTGGTTGCTTCTACTCTAACATCTAATTATGAGTAATAGGAAAAAATATGATACAGTGTTCTTAGACTATGCTCGAGTATTTTTCTATGTACATTTTTTTTTTTTTTTTTTCTTTTTCCATTATTTTATAGTATTTGTTATTCCAGATACTATTTAGATAAACAGGGTGTGCATATAATTATAACAAATTGTTGTTTTATATTGTGACTTAACTGAAAACACAAAAATAGCACATGCATAGTTAACAATTTCTGCCCAAATCACTGAAAATAAATAAGCCATGAGAGGATATATAATTATTTCAAGATATATTCTCGATATATGGCCTGCATTTGAATGTTGGAAGTTTCAAAATATCTTGAGACACAAGATTGCATAAGTATATGCAAAATTACAAAGAACAAATGTGTGGTTTAGACAATTTCCAATTCATAATTTCATTTTTGTATTTTTATTTTTTTAGGACATTCTATACTAATTCGTCTCCAATCATATTATTTATTTAATCATTTATTTATTTATGCAGAATGAAAGAATACTATTTCTATATTCTATAGTTAGCATAGATCCATACTAATCCTATAATTTTAAAAATTTACAAATAATACTCCATATTTAATTATATTTACCTATTTAATTTATAATGATATTTTAGATATTATACTAACAAATTAGAAGTTATTAATCTTTTTTATTATTCGATCATAAAAATAATAACTACTTTTTAAATTTATTAAATCAAAATTCTAATATTATTGAACAATATTTATACAAAACATAGATAACAATATATATAGTTTAATATAGTTATATAGAATTGATTGATAATACATATCAATAAATATATAATTTATTATAAATATCAAATACCAAATTAAAATATAAATATACAAAAATAAATCATCATTTCATTTCGATTCAAAACAACAACAGCAACAACAATAATGAAACAAGAGATCAAAGTCGATTTCTTGCAAGTTTTTTTACTGCAGTGGTGCAACGAGGAACGACGACTACAGGCCACAGCTTCCAGCAGCAGCTCCGATTTCGACTCAAATAAAAATCTCTCTTCTTAATGATGAGTGAAACAATATATGGAATGGGTTATAAGAGTTCATTTTTATACATATATACACATACTTTTATAGACTAAATATGCAACTAACAGTGCATATAATAATTTCAATACAATTATATATAAGATGCATCAAAATACTAATATATATCATAACAAATAAATTGAACATATTAATCAGCAATCTAGAGACCAACAACAAATATCTAAAATTGGAACACAAAGTAAAACTTGAAACATGCAAACACACAGCATGATTTTTAGCATTTAAATATTGTACTCTATTCAATTTATATTCAAAATTTACCATATAAATTTTCAGCTCCTAAGTACTAACTACACAAAGCAAATTCAAAATTTTACAAGTAGCATGCATATATTTATGTAGACCAACAATTATTGAGTGAGCTTTAAACAATTTAAAAAGAGTCTTTTTGTAGTTCAATTTAGTCTTTTTACAATGCATTGGTAAACTTCAAAAGAACATATTTTAAAAAATAATTTTGATTTTCAAGAAAGTAAACATTGCTCCACCTTATCTGCTGTTGGGTTCAAAAAATCAACCTTAAATTATGTATCATATTATATAACAGCATGCTATCATATATCAAGTGAGAGATGGATCACAATTAAACCATTTATTTTGCCTGGCATAATATAGTAGTATAATTATGATGATCTAACTAATATATTTACTTGGTGATGATGATGATATCATTTCATTTGTGTCTTTCTTCTGCTGCTGCTGCTGGGTCTTAACATCTGCTTAAAAAGAGCCATTTTGGGAACATTCCAGTGCTCCACATGCCTGCATGCATACTCCATTGATACCAACATATATACATATGATTCTTTCAGATAGATACTAATATATATATATATGCAGTAGTAGTAGAATTCAACAAACTACCTGCATACTCTCCCAGAATTTTGATCCCAATAGTACTCTGTGTAACCTGTGGCTGCATATCCATTTAAATTTAGTCACAATCTTGCAATACTACTCCATAATAATACTAATTCACAACCACAAATTAGAGAACAAGAGTGATTGATTCCCTGTGTTTGATCTGATGCTGATGAGTAAGAAGAGTACAGTACAGTACAGTACCTGATAGAATGGGCTTCCATGGAAATGCCATGATGCAGCTGAAACGCCAGTGCCCCACTCCTTTATCCTGTATCAACACAACACCACACCATCAATTATTGATTCAATTACAGTCATGAAGGCAGGATCAGATATTCAGGTCAGATCACCTCATACTCTTCCCATTTCATCAGCTTCATCTCTGATCTCTCAAGCAGATTCCCGAAGTTGCTACAGTTCCTTTTGAAACGCTTCAACCCTCTGAAACTCCCCGCTGGATCTGCAAATTCGCAATCCTCTTCGTATGCTGATACACACACATTCCCTGTTCATTTATTATAATTAGATACCTTCATCTTCATCTCTATATGTGCATCGTCAATGGAACGTCACATCACATCAATCGGTAAATTTATATTCTCTACCCGTGACGAAATAGGATCTCTCGAAATCCTGCTTAATGCTCTCCACCACCGCCGCTCGATCTAATTTCCCTGACTCATCCACAGACAGCGCCGCGCCTCCGGAGGAGATCCTCTCCGGTGGAGGACGGATCAATGAAGCAGCTATGCCGAGGAATTCCGAGGCGTACCAGGCTATTCTCAGCACCACGTTTTCCGGTACGGATTCAGGCGACGAATCCTCGGTTGAAGAATTCTTCGCACAGCATCGGATTTCGTGGTGAACTCTCCGGCAATCATTTCGACGCAAATTCGGTGAAGTACTGAAGTTAGGTGTGGTGGAAGTAAAAGAGAGAAACGTCGCCATGAAAGGGCGCCAGAGAACAGTTGGCACGCAGCTTCAGTTAACGGTAGCCATTGTATGGTGGGGATGACCTCTGGTGTTCGGGTCCCGGGCCTTCCCATTTTTAATTGGTGTTCGAGTCTCTAGATATTTTTATGAAGTCAATAAATTTTTATATACTCGCAGAGGCAGCGGAATTACACGAACCAATAGATATAACGGAGGGTTCCCTAACGAGCGGCGCGTGTCGAACAAACAAACCTAAAGCGCGTCTGTTAAATATCCCATTTCTCAATCTCTAAAACGGCGTTGGCCGACGTCGTTTCGCAATTGTGTTTCAGAGAATTGCTTTCTTCCATTCCGCTCCCCTCTCATCGTCCAGAGCAAATCCTCTGTATACATGTAATACGTACAGATTTTTGTATGTATCGATTTATACATTCATCGGAGCGCTCTACAGTCGTGTGTGCGTGTGAAATGTGAATGTATCGAGATTACATACCCACCCCCTTTCCTCATGGTTGGTTCAAGGAGAATTAGGAACAAAGATTTGCGAGGAATTTAAACCCTAATTTTTCTTGGTTGCGTGAAGCGTCAACGTTTCGATCAATGGAGGATCGTACCGTATGTTGCGAGTTTTTTTCGGTTTGTTTTTGTAAATGAAGAGCACGGCATAGCGATTGTTGAGGAATTAGGGGTTCTGTTGTTGTATGATTTACGGCATGGAGAGAGCAATATGTCCGATTTTGTGCGGGTCAATGTTGGCTGGGTAGATCAGTTAACTGAACTGACGCTTTTCGTCGTTCTCTGTGGTGATATGCCTTCGATTTTGATTTTGTTTTTAACCGTATCTGGAATCTCCAACGAATTAATTTGCTCGGTGAGGTGAGTGTCCGTTTTGGTTATGGGAATACTTTCTTAGGTTTTTGTATTGGAAGCGTTCTAGGCTGCTCCGGATTTGATTGAATTCGAGAAATTGTGGAAAGTGTGTGGTTTAGATCGTGAGGAAGTTATTCTTCTGTGCAAACTTAAGAATGAGCTTAGAAAAGGAGGAGTGTAGGTCCTCTGAAGACGGTTCCGAGAAATTTGATGCGGCTATAAAGTGAATATCTCTTTCTCATCTTTGTTTCCGTGTTCATGTGAGTTTGTTGTTAGTCAGATTTGGGATAACTGATTTGTTTGTTGTTATGATGTTTAGGAAGCCAAAATTTTCGTATGACAGAGATTTCTTGTTTTCTTTGCGTGATTTGGATGTCTGCAAGAAGCTGCCCAATGGTTTTGATGAATCTCTGCTGAGGTAAAGACAATTCTAGTTATGTTAGCAATGTTACTACACGGGATGTTCTATTGAATAATTTACATACATCCATAGCATATATGTCTCATTTATTTCTTATGCTTTCTGTATCTAGAAATTTATTGCGGTTTTAAAGTATGCTTTATCTGTTATAGTGAGTTTGAGGATGTGGGGCAAAGCATACCAGATCAATCAAGAATTCCTGGGAGTCATTCGCTACAGGGCTTCAGGCGAAACCAGTATGGATCATCTCCACCAACTCGCGGGGATTCTAGTAATTATTCTAGAAGCACTTATGGAAGGAGCGACAGTGATTCCCAGTCTGAACGCGAGTCAGGTTCTGTTTTTGCCCCACTAATATTTATTTCAAGCTTAGTAAGATGTGCTTATTTAGGTAAGCTAGCGTTGCTAACAGAACTGATGACACTTGGGTTGTTAATTTTCTTGACTTCGGACCTTTTAATGCACAGCACTTAAGATATCCTTGATCAAAATATTTTCTAGTCATAGGTGTCAAAGCCGCCCAATTGCACGTGCCATCATGGAACATGGAGGGGTCAATGCGCCATTTTTATGGCAAAAGCGTGTCATCGAGAGACACGCCTTTGCACCTTTTCCATGGCACAATGGCATCTGCCATGGCATTTTGTTGTTATGTTTATTATTATTTTTGAATTCCAAACCTCTTAAACATTTTTTGACTTAGTATCATCTTCCCATACTTGCCTATATCTGCTTATTGTTTTATTTCTTCTTCCAATCTTCTATGATACTCTCACCTATTCGGCTCATCCAGTTCTCCTTTCTGGCTACCGTGTTAGTTTGATTCATTTATCTAATAATATCATTAATATTATTTATTGTTTTTATATTTTTAGCATCCAACTAGGTATGCGACCAATTCAAAAGATGCTGGGTGGAATTGTAACTTATGAACTATAATACTAAAAACAACATACATTGAATTTTGTAAGAAGATATTTAAAAGTGACATCCCGAGATTCACACATCGATATACATTTGCAGTTTTTCATGTCAATTGTATTTAGTATGTGGGTGCGCCATGCACAACTCCACGTGCCATTTACTATTATGGCTACAGTACTTTCTAATCTATTTTTTGTACATTGTGAAGAGTGTGTATATCTAGTGGTTTTTCTTTCATCGCATTTATGGATGTTTTTCCATAGTTTTGAGAACTCAATTACTTATCATATAGACTCTGGAAGGCGCTATGGGCATCCATCTCGAAGGTCTTGGCAGACTACTGAACAGGATGGACTACTTGGTAGTGGTTCATGTCCAAGACCACCAGGACATGTTTCTGGTGTTTATGCCCCAAAGTTCAGAGTAAATGGCGATCATCACCTCAGCAAGAGCAATGAGCCATATCATCCACCACGGGCGTACAAGGTTAAAGTATTATTATGGGTTATCTACAAGTTCTAGTGCCTCAGTTTCCATTCTTATTATTCTTATTATTATTCTTTTCCTTCCAAAGGTATTGTCAGTGCAATATTATTGGTGCTAAGAGTTGAAATTGTGTTCATTTGTCTTTCTGAACGTCATCACACTGTCAAATTTTCAGCCAGTACCATATTCACGACGAGATACAGACTCATACAATGATGAAACCTTTGGTTCAATGGAGTGTGAAAATGAGGACAGAGCACAGGAGGAAAGGAGAAGAAGAGGTATTCACCAAATGTTTTATGGATTACCCTTTTTAAATCAAGTTGTTTGTGACTTGGTGTGTACTTTGGTCTCTTTAGCTTCTTTTGAGATGATAAGAAAGGAACAGCAAAAGGCTCTTCAGGACAAGCAAAAGTTGAATTTGAAGCATAATTCTGCCATTATCTCCAATCTTTCTGAGGTATTGGAGGATAAGAAAGAGGAAATGGGATCTGCTTCTGGGCAAAAGGAGTTGGAGGGGTCTTCTACAACTGTTGTCGTAAGCAACAATCTGGATACATCTTTTTCTTTGCAAGCATCAGCATCCAGACCGCTTGTTCCTCCTGGTTTCCGCAATGGTATACTGGAAAAGGGTTCAGGGTTGAAATATCAAAGTCAAACTCTATCACTAGAGGTATACCTCTCCTCCGATCCAAGCTGCATGAACAAAAAATGCAGCAATAACTTATATTGTTTGAGATGCTCCTAAAAACTATACTATGCCATTATTTACTATTTTACTTACCCTTCCAGAAAAATTGCTTGGGTGAATCTCCTCTACTTGTTCTGCTACTAATTTATATACTACGATATGAGTTGGGGATCTGAAAATTGGTCATTGTGTAGTTCAATAGAAACCCAATCTTGAAAGAATCATGTGAAATTGGATAAATCATAAGATGAATCTGTAGCTCCTGTAATAATTTCCTTGCTGATCCTTTTGTATGTGTTATTATTTAGTCTGAATGTTGCTTTTTATGTAGTGTAATTACTGTATTATACCCCACGGTGAGTCTAAATTTGGTCATTTTATTCTTAATTTTAATGATTACCTTGCTTTTGCAGGAACAGAAACCTGTACCTGGGAAAAGCCTTTTGGATCCTAAAATTAGCCTTGTTCCAGATAATGGAAGTGCTGGTTTGGAGCTGAATTTATCTCAAGGTATGAATGCAGTTAATGAGCATCCCTTGCAGAGAGCCTCCCCTTTGGAAAAAGGGGAAAATGAGAAGTCACTCTATTATTCAGATCTGCATGTCAAGAAATCTCTTCTGGAGGATCAAGTGGTTCATGCTTCCAGTCGTTTAGATTCTCATGGAAGCTTGGATGACCCTGCAATCGTTGGGCTCAATGCTAATGCATTGGAGGGCAAAACTTCCGCTGATGGCAATAGCAAATTTTCAACTTCGCTACTGGAAAATATATTTGGTGGTGCATTATCCTTAAGCAACCATGATGGTTCTAATATAACAAAGGTAATTTTCCTGATGCATTTCCTGCCAGCAGCCACCAGTCTCTCTTATTACTGAACCATCTCATACTTTCCAATAATCAAGACATGCCACCAAACTGATGCAAATGCAATCCATAAGTTTATCCATTTTATCTCCTACAAGAATTAGTTGTTAAATTTCTTGTTTGAAGGGGGACATGAAGGGGCCAGGGCAAGATACAATCATGTTATGGCTTATTGAGATTTTTTAACTGGTCGCTTTAATGTTTGGGCAAATTGCCATGGATTATGAAACAATTATGGTAGATCTTTGGTAACCATACGTCGACTTTGTTGCTTATCTCCATTACACAATCTGATACTAAACTTTTGAAAGTTCTGTTTAGGCTATTTAGAATTGGAATGTTTCCAATACCTCTCTGTGTGCAGTTACCTTTGATGGTGAAATTTTTTCAGTTATTGTTCTTGGTTTATTTATGTTTAATTCTTGTTGGTTTGTGTTTGAAAACCTTTAATCAGTTGTTTATATCATATTTAACTCTGCTAGCCAATGGAAGTTGAGGATAACCAGAGCAGTTTTGGCTGCTGGTATTGGTCATTGCCATGTTCTTATTCTGATAAAAACTAATAACGAATCATCCATGTGTTTTTGTAATTTTTTACGCATGGGGTTTTACTGATGGACCTATTTCATGATTTGGAAGTTAATTGGGTTGGGTTGAACAAGCCTTTTCCGCATTCAGTTTAACCAATTTGTGTGGGGGCTTATTGATTCTTTGTTGATTGAAAAGGGTGAATTTTTATGTTGTTTTATATTTCTTTTATCAAGCTTTACATGCAAATTCCCTCTCATATGACTACCTGCTCTAATTATTAACTTCTTTGTTTGTGCCCTTGGCTAGTTTCATCATATTAAACCTGATGACACACGGAGCTCCAGCTCTACACAAACATCAAAGCTTTCCCACTGGTTTCCTGAAGAAGGTAAGGAGATCGATTATTTTACATACTGATATATGATCAAATTCATCTATATTTGTGTTCACATCTTCAAATGGTTACAGAATCGAAGCCAACGGATGATAGCTTGTTTGGAGGGTCAAATGACTTGTTATCTTTAATATCCAACCGTGATAAAGATCAATGTCAAGCTTCCAACTCTGAAGCAGATGACTTTCGGCTTAATTTCTCCTTAGAGAAATCCAATAAACTGGCAATTGAATTGCCCCCAGTGGTGCTTGGGATCTCGAACAAGACATCTATTGATAAGAAAGAGGAGAGCATTTCCAATGTCATAACATGTGAGGACCTTGAACAATCAATGCTGACCGAGTACAGTGCCAATAGTATTAACAACAAACCACCCTTCTCTGAAGACTGGGATACTACTGATCTACGTACTGAGCAAACACGTGAACATGTTGATGATCATGCATCCCTACATCTACTCTCTCTGCTGCAGCAAGGATCATCAGATCAGAAGCATATGTCTGTGAACTCTGATGCTGGTTATAATTTGGAAGATAGACCTCCAGCTTCTCAGGTAGATGGTACGAACACGTCAGTCCACGAGCATAAACATGAAGAGAATGAAAATAGTGTTCATAATTCAGGAAAGTCAATTACTCTTGAAAAGCTATTTGGATCTGCTTTTATGAAGGAGCTGCAATCAGTTGAAGCACCTATTTCTGTCCAAAGGGAGTCGACTGAAGCTGATGCTCCAGAGCCTCTTAGGTTTGCAGATAATATAGTTTCTTCCCCAGCAACTGATATCGGTGGCCTCCAAGGGCTTTTCGCTTCAAATGATAGACAACATATGAGGCCGGGCGTCGGTGAAAGTTTGCTTAGCTTAGATGGTCCTGTTCGCGGTACAATCTCATCAAACAATGGTCTGGAGGAAGTCCCCATGCCTGATGGGTATGGAACTGCGGAATTACCGCCTTCTGAAGCAAAATATTTAAATCATCAGATGTTGAAATTTATGCCTGCTCATAATTCTATGCCCAATCCAGACTTTTCTTCAAATTTAACTGTCGACATGCTGGAGAAATTGGCAGGTATCAATACTGTTAAGGATGATCGGTTTGTGGATTCAGAAAATGTCCCCTTTCCACATCTGCCTTATCAGAACCCGAACCCTCAACATCCCTATCCTGGTCTCCAGGCACTGCGACCGTCGCCTCAGTTTCAGCATCCACAAATGTCTCAAATGAGGCCGTTACATCACAGCTTTGAGTCTCCGCATGCTCACATGAGTTCCCAAATGGAAATCTTTGGCCGGGACCATATGTTAGATCACTACTTACCAGTCAACCACCAAGTTCCTCCAAACATGATCCGGAATCCCCTTCATCCTTCAAATATCAGGATAATGGGACCAGATGCTCAGTCCCTGGCTTCAATGCAGCATCAGATGCAATTATCTGGTAACCACAGTCATTTGGTACCCGAATTACAATGGGGTGGCCACAGCCCGGTTCTCCATCCTGGCAACCAAGCAGCTAATTTCAGACGGGACAGAAACAGTGTGCCAGGATTCCTTCCTGAGAACTACCGACCAAACATTCGTGGCCCTGGATTGCCAATGCCAGGTAAGATACTTAGCAGTTTTTGCATAAATAAAAAAATTAGCTAGCCCTTATTTATGTGTATATATCTAGGGAGAGCTGAACGCTGATGATTGTTTAGTTGTGTTATGCTTTGGGAGCTAGCTGAATTCTTTTTCTGCTGCATGTGAAAGAAAATTGATTGATTAATTTACAAGATAAATTTGACTTCCTTTATTGTTTAGCACGAACTAGTTTTCATTATTTGTACTTGGGGATTGCTTAATTTGGCAATAGTAGTGTGTTGTGTGTCATGTCATGTTCGGAAGTGATTTTGATTGAAATGGTATGTGTTTAATTCCAGGTGCCGAGGGTAGTCCTCCACCGGAGTTGTTCCAAAGACTGATGGGCGGCAGCGGCATGGGAGTGGAAGCCAAGCATAGCAACAATAATAATAATAATAATACTGGTGCTATTCATGATGGTTTTCAGTTCAGATATGGCTAAAGCTTAGCTTAGCTTGAGGTAAGTTGATGATGGCATGCTCTGCTGCTGCAATCGACCTTGTTGATTTTACTTGCATTCTTTCTTTCTTTTATCTGAGAGAGAGAGAGAGAGTGAGATAATTATGATGGTACGGTACTCTAAATACATATATCTCTGCCAGAATTATTCACAGCCACTGTTGGTTCCTTCCTTGTTTTTTTTTTATTTTTTGTCTGTATATTCTGTTCGACCAGGCCCACTTTCAATCTTCTCTAGCTCTTTCTTGCATTTCTGTTTTCTCTGTGCTTTTCAATTGTTGTTTTAGATAGATAGATCGATTGAATGAATGTATAGGTTAGGTGTGAATTGTGTGTTGTTTTTATCCATGAGAAGTGAATATTTTATTAATAAATTGATGCATTATATAATAAATAATAATAATAATAATAATAATAATAAGAAGAAGAATGATGTAAAAATAGAAATTGAAGGTGTTGGTAGGTAATTGAAATGTAGAAATAATTATTTGGTTCCTCCCTCCCAAGTCCCAACAGATGAGAGAGAGAGACAGAGAGAGAGAGAGGTGTGATTCACATTCATATTCATGTTGTATGTGTGTGTGTAGTTGTGATTTGTGAACAAGTAGTGTAGAATGTTAGATGAACTTGTAAATTAAACCATTTCTGCCTACCTGTCTCATTGATTATCTCTATACCTGATGATTAATCAAAGATATGAAAATAAGTGGTTCCTGTTGTAATATTAGTATAGGATTAGCTAATAAGAATATTAATTAATTATTTATATATATATATATATATTGTGTGGATGTATGTTGTATAAGTAGGTATGTATATGTATTAAATATTATGTAGCATTTAGTTGTATATATGCAAGACAAAAAAATTGAGAGAGAAGAGTGATTGATTCAAACCCATGTATATATAGATAAACATATGAAAATGATACAGTATCACATCAGTCAAAAGTAAAAAAAGAAACGTTAATTGATCTAAGATATAAACATAGTTACATTGTAAATATACAGACAGTTGAGAATAATCGCGGATGATGTGTAACTATACTATAATTCACACGCATGCATACATGTATGTATTTATGTTATGTGTACAATATTTTGCGAAATCAAAATTTCTTTATATAATACTTTTTAAGTAGTGAATAAATATTCGTTTAATATATATACTATATTAAAATAGATTGAATAATGTCAAAATTAAATCCAGTATATGTAATAATATAAACAGAAAGTTTAAGCTATGGTATTCCATTAATGAATGAATTTTGTATGTATGTAATTTTATATTATGACGATAGCACTGAGAAACGCCACCACCACAGTAACTAACTATAGGGAGAGGGAGAGGGAGAGGGAGAGGCCAACATACATCTCATCTCGTCTCTTGAATAAACCATAAACCAAATGCAGCAAGCTCTCTCTCTCTCTCTCTCTCTCTCTCTCTCTCTCTCTCTATCTATATATATATATATATACATATTATGTTTTATTGTTTGAGCAGTGAGAGTCTTGTTTCCGTCCCAAAAGATAGATGATAAGGAGGTTGCTTTGCTTTCCATTAATGGCTTTAGTAAGATGGGATCGTCCCCGACTGACAGCAGCAGCAGCATTTGCTTTTGATCCTCAAATTCTGAACTCTGACAGATTGGCGGCAAGATTCTTCATCAGCAGCACCGCCTGTGAGTGAGTGAGTGACCAATTTGTATGATATGATGTATGGAGTTTCAGTTTTGATGCTTGCTTGTGATTAATTAATTAATTACTCATTATTCACTCACCGTTTCCACATTGACAGGGTCCATACGTTTGAGCCGTTGCAGGTGATCATCAGCAGTAGCACAGGGGTCAAACACACTCCCAATGAAGCTATACACTTCCCCAAAATCTGGCATCACTGCATCACATATACATCATACACACACACATACACATACACATACACCACTACCATCAACCCTTACTTAGATGACAATAGACAAGCAAACCTCTTGCTGTGTCGCGTCGCCTAGCTTTTCTTTCATGGCATTTCTCATTAGAGCTCCGTAAGTGAGGATCTCTCTCATTCTCATTACTACTGCTGCTGCTATAATTATTGGTCACGCCCACTAATCCAACATCATCTAGAGCACAAATAAGAGAATCTCACTAATATCGCAAACCAACAAAAATAAAACAAACATGTATATATATATATATTCCATCAGAAATGTACCTGTAGGAACATGCGTCAAGCAGGCCGGTGGCGCGGCATTGTATGTCCAAGGAAAAGATGCACCGAGTGTTAGATTTCTAGGTATTGACATGGAGTCTTGAGTTGCAGCATATTCAGGATCTAGAAGGACAGTCGAAGGTTGCAAAGGTTGAGACACAACTGCATTGTTCGATGAAAAGCATTAGAGATCATAAGAAAAGCTCAATGAGATATGATCTCCTAAAGCCTAGAGGGAAAAGAACAACTATAGATGAACAGAATAATCGAAAAGCTAACCACTTTTTGGTGCCTTGTGTGGGTATGGATGTGATGCTTTCCTCTTTGGCCGTGGCGGAGGTACATGATCACTCATTCCATTTTTTTGGACTTTCAGGAAATACTTTTGAGCATGGCTACGGATCTGCAGATCATAGTAAGTAAATTATAAGCTTGAGAAATCAAAACCAAATGCAGAAATTAAGACGAAACTATGTGGAAAGGAAAAGGCAAAAAATCACAAACATATTTTGATAATGATGAATACAAAGTGGATATAAAGCCATAATCATATATTGTTCAATATGGAATCCCCCAAGGACCAAACCAAACATATGTATGGATCACAAGGACTTTTTTTGAATGCTTAAAACATACAAAATCTACCAGGACACAGCCAAAAATTTCAACAAAAAGCCTTTCCTTACTCTGGTAATCTCTTTAATGGATTTGAAGAGCCAAAATTTTCAACAAAATGCTTTCCTTACTCTGGTGATCTCTTTAATGGATGTGAAGAAAACGATTGATCTCAAGAGACAGTATATATTAAGAGTTAATAATTTATTCACGGGAAATTACCTGGATAACGGATTTTGATCCAACAAACGCTTCGATTTTCTTCCAGTCACGATCAAATCTGAAAGTGGAGAAAAGGTAACAACAACATTAGCACAGGTTTCATTCGTAAGCAGTTCTACATGTTAAACTTCTTTGACCTTTAAGAACTCTGATTTGAATGAATAACTTGAAAACAGTGACTATAGGTTAGTAAGTAAAGTCGATGATATTCCCAAAGACGACCAAAGGTTTAACTATTTCGAATTTTACCAAAAACAATGAATAAGTATTAAAAGATTTCATGTATGCAGTACATGATTCTTACTCAAAAAGCACAAGAACACAAGCGACTATAGTAAGTATAACTACACGATTTCCTTTCTGAAAATTACTAATGATAATAATAATAAGAAGAAGAAGATACTGACAAGTGAAGAGCCTCAACAAATTTGTCGTGTTCCTCGTCCGTCCAGCTCTCTCTGGACTTGGTGATCGTGTACGGCTTTCGAATTTTCTTATTAGGATCATCAAATCCTATTGCATTGCCCGCGGGAGTCGTTCCAATCAAATTGTTGCTGAATCCTTTCATCTCCCCGATTCCAGGGAGCTTGGCGGGATCCCAATAGCCGTGAAAACACGAAAAATCTTGATCGAGAGGTGGAGTCGGATGAACGGATACCATGGTCTGGGTGATACTGATGGATGGATCAAGTCAAGTCGGCAAAATTCAGCAGCAGCTTATTAGCTGGCTAGCTTCTCAGGATTAGGAAATTGGAGTAGAAGGAATAGTCATAGACGAAATCTCCACCAAAGTTGGGCAGTTTGAATTGAGGCAGGACTTCTCGACAGCGTTATGATTATCTCTCTCTCTCTCTCTTCTTTCTCTCTCTGTGTATATATATAGACACAGAGAGATGATGGTGATGTAACCGACAGGGTGGGTGGGGGTGGGCAGAGGATCTGCGCCGCACACGTGTGTGGAAATGATGGATGGTTTGGGTTTCGCCGCGTGTAGCTGGAAGGATGGATGATTCCAGTAGTTTCTTGCTCCGCCTACCCCTATATACCTATCCCTACCCCTACTACCCCTACCCACCCTCTTATAAATCCTTCACCTGTGGTTTTCAAATTCCAAACCATTCTCAGCTTTGTTCCCTGCCTTTACTTTTCTGGTGATTGTTTAATTATATGGAATGTGCCTTTTTTTTTTTTTTTGGATTTCTTCGATTTTTCACTGTTCTTCAATTTTTTTTTTTGAAATATAAATTATATATTTATTTTATATAATATTAAAAATTAATTTTATATTTAAAATATTATATCAATACTTTTTTATATAGTAAAATACATCGTTATTTTAATTCAAAATTTTCACAAACTATAATAGTGTTAGAATAAGATGGTATGACAGTGTTCATTGGAACTTGTATATGAATCCAAAATTGGAGGAAATTCAAATTGAAGATTCTTTTGATTGAAAGCCAAAAGATGGTGAATGGGCAATTCTGAACTGAAATTCCCAAACTTGTGGTAGAATTACACCTCAGTCCATTCCAAATGTGAGGATGACAAAATTGGGTTATGAAGAGGTTGATCGTTGCCCTCCAATAGTCTTTTCCCGATGCCCCCAAGTTGAAAGGCCGTCTATGGCAATACAAGTCTTAGACAGACATTGTTAGATTCAGCAGAAACACCATGTATTTTACAATTGGTTATTGTTCCAAAATTTGCTTTGGACAACCAATTGAATTCTAGTATAATAGTGGAGACTCAAAAAATATTTGGATCAAGTCAAGTCACACCTTTAATGTTCAAAATTAAACAAGGAATGAATCTAAAGTAACAAAATTGTTGGAAAATTATAATGATAAGTAAAAGAAGTTCCATAAAATTGCATAAATTGAAGCTAAAAATACACTTGATTAATAAATCTACAAGTACAGAAAGAAATATAAAAGTGGAATTAAAAATAAAGCTGGATAAATGTGCAAAACATAAAAAAAGTCATCAATATTTTTGGAGATGTTTTAGTATATTCCTCTACTCTAATTATCTTGACCATTTTATATACACCACAAAATAGAAACAAACCACATGTCTAACTATCTTTATAATCTTATCAAACATCTTCATCGTTTCTTTTTAGAGATGTGTTGTTGACTTCTTTTTAGTAATCTATCCGATTGACCTATTTCTTGCAGGCCTCTATGAATCTTTAACCTTTTGAGATTTATACGATGTTCTTTTTTTGTTTTTTCTTTTGTGATTTAACATATATTACTAGTACGTAGTAGAACACAATATATGACATAAATATTAATAAATATGCGATAGTAATAATTAAAACGTCAAAAACAACATTACATAGATATTATGGTCATGATATGATAACACAAGTCCAGTAAAGGATCGTCTGGCCATGTGAGGTGAACTCGCGACCTCATGGTCACGGATTCAAACTCCCACTGTCTCTAAATCTTGCCAACCATACATAATTTATCTAGTGTGACTGAATTCCATTGTCATAAAACTACATCCAATGAATGTCTTAATGGATGGCATGAATAAATTTATTTCAGTAACCCATCTTTCTATCTACATTTTGACCCACAAATTTGGTTTAAATATTTCTATGATTATCCATTTGGTACGCATGAGTGTGTGTGTGTGTGTGAAAGAGAGAGAGGGAGAGGAGAAAAGATAATGACAAGGATTAGGCATGCATCATAAATGATTAGGAAAATATGATAACTAGTGTAATGATAAATGCATAGCAAATTACATTACGCAACGTAATAGATTGGTTAAGATATTATTAGGCTAGATAACCCTTTTTTAATTAATATCTTGTGATCAAATTGCAACCAACATATAACATATAATGTTATGCTATGATATATCCTTCAAGCAATACATTTACCAATCACATACTGTTCTTAAGTATGATGTTCATAATACTCACATATGTGATATTTCATATAATTTTAAAATTATAAAAATACAGGATGAATCAAAATATGTTTAAATAGCAGCAGCAGTGACGATTAGAATCAAACTCAATAACTAGAAGAGTGGAGTAATGACAACAGGTAAGAAAGAAAGGTGCATATGCAAAAACATAAACATAAAGCTCTCCTACTAAAAGGAAACTACAACAATAATTCCGACATTGAAATGGATTTAGGCGGCCTTAAGACACAGAGATAGATAGATAATAGAATAATAATATGCATATGCAGCAGCGTACACAAGTTACCTCGATGGCCTTCTTTCTTTCACAGCAAGCCTAGCCTAGTCAAGCCAGCGCGTGATCCCATCCTCGCCTACACTTGCAACAATTTCAATGCGCACATCCAGCACAGCCTGCGTATTGAAGATAAGTAAATACTTGCTGTGTAAGACGAACGATTATTAATAATTTATAGTATGGACAATGATCCTGAGTGACAAAGAACTGATGACATGCACTTGCCAGGGGATTTCTGCAGTTCACCAGTCTGCATTCTTCCAAACAACCTTCAAGTGTCCAGCTCTCCCATACATCGAAGCTATGGCTAGCAAATACAAACTCCATTCTTCTATTTATCTGCAAGGAGAAGCCAAAAGCGAAATGGGCTAAAGCTGAAATGAGATTAAACTATACATGTTGGACGAGAAATATTTTATTGAGAAGTGACACATCACGCAGTGCAAACATAAACCATGCCATGCACCCACACCTGCAATAGCTTTCCTCCAGCAGTAAATGATCTAAGACCAATAGTGTCCTGCAAAATACAGCAATAGAAGAGTTCAATTAGCTTTCTAAACGGGCATCATCCCTGATCTGCAATGGTGTCATGCTAAGTAATTGTCCATATGATGTCTCGTCTACAAACCTTGCTTCTAAATACAACAAGGAACTGTGCAGCAGGGTCTCTTTTTGTTACATTTGACAATGTGTCGAGGATCCAACCACCTCCATTAACCCTTTGCCTCGAGACGTAAAATGCAGGAGGGTCTCTTGCATGCAAAGCTATGATATAGCCATCTTTCAAAGCTTCACCTAATTCCTTGTTAAGTTCTAGGCTTGATCTAAGGAGCTGCTCCTGTGGAACTGTTTTTGAATCTACAGGCATTTTCCTGCTCCTTGAATCTTCTGGAGAAGCCAACTGAGAACTGAAAGCCTGATCTGTGCCACTCATAGCATCATCATCCTCTCTGTTTGATGTACTCTCTTTTTCGGAAGTCACGATGTCGCCCATTTTATTGTGGGATTTTTGTCGGGCATGCCTCTTTTTGGCCTTCTTACTCGATCTGCTTCTCTTTACATCAGATTTATTGGAAGTACTTGGAGACATAGCAGAACCTTGATTCTGAGATGAATTCACTTTTGACTCATTTAGAATCTTGCGCTGCGAGCTTTCAGCAACTAGATGAACATCATCAATTAATCTATCACCATCAGAAGCTCGATGTGAAGTTTCGGTATCCAGCATGAGGCTCTGTTCATTCTCATTACCCACCTCACTTTCCTCTTCTTCATCATCAGATACAGTGTTCTTAGGAATGACATTATCAGTGAAGTATTGCTGCACTATGGATATTGCCTTCTCCCTTATTTCCATCCACACCTCTTCGCTGTAATCTGCACTCCGAGGAAGTATGAGAACATTGGGCATCTCTCGAACCTAAATTCAGGTCAAAGGAGCAGCATATCATTAGTAAATAAAAGGAAGTTCAACTCTATAGAATACTTTACCATCAATGACAACATAGAATTGGTTGACTAAAGAACACACAAATTGGTATTTTAAGCTGCTTCAAGTGTTCATAAAATGATTAAATATTTAATCACATCTAAGCACAGATAGAAAACTTCTAATGGAGGCATATGACAACCTAATGCCTTGCATCAAGCAAAGAAGGTGTGAAATTTCACAATACATCATCACAATTCACAAATGGGAAAACTTTTCTGAGCAGATTATTCCTACAATGCATTCATACCCTAGACTATTCACCATACCCATGCTTCCATCCACTGTGGGCCCTCCGCACCATCCAGCGCACAGCCTGCAAGTGTGCCATCAATCAAGAGCTGTTTCACAGCACAATCATCCAGCAACTGACTGCTCCCAGTATTTACAAGATATGCGCCTTTACATAAGAATCAGATCATTAGAAAGGAAATTCATAAACAACTACAAACCCTTCTGCGACTGTCAATTAATTTACCAGGCTTTATATGCTGCACGCAGTCTCCATTCAAAATGTGAATAGTCTCATTAGTTAGAGCACAGTGCAGCGATATGATGTCACTAGCAGCAAGCAGGTCATTAAGAGTATCCATCTTTCTGGCTGCAGCTGGAAATCTTAAGGAAGATCTGGTTGATATACCATGTCCCTACACACAGATAATAAGCTGGGAATCATAGAAACAAATTGTGGTTTTAAAAGTAATAAAGATTTATTACAATACACACACGTAAACCTGTAATCTAGCGGCTACCAACAGAATCCAATTATCCAAACACTACCGCACCTAAATCCAACCCCAATTCCACTCGGTTAACTGAATTATATCAATGACACAGATGCACGAGACCAAAGATGCGGCTGCAGGTACATATTTTACTGCAGGACAAAACTTCAACGATTTGTAGAGTTTATGATCACACTTCACAATCACAATAAAAAAAAAAAGAAAAAAAGAAAAAAAAAAAAAAAGAGAACGTCTTAGAAGTACGTAGATCGGCTCCCGATCAGCCGTGAACATTTGCAAACCATAGCAAATCACTTTCAAAAGGAAAGAGAACTGCCACAAACTCCAGATACGGTCTATAATCTACACACTGCCCTCAGTAACTGAAGAAGTTTTTCAGAATAGAACACGACAGAATCAACACAAAAAAATGAACCTCTCATTAACTGCAGCATAAACAATAGATAGCTTACTGCATATTCAGACTCATCATACCTGTTGCACATCAAAATACAGCACACTCATCTTAAACGCCAAGCTCCTATTAGCCAAAGATGTGGCGGATGCAGATCTACCCACAATCCCCAATACCAATCCCCTGCATCGTCGCATTCCACGGCAAAGCGGCTGCACAGAGCCAAGCCAGCCGGAAGCTGAGAGCGCGTGCCTTGACAGCAGATGCGTACGCCTAAGTAAACCCAAAATAAGCGCCATCACAGTATCCGCCACCTCCTCCGCTCGGCTCACGTCAACGTGAATCATCCTATCCAACCCTAGGTCAGCCGCGAGAACCGAATCGACGGCTCGGTCGGACGACCCGAGGCACAGTATAAGCTGCCAGGGGCGGAGCCTGCGCTGCGCAGCGCGGGGGAGAAACGACAGAGAGTGGAGAAGAACCGCCGCTGCAGACTCGATCCGCGACTCCACCAAGCGGCTGAGAGGCACGTGCTCCACCTGCGCGACGCCGGACAAGCATTCCTGCTCCAGCGCCACGTCTTCTATGCAATTGAGTGTTACCACGAGAGGTAGGGCATCGGACTGCGCAGCGGCGGCGCCACGGCGAGGCATTGCCGCAGCCTGCCGGAGATCCAGAAAGAAATTCAAATTGAAATCAAGGACTCCGGCTTTATATTGAAAGGTAGGGGTTTGGGAATTAAGAGGAAGGAGCCATAGAAGGTTTAAGGACTGTATTTATACAAGAGAAACAGGCCGAGGCGCTCACTGCTCATCAGTGCAGACACTGCTTCACTATATCTTCTCCCTCGTTTCATCTAGACTCACAGATACAGTGCCCTTGACCTTTTTGTTATTTGCACCTGAGCCCCATTTTGAATTTTTGAATATGTCACTCTCACTAAAATCATTCTTATAAAAAATACAGTATTCCATTACAATTTTTTTTTTTTTTTACTGTTGTAGAAGGGTAGCTGCTATCCGAAAGTGTGTTCATCGGATAAATTCCGACTGTTTCTTTTTTATATAACGTGAGAATTATGTACTAAATAAATTTCCGATCAAACTTAATCACACGGTCATTTTATTAGTGTAATATGTATACTATGATGTTTGATTGTCTAAAGTTTAGCCGTAGAATTTTATTCTATAATTACCTTTATAAATGTGCCTCTTTTCATGAGTTGCATTTAATAATAATAAATAATAATAATATCGGTTATGATAATAACGAACAATATATCAGATATTATATTAAATATAAATTTACAGTACATATATAAAATAAAATTAATGGTGTATACCAATACTACTATTATATGCAATGATCCATCGAACAATCATCATAAAATATATATAACATCATTCATTATATTACCCACATTTTTTATACCTAATATCAAAATTACATAAAAACCTAAAACACCAACAAAACACACCTAATGTACTAAAGTAAAGAGTTTCTTTAGATTTTTGTTGTTAGTTTTAAAATTTATAAAATTATTACTAAATGTTTATTTTTATTATTCTTATAGATGGTTTTTTAGAGAAAAATAATTTTTTATTGGGAAAAACCATGTTCTATTGAAAGCAAACACATTCTTGATTCCCCTACCCTTTAATGTTGAACAACCTATTGCATTATATATCATCGATATCTATATATGATAGGAGAGACATTAAGACAATCAATCTACAACAGAAACAAGATCCAGGAAATTCATTACAGCAGGCAGTACAATTAATTTCAGATAGATGAATACTACTCTTACACTTGGATAATACTTTCAATCCGAATATGCAGATTGCAGCCTCTATAAGTCACTCATTTGGAGATGCAGCAGCATCTTCGGCAGCTCCCGCTACACACCAAAACAAGATTGTGTTATCAATTCCCAGTCCAGTCGCAATTAAGAATCCAAGGGTTCGATATCAGGGTTGTTTCAGTTCAATAAAGTAAAGAGCTGCTGATGCAATTCTATAAAACATAACGATGATCTTGGCATATCCCTCCAGGATTTTATTGAGTCGGGCATACCTTCCCCACCTGGCGCATATGGAGATTTGCGATACCGTGTTTGCTGTTGTGTAGGCTGCAACAAATAGCACAGAATCAGGTCAGAAACAAATTCATCAAGCATGATGGTATTAGCGTAGGAGTATAAACCATTAAGCAGTGAAAATTGGAAATATCAAAGAACACACTTCTCAAATCATTGATGTTGAATGCGCAGCACCATTACAAATGATTGCTTCAATTCTGACTAGTAAATGTGAAAACTAGAGCTACACTCAGATTCAATACGACTTTTAAGTGAGATCTATTAGCGAAAATCTTGCACAAAAAAAGTCGAACAAGACATATTGACATTGTTAACCCCTTCTTTTAAGGAAAAGACATGTGAACCCGAAGCTCTACAAGCATAAACAAGGCATCATGAGAAGTAAAATTACCTGTAACTTTGGTCGAAGAGCTTCAAGTGGCCCCTTCGGCTTTGCTACACCTTGCTGTGGACAAAATTAGAAAAATCTATCAGGAGTTTCAAGCATACAAAAAAGGGTGAGAATACTAGAAAGTACCTTTCCCAAAGCCCAATCAGCCGAGTCAAAATAAGCACGCTCATGATCCTGAAATCAAATGAAGTTCCCTTATAAAGATTTCATGTGTAGACACAATGAAGGGGTTGAACTGTGTTTTATGATACCTTAGAAATCAATGGTGGTTTCTTGGGCATAATGCCTCCATATTTCTTTTTAATCACTTCCTCCTGAAACAAGAAATAACTAACATGTTATATTTGATTAAAGCACGATGTACGAGCAAATAAAAATATGGCATGAACACAACTTGCTTCTCTGCAGAAGGCAAGGTCTTGTTGGCATCCTCCATAATAACTTCTGTTTGTTTATTGATTTCCTCAGTGCTTGACATATTCTTGCCACAACTATCTTCCGAAGAAGACCTGGAATCATCAATCACAAGTATGGTTTCAATGAACAGCTGAAAACACATTACTCGTTGAATGTAGTTCAGAAAAAATGAAATGTACTGAACCTTATATATTCCACTAGTTCTAAAAGAGAACTACTGGTGGAAAGCATAAACATTTTATCTCTATTATCAATAGCCTCCCAAAATTTACTCACTCAGACATTTATGCACAAGCTAAAGGATCCAACAAGTAAGAAGAGCTGCAACCTTCAAACTTGGTTATATTGATATATGCATTTACACATAACCCCTAGTCATTTTGTTAGGAAAAAAAAAAAAAAAAAATTGTAGTTCTTTCGAATATTACCTAAATAGTCAAAAAACGAATAGAGACCGTTAATAAACTCTCACTAACCTATGGCATTCCTTATACTTCAGCTGACTGTTAGTATCAACAAGAAAGACTAGTAATCCTAGCACCATGTACGAACATTTCCAGAAGAAGTGGCGTACTTTCAATACTATCTTAATAACAGAATGGAAGGAATGCAGCTATTACCCATTTGAGCCAAAAATGTATCTCAAACAATCATAAATCAGCTACAGGAGACCAATCACCAAAAATAAGAAGATTAACCAGTAAACTATAACTGAATTATAAAAAATAAATAACGCCTTCATCGATTTCCCATCCATTGCAAGGAATAGATATAAGAGAAGATCCACAAATTATACGCAAGCAAACGCCGATTCCCGAATATTCGCGTTCGAACAAAAAACACGCAATCATACCATATAGTCGAGAAAAGAGACTAGAAAGATTGTGAAAAATAAGCAATCAAACTACTTCAATAAAGCTGGTAGAAATATATATATCCAGAAATATAATTAAAGAAATTAAACCGGAAAGAAGCGAAGAAAATACCTGAAGAAATCAATCAATCGCAGTCCCTATCTGCAGATCGTCGGCGTGTATTCGAAAGGAACAGCCTGGTGCAGCGCAGACTACATAGAAATCCAGAGCCAAAATCGCGTGACGATGGAGGATAGGAAATTACAATTTTATCCTCCAGTCCCAATCGTCACCGCGCGTTCAGTTACAACTGTGTAGATTCTGAAATACGGCCCAGGTCGGCATGAAAAAACCGGCTCGGTTGGGTTGGGCTTGGTCCATATTTATATTCGCCAGTAATATACGGGTGTCTCTTTTAAAAAAAATATATTTTTTAAAAATAATTATACACTAATATCAAAATACTTTTTGTAAAAATTTTTACACAATTTTACTAGCTAAAAAAATACTATTATTTATAATCTACAACAAAAAAAAATCCAAAAGGATACATTCGAGTGGGACTGAGAAATATATATTTTTTTAAGAATACAAAGTTTAAATAATACTCTGTTTGTCCCTTTTGAAAGAGGTCTTTTTGGTTTTGTAGTAAATTAAAAAATAATAGTATTTTATTGATTTTTAGAAGTGTGTAAGAGATTTTGCTGACAGGAGAATCCTGTGTGTGTATGTATATACACTATGTATGTGAAGATAGAGGGATATAATTTATTTTTGGGACTGGTGATCCCATGGGGATATTTTGACATTTTTGTATTTTTACTTTATGCAAAAAGTAAGGTATTATAATGATATGTTTGTAATTTAAATAAAAATTAAGACTATTTTGGTATTAGAGTATAATTACTTTTACTAATAAAAGAAAAATATATACTTTGAAATGAGACATACGAAAATGGTAAAAATGTACTTTAAATTGAGACGGAGGAAGTAAAACTTAAGGAGATTCGTGCTAAAAAAATTACAGTGGATTTGTTTTATGAAATAATTTGAAAAACTATTTTTTCACGTAAAGAATAAAAAATTAAGTAATATAAAATAATGAAAGTATTTAATACATTAATTTTTTTAAATATATAATATATATTTAAAAAAAACACAAAAAAAAAAAAAAACAAAACAAAACAAAACCTAGTCGTTCTAAATATTACTATTATTAGAGATTTTCTATTCACTTATTTATTTGTTAAGAGATTTTAATAAATTAAAAAAAAAAAATAGAAAAATTGGCCCAGCTTAACTTACATAAGTTGCAGGAGAAAAAACATGCAAAACACCAGTGTAACATTAGTGTACTAAATATAGAGAAAGTTGAAAGTTTGAAAAGTTCTTCTCACCTTTGTACAAAATAAAAAGTATAAAGCTCAAAATCTCAATAGTGCAATAATTTGAGTGTTATTTCTAGTTTGAAGGAGTTTGTTCATTTATTTTTTTAAGAGATATGCAAAAAGAGTTGTCCATATGTTGAAAGACATGGATCTAAAAAGATTTCATAAAATATTCTTAGAAAACATACTCAAAATTGCTAAATTCATGAAACTAAGTGAAATACTGTGAAGAGGTTTCTAAGAGTTTGTTGTGTCGTCGAACATTTCAAAGTAATGATTTCCAAAGTGTATTGAAAAAATAAATGATGGATTCTCTACATCAACATTTCTTATCAGAAGACAATTAATACAGTCGAGACTTTACACGTTTGTACTTACAGAGAAAGATAAATTGCATTGGTAAGAAAACCAATGTATTTAAGTTGTACGTGGCTGCTGATTTTATTTGTTGGGTATTTAATTAAATAGGTGAAAGATAAAATAAATTATTTGTCTCATATTTTATTCGATTAATTTATTTTAACTTTAAAAAAATCAAAAAAAAAAATATATTTGTTCCAACTGAATGCAACGCGCAGAAATGAACGGTTTTTTCCTATTAAATACAAATAATCTAAATCATGATATATATTATATTTTCATCCCTTTTTTGGAATATGAAAAATTTCTTCATTCTGATTTTTTAGAAAAAATTCTGCAAATTTTCTTCAAAAAGTTGTCTAATTCGGCTTGCAAAATTTGTTATTCCGTTGATAATTTGTTCTATCCTGGAAGGAGATCGGTGAGGGCCAAATTCGCTTCAAGGAAATTGCGTGTCACGCGAGGCTTAAATTTGATCTTGCTTCTATCTGATTTTGTATTTTCGGATGTCGCCGTATCTTAGATTTCGCCAAAAATATTTTTCAACAATCTTGAAGCAAATTCCTTAAAATCTGAGAGAGCGAAGAAAAAAAAAAAAAAAAACTCCCCCTTATCACGTGATCCCTAGAACCTGTCTAATGACGAAGGAATGATCGACGTTGTGTGCGATGGAGGCGACAAAAATCTGAATAATGATATTCCGATTGACGCAGATGGGGAGGAGAACGATGAGATTAACTCTAGCGAGTCTCACACTCATGTTCTCTGTCACCACAACCTCAGCCACCCCGCCCAAACGGTGAGGCAACCAAAAGGGCTGCTGCTGAAAAGGCAACCAAGAGGGCTGTTGCTGAAAAGGCTACACAAGCAGCGTACGAACAGGCCTTCAAGGCAGCGATGAAGGGAGCGACCTCCAACCATCCTGTTGCTAGGAGGAAATAAAACAGGATCCTGTTAATACCCGTGTGAAACATCCTGTTCTTGTTCGTTGCGGCTGCCAGACAGACAACAACCAAATGACTTGGAGGGTATATAGTTTGTTACTGTTGTGAAACATGTAATGTAGCATGTTGCTACAACTTTCAAGCAGTCTGTTGCTGCGGCAACCGAGAAGCCAGAAAAATTCAACTGACAGAATTTTAAAACATAGCAGCATAAGATGTTGTTTTATCTGAATCTGAAAGATTGGCTGACGAATGTTGCACATGTTTGTTTCTATCTCATCGTATCTCATTCTGTTCTGTGCCAAAAGAACCTCAGAAGAACAAAAAATACAAATTCTGAAAGTCGGAAAACGCTCAGATTTTATGTGAAAAAAAAAAATTATGTACTGAATGACTTAAGCGATTCCCTGTACGATGTCTACCGGCATGCATTAATGGCTAAGGAGCTATGGAAGACGTTGGAGAAGAGGCAAAATGGATTTACCACTCTCTTGAGGACATTCCATAATAAGACAAACCTATCTCTGCCGTAGCCCTTTACTGCGATAGTAAATCTTCTATCTGCAGAGCAGAAAGTACAATGTACAATAGAAATAGTCGACAGATTCGCCATCGATAGAATTCCATAAGACAACTGAACACAACTAAGGTTATTGCGATAGACCATGTTGCGTCAAAAGATAACCTAGCGGATCCGCTAACCAAATAATTAAACCGTGATATAGTTTACAAACTGACTAGAGGAATGGAGCTTAAGCATGCTGAAACATAAGTCTTATAAAGTAAAACTCAACCTTGAAAGGTTGGACATCCTAAGAACTAGGTTCAATTGGACAACCTGCCTATAAGACTATGTGTGTCACTGTGGGGACTAATAGCCTCAATCTATTCTTGTCTACAAACAGTGACAGAGTAGAGAGGGTAGCAAATAATTGTTTTAATGATTATTAAGTGAATGGTGTATCGCTTGGAAACTTTTAAAAATCACATATATGATAGAGAAGCGGGGTCGCTTCAAAGGAGAACTATTCAAACTCAGTTCTTTAAAAACTCTCGCAGAACTAGGACGGGTTCCATGACCAAAACGGACCAAATAATGAGAACCAAACTAGACACATGAATTATATATCGATATGCAGCCTACTTACTAGAAAAATTGAACCGTTCAATGATAACGTGCCAATTGTACAATTAGAAAAGACTATGTACTGTTGAAAGAAAAATTCAAAGGAAATCCTACTTATTCATCTTTCTTTTATCGAGTCATCGGAATAAATTATTTGTCTCATATTTTATTTGATTAATTTATTTTAACTTGAAAAATAAATAAATAAATAATCAAATAAAATAATTTGTTGCAACTGAATGCAACATGCAAAAGTGGACAGTTTTTCCTCTACATGTAATTAAATACAAATAATCTGAATCATATAATATATATTATATTTCCCTCCCTTTTTTCGGAACACGGAAAAAATTTTCTTTCTAAATTCTTAGAAAATTCTCTGCAAATTTTCTTCCAAACATTTTCTATTTCGGTTTGCGGAATATGTTATTCCGTTGATAATTCGTTCTATCCTGGGAGACGGTCGGTGGAGGGTCAAATTCGCTTCAAAGAAATAGTGTGCCACGTGAGGTTCGGATTTGATCTCGCATCTATCTGATTTTGTATTCTCAGATGTCGCCGTATCTCAAATTTTGCCAAAAATATTTTCCAACAATTTATTATACTTTGCTTCTCTCTCAAAACGTAATGGAATATCCCTAAATTTGTATCTTCATGTAAGGCCAATTAACGGCCAAATTGGGTAATAACCACCGATGTATTGTTTGCATTTTTTATTTTGCATAAATTTTTTGTGATATGTTCATCGTTCAAATAGCAAACAGGTGAACATTTGAAAATAACAAACTTTAAAAGTTTTCATTCTATTTCTCTGCGTATATCACTCGTCTTCAATTTTTGTTTTTAAAGTGAAAAAACACATCATTTGTGGAACCGTCACAATTCCAAAATAATATAGCAACAACATTCTAGATTGATATTTTAAGATGAATTACTTTCCCAAAATTTAAATGGATTGTCAATCCAATATGTATAATTTTCTAATAAATATTTACTTGTTAAAATCACTTCTGTATGAATTCTAAGTTTAAAATTTTTTTTTATTGATCTAGTATTAATATGAGTTTAAAATAATTAGCAAATTACGTTAATTTCAAGAAATCAGTTCAGTCCAATCGCTTTTCTACATAAGTAAATTTTTATCTTTATAATATATGCTTTGAAAAACTAATTTTATTATAAACAACCAAAGAAATGATATTAGTTAAAATTTATATTTATGTTATAAGTAAAATTAAAAATAGCATTAATGGGTAATTTCTAAATATTCAAGAGGGCATGTTGTTTTGTCCCAAAGTTATCGAAAGTAAAGAACATATATGTTCAATGAAGCACTCTACTTCTAACTTTCGTAAAAATAAGCACAAATAATATACATGTATTGCACATCCGAACACTTGCATATAAAAGATTTTCTTCATATATATTTATGAGTAACATAAACGATAAATAGATTTAGATCAATGCATTATAAGTTTAATTCAAGTGCATTTAAATATCATACACGTGTTTAATAGACGAATTCAAGTTGTGTATGCAAACATACTTATCAATTCATAGATATTTAAGAATAATATAAACGGATCTAATATCTTATGAAATGTATAACACGTGTATAAAGACGTTAAAAGTAGAATTTTGATATTCGACCGTTATTTAGGGATATGTACAAAAAAACTGTACTCGTATATTTAATGATATTAATGATGTATATCAAAATTAGAACGTGTACAAAAAATTGTACTCATATATCTATTGATATTAATGGTGTATATCAAAGTTTAGATCGTGTATACATTATTAATTTATATATATATATATATATATCTTATAATCAAGTACAAATACATACTATTCTTTACATATGTACTTAAGTATATAAAAAATGTATAATGTATTCTTTACATATGTACTTAAGTATATATATAAAAAATGTATAATGTATCTACAATATGTATATCAAAGTTACATATCACAAATTGTTAGAAAAGTAAATAATAATATTCACTCCGTCCCGAAAGTAAATATTTATTTGTTTTTTGCATATAATTTTAAAAATATTAGTATTATATTAGGATATAGTAGGAATAAAGTAAAAATGACTAAAATAATCTTATTAGTATGTGTGATATAAAAGTAATGACATTTGTGTAATATATTATAAGTTGTAAGGATATTTGTAATGTTAGGTAGATAGTATAGTTATTAAAAAAAAAAAAAAAGAAATGAACACTTTGTTATGGGACGGACTAAAATGGAAAAATGAATACTTTGTTATAGGACGGAGGGAATAATAATAACAACCAGATGATTTTAGTAGATTTTTTTAGCTATGTTGGATTCTATGACATAAAGAGGTTTGGACAAAATTTTTAATTGTACAATTTCGATTTCCAAACGTTTCTGTGACTTGATAAAAATCAATAAAACAATCTCTATATAATATTTGGTAAATAGAAAGACCCTATCTACATTTAATCACGTATCTATATATATAGGAATTATAAAAAATCAAATTGATTGCAATAATGTCTAATATGATTTTCCAATTTTTGCATAATCTGGAAAGAACATAATAGCTCCTTGCAACTTTGCAGAAATGTTAATTTAATTTATGAATTATAAAAAAAATTTAAATTAAAATTATCTTTACAAATCCCTTCGTATTTATTCTTATTACCAAAAAAAACAGTAAGGATGTGCTGATCTGTATTCTGATATATTCGTATTACCATTTTTTTTAATTTATTTAAAAATATTTTAATTGGAGTAAGTGACTTAACCAATCTGTAGACACACAGCAAGACCCGGGAGTCGAACTCCCGAAACGATCCTAACCATTAATAAGATGAGCCCACCAAATCAACGACGCAGATATCGTTAGAAGAAATATGAATATCGCGGTGGGGCCCACACGAGAGCCAATTAAGACAAATGTGACTTATAATTACAATCGTATTTCCAACAAAGACTGTTGGGATTTGAAACATCAGACTATATTTAAGAATTTTCAAAAATTTAAATTTCGTTCTCCAAAATTAATAAAAAAAACCCTTTATATTTTATTCACCTCTAAATATTATTATTACAGCCATAAAAAGAAAATATACTCTACGCTTATATATATATATATATATACATATACACACTCACCTATTTTTATATCCTTCTCTCTTTCTCTCTCTACAATATATACTTTTTAGAGTGAGAAGCACAAAGGTGGTCATCAGCAGATCTTTTCTTCTTTTTTTTTTTTTTTTTTTTTTATGTTATTTCTTCCTCAGGTCTTTTTTTATTTATTTATTTTTACTATTGTTCTCATATTTGTTTTGTTACATTTTCAGGAAGAGTTTGGAAGCCAAGAAGAATATTAATATTTTAAAAAATACAGCACAAGGAAATATGGAGGTCAGATTTGTTATTATTCAATATATATATTTGGTTTTGAATTTTTTTTTTTTTTTTTTTTTTAATAATGATTTTTATGCGACGTAGAGAAAATATTGTATTTTTATACGGTAAAAAAAAAAAAAAAAAAAGCGAAACCAAACTTCAAGTGAACATAGTTTTATTTCTTCGTGGGATGATTTATGATTTATTTATTATTTTTTTTGGGTTCAATAGATTGGATTGGATTTTATTTGTTAATCAGAAGTGTATAGATGATGATGATGCTAATAAATAAGATTAAATAGTGTTTCAGATTAAATAAATAATAATGGAATGATTTTTTATGGCATGTTGAATATTGATGATTAATATTAAATTATGAATATTGATTTGAAATATTTGTGTGTTCAAAGAAGGAAATAAGATTGATTTCAAATTATTCAAAATAGTAAGTAAATAATAAAATTAGGATTAGATAATTACTAGGTGTGGATTATGTGCCATGTATGTATGTATGTATGTATAGTAAGCAACCGTTAGCTTTTTTATCTAATACATACAAAATGTAATCATTACATGTAAACGTGACAGGCGTGTTTGGGTAAGTATAAATAAATAAATAAATATAAATAAATAAATATTTTTATTATTATAAATAAAAATCCACAATATGTGCATAATAATTATTTATTTATTTCGTCGTAGAAAATTGTTGTGTTGAAGTTGGACTTGGGAGAAGACAGAGCTCTGCAACGAAAGGCTTTGAAGACAGCATCGGGTCTTCCAGGTTAATTTAGTCCTATTTTTTTTATTTTTAAAAAAATAAAATCTATTATCCGTTCAATGCTATTTTCTTTGTAAATTTACAATAAAAATTAAAATTAATTGAGACGAATAAAGTATATATTTTATAAAAAAACAAAACACACACAACACATGCACACAAAATCACAAGATTCGTCTAACGATTTATCAATTTTAAATCGATTTATTTTGTTATGTTCTATTGTAGGAATCAACCAAATCGCTTTTGATTCAAAAGCAAAAACACTGACTGCATTTGGATCAGTAGACGCTATTGCCATGGTCTGCAAATTGCGCAAAAAGAATCTGCGACCGATTATCATTTTAGTCGGTCCGGCAAAGGAGGCGAAGCTCCCGGCCCCCCCGAAGGAGAAGGAAAATGGTGAAGAGAAGAAAGAAGAAGCTGCTGCCCCGAAGAAAGGAAAGGGCAAAAAAAAGAAAGAGGCTGAGGGAAAGGAGGCCGGGGCGGCAAAGGAGGCCGCAGAGGCGGCACCACCACCAGTGCCGGCGGTGGCAATGGCGGCGCCGCTGTCGCCAAACACACAGTATTACCGCTCGATGAGCACGTCTTTCTCCGTCAGCCACAGCATGGAGGAAAACCCCAATGCTTGTGTTATTTGCTGAAGATTTCGATTTCTGAGTATGCAAACTGTTTGTTTTGTTTTTTTTTTAAGTATCGGTGCAGTCATACATTTGTTACTATGAACTTTTTACGCCCTCCGGCTGCGCTCGAGGGCTCGATATTTGAAATATTTGCTATTTATGATGCGATTACCTGTCGAATGAAACAGTTTAGTATATGATTCGAGGCTAACAAAACTTTGCTTCTGATTATATAACAATCTACACAATATATATTCGAGGCGAAGCAAAATTATGACGACTCGGGTGTGCGAATTGTGTAATCATCGCATGTATTGTGTGCAGTAACATGAACAAAAATGTGCAATTTTGCGCATACGACCGTAAATGGATTTCAAGACGGTAAGTATATATATATATGTAAGAGCTATTGTTCCCACAACAAAGAAACTAATGTTCGAATCTAAAAGATAGGATCGCGCAAGCTAAAGACTGTACCTTCTGTTACTGTTTCTCCCTCTCCCTCTCTCTCTGCACCTTAAATCTCGATGGAGGTCTTGAGGAGGTTCGGACATTGGCAATAGTTTGCTTCTTCGCCATTTCCATGTCAATATTATTATCCATACGCTCCACAATTACTCCCGTAAAAGCCTGTAAAGGAAGAATACTTGTATTGGAAGTGATTGTCACAAAAACTGTATGTAATCTTCGAATAGTTTCTAAATACTCAAATTAGTTCACTAAATGCGTAATAGGCAATAAGTGAAAAAGGTAATTGTAGAAACACAAGATATCGAATGAAAGGTATACAGTATTGCTTGTTGTGAGAGGAGCTTGAGCTTGAGCTTTCTTCTCCTTTTCTGCAGGTAGCTCCGAAGCTTTGTTTTTCATACTTGCACCGGGTATTTGAAGAATCCCATGTGATGAAGAGACATCTAAATGGATAGAATGAAATGGTTGCTTAAGTTCAAACTTTCCAAATGCGGCAATTAAGACTTCATTAAAACTAACGATAAACAAGTCACGTGTCAAAAAACTCTCAGCTGTGATCGTACGGATTTATTTTCCTAAACTCTTCTACTGACAAATGGATGGGATATTTCCCAAATGTTGATCGAAAAAATGAACAAACCAAGAATTGTAGACACGCGGAAATGCACAGGAAATTTAATGCAAGTTTAATTTATTACACTCATGGTTAAACTACGGATACGTGGGGTTGTAGCTGTCCATGTAGCAAAAAAATGCTTTATTTAAGAACTTACCTTTAGATATTGTCGGCGCCTCAGAAGCTTTAACCTGATTTACGAAGACGACAAAAACATTAATTACGATGGTGAATTTGACACAAAAAAGAAAGTTGATGATCACAGTTTAAGTGTAGATAACTGAAGCTTCTCGTAAAGAATTAAAGAAAAACCCAAAGCAACAATACCGGTGAAAATCCAACTGTTTGATCCGTAAAAACTTTATGGATGCTCTTTTGTGGCTCAATAGTTATCTGCTCATCCTCATCAGATTGCTCCGCCTTTTCAGCTTCCTCTTCTTCCTTTTCAAGTTCAGCCATTCGTGAAAGTATGCGATTATACTCTTCATCTTCAACTGTAGTTTTTGCATCATCCATCTTGCGAGGAGCAATCAAATCAGATGTTTTATAACCTGCAATTTTTTGAAAAGACAAGACATGATTCATCTCAACTGGGTTAAACAATGAAAATTACATCGTCGAGATAAGATACTACAGAAAATAAAAGTACACTTGGAAACCACCGTGCAGAAAAAAACACTAAACAGTGTATGAACATGTGACAAAGCGTAAATCTCTAAAACCGACTTTCGGATTTGCATTTGTTCAGTTATTTATGAATGGACTTATGAAAGGAAGTGAAAGGCTGTTAGCATCAGTTATGTAGAAATTTTAAAAGGCAAGTGGAGTTGGTTAGAGAAAGGTAATGTTAGCTATAATAGTTGGAATAGTTTGTAATAGTAGTTACTCATTACTAGTTTTGATACGTACCGAGCAAAATACTTTTATCTTCAGGAATGTTTACTCTAGTACATAAATTAATATCAAAGTTATAATTTAGCATATAACTATAACTTATACAATAATATAAACTAGGCCTCTGTCTTCTTGAATAAGTAGCTCTAATTCCTCATTGTCTATATTTCGCAATTTCTCACTTATTGGCATGGTATTAGTGAAGGAAAATCGATTTTTATCTTCCTTTCTAATTGATTAAATCACCTTGGCAGCAGCTTCGACTCTGCTCCATATCTCAACTCCTTCAAGTGAAGATCTTCTTTCACCATGCTTCATTCATAATTCTGAAGATCACAGCTCAGCTTTCACCTGAGCTGAGTTCAAAGAATCATGCATCTAGGAGAACGCGCGGTTTATTAGTTATTTCTATCTATAATAAGCAAGGTTTTCTCAATGGACCCATCAAGAAACAGAGAAAACAAACAAGAATTTGCGACTTCCAATAAATATAATAGCCTTGTTATTGCTTGGCGACTTCGTTCAATTTCACCTTCAAGTGCGTCCACTGTATTCTACATAGTACAAGCATTTCAGATTTGGGAGAAATTAGCTAAAAGATTTTTACAGCCTAGTGACATTAGAATCTTATATCTATAGCAGCAATTGTGCACAATTAATCAAGGTACTAATTCTGTATGTCACAGATTTGAACACTGTTTGGGAAGAACTTAGGAGTTTCGTACCCTTGCTACATTGTAGGTGGTTTTTGTACACAAGACCGGTTTAAATCAGTACGAACTATGAAGGCAGAGAAGAGAAGGATAATGCTTTTAGATACTTGAATAGGATCAATGAAACCCATCAAGGAATAAGAACACATAATGACATAATACTTATGAACCATTCCCTACCTTTGATCAAGTCTATAATATAGTAGTAGGCAAGAAACTAAAAAGGAAATTGCGGATTCTTAATCCAATAGCATCTGAAGCATCTACAATGGCTGTGATGAAAGGAATATCAAATATGATGTGTTCACACTGTGGAAAAGGATCATGCAAAAGATAACAGTTACAGAAAGATTGAAATTCCAATTCCACCAAATTATAAAAATTTCAATAGGTTTCAAACGCGGAGATCCAATGCTTCTCACCAGAATATCTTCGTCGATTTGGTGGAGCAACCTAAGGAGCATAAAGTTGTGGAGGAAATGAAATTTTATTCATTAATGTTTCCTAGAGATCAAGTTCACAGATGGCTTTACAAAAATGTTCTTTTTGTTCCCCTTATTCAAACTTACTCTTTTATATATGAGTAAATGCACTTAAAATTCATTGTATTCACATTTTCTTTGGGTCGAAATACTCGTGTCATTCAGGTCCACTCAACTCAGACAAAGATAGGATTGGTTAATAAAGTTGGTGAAATTTTACTACCTTGAGAATTCCAAAATGGCCACACAACTAAGTGATTTTTGACTCCATTGTTTCCCAGCTAGCTGTAAAACTTGGAACCAGAAAATAGGACATGCTTCTGTTGATAAACTTAAATTGATTCCTACACTTTAGAGAAGTCTTTACTTATTCTTTTTAGCAATTTCAAAACTATAATCACCAAGCCAAATCGTGTTTTGGATAAGTAAATGCCACTAAATAAAATTAACAAAAAAACGAACCTGATGTAGCTGATAATATGGAGTTATCTTCTTCAACATAATCTTCCCTGATCTCTACAAGACCATCCTGTCATAAAAAATATAAGCATCTATCATAGCTGAACAAGATATATGACCAGAATTCATAAATAATAAATCCGGCATGACTATACATTAAAATGACTCTACATACTGTAAAATCCATGTATAGTTCTGAAGGACCATAATTAGAAACATTGCAAGGTAAATTGAAAATTCCCGCTTTCAAAGACGCATTTGACTGACAAAACATGTTAGCAATAAGCTTTCGATGCAGTTTAATTGGCGCTAATGCATCCCTAGCCAGAGAATCCCCCCAAAGCTTATTTAAAGAAATATAAAATCATATCAAAGGATATTTACTTCACAGAAATTGCAATATCAATTAACTTGCCACGATGACTAATCAGATTTTCACAAATTTGCTCATGTCATGGTATGGTCTCTATTACTGTCGATTTAGAAAATAGCATATATCATTCAACCTATGTAAATTAAAGAAATCTAAAATTAGTAGAGAGCTAGATCAACCAGCCAAAAAAAGGCTTACAGCGGACTCATGAGCTGTATCGTGAAAGAATGAAGCCTCGGCCTTCATATCCTGTATGACGGCTTTGAGGGATTCGACCTGATTCTCCAAAGTCTTTCCTCTTCTTTTCAAAATCTCAATTGTTTGTTTCGATGTTCTTTCAGCGTAATAGCCTTCTCCCAAAAGGACCTGCAGTTACACTTGAATTTCTAAGATAAACAATAATCATAGATTTTACTAAAATGCTAACTATACCCGCATACATATCACCATCAGATGTTCACTGATGTGGCGTGAAGAAAATAGATCATTGATAAATGAATTACAAATAGAGTTATTTTTCTGCTTTCCAATTCACCTTGGCTGCGTATAGTTTCTACAATAAAATAAATCTTTCAACTCTAATTAATATCATCATCAAAATCTTAGGAGATCATCACATACAGCACCAATTTTCCATTATGAAAATCACGTAATATCACACTCATATCACAAGCAAACACCCCAAATTTCTTTCCTAACAACAATAACAGTTAGAAGAAGGAGATAGAAACAAAATGCTAAATGCCATGGTGAAAGAATTACCATGAACTCATTGGTGTGAATCAACCGGCCAGGGAAAAATGCAGCTTTCCCAAAAGGAACCTATTAAATCACAAAGATATTCAAGCACACAATATATATATATGTATAGGCAGTAAAAGGCAAAGAGAATAAGATTGTGACCATAATATTGTGGTGGATTTCCTCGGGGAGTTTCTGGACGAGGTTTATGAGGCTAACATTGTCGTGAATAAAACCCTTGAGTTGGTCGAGTTGCTGGCGGCGCTCCTTAATTGTATCCTGCACTCGCCTCGAAGCTTTCTGTGCTTCCTCCGCCGGGAACACAGAGGATATCGGAGTAACTGTACCCTTCTTCTCCATTATAGTACGGACGTGAACTTCAATTTCACTTTGCAAGAAACCATAAACGGGACGAAAGGTAAGGGCGTGGATTAGACTTGCCCAACCGGTTTCGAACCGGCGGTATCGAACAGAAAGCGAACCCGATTTTTACTCGGTTGGATTTCGGTTCCTATATTTCCCTGACTCGATTTCAACCGGTCCAACATTTTCTTTTATTGAAAATATATGTATAAGAATTTTTACCATCTCCAAAATAATACTCTCCCTTTTTCATTTATCATGTCAAACTTTTCTATTTATGTTTATATTATTTTTAAAAAATAATTATACACTTTAATATTATTTAAAACTTTCTAATTAATAATTTTATTTAATTTTAATTAAATTAATTTGTTTTTTTAATTTTTGTTAAAATTATTTTTATTATACGATAATTATTCTACTAATATAAATTTAATTATTTACTAATTATATCTCTTATAAATTTTTATAGATCTACAATAAATAAATGAAACTTGTAGCAGAGATGGAGAGAGGATTAGAACAATAACAAAAAATTATAAAATTTAAAATATTAAAGTGTATAATTATTTTTAAAATAAATAAATAAATTACATTAGAAACAAAAGTGATAAAATGGATAAGATTTTATTTTTGCAATTACTCCCATTCTCAGCAGATTTTATACTCTCCCACTCACAATAAAAGGTATAATTCTTTTTACAAATTTGCAATAAAATTTTAGAAGGTGCTATTTTTGTTGTGTTTATTTTATTTTAACTGTGAGCTAGTTTATTTAGATCAATTTGTAAATTTTATTTTTAATTATATCTATAGTATATTTTATTTTTTAATTATATTTGTAATAAAATTTATTTTTTAAAATATTTATATTTATATTGTAAAAATGGTTATAGTAAATTAAATATTCGTTTATATATTTATATTTTTATTTTAACAATTATATTTAATTAATTATTATAAGATTAGGATAAATTTCATATAAATGATTTAATAATTAAATTTAGAATAGTATACTTATTGACTAAATATATATAATACTAATAATTCGAATTATTAATTACTCCATTTATTTAATAATATATACAAAATCAATTTGTTATAAATATTTAAAGATATTTTATTATATATTTTAAAATTATAATCATAATATTTAAAATATTAATATAGATTATTGTTGTTAAATATGTAAAAATAATATGTATATATATTGAATGTTATTTGTAAATTTATAAAATTATATAAAAATAAAATAAAAATGTATATTTTTTTAAGTCTGCAAAAATAAAGAATATAATTAAAAATAAATTATTTAATTGACCCTGAATAATAATTGTATATAAATCTAAAAAATATAATATATATATATATAATATATAGGGTAAATATACTAAAATAACATATATTGAAAATAGTAAAATGTATATATTATTGTCGGATGAATTGAGTTTTATTTCTTTTCATATATATATATATATATATATCATCAACATGTTTTTTTATACTTAAAATAAATATATATATATATATATATGAAACTAAAACAAGAAACAAACATATATTATATTATCAATTCAATGTATAAGTATGTTTTATAATTTATTTTTGTTTATTTTAATTCAATATTTCATTTTACTTCTTACTAAACTTATTATGTAAAAAATAATAATCTATAACATCAAACAAATTTATTATATTATTATTACAAAAATATAAGTATTATCCAAATATATCTAACTCTAAAAGTCCATATACAACTCTTAATTAAATGTAATTGAAATCAAAACTGATGATTTTTAAATAAAATTGTTAACAACTCAAAGCATAAAACAAACAAACGATTTTATTATGGGGAGTGAAGAACTCTTACACTGTCATTTATTGACAAATATTCCGGTGTACAGAGACGAATATTAACATGATACACCATGATCATAAAGTATTAAAGATATAAAACAACACATGAATAAACTTTAGGAAAATCACTGTGCTTTTTTAAAAATACTTACATATCACCTCAAGTGAATATTAAACTAGCTCAAAAGCATTAAATTAAATTAATAGCTCAAAAGTTGTAAATTAAAACAATAGAACCTAAACAATGATCATCCAAGAGTGTAAATCATTAGTAGTGCTTTCCAAATACCTTTTTACACCAGTTACCTGTTGTGAGCCTCAGAAATTTACAAAATCAGGACAAGTATCTAGTAACTCATAGTCATACCTGGACCAAGAGTAAAGTGAAAATTAGGTCCAATTTTAACAAAAATTAACATTATTCAAACTAAGAAAAATCGAGATTGAAACCGAAAAATAGATCAAAATTGTGTTTAAAAAAGTTTAGTTTAGTTTTCCTTTACAATAAATCCAAATCTGTAGCGCAATTCAAACTGTTTGAACAAGTTTACCTCAAAATTTAATTTTTAACGACAATACTTTGTCTATTAACAACTGATTAGTATGACAGTATTGCATTTTGAATAGCTGCTTAATCAAAATTTATTGTTAACCTTATTTTATAATTAATCAATCGATTTTGTACTTTCGTCCTATCTAAAATTTAATCTATCATTTTTTTTATATATAAATAATTATAGTTGCTACAAATATGAAAAATAAAATAAAATCAACATCTACCTCATTATTACAACAATGACATTTATATAATTTAATTATATTACAAAGTTGGCTTATTTATAGTGGATTCTACCAATTCTACCTCATCTATTTACAAAAAGTTTTTTTTTGAAAATTGGGCTTTCACATTATATTTTTAGGCCCACCCAAGGCCCAATTACATAGTGGATTCTCACCAAGTTGAACCTTAGATCTCCAGCAAATCGTGTCGGTCGTCAACATTTCATATTTTATCTGTGGGGCCCAGTTGAAAAGTCGCGTCACGCCACGTAATGATTACGTCACAAAACTCTGCGATCTCCAGCCGTTAAAATGGAGGAGGCTTCGTCATCGCAGCCGTTGATCCGCTTCTTCAAAAAGATAATATTATTTAAAATTAGGCGTTGAAATCACGCGCCGGAGTATACCATACGCCACGTGTCCCCTTTGTCGGCAGAGTGCTGCCCCACCACCAATAATAATCCATGAACCACCAAACCGCGTGGACTTTGACTACTTGCAAAGTCAACCCTAAACAATCAGCATCATTCAATTTTATGACACCGGTAATAATATTCGCGATATTAGAACAAAATTTTAAAATAATTTTGATAAAAATAATATAAGTCGGAAAAATTCCACCAAGCCGTACACGAAATTTCTCTCAATAAAAAAATAAAAAATAAAATTAATAATAATAATAAAATTAATATAGTAATATTATTTTCGAGTGGCTTCCAAACCGTCCATTCACCGATTCATTCATTGATTGAGTCGATTCTTCCTCACCCCCACTCTAAAAAGTCAGCGCCTTGTTTTGTCTATGGAGGACGATTGGGATCTGCACGCGGTGGTTCGAGGCTGCGCCGCCGCCTCTTCATCTTCTACTGGCGGCGGCGACGGGCGGCGCGATTTCAGCGGCGGCGTTTCTCCGGCGGCATGTTCTGGAGATCCGTTACCGTTAGAGGAGGTGAAAAAGGAGACGGCGTTAAAACAGGAGGAGGACTTACGTCATGATCTGTACGGGCAGAGGCCGTTCTTGTTTCCGGAATCTTCTGAAATGACGATAGTGCCCTCGCACAGTCTGCCCGGCCTAGGGAATTCGTCTCCGCTCAGCTCTCTGCTTCTCGACAGAAAACCGGCGGCGGCGGCGGCGCCGCCGCCGCCGCCGTTCTCGGTGGTGAATCTCCCGAAGGAGAGTGCTCAGAAAAATAGCTCGTCGTCAAGACCTAGTTCAAAGAAACGGTAACATTAATTAAATAATTAATTAAATGATTAATTAATAATAATATTAATAATAATAATAATTTAGAAATAAGATAGAAATGATGTATGCAGGAAGAGCGGGATGAAGAGGGTGGTGAGTCACGTGGGAGCAGAAGAAGTGTGTGCGGATGTGTGGTCATGGAGAAAATATGGGCAGAAGCCTATTAAGGGTTCTCCTTATCCCAGGTTAATTTGCTTTTCTTTTCTTTTATTTTTATTTTTATTTATTATTTTATTTTAATTTTTTTCTATTTTATTCCCTCTATCCTTTAAAAATGTGACCACATTTTTAAATAAGGGAGATAATAATCCCATTTTACGAAATAATATTCTTGATCTTGCCTTGAATTCACTTCATTTGCTTCCCATTTTTATTATTATTATTAGTTTTATTTTTCATATTTCTTATGAATGAACTTGTATTTGGTTGCAAGTTAGGAGTTGTAAGTTGGAAGTTCAATATTATTGTTTTAGTAATAAGGTGTTGGTGGTAAGTTAAATTATACTATAATAAAGTACTATATTAGATATAGAGTAAATAATTAATATTATAAAAATATATAATTTTTTAAATATATTTGTTTATTTAAAAGACAGAGAAATAGTATTATAGTATAACAATTTTGAAAAATAAAATAAATTTATAAACATAATGATATCAATCTACACTCCAACTTGTAAGCAAGTGGACCTTGTTATTCTTTCATTTTTGTAGCTTCCAAGTAATAATGTAGTATGCATGTCTCACATAATCCATATAAATGCATGCATATATATATATATATACACACACTGGTCGTCTCGAACTTTTTTGAAATCTTGAGCAAAAATAAATTATAGGTCTTATAAACACATGATTAAAATATATTTTTAAAATAATATTACTGATTGGCATCAATCAGACAAAATGTTGAACGTGGCGGTTTGGACATTGTCTATTTGAAAAAAGAAGATGAAAAACAAACTGTCCGTAGGTTTGAAAAAGAAGAAAGACTGAGAGAGGGCGAAAGAGAGAAGAGAGAAGGTGGGGCGGGTTTGGTCTGAGCTAGTGGACACAGTGCGATAGGATGTAAGGTAGACAAGCGTAGAGGACGATTTAATTTGAAAATATAGGGTGATGTATGATTAGGAAGAACAAATTGGAAAAAATATATGATTAAAGTTTAAAATTTTAATTTTAGAATTAAATTGGATGATTATGAAGAAGAAAAAATATAAATTAAAAATTAAAAATTAATTTTAAAAATTTAAAAATAATAATTGATAACATTTTAAATTATAGACCCTTTATTAATTACGGGCTTGACCAGTTATTCACCCTATTCCTGCTATGAGCAACCCAGCGTGTGTGTGTGTATATATATATGTGTGTCATTTCTAAAATATATAGTAGAAGTTAAGCTTGTTCACACATTTAATTTCTAAAATAAAGATTAGATTAAACTCAAATGAAAACACTTCTCATTATATGTTATACTTCTTCTGTCTTGAATGAAAATATACATTTAATTTTTTAATAAATTAAAAAATAATAATATATTTTTTTTATCTGTAAAAGTGTGTCTAAAATGATTTTACAATTTTGTCTCTTGGTTTTTATATATATATTAATAAAATGATATGTTTGTAATTTATATAAAAATTAAAAATATTTTAATATTAATATATAATTATTTTTACTATCATAAAAAATATATAATTTTTGAGATAAGACAAAAAAAATAATAAAATAGGTATCTTCAGTTATAACTTAGAAAATATATGAAAAAGACTATAAATAATATAATAAATAAATTTTATATTAAATTCTTGATTTTTTTTTTTTTATAAGTGGATAGAATATTATATATTTTGGGTAAACTTTGTTGTTTTAAAATTCTTAAAATGATTTATAAATTTATTTTTATTTTATTATTTACCTCTAACATATTGGTACACAAATGGAGAAATTAGAGGTTAGGAGTACGTTCATTTAGAGCACGGTAGTGACTTCTTTTTTTATAATCTCACTGCTAAATGGAAAGTTTTTGTCAACCTATCTTAAAAATTATCATACAGTAAGTTGTTTTTTAGCAAAAAAAAAATCGAAAAAAAAGTTACTCTTAAAAAAAAAAAGTATGTACTGTGGAATATTGTGAATGTATTACATTAAAATTAATTTTTTCAATCTTTATAAATTAGAAAATATATATTTTAAAATTTGAATAATACTTTTAAGTATAATAATACTATAAAGGCCATTTTATTTTATTTTTTAATTTATGTAAAAAGACAGATTCTATGTAGCTTGGTACAATATCCGGTTAATATAGTTCTATTTTATCTTCTCCAATTTTTTCTAATTTTATTATTTTGCAGAGGTTATTATAGATGCAGCACTTCAAAAGGTTGCGGGGCTCGAAAGCAGGTGGAGCGCAACCGGTCGAACCCGGGAATGTACATCGTCACCTACACCGGCGACCACAACCACCCTATGCCCGCCAACCGCACTTCCCGACACAAGCTTCCGCCCGATCATGCCAACCTCGATATCCTCAAACCAGCTAATGATCAAAAGTCGTCAATGGAAGAAGAAGACAGTTTTTGCCCACTTGAAGACGATTTTTTCGATGGCTTGGAGGGCTTTGCCGCCTCCGGGAGTTGCTCCATCGATGATTCTCCGGTGGAGTTCGACGGCGACGGAGAGAATTGTCGTAATGTTGTATAATTAATTGCTTAGCATGTAGAAGAAATTACTTTGTAGTTTACATATAGGAGAGTAAAGTAGCTAGACAAGTTTGGATTTGTTTATTAATTTTGAAAAATTTTGTTATTGTATAGCTTGGTTATTTATTTTGTCAATTTATTTAGGTATTTAATTTAAGAATGAATATGCATGGTGTATATTGTTTGTGTTGTCGTAAAAAAATCGCCACCGACGGCTTAATCGGAAAAGCCCGTCGGAATTGATTTAATCGTAGGGTTCCCCGGCCTCCTCAAGAAAGGATCCGGGCTATCTCGCGATAACCGAAAAATTGGTGAAAAAAGAAGGTAAAATAAACAAGAACGAAGCTAGAAATTAAATCGATGAAAGCTGTAAAAATTCTGAAAAAAATACCGCGGAAATTAAATTATAAAGAAAAAAAATTAATGTTGAAGAAGATGATTGCTTGTCCCGGCGTCTTCTTTTCCCTTTTATTCTCTAAACCTTGTTCGGATAAGGTTTACTCCCTTATTTTTCTCCAACCTCCCCAAATTATTCTCACTTTCAAATTATGCTTTATCCGTTTCTCTTTTGACCAAATATCCCCACTGATTTGGGCCTTCTTGTAGGCCGTGTCTCTCCCTAAGTTGGGCTCCCGCTTGGGCTGGCCCTTTGGTCAAATTTTGGAGTGTACAGTTTGTTATATATCTATAGGTTGAAATCATATATATTATTTTTTAAAAAATAATAAAATTGTTTGTACAAGAACAAGACTAAAGAAACTACATATGCTAAAGTTTTTCCGCTTCGAGATATTGGGACATGCTTTTATGTATAAGAAATACTTCATTCTAGAATATTTGTAACATGTACTAATGCAAGAATTTAATCTTTAAATTCGTTGTGTACAATTTTACTTTTTCTATTAATAAATCGAGCTTTACACCAAAATAGAAAAGAAAAAAAATGAGTGATTTTAGTATAATTAGATTTATTTGAGATTAATAGATGTTGATATTAAGTGAACTTTGAGATGAAACGCGTAAAACATGTGTTCGAAAAATTATTTTCAACATCATTGTAAGTTAAAAATGATGGAATCAAATAAAAACTTTGAGGGCATATTGGATAGACAACTTAATCACAATCAAAACTAAAGCATGTTAAGAAAATTGAAATGTGTGACAATATCATTGTTATACCCAATATATTTTGAGTCATATTGTCTTAAAAAAATTTTAAAAAAATCTGTGTCTATTTATAAGTTCATGTGTCTAATTATATTATTGAAATGTAATTTCATATCAATGTTTGGCTTGAAACAATCATCAATTCATTTTGAAATTAAAGTTTGAACCGAAGAAACACATCCATTGGATTTAAATAAAGAATTGTTTATAATACCAAAAAGAATACTCTCTCCGTCCCGCATAATTTGTCTATATTTTCTATTTTTGTTCGTCCCACATAACTTATCCTTTCTATTTTTGGAAATATAATTATGCACTTTAATCACATTTTAAATTTTAAATTTTATAATTTTCTTAATTTTAATTAAACTATTTATTTATTTTAATCTTAATCTATAATTATTTTTACTAATACACTTCTTAATTACTTACTAATTATACTTTACCTAAATTCCCGTGTCTACAGTATTAGATGGGACGGAAGGAGTATAATATATGCATAGATTCACGCAAATGATATCGACCTTATTTGTGTGAGAAAATTGTTCATCCAAATTACAAAAAAAATAATAATAATTAAATATAAAAATATTATTAGTTTTATATATCAACGATTCGCTTCGTTATAGTTAATATTAAAAACGCATTTATTCAAAAATAGAAATTGAACACATCCCTTAATTCGGAAAACTTTATATCCTTACATTCTATTTTTTGTCATTTACTCTTACATCAACATTTATATATACTACACAAAAATTACATTTATATTACACATACTCATAATTTTTATATTATTTACACAATTTTTTATAACTCATGTAAATAAAAATATATTTTCAAATAATTTCACTAAATCTTTTAAAGATGATATTTGCTATGAACCAGAGTAGTAGATTTTCAACTACATATTTATTTTGAAGTATTACTCTTTATCATTTTTTAACTCATAATTAATACATTATATACTATAATAATTCTATCTTATTTAATAAGTGAGAAAAATAATTTTTAACAATTATGATTAAAAATATAATTATATTATTTTAAGTAAACACACTTTTAGTATGAACTGTAATAATCTAATAATTAGTGTTAAAAAATTCACATTATTTGTGGGAAAGTCCTCTATGTGTTCTTTTTCTTTTTTTTTTTCCTTTCAATTTTCATTTTTTGTTACTCGCAAATTCTGTATTATAGTACTCCTTTCGTCCCATGTATTGTAGATACGGAAATTTAGGTAAAGTGTGATTAGTAAGTAATTAATAAGTGTATTAGTAAAAATAATTATCGTATAATAAAAATAATTGTGAATTAAGATTAAGATAACTAAATAGTTTAATTAAGATTAAAAAAATTATAAAATTTAAAATTTAAAATGAGATTAAAGTGTATAATTATATTTTCAAAAAATAAATGGACAAATTATATGGGACGAACAAAAATAGAAAATAAGGATAAATTATATGGGACGGAGGGAGTAATTTATTTTAATATTATTTTTTGGAGGAACATTTGAATTAATATTCATCGTTGAAAATTTCCTACTTAGGTCATATTACATATTGGCATAGCCATAATTATATAGTTTGACTAATTAAAAGTAGGTTAGAATTTATTCTCTCGGAGTCTCACAGTTACACATCAATTATTTCAACTACTTTACCAACATATTAATTTTCAAATTATTGTACAGTCAATATTTTTTAAATTTTTGTTGGACTTAATTTTTATTTGTGTTTTCATTTAAATAATAATTTGATATAATTTTTTTTTATAATATAATACTCTTTCCCGTTCTAATACAATAGTGTTGTTTACCATTTTTGTCTGTTTCAAAACAATAGTCTTGTTTTCGTAAGTAACCATATCACCGTAAAACTACCTTTACTTTTTCATTTTTATTACACAATTGCCACTATTTTTTACACTGATACACTCACAAGGGCAAAAAAAAATTTTATCCATAATTTTTACCAACTACTAATATAATATCAATATTCTTGTTTATCGAACAACAATATAAAAAGAGAGTAAATAAAATCTAAAACATGAATAAAGAGAGTAAATAAAAAGCACTTTTTTAGTGCTTGTTTACCGAACAACAATGTATGCGTTTACACATTGAACTGTTAAATATGTTTATTTGTGATTCTTATAAAATACTCCCTCCATACTTAATTTCAGTATTTATTTGCTTTTTACACGTAGTTTTATAAATATAAGTATTATATTGGGATATAGTAAGAATAAAGTAAAAAATGACTAAAATAATCTTATTAGTACGTGTGTGATATAAATGTAATGACATTTGTGGAATATATTGTAAGTTGTAAAGGTATTTGTAATGTTAGGTAAATAGTACAGTTACTAAAAAAGAAAATAAATACTTTATAAGACGGACTAAAATAAAAAACTAGATACTTTTGTTATGGGACGGAGGGAGTATCTTTTAAAATGAAATAATTATTAAATATATTACTCTTTATAAGTTGAAGTGGATTTATTAAGAAAAATAAATATTTTATTAAAAAATTTTTTTAAAAAAAAGTATAAAAATATAATTAAAATATTTTTGAACATTTAATTATAAATTTAAAAAAATAGAGAATGTAATAAAGTTAATGGCGTTTATTGTAAAAAAATATTGAATGAGGTATAATAATTAAATTTTAATTTTTTAATTTATTAAAATATAGTAACTGAGTAAATTTCATGGACGGGCGAAAAAGAAAAATTAAGAAAAAATTTGACGGATTAAAAAAAATACATTGAATATGTTTCTTTTGAAAGAATGTTGAAATACTTTTCTTTTATATGAATATAGAAGATCGTATAAAAAATATAAAAATAGTTAATATATGTAATACAAAAAAAATATATATGCATAAATAAAAATAAAAATAAAATAAAAATGAAAAAATGAACGATTATAAATATAACGAAATTGAAACAAATGGCATTAATTTCCTCCAAAATGTGCACATATTTTGAGAGAGAAGTCAGTATGAAACAGAGAATCAACAGACCGAAGGGTCCAGTGTCCCCACTTAGGTGGGACCTACACCTATGCCACGTCACCACCTACTTCCTCCAACACTCGATATATAAACAGAACACCAGAAAAATTCAATGCTACATACCTCTTAACTAATGGCTGAAACTTCCGATCAATCACGCCCCCTCGCCGGCGCCTCCGACCGCCCAACCAGCAGCGACGACGAGGAATCCGCACTCACCGGAATCCGCCGCAAGCGCTGCGTCAAGTGCTTCACCTGCGTCGCCGCGCTCCTTCTCATCCAAGCAATCGTCATCGTCGTCCTAATCTTCACAGTCTTCAAAGTCAAGGATCCAATCATCCGCATGAACAGAGTCACCGTCACGAAGCTCGACCTGGTCGCCGGAACCACCACTCCGCGTCCTGGCGCGAACATGACTCTAATCGCCGACGTCTCCGTGAAGAATCCGAACTACGCCTCGTTCCGGTACCAGAACACCACAACGGCCCTGTACTACCACGGATCTGTGATCGGCGAGGCGCGCGGTCCGCCGGGGAGAGCGAGAGCGCGCCGGACGATGAGGATGAACATAACCGTCGACGTGATGACGGATCGAGTACTCGCGAACTCCGATTTCGCGTCTGATCTCACCTCTGGCCTCCTAACTATGAGCAGTTACACAGAGGTCGCAGGGCGCGTGAAAATGGTGGTCGTCAAAAAGCACGTGACGGTGAAGATGAACTGCACCGTGACCGTCAACATGACGACTCAGGCGATTCAGGAACAGAGGTGCAAACGCAAGGTGAAACTCTAGAATGTTCCATTTCTACCGTATCTATACGTACAGAATACTGTACGTATTTTTTGGTTCTGCCTCTGTTAATTATTACTGCTTGCTTTACTGTTAGTTTTCTAGTGTTTAGTGTTGCATAATTATAGTGTGTGATTTTTCCGTTGATATGTTTGTCTGTATAAATAAATTAAATTAAGTTTTAGGATTATTTCAATTTTGGTTCAATTTATAGTAATATAAAATAGATATGATCCAATAAATTGAGAAAAAAGGAAATGTAGCTACATATATGTGCAGTGTAGTGCATTGCAGTCTTCCTTTGTGGGCCAGACAAGGACTATGATAAATTGTCTGCAATTAATTAATCAATGTTTAGGTTAGGTCCATCATCGTAAAAAGGCTATTGACTACCTCGTCTTATCAAAATATAAAAAAATTTAGACAAAATATAATTAGTAACTAATTAAAAAATATATTAGTAAAAATAATTATAAATTTTATTAAATATTATATTAATAAAAAATTTAAGCATTCATCAATTCAATCTAAAAAAAGAAACACATGCTTCAAGCCTTCAACGGATCATTCGCATGTACAGATTTGTTTGAAAATATTGTCAGTCTTTTTCTTTTGTCTTTATATATATATATAAATATAATATTTTGTTGCTATTAATAAAAATATAGTTATTTTTAATAGAAAATTATTATATTTAACTATAATTTTATATAAAAATAAAAATAATTTAAAATACAAAATACAAAATACAAATGAAATATATTGACTTTTAAAAATTTATCATATCTAATATATTTTTTTATTTAATTCAATATAGTATATTAAAAAAATAAAATATTGTTTACAATAAATTAAACATCAAATTTTTTTACGCAAAAATTTTAGTTATTTTTCAAATAACCTAAAATACTAAAATATGTGTAAATGAAGTCATACATTTTAGTATTTACATTACTTGTTTTTAAAATAATAATAATTATTATATATATTAAAAAGAAAAAGAAAAAGCAAGCTCATATGTTCAGTTGTGTTTTCATGAAAATAGCGTATCAGGTAAAAAGATAGCAGGTAAAACGGGAAAGGACCGGAGTTTTTTTGAATTTCAATGTTCAGTTATGTGATTTCAAATTAAAATTAAAATTTTATTATTTATTATGTATAATTTTTAATACAAATATATATATTATTTTCATAAATTATTAAATTAAAATATTATTTAAACAAGAATTTAAATTAACTTTAAATCAATTTAAAATTACAATTAAAAAAATCAAAAAAATCTGTTAGGTGCGTACATTCTATAATATCATATATATATATATATATATAAATAGAGGGCGATTGTGTATTAATGGCTTGGGGTGGATTTGGACTTTCTACTATAAATTTTTTAATATATCTTTTTAAAAATTGATAAATTACGTATTTTTATTATTTTTATATTATCGACACAATTCTTTATATTTTATCTAAAAAAATTTCTTTCAAATCAAAACACAAAACAAACATTCCATTTAATTTTATTTAACGTAAATAAATAAAACAAAACAAAATGAAACGAAAATCTAAACAAAGTGTAATACAGACACACCTCATATGTTTTTGTAACCATATTCATTCTAAAATAATCTTAAATTGTTTTATTTTAAATTTCAAATACTACTTTTATTTGTTTCAAAAGTATCAGTTTATTTCGCGCATACGATTTAATAAAATTAAATTTTAAGAATAATTTGTTGTATTTTAAAAAATAAAAATGATAATTTGTATTTGAATGATTGAAAATTTCAATGGACAATAGAGATGTCTTTAGAATGAACGTTGAAATAGTAATTTTTTATCCAATTCTTCAATAATCTTGAATTTTAGCTCTAGATTTATTGCAATAAACATTGGTTTGTTTATATTGCTTTTTGTATTTGAGTTTTAATTTTTTGATAAAATAATTATTACTTTATTAGATATAATATATTCTATTAAAAAAACCCAATATATTTTTCTCTAAAATCATAATATTATATAGAAAAAAATAAGGAAAAAAATAAATTGAACAAATAATGCATTACTTCAAGTTTAAAGTGACATTATTATTATTATTATTATTATTATTATTATTATTATTATTATTATTATTATTATTATTATTTCAGAGTCCCAAAATTTAAAGAAAATTACTATTCTAGTTAGTATTTACTATTTCAAAAATTACCTCCACTTACAAAATTAAATTAAATATTTATTTTTAAGTATAATATTACAATTTAATTTATATATTTAAAGTAATATATCGAACACGTATTTATGTTAGATTAAACAATTATTTTAATTCAAAGTTGCACTATTTAATCCAAAATTTAACTCTAATTTGTGAGTCTTTGCCTAATTTTTTTTTTATTTATACAATTTTTTTTATATTTATACAATTTTTTTAATTCAAATATTAAATCAAAAATTTAATTTTTTTAATATTTTCTATTACATTAAAATTTAATTTTATATTGCCTTCATCCCACTCCAAGTTTTGTAATAAATTAACAAAGAATACTCTCTTCGTCTCACTTAATTTGTCTACTATTTCTATTTCCGTCTGTTCTACATATTTTGTCATTTTGTTTTTTGAAAATACAATTATACACTTGAATCACTTTTTAAATTCATAATTTATAATTTTTTAATTTAATTAAACTATTTAGTCATCTTAATATAAAATTATTTTTATTAAATCATAATTATTTTTACTAATATACTTTTTAATTACTCACTAATTACACAATACCTAAATTCCGTGCATAATCTAAATGAGACAAATTAGTGGAGGGAGTAGTATTTTAAGAGTTAGTAGAAGTGTGTAAGAGACTTTGACATTTTTGCTCTTTAACTTTATGTATAAAATAATTATATGTGCAATAGTATGTTTGTAATTTAGTTAACGATATTTTTGTATTAATACATAATTATTTTTACTAAAATGAGTAAGTAATATTTATTTGTATTACATTAAATAATATTATTATTCAAAACATTAACTCAAATTCAAACCCCATAACAAACAAAATCATACTAATATTTTTTTTATCTTTTTTATTTACAAAATATATTTTCATTTAAAACATATGTTAGTTATATAGCTTTTGTATTCCAAAGAACAAATCAAAAATACTCCCATAACTGATGATCCGATGGTGTCTAGTGCATTTGTGATCGACTTTGATTAAGTATTTAGGTTCGACCAAAATTTATCCAGAACACACTCGAAGAACAACGGTCGCAGGTTCCAACTTAAAAAACAAAAAAAAAAAAGAACAATGCATTTTTATATTGTTGTGAAATCGTTTTTTTGGTCTTCCCCAACCCCCACTTGTAAGTGGGGTTTTGTTGGTGTTTGTAATGCATTTTAACATAACAAATAATAATGCAAATGTATATAATCACTCTCTCTCTCGTAATTAAATATTCATTTTTTTTTACGTAGTTTTAGAAATATTAGTATTATATTATGATATAATAAGAATAAAGTAGAAATAACTAAAATAAATTAATTAGTATGTGTGATATAAATGTAATAGCATTTGTGTAATATATTATAAGTTGTAAGGGTATTTGTAACGTTAGATAAATAGTACAATTACTATAAAAAAAAAAAAAAAAAAAGTAAATGGATACTTTAGTTTGGGACAGACTAAAATAAAAAAATAGATAATTTATTATGAAATAAAAAATGTATTTTTTTACTTGTTAGATATTCCTCGAATATATAAATAAATATATAATTAATAAATAAATAAATAAATAAATAATTGTGGTGGAGCTTGGCTTGACAACAGCCGACCCACCCACGCACCCATTAAAATCAATCTATTGTTGATTAAATATTCTGTCAAACATAATACAAAAGCTAATTCCAATTCACAACTTTTTCAAAACCCTTTTCTTTTCTTTATTTATATTTTTAATTACATATAAAATATTGTGTCCAATAAATATTATTATTTTTATTTTTAATAAAAGAGAAACATAAACGAATAACACATAAAGAAGCCAACAAAAAATTGTTTGATTTGTGCTTAATTTTGAGTGTTTGTTTAATTTTTTTTTTAAAAAAAATAAAATTATTCTTTTTATACTAATTAAATTTATATTTGTTAAAAATATTTACTAAAATACTCCCTCCGTCCACTTACGAAATTTACATTTACTTTTGGTGCGATGTTTAGGAAATAATAGTATTTTAATTATAGTGAGTAGTTAAAAGTAATGTAATAACATTTTTGCCCTTACTTTTTATGTGTAAAAGTAAAAATGTGATGTAAAGTAAGGGTATTTGTGAAAAAAAGTAGAGTATTTAATAAAATGTTAACTTTGTAATTGGACGTCCCAAAATGAAAATATGTAAATATTGTAAGTGAACGGAGGGAGTAATTAAAAAAAAAAAAAACTTAAAAGAGAAGGTAAGTTTATGTCTTAATCCATTGCATCTTATGATTAATTCTATAACTCTGACTATCATATAAATTGTCAGTATTAAAAATATTATGGCATTATTCTATATATATTTAATATTTATTTATCATAATTTTAATATAAATATATTTATGTATGTTATAAGAATTTTTAATCAAATTTTATTATTCATTAATTTCCTCTTAAAATATTAAATCATAATTGTGTTTTTATTTTTTTATTTTATATTACAATAAAAATTAGTTTATATTTAAAATATTAAATTAACACATATTTATATTATATCAAATAATTATTTCGATTTAACATTTATTATTATTGTATAAGAAAAATTCATATACAATAAATTTTAAAAAAAATGATCAATAATAGACAGCACAATTTACAATAATAATAACTCCACACCAAGGAAAAGTATTTATGTATTTGAAAGTAAAATTAATTTTTAAAATAATATGAAAATAAATATTTAATTTATAAAAATGTGTCGTAATCATAACGTGATCCTATTTACAAACGAGAATCTTCATGTTATCTCTACTCTTGTTTTTATTATTATTATTAAATATTATTATTAATCATGTTTACATCTTGAATTATTTTTTTTTATTTTTCCTGCTTTATTTGAAAAAAGCTAAAATGTTTTATTATCTCTATTCTATTTCAAAATACTAGTGTTACCACCTTTTGTTCGTCTCAATTCAAAATATTATTTTTATTTTTTTTATTTATAGCAAAAGTAATTCGATATTAATACCAAAATATCTTTAACTTTTATTTAAATTATAAACATACTATTACACATACACATACACGTACTTTTTACATAAATGAC